GACTAACTCGACCATGGTCGAGTTCGCCGGAAAAGACTAATCGGCCATGGTCGAGTTCGCCGAAAAACGACTAATTCGACCATGGTCGAGTTCGCGCGCGACTACATAAATCGAGTTCGACGCCGGAAAACGACTAACTCGACCATGGTCGAGTTCGCCGGGAAAACGACTAACTCGACCATGGTCGAGTTGCCAAAACGACTAATTCGACCATGGTCGAGTTCGCCGGAAAACGACTAATTCGACCATGGTCGAGTTCGCCGGAAAACGACTAACTCGACCATGGTCGAGTTCGCCGGAAAACGACTAATTCGCCATGGTCGAGTTTGCGAAAAACGACTAACTCGACCATGGTCGTTCGCCGGAAAACGACTAATTCGACCATGGTCGAGTTCGCCGGAAAACGACTAACTCGACCATGGTCGAGTTCGCCGGAAAACGACTAATTCGCCATGGTCGTGTTTGCGAAAACGACTAATTCGACCATGGTCGAGTTCGCCGGAAAACGACTAATTCGACCATGGTCGAGTTCCGGAAAACGACTAACTCGACCATGGTCGAGTTCGCCGGAAAACGACTAATTCGCCATGGTCGAGTTGCGGAAAACGACTAATTCGACCATGGTCGAGTTCGCCGGAAAACGACTAATTCGACCATGGTCGAGTTCGCTGGAAAACGACTAACTCGACCATGGTCGAGTTCGAAAACGACTAACTCGACCATGGTCGAGTTCGCCGGAAAACGACTAATTCGACCATGGTCGAGTTGCCGGAAAACGACTAACTCGACCATGGTCGAGTTCGCCGGAAAACGACTAATTCGCCATGGTCGAGTTTGCCGGAAAACGACTAACTCGACCATGGTCGAGTTCGCCGGAAAACGACTAACTCGACCATGGTCGAGTTCGCTGGAAAACGACTAACTCGACCATGGTCGAGTTCGCCGGAAAACGACTAATTCGACCATGGTCGAGTTCGCCGGAAAACGACTAACTCGACCATGGTCGAGTTCGCCGGAAAACGACTAACTCGACCATGGTCGAGTTCGCCGGAAAACGACTAATTCGCCATGGTCGTGTTTCGCGAAAACGACTAACTCGACCATGGTCGAGTTCGCCGGAAAACGACTAATTCGACCATGGTCGAGTTCGCGGAAAACGACTAACTCGACCATGGTCGAGTTCGCCGGAAAACGACTAATTCGACCATGGTCGAGTTCGCCGGAAAACGACTAACTCGACCATGGTCGAGTTCGCCGGAAAACGACTAATTCGACCATGGTCGAGTTTGCCGGAAAACGACTAACTCGACCATGGTCGAGTTCGCCGGAAAACGACTAACTCGACCATGGTCGAGTTCGCGGAAAACGACTAACTCGACCGGTCGAGTTCGCCGGAAAACGACTAATTCGACCATGGTCGAGTTCGCCGGAAAACGACTAACTCGACCATGGTCGAGTTCGCCGGAAAACGACTAACTCGACCATGGTCGAGTTCGCCGGAATACGACTAATTCGACCATGGTCGAGTTCGCTGGAAAACGACTAACTCGACCATGGTCGAGTTCACCGGAAAACGACTAATTCGACCATGGTCGAGTTCGCGGAAAACGACTAACTCGACCATGGTCGAGTTCGCCGGAAAACGACTAATTCGACCATGGTCGAGTTCGCCGGAAAACGACTAACTCGACCATGGTCGAGTTCGCCGGAAACGACTAATTCGACCATGGTCGAGTTCGCCGGAAAACGACTAATTCGACCATGGTCGAGTTCGCTGGAAAACGACTAACTCGACCCGGTCGAGTTCGCCGGAAAACGACTAATTCGCCATGGTCGTGTTGCAAAAACGACTAACTCGACCACGGTCGAGTTCGCCGAAAACGACTAATTCGACCATGGTCGAGTTCGCCGGAAAACGACTAACTCGACCATGGTCGAGTTCGCCGGAAAACGACTAATTCGACCATGGTCGAGTTCGCCGGAAAACGACTAACTCGACCATGGTCGAGTTCGCCGGAAAACGACTAATTCGACCATGGTCGAGTTCGCTGGAAAACGACTAACTCGACCATGGTCGAGTTCGCCGGAAAATGACTAATTCGACCATGGTCGAGTTCGCTGGAAAACGACTAACTCGACCATGGTCGAGTTCGCCGGAAAACGACTAATTCGACCATGGTCGAGTTCGCCGGAAAACGACTAACTCGACCATGGTCGAGTTCGCCGGAAACGACTAATTCGACCATGGTCGAGTTCGCCGGAAAACGACTAATTCGACCATGGTCGAGTTCGCTGGAAAACGACTAACTCGACCACGGTCGAGTTCGCCGGAAAACGACTAATTCGGCCATGGTCGTGTTTGCAAAAAAACGACTAATTCGACCATGGTCGACTTCGCCGGAAAACGACTAATTCGACCATGGTCGAGTTCACCGGAAAACGACTAACTCGACCATGGTCGAGTTCGCCGGAAAATGACTAATTCGGCCATGGTCGTGTTTGCGAAAAAACGACTAATTCGACCATGGTCGACTTCGCCGGAAAACGACTAATTCGACCATGGTCGAGTTCACCGGAAAACGACTAACTCGACCATGGTCGAGTTCGCCGGAAAAGACTAATTCGGCCATGGTCGTGTTTGCGAAAACGACTAATTCGACCATGGTCGAGTTCGCCGGAAAACGACTAATTCGACCATGGTCGAGTTCGCTGGAAAACGACTAACTCGACCACGGTCGAGTTCGCCGGAAAACGACTAATTCGGCCATGGTCGTGTTTGCAAAAAAACGACTAATTCGACCATGGTCGACTTCGCCGGAAAACGACTAATTCGACCACGGTCGAGTTCGCCGGAAAACGACTAATTCGACCATGGTCGAGTTCGCCGGAAAACGACTAACTCGACCACGGTCGAGTTCGCCGGAAAACGACTAATTCGACCATGGTCGAGTTCGCAGGAAATCGACTAACTCGACCATGGTCGAGTTCGCCGGAAAACGACTAATTCGACCATGGTCGAGTTTGCCGGAAAACGACTAACTCGACCATGGTCGAGTTCGCCGGAAAACGACTAACTCGACCATGGTCGAGTTCGCTGGAAAACGACTAACTCGACCACGGTCGAGTTCGCCGAAAAACGACTAATTCGACCATGGTCGAGTTTGCCGGAAAACGACTAACTCGACCATGGTCGAGTTCGCCGGAAAACGACTAACTCGACCATGGTCGAGTTCGCCGGAAAACGACTAATTCGACCATGGTCGAGTTCGCCGGAAAACGACTAACTCGACCATGGTCGAGTTCGCCGGAATACGACTAATTCGACCATGGTCGAGTTCGCCGGAAAACGACTAATTCGACCATGGTCGAGTTCGCTGGAAAACGACTAACTCGACCATGGTCGAGTTCGCTGGAAAACGACTAATTCGGCCATGGTCGAGTTTACCAAAAAACGACTAACTCGACCACGGTCGAGTTCGCCGAAAAACGACTAATTCGGCCATGGTCGTGTTTGCGAAAAAACGACTAACTCGACCATGGTCGAGTTCGCCCGAAAACGACTAATTCGACCATGGTCGAGTTCGCCGGAAAACGACTAACTCGACCATGGTCGACTTCGCCGGAAAACGACTAATTCGACCATGGTCGAGTTCACCGGAAAACGACTAACTCGACCATGGTCGAGTTCGCCGGAAAATGACTAACTCGACCATGGTTGAGTTCGCCGGAAAACGACTAATTCGACTATGGTCGAGTTTGGCGGAAAACGACTAACTCGACCATGGTCGAGTTCGCCGGAAAACGACTAATTCGACCATGGTTGACTTCGCCGGAAAACGACTAATTCGACCATGGTCGAATTCGCCGGAAAACGACTAACTCGACCATGGTCGAGTTCGCCGGAAAACGACTAACTCGACCATGGTCGAGTTCGCCGGAAAACGACTAATTCGACCATGGTCGAGTTTGCCGGAAAACGACTAATTCGACCATGGTCGTAGTCGCTGTGAAACGACTAATTCGACCATGGTTGAATTCGCCGAAAAACGACTAATTCGAACACGGTCGTATTTTCCATTTTCCGGCGAATATGACAATGGTCGTATTTGCCATTTTCCAGCGAATATGACCATGGTCGTATTTGCCATTGTCCGGCGAATATGACAATGGTCGTATTTGCCATTTTCCAGCGTATTAAAAATAGCTATATTAAAAATTATCATTATAAAAATTATTTTGAACTACGATACTGGACGGGATAAACGAATTACGAAATCTACTAATTCTACAATTAATAAATCAATATGTTGATCATAACGTAAATTATAATTACGTATGTCTTCCCGTCTATGAGGAATAAAACTGAACAGCTTGTGTTCTGGATTAAGCAGTTTATTAATTAAAATACGACTGACATAATTCGTTTCTTCGTTGGGAGAGTGACGATAACTCAAAGGCTTGTAAGGCCAAACGATAAGATATGTTTGGACAGATTATGCGTAAGGCACGTTTCTTCGTTTCTACATATATTCATTCCTTCAAACTCCAGACCTGACATGCGTATTCGAGTATAGGCCGAAAACATGTTATGTTTGCACGAAGGAGAAACTGTTGGCAGGACACTGGTAAAACAATTACAGGACAACTAAGGTTTTTGAGTTAAGGACAACTAAAAGACAACTAAAGACAACAGAGAATGACTGTAGATGACATGAAATGATGGTAGATGGCAGGGAATGATGGTAGATGACGGTGGATGGCAGTGAATGACGGTAGATGATAGAGAATGACGGTGGATCCCGGTGGATGACAGAGAATGATGGTGGATGACGGTGGATGACAGAGAATTACGCTGGGAAACTCAGAACTTATAAAACCAGTGACTGTATAAAACTACAGTTAGTCAGACTTAAGAGGTCCAGAGGCAGCATTCCAGTGCTTTACAGGTCAATGTATCCCACAATACCAAAAGCTCCCCATAAATTAATTTCCAAAATGGCTTCCGGGCAAGGCGTTGCAAACTAACTTTGATGTGAAATACACGATTTCTTAGCATAAGATGGGCCACGGAAACAGCAAAGCATACACAGAAGCCATCAAGAAGCTCAGCTCTCTCGAGTTAAACAATATCGTAGGGGTTTTCAATGAGTTATCGACTGAAAATCAGGACGGAATACGGGCAATCCCGGAGCCAAATATGGCGACCAGACGTGTTTTTGCAGAGCGATTTTCATTGCCCGGCTTGATAGGAGAGCGACTCTTTCATGCATTTGACAGAGATAATAATGGCACTATAAACCTGGAAGAATTTGTCGGCGGTGTAGCATTGTGTTTGCATGGCTCAGCTCAGGCAAAATGTGAACTCCTATTCAAGGTATTTTCATCATTTAAAAGGGCGATAAACACCGTATTTAAAGAATTGATTGTATAACAGCAGCTTTATTCACAATAATTGTGTGTTTATTTTTTCATAAAGGTTTTCAACTTCAGCGATGATGAAGATGCTGTTACTGAGGATGAATTAAAAACTATTTTGCTGAGCTCTTTACAATCAGCAAACACAATATTAGACAGCGTAGGTGATTCAACGAGCAAGGAAACAAATAGCAGTGAAAAACCTTTGATTGAAACTGTCACAGAAATCGTCCAAGATGCCTTTAAGACTTGCGACAAGTCAAAGAACGGCAAACTCTCTGCGAAAGAATTTAGTTCATGGCTTCATAAAAACCCACATATTATGGATAACGTGTTTGGATGGCAATGTCCTAAGCCAGAACTGGGTACCTGGGCGAATGAAGGTGAGCAAAAAGGTTCAAAGAGTTTGCAAGATTTGTTCGGTGGTCAGGTTGGACAAAATCTATCGGGAGAAAGCTTTTTCGACTCTTTGGGAAGCGCAGCAGGAAATGTCGGGGAGAGCAAGGGGGGGAGGAAATCCGAAAGCACCTCGCCTGTGTCGGTTTCACCAATCCACCAAAGCAAATCTAGTAGCGTTTCTAGTGAAACTGAGACTGCTGTTCACCACGAAAGTGGATCAATATCGGACCAAACACATTTTGTACCACCATCCCCGGTAAAAAGCAAACCCCGGCTTTCTGAAGTCAAAGAAGAAGAGCCGTTTGTTGAGAGCTATGACCAGTACAGCGCATTGTGGGTACCAACAACTGAAGCAAATTCTTTCCTCGAAGCAATCAAGAATAGCACCTTGAAGCCAGAGAACGCCAAGCCACCTGAAGCCAGCGTTCCACATATTCAATTCGATACACCACAGATTGACCCTGTAAATGAGCTGATTTCAAAATATATCGGTGACCAAAATGAAAAAGCACCCTTGAGATCTGTCTTGACTGAAGACATGGTGACATGTGACACAGCTGGTTTGAAACAACTGCTAAGGGCGGAATGTTGGCGTTCTGCTCTTAACCTTACCACAAAACTGTTGGGTAACAACGCTGGACATGACACAGCAGACCAGCATTCGTCTAATAACTTTGAGATTTGGTTCTGCAGGATAGCACTCATGGTTCAACTTAAGATGCATACAGCAGCAGACATTGAACTTGAGGCTTTCGGTAATCTTGATGCAGCTGTGTTATATTACGAATTCTATCCAGATTTATATCCAGACAGGCAAGGCACAATGGTGCCTTTCTGTTTCCGTCTTCTGGCTGCGATGCTACCTCAACATGTTGACAGACCAAAAGAGGCGTTGGACAAGTTGTTTTATGTCCACAGCATCTGTTTGCAAGTTTTGCGAAATCTGACAGCAGAGCTTGGTGCTGATAAAGAAAATTTGGAAGCACTTCAGAAAGGAATAAAATTGTGGAAGGAAAGATTAATAAAGGTGTTATATTGCATTGGAAATACTTTTTTATCCGTAAAAGAGTATGGTTTGGCAATAGCTGTGTTCAAGCAGATTTCAAAACGGGATCCTGAGAACACAAGAGCATTGATGTCTGGCATTGGTAGAATTAGTTTACAGTCTGGTGATATCGAAAGTGCACAGCAATACTTTAAACTGGTTGAAGAGATGGAATCACAAGATGATTCTACCCAATCTGATGTCTTGATCAACAGGGGACTTCTTGCATTAACACTTGATGCCTACGAGGAAGCCTACAAGCATTTTTCCGCAGCTAGAAAAATCGATTCAGAAAATGCTGTTGCAGTCAACAACGCCGCAGTAAGTTTGCTGTTTCAAGGAAGGCTAAAGGAAGCGTTGAGTCTGGTTGAAGATATTGTTTTTGCAAATCCTGAGAAGAACCTGCATTCTGGTATTCTCTTCAACATTTGTACGATGTATGAACTGGAAACATCACGGCATATAGAAAAGAAAAAGGTCCTGCTTGAGCTTATTTCACAGCACTGTGGTGATGGATTCAATGTGTCTTGTTTGAAATTTCCTTAAATTAGTTTTTTTTTTGTTAATTTTTTTGGACAAATTTGAGTCTGAATAGTATACGCATCAGCTGGCTTGGTATAATGAGCTAGAGTTTTGCTGATGGCAAAAAAATTTACTTTTCCTATCTGATGCAAATTCTTGAATAACTCTTAGAATTTTATTGATGTAAGAAAATGGATCTTAGAAAATATAAGTAGCAGAATTACACAAATATTTTTGAGGATTGATTTAGTAAAGTTAATGGTAGTAATTTGAGCAGAATCCACAAAGATAATCCTAACATTAATCCTAAACTTCACCTTAACCCCTACCCGATTACTAAAGGATTAGATTAAGGATCCTATAGGATTAGATTAAGGATTTTCTTTGTGGATTCTGGATTTATTGGATTTATAATCACGTTGACGATCATCCCGCAATGGACTTTGGGATGTCCATGTGGAAATAAACAAGATGGCGCTCACTTGTGCAAGTAAGAGGCAAATATTTTTGTTAAATTTGATTATTTTCACAGTAGTTTGCAGCATGTTATAGTGCAGATTTGCGTGTTGCCATGTATACTTTTATTTTAGCGTATTGAATATAGGTTTGCTATAATTAGAAGATAGTGACCTTGATTCAACTGTCAGCGTTGAGTCAGATATAGTAACCGAATTTTCTCTAATCGGTGTTTAAGTTTAAACATCAAATGTGGAGTATTTTTTAATGTCCAGTGCTATGTAGTGCGAAACCTTTTAGAAGTGGCATAATTTTTCTATTATGTACCCTGCTAGTCCACAATATTTGTATTCGAAATTCAGCAATCATATTTGAATTTGGGTTTCATTTTTTCAGTCAGTAACGAGGTACCAGAACACCCTTGCGTCTCTCCCTCATCAAACTGCGTGTTTGAACGAAGGCTAATTGAAAAATACATAGCAGAAAATGGTGTTGATCCAATCTCAAATGATGTTCTATCTGAGGAACAACTGATCGACATCAAAGGTACACTAGATATGGTCTGACTCTAAGTTTTTTTGCTATTGTGATATGGTCAAGCTCATTAGTCTGAGCTCATTGGTTGTGACATTGGTCGAGCTCAAAGCATCTTTTGTAGTCTGTCTAAATTTAACATGACCAAGGATTAGAAAAGCTTTGGTTTAACTCCGAGTATCATTTTACCATGTAGTTAGTCCATTGGTAAAGCCTAAACCACCTTCAGCCACAAGTATTCCTGCCATTTTGAAGTCGCTGCAAGATGAATGGGTGAGTGAAACAGATGAAGGGCTTGTGGTCAACAAGCTTTGATAAAAAGTTTGATTCTTATTTTTTCTCTTGACAGGATGCGACAATGTTGCACAGTTTCAGCTTACGACAACAGCTTCAAACCGCTAGACAAGGTTTGTGGAAAGAGATTTTTGTAATAAAAGAATTGAAAACGATGCAGAGAAATGGAGAACTTATAAATCTGTTTTCATTTCAGAATTATCTCATGCCTTGTACCAGCACGATGCTGCCTGTCGGGTCATTGCTCGTTTGACTAAAGAAGTTACTGCAGCCAGAGAAGGTAATGTGTACATTCTAGACCATAGTTTCCCTCCAAAAAAGGTAGCACATCCCCCTGTCCTCTAGTAGACATAGCATAATGATATACCCTAGCAAACCCCTCTCCTTCTAGATCTCCATAAAATATGAGTCACCTCCCCTGAAAACTTTTACTCATGATCATTTTGTGTCTGTTACAGCATTGGCCACTCTGAAACCACAAGCTGGTATTGTTGCAATGGCGCCAACACCAGTGGCTCCTGCGATCCCTAATGTGAACGTAAGTCAGATATCTATACCTCTCACTTTTCAAATGTCCAACACGTATGTTTACTGTAGGAATTTGATGTTTCTAATTACATGTGCATTTCTTTTAGCATGACGAACCGATGGAAGTCAAGGTAAAACTCTTTCATTCTATCTTTCAAATACTGCCTTCAATCTGTGGATTGCATAGTGAGCAGTTTATAGTCAACTGAATGTTTGAATGATTTTTTTTTAATCAAAGGTTGGTGATGAAGGAGGAATGACAGATGATGTCTTACAAAAGGTATGTGCAAAACTTTAATATTTTCTAGCCAGTACACTTGCAAATGGTTTTCATATACAATTATCTGATGTTTAAAATCACAGTATTAAAAACCCAGTCATCCTGGTGGCACTATGACCCAGCTACATTTTTTTTCTGTTTGCATTTTTAGCTGCAAGACAAAGCCACCACTCTCACAGCAGAGCGTAAAAAGGTTCGCTAAAATATCTTTGTCAATTTCTAGCATCGATTTTCTTTGTCCTTTGGGCTTTTGTTTCTCATCATTTCATTTCGATTCGAAATCCAACATCCTGTTTTTGTAGAGAGGGAAAAAAGTCCCAGAAGGTCTTGCAACTGTGGATGAGATCCAATCCTACAAACAAATCTCTTCTCATCTGGTAAGTTTTCCTTGCTGACCTAAATTTGATTAGATTTTAAACAATTTGATTCGAGACATTGAAAAAAGATGATTGAAATGCTTTTCAGGGTCTTCACAGCGCCAGCAACCCAGGAATCCTGGCATTGGATCTTCATGCTGCCGATACATCCAGAGTTCTTACAGGTATTTTGGTTTACCAATTTCCTCAATTTCTCCATGTCCATTTCCTTGACTTGAAAAAATATTATATAATAAAATGGTTAGGACTTGGCAAGTATAGTAAGTTCTTTCTTTCTAAGGTGGTTTGGACAAGAATGCAGTTGTGTTTCATCGTGAAACAGAGCAGGTATGTGTTGATAAAATATTGGTAGAAATCCTCAGTCTTTTGCCACAAGATATATAAATGGCTGATCATTTGCTGCTTGTAGGTTGTTGCAACTCTCAAAGGACATTCAAAGAAGGTTACAAGTGTTGTTTACCATCCAACAGAGGTATTTATAATCATCAAATCATATGACATTTATTATTTTATATATGTTTCATTTCCACACTATGATTCACTGAAAGGTTAATGCTCTAACTTCACAAACGATCATGTGTTTAGATTCAATTTCACCTCATCAAGACAAGGATACCATAGAGATAATTTAGAGTAAACATTGGCTAAAGAATAATTCAAATATATTTTCTATAAATTTAGGATATTGCCTTCACTGCCTCACCAGACAGCACCATTCGTGTTTGGTCAGTCGGCACGGCAAGCTGTACTGAAATTGTAAAGGTGAGTGTAGTTTTATCCTGTTAAAATCAGCGCAAGATATGTGTTCAGACCATTGGCATAGTGTTGTTTCTACCAAAGACATCACAATTGTTTTTCATGCTTATTTCAGGCTCACGATGCTGCTGTCACAGGAATCAGTCTGCATGCTACTGGTCAGTAAACCAGGATTTATTCTTATGTCCATGTTTTAAATTTTTTTATAAGGCGATTCATTCCAATCAATTTTTTTTATTTCTATCCAGGTGACTACTTACTGAGTTGTTCACTGGACCAGGTTTGTCAACCTCATTAATTTTGTGTACTCTTTAATATCAAAATAAGATTAAGTCGTAAAATATATCAAAATGAACTTTTCTGTTCTTGTGTTTAGCATTGGGCATTCTCTGATATTAGAACTGGCCGAGTTTTGACAAAATGTGTATCTGACGTATCCTCCACACAATGTAAGTAAAGAGAAGTTCAAAGATCTATCCTTTGCATGGAGTTAACAATCTAAATAGTCTCTTTTATACCTTAAGAATCCACTCACTAATCATTATATATCAATTTCTTTAGCATTGACCTGTGCACAATTCCATCCTGATGGTTTAATCTTTGGTACTGGGACAACGGACAGGTATTGTTCTATTGTACGGAAAAGGTTTCATGCAAAAATTAAGTTACACCAAAGAAAACATTTTGACTTTGCATTTATTGACAACTTCAGTGTGATCAAGATTTGGGATTTGAAGGAAAGAGCAAATGTGGCCAACTTCCCAGGTCATTCTGGACCAATCACCAGCATATCTTTCTCAGAAAATGGGTAAGAAATTGACCTACAGGATGCTCAGCTTACAATAACACATTGTGGGTCAAAGGCTTGTTACTAGAATCCCCATTTGACTTTTAATATTTTTCATTATCTCTTATAAAACTAGTTTGAGTTTTAGCTGAGTTCAAACTCTTTGGTTGGTGAAAATGATGTAACATGTCTGCCATTTCTGTTTAGTTATTATCTGGCAACATCAGCCGATGATTCTGTTGTGAAATTGTGGGATTTGAGGAAATTGAAGAACTTTAAGACAATAGCTTTGGAAGATAGATATGAGGTGCTGGACTTTTTCCAGACAATGAACTTTTGTGTTCAGTTTTTTTTGGCGAAATATTGAAATAGTATGATTAGGTCTGTGGTTGTATTTGAATCCAATGTGAAATCCCTTTTGTGTTGCAGGTGAAGTCTCTTTGCTTTGACCAAGGTGGTGTTTATCTGGCAGTCGCTGGTTCTGATGTCCAGTAAGTAAACATTAAAATGCTGTGGCTAATATCTACAGATTAGTTTTAGCAAGAGAATCAGAGGGTATATTATGGCTATAAGACAGAATGCTTTAAGGAGCTGAGAAAAAGCTGACCCACAAATGAAACGTTATTCTAAAGGATAAAAAACTTACTTGAAATAATAGTTAACCTTGCAGGGTATTCTATAGCCATGCATATGACATATTGCCTCCTTTGTAGTGTATAAAACACTTTAAATATTTTCAGAATCTACATGGTGAAACAATGGGAGCTCTTAAAGACCTTCACAGGTTTGTTTAAAGAATTTAACAGTATTGATAATCAGATATTTGTTTTCACATAACAAGGTAACATTCTCTAACTATTTCAGATCATTCTGGTGTTGCAACTGGTGTTAAATTTGGCAAGAACGCTGGATTTATTGCATCCACAGGAATGGACAGAAATCTGAAATTCTATGCTTGAGATAAGTTGCTGGAATGTATAGATGGAACACAAAAGGTTTACGCATTTTTATCTGTGTATATAATCCAAGGTTACAAAAGAAATGGCTGATGCACACTGGCTTTTATGACAGACATACATGTGGGAAAGTTTCTGTCATTAAAATATCGTATTGTCATCTTACCCCTTCATTCCTCACTGCCAAGTTTTCGTAATCAAGGATCCTGGATTTCCAAAGATTTTTTGCACTTGTACATCAATACTAGTGTAGCACTTGCTAGTCAGTTTGTGAACAATTTTTACTTTTTTTTCACTGTTCAAAATCATTACTCAAGCATTTACTACTTAGTATTGTTAAATTTTCTAGTGCTTAATGCTAGCCCAAAAACTGATATGCATGCAATTATTTAGCTGAGATGGAAAGGTTTAATTGAATTCCTGTTTAAATTGATGGTTTTAAAACTTGGCTGAGTACGATAGTTGACTTGTGTACGATAGTTGCAGCAATCAAATTAAATCAAATTCCATCTTTCTATTGTGTCCATGTGTTCTTAATTTGTGAAATATCTACAGATTTTCTACAGAAAATATCCTCCTTTACAAGAATGTGGCTTCTTCCACAGAAACTGAGAGGAGATGCCTTGAGAATGAAGGTTTGGGGACTAGCCAATGTATGGCGTGAACAAATGTAGTTCTGACAAGTCCTAAACATTTCTTGATTTCTACTGTTGTGCATTGTTAATAAATGGAGGATTATTAGTTCAATCATAAATCATGTCTGTTCATATAGTTCCAAATAATTATTTTTTATATTCGATTCTTTCAACTTTGACTTCATCATCGACAAGCTGGTATACGTATGTGACAACTGTTGAAGCTTGGATATCCATGAGGACAAATGATGGTGTTACCTTTCTGCAGGAAAAAATCACTTGGTCAACTTAATTACACAAGTGTTGGTTTAATTTTGGACTTGCAAACCACTGTCAAAGTCAAACCAACCTGAGCAAAGCATTATAAGCACCAGTTGCTGAACCTGGGTTGATGTAGAATTTTCCTTCATGCTCGTACGCTTCAAACTGAAAAAAATGTCCACTGTTAACTCTTGATCAAATTTAGGTATATCTGGGTTGGTATATATCCAGGCATGTATATAGTTCATTGACCAGGTATAGAGAGCCTGGGTACTACCTACCTTGTGCGTATGACCAAAGATAAGGATATCAACATCAAGCTGCCGCTGAACCTAAAAAAGAGGAAACATATTACAGATCACAGGCGTACCATCACTACCACTGTCTACCATCATACTTACCATTGCTAGACTGTCAGGATCTCCCCAGGGAACAACTTGATGTCCGTGACAAATGCCGATCTTAAATTGACCAACAGTGACAACCTTTTGTTCAGGATATGTTAGGTTCTGGATGAAGAAACGAAAAACTTCAATCCCATGTTTAGACATTGGAGGATATCATATATAGCTTTGGTACCTCATCAAAGTCTCCTCGGACCACATGAACGTCACCAGCTAACATCTTCAGGTAATCAAATGATTCCTTTGTACAGAGGTTCCCAGTGCATAAAATGTGTTGAATTTTTCCTGGTACCTAAAGAGTAAAATTCTAGTTATCTTGCTGTTCCTGTCCACTCAAGGGCCAGATCAATAAATGACCTACCAATAATTTTTTAAACTTTGCTGGAAGTGTATTTTTTCTATGAGGTATATGTAAATCACCAAGCACCAGAACCAACTATAAAAATATTTAACAAAAATATTTAAAGAAATGAAAGTCTTGTATGAAACATCACGTGATGCAGCTCAGTATTTTGCGCCTTGTTTTTACTCAAAATAACCCGTTTACACGAATTTGCAAACTCTAAACTTTAGTAATATCCTTTTGGCATTTCTATAACTCACCATTTTTAGCGAAGTCCACTTTAAAATCAAAATAAATTCAAGATAATTCGCGTTGCAACAATGTCAAGATATCCAAATACTTTGATTTTGAAATTATTTGCAACCGCTGGCTTCTCGTAATCGCTCACCGTGTGTTCAGACTTCAGACGCCGCTGAAGACCCGGGCGCTTATTCGAGACAGGCGTCTATCGAGCCATCGAAGATCTTTCCACGGCAAATTTCTCTTAATTTTTCTCATTTTCACCTCAGTCAAAAATGCAATCGATCAATCACCATAAATAAGACGAAAGCACAAAATAACAAATTATCGATACAGTAACCAGTCGCGTGATTCTTAGCATTTCTAGAACGCGGATTGAACCAATCAGAATGGAGGTCAAATTCTACGCTCATTGAGCGGAAGTGTTGCACAACTTTTGTAAAAGTTGCAATTTACAAAATTTGTAAGCAGCCAACACCAGCTACATCGAGTGATCAGGAACCTTTGTGTTTATATATTTTATCCGAACGATGTAAATTTTTTTAATCTCAGCCCAAGGGTCGAAGAGATTGTGTTGTTTTGTGTTACAGAAAAAAGCTGCTGTGGCAATTGGTTTATGAACGAAGATCATCTTTGGAAAATTGGAGTGTTGTGACAAGAAGTGTCAACTGAATCGAGATGGCTCCTAAACGTAATAATGAAGGCAAAAATTCATTGCCTTTGAAAAAGGCACGTGTACGAAAAGGCAGAATTCTGGACAAAGGCGACCAGAAAACGCGAAAGGTATTAAACTCGGAGAAAATCCATGTTCATGTTTATAAAACCTGTATGCTCTTAACATAAACCGTACAATGTAGTATCATGCAGTTTTATTATATAAACTTTCGCTTTGAACAATTAGCTTTTACAGGCTATTTATTTTTAAACATCCCATATGTTTATAGTTTTAATTTGGGTTCGTATATTAAGAACGTTGAATTTAGTTTGGCTTATTTTCTGACATCAATATTTTATACAATCTTATATGACATCGTTGCCACGTCGTAATAGTCATTACTATTTACTAATGTCTAAGGAATAAAATGCTGTTGTCGGGAATAGCAACAACATTTCTTCAATATGTGTCCATTTTGAGTATCAAATACGTTTTGTCTTGGCACAGGATAGTTTTGCCCTTAAAAAGAGAAAAGACAAGCTAGTAGATTGATATACACTTAGCACTATTGCTTTGGTATTATATAAAGTATATCTTTGAAGTGCCTTGTGCTATCATTTGTTGTTTTGTATATACTTCCCTCCAGTGATAAGTTTATTTTGGCTACAAAATTTGGCAATGAATTACTTTAACATTGCAAACCAAATCTCTCTTAGAACATATCGTTTTTGTGGGTATATACAAACGCAAATGGCCTGACTCGTGACTTGTATATGGTTTTTGATACAACAAAATGTTTGCAACATTTCCTTGTTCAACAGGGAATTTGCCCAAGAGTAAAAAGTGCACTGTTTAATCTTTGCTCCCAAATCCTTAGTGATAAATGGTGATAAAAAAAGGTGAAACTGCAAGTATTTGTATGATTGTTTTATTAAACTTTTTCTGCCGTTTGTAACTGCAATTTCATGCACGAGTTACCTACTTCGTGCTTCACTTCCGGGCGAATGCAAACCGGAAGTTATTAAAATCAAAACGCTACATAGAGGAATGGAAGGAACTACTCCACAACTCCAGTAAAGGTTCAAATTTTCGATATTTTGCCGCATTTTTCGCCAATTTTATTACAAATTTCCTACCCGAAATTGTGAGAAATGTTATTGTGCATCGTTTAAACCTTTAACGAGTAAATTTCACGGGGTTTTTCCTGACGATTTTCAACAAAATTTTGATCAAAATTTTATTTCTCTTTTAGAATTCCGGTGGAATTGCGGGGAAGACGAAGAGAGCATGCGCAAAGCGTCCCAGACGACAAAGCAAAATGGCGACCAATTTTGACAGCGATGAAAACAACTCAGATATTTCCAGCGAGGACGAACGTGGATTTTTCCAAATGGCAGAGTCTGATGAAGGTATTTCATGCCTTGATGGCTTGTATTCTTACATTACACACGAAGGAAAATCTCGGGGGTTGGGTAAAGTGGCAAAGTAAACACAGAATGGCAGCTTCCCCCCCGGCCCCCCCAGTGGGTAAAATTGTGAATTTGAAATCCAGCCTGTTAAAATCACAGTAGATAAGAAAGATTGTGCAACCAAGATTGTAACCTTAATTTTTTATGTTTTCTACACATTTATCCAATAAATTTCTCACTAATTCTGCATATGCAATTTCCAAATAATCCAGCCTTGTCTATATTGTCCAGACCAGTCAGACATCCGAGCCATTAAAAATATCCATTATATCATCCAACATCACCTCCAAATACCATAATTGGTTACGAGCCAATCATATGGGTAAAATGTGGTCTAAAAATAGCAATGACTAGTGTGTAATTTGAGCCAGGGTGCTCAGTTTTGATCATTTTTACATCACCAGACACCGAAGATGCAAGCGAGACGGACATGGCGAAACTTGAGGAAGAATTCAGCGAATTAAAAGAACAGTTAGTGCATTTCTTGTCCATCAATGAAGACCAAACTATAACAGTTTTAAATGAAACTAATCCTCACCAAACCTCTCCTTTTCTTTGTAATAATTTTTGAACAAATCTTTATCTTTCTAAAGAGTTTATCAAGAAAAACTCAGCAAATACAAAAAGCAACTTCAGGAGTTGAACAATGGTATGAAGATGCTATCTTTATTGTATTTATATGACATACAACACATGCAAGAATACAGAACTTAGAGACAGAATGCATTCTTCAGATTTTATTATGAAGATCTGTTTTATGTATTTTCTAGGCACCCAAGCTGATTACTTAAAAAGGCTGAATCAGCTGGAGAAAGAGCGAGATGACAGGTTGTTTTTAGCAGGTAAGAAAACAATTTTCAGCTTAGAAATAACATCACATACTTTGAGATTGTTGTTCAGTTATTTGCAATTGATATTTTACTTTTTTTTACAATTGTAGAAGTTTGCAAGATGTACGAGGTATGTTCCAATGTTAGCTTGAGTCTTTCATTATGTGTTCCCATTGTTCCTCAAGATAATTATTTTATTAAAATTTTGATAGATTGAGATGATAAACAAGGATTGTGAGAATGAGAAGAAAACAGCAAAGATTGAATACGAGGTGAGGGTGAATGAATGCATGGGCAGCTCATCTGATTATTGGTAATCTATATTATTGATCATATGTTTAATTGATTGATTATCTAAAATTACTAGAATAAAAAGATTGAACTCAAAGAGACACTCCTACAGCAATTGGATGAAAAGAAAAAAAGTTTAGAGTTGGAAAAAGTGTCGATGGAACTCACAAATGGTACGACACTGACAGAGTGGATGCCAGTCAGTCATACCTGGATATCACTGTTTTAAAATTCTTATAATTTTCTTAATCATTCCAGATATCTTAGAAAGTAAACCAGCTGTTACAAGAAAGTTAAGACGACGTCCTAATGATCCTCCACCAGCGCCCGAGAAAAGAAGAAAGAATTCACCAAATATCCTTTTGAAAAAACTAAATGCTTAGAAAGAGATTTTGGTAAAATCATCTAACAATAGAAGAAGTAAGGAATATCTGTTGCATATGGCAGCTTAATTGTGTTATTCTTAACCTTTTTTACTTCAAATCAATTTTCTTCTGGACGAAACTGAAATGTTGGACGACTTGAAAGCCATGAATAAGTTACACACAGTGACGACTGAGGTGAGAACCTATTGAGACTGAAATTTCTGTTTGTGTGTTTGTTTCAATGAAAGTACTTGTTTTGTTAGAACAAAAATAACAATCCTCTTTCTCTTATTGTATATTTCTTCCTCAGACACAAAAGAATGGTTCAAAGGCAACCAAAAACTCCAACAACAGCGACCAAAACACAAATCTCGGTGAGCGCAATTTCAACTTTGATTTTAACTTAAGATTGTGGTTTGAATGTTTGCTGAGCTTAAAATGTTTTCTGGTAGTTCAGAGTCTTCAGACACAATCCTAGTTAATATACCAATTATACTAATGATAGAATAAGTTATTACAATTACTAGAAATAAGTATGAGTGTGTCTCAGACAGCAATGTAATATTGGGTACAAATACGTCTGGCTAAAGCCGTACCAGTAGTCCTGTGTCCGGCCAAATATATTACAATGAGATCGTTTATGTCTGTAGATAATCAGGTCGCTGACCCAATCGTAACGCATTACGACATACGTGTGGAGGATGGAAAATTGTTCTTTGACAGAAGATGGTTAGTCGGGTGTCTTTTTTCAGTTTGACTTTTATCAAACCAATCTTGTATCCAACTGCTATTTTTGACTTGTGGAAACGCTATTTGGTGCTGAAACGAATATCTGATTCTTCAACTATCGTTATCAATCCAGGTATCATAGAGGTCAGCAAGTTTATGTCGAATCGAAAGAAAACGGAAAAGTCAGGTAAAAAAACGCCCGAAGAAAAAAACATCAAAAGTGGCAATCCATCTCAGAATGTAGAGGGTGCAGCAGTAGCCTAATTAATAACTGTCCCCTTTGGCCCTGAGAGGACAGTCTGATGTTCAGGGGGGGTGGTGATAGGAGGCGGGATGGCGGGTGGATGGTTTCCACGGTAATCTAGAGTAAATGAGATTCTAATTACTGGCCTAATTCTGATGAAAGATTTTACACATTTAACTTCATATTCATCCCCCCCAACTATAAATGCACGGGGTTGGTCATCCTTCACGTCATTGAAAATAGTTTTACTACCCAAGGTGTAGAAATTTCTTTGTTTCAAATGCTAAATTCTTTATTTCGTAGTGGAATTATTCATGCGATTGGACCGAGCGAGGTAAGTGAATATAACTGATGAATTCTTGGATCTTTTCTTTGGATTTCCACAAATAATCCTTTTTCCTCCGTCATTCAGATCTGCATAAAAAGAACGAATGATAATAGCAAGATGAGAATCACGATCAGCCAGCTGCAGAAGGGACGATACACGATCAGAAGACGGAGCTCATAATTCCTCATGACTCACTAAAAAAAATGAAATTCAACTCCTTGCTGCCATGTAGGAGTCAGAACAATAACTTATGAGGAAGTTCCGCAGACCTGTTTTAACCGCAGAGGTCACTGTTCCAAGAAGACCAGATAATTACATTGCGCTCTTCTAAGAGACTTTTTGTGATTTTTTTAGCACAGTATTGTTCATTTTCGCGCTTGGTGATAAATGTATGCATGAATACAATGGGATAATTTAATTGCAAATTTTTCTAGAAGAAGTTTCATCACCTTACCGCCAGAAACGAAACTGCGTAATAGAATTACCAGCTAAAACTGTTTCAGCTGGCTCATAGAAATAATAGATATCTATTATTTCTATGAGCTGGCTACAGTATTATACGCGTTTCCCTTCTTTTTATCACGGATCCAAGGCTGTAATGAAAGACTTGGACATCTATTCACCTGCGATCTATTACACAGCGTATAGTATACTAACTGTCGAAAACTTCATCCTAATAATCTCACTGTTTTCGTTATCAGACCAAATGTTGCTCATTTAGAAAAACTGGGACCAACTGCATTGGTCTTCGTTACCATCGGCATTATTTTCAGTGTTATTTTGTCTGTCGTATGTTACTCTAAGTACCACAAGCTGATGGGAGGAAGAGTCGTCAGTTTTGAAGAAAGAGTCGTCGAAAGACGTAAAAGTGTTTAAAACGACCAGACAAAACTTAATTATGTTCATGCAATCATGCAGAAGTAAATAATTTAATGTAAATGTAATCACTATACACCATATATACTATAGTCATTGTAGATTGTTGAGAGATCGAAGGATTACATTCTGACTCAATTGAAATATCGAATAATTACAACCTACTAGTCCAGTATTGATACGCGGACGGGTTATAACGGTACAGCATGGACAGAAGTGCATAACCTGCACAAAGGCCAATTCGCAGGTATTTTGCACAATAAAATATACTATTGTATTTAATCATTGCTCAAAAACTTGAGCATGACAAAGCTTGATGTTTTCGATCAGAAGATTCAGGAAATTGAATCCCTTTCTCAGGGCTGTATTAAAAAGAAAAAGGGAACATATATTATTCAAATTAATTCGGTAGATCTGCATATAAGCTTGAATTATATACAGATATAGAACTATATATATATATATATATATAATTATATATATATATATTATAATATATATATATATATATATATACTCAGATCGCAATTCAAGTAAACCCCCCACCAATTGAAATGTTCTTTGTACATGCCCCCGTAGTCTTGAACAAATAACTATTTGCAAACATTTGAATTTTCCTGAACTCGTTATACGTTTTTTTCCACAACCTTGGCGGACTCCTGCAAGTTACACACGGCATGTGGTGACGTTACTTTTCAATTGCCTGTCTTTTTGAACAAAAACACAGCTTGATCTGCGTTTGTGTAGAAAACGAAACTGCGTAAAAGTATTCGGAACTGATTCGACGAGACAACATTTCAACAGTATAACAGTTTCACAAGCGCATAAACAAAGTTTATAAACAGTTTCACAAGCGTATAAACAAGGAAGGCAGAAGAAAATGGGGCTCATTGATTTGGTAATCTATCATTTATTTCTCATATTCAAGACACAAAAGTTAGGTTTCCATTTGCCAGTGGTTCCACATACTGAGACGGCAGAGAAGCAAATGAAAACCAGACTAGCTGTATAATGATACACGTACATATACATGTGTGAAAGTACCGTGAAGTATCACTGGAAATTCTTTTCAAAATCCATTTTATTGAAATAGTACGGATGATAGTTGGAAATAGCATAGAAGTTTATAATATCTACTATAATATATTAATATAATATATACTTATTACCATGCATTTCCATACTATGGATATACTATGGAAGGATATGGGTGACATTGGGTGTAGCCTGTGGTGTAGTGATTTCCATAGTTGTTCCATATAGTATGGACCTGGAAACAAATTTCCAACGTTATAGGATCATATATAGTGTTTTATGTATGTTTTAAAATGTGATTTCATGTACTAAGGCTTTACTTAAGGCGTTTACACTTGGCTACACTCGGGGACGTAGGAAGATGTTTAAAGTTACGGGGCTAATCGCAAGTAGGGGGATCCGGGGGCATCCTCCTCCGGAAAATGTTTAGAATTTCAACCCACTAAAACACGTTTTCCTGCATTTTGGGGGTTATATCTATTTAAATTTTACAATTAAATATTCATCATAAGCGACATAATTTGAATGACAATCGAGCATTCACATAGTTAAAACTCCCTCGTCCCTACTATTCTGATCAGCCCCACTGAAAGCCCCTAAAAGAAACGACAGTATGCATGGTGCAATAGATGGAATTCAGTTCTGATTTCTGAGATTTAACTTTTCAAAAGGATCGCCCCGGCGCCTCTTTTAGTTCTGCAAACGCCCTTGCCAGAACATCAATACCAGCCTCCTAGTAAAGATAATTCAGTTTGAAGATAGCTCAAAGCCCAGATATATAGTTGAATGATAAGTTGATATCATGAACTGTCTTCTGTACATCCCTGTTACACATCTGTAAGAATAATTTTGTTTTGATTTGACAGATAACTAGAAGGAATAAAGAATTGTTCCTGCTGATTGTAGATTTCCTTCTCTACGTACTTGACATATGTACAGACATATACGTCATTAACGAGTACAATCACAATCATTTTGAGGGATGGTGGTTCGGAGTGGCGATAGCAATTTTTGTCGTTTCAATTTTGATCGTCTCCATTGCTGTTATCTTACAAGCTATTTTTAAAGGCGAAGATGAACGTGATGAAACTCATGAAAGTGCAACAATGTGTTATCTGAATCTAGTTTTAGCCTGGCCGTTAGTGCTTGTGCGTTATGCAAAAATGTTCCGATTGTGGTGGAGAACATATCGCGACAACCCTAGTAAGGACGAAATTCTAAAGTATAAAAAGGCTGAGCACTATCTTGCGTGGATACATTATGTGCGGGGAATCACAGAATCAGCTCCACAGTGGCTTTTACAAGTTTACGTAATGCTTCATATTTGGTGTTTCCCCTTCTGGGCTATCTTCTCAGCCGTCATTTCTCTCCTTTCTTTGGCGTGGAACATCACCACCCTTGAGAGAACAAGAAATACTTCGCAAGGTCGTGAGGTAAAAACGCGAAATGTAACTGTGATGTTCACTTACGTACTGTTCACCTTGCTTTCCAGACTTTTTGCCATTGTCATCTTTACATACGTCTTCAAATCGTACATTTTCCTTGTCCTGGTATTGCATTGGTTGGTGATGAATTGGTTTTTTATGATGATGAGAATGTTTAACGATGAGTCGGATGAGTGTAATTGTAATTGTGTTCAAATTCTTGGTTCCTTTGTCGCTTACCTAACATTATCTTTTCACTTGAATTTCCACGTATCTAAGGCTTTACTCAAAGAGTATAAGTGCTATACAGCAGTTTACTTCTACACTGTCTTTTGTGTAATGTCCGTCGAAAACTTCATTCTTACAATCTCAGCTGTTTTCGTACCAAGACCCGACGTTAATCATTGGGATGATTTGGCACCAACTGCGTTGGCTTTCGTTACTCTGGGCCTTATCCTCAGTGCAGTTTTGTCGGTCGTATATTATATTAAGAAGCAAGAGGAGCGACAGCTACAGACCGAGTCTTAAAATTTTAAATATAAAGCACGCCTCGAAACATAACATAAGTATTGCGAGTATACATGTATGCATGAACGTAGTCTAGTTATTTTTGCTAGTTTTTTTATGTAATATCTGACAAGCACATGATGTTGTTTTTTGGAAACTATATAGATTCAATAGAATTCTTAGCCTCACGCTCACTAAATTTGTAATAACTGTATCTTCAACTTTGTAATTTTGCCACGAGAATAATCTTAATCCAGTACAAATAACAAATAATGCAGTTGTCTGTTGTCCTGTTATAATTTTAGTTGCCTAGTATAGGTTAGACCGTTTTGTGAACTGATAGAGCTATACCCAGGCAGGAGCTATATCCTGGCTTGAATTTGATGTGTGTATAATTCCACTCGAAATTAAGACGCTTTAAACCTCCAGGCTATACCCATGAAGTTTTATTTAGGTTAATTTTAGTTAAGTTAGGTTACTTAGTTAAGTTAGGTTTCCTTCTGTAGTAACGCTGGATCAATGGCGGCAATTTTGCAACATTGGGCATGAGAAACGTGAAATTTATTATGGACATTTATTGATTTGAGATTACATTTCGTGCGCTCTTTCATGAATGACAACGCAACTACGCCGCTGGTTCGCCTTGACGTTGACCGTTGACGGAGCACGTTGAAAGGATTGTGAGAAAATGTGCCATTGAATATCTCGGCGAGAGGAAATATTAAACGCGTGTTAACATTTTATTAGTTTCACACCTCCATGAGAGCCATATTGGCACATATACCCTTGATTTCGTAAACAATATTCGATTTATTCAGACAGTAATGAAGAGAGATTAACCATTTTGTCTGTCGGTTCCTTGTAAGTCAAAAACTCATAAGAGAAATAGGATTGAGTTTACAAGTGGTCGCGGTTAATTGAGCCTCGCGAATAAGTATTTCTCAGATCCATTTAATGCAAAAATGTTTATACAATGTTACTTGAAACGCCGAAAAAGTGTTGAAAAGCGTATCGTTAACAGCAACGAAGCAACTGCAGTAAAAATCAATCAGTACTTGGTATTTTCTCATGAACACGAAGACATCACAGGCGTCAGTAGCTATATATGTATGCTTTAAAATAGCAATTAGCAAACTGTCCTCATGACGAAAAATTATTTCTTAGATGATATTACGCTGGGTTTAGTGACACGCAAGATCTATTAGTTTCAAGAGACTTAATGTCCAAACTTATTTCACATTCCACACTATAGAAGTAGTTCCAAGCGGAATGTGGCAAGAAAGCTGTCACCCTCGTTTTGTTTGTCCCATAAAAAGGAAGGAATGATTCTTTGTTACCAACAGTCGTCATGGCGGCAGGAAAACTGCACTCAAATAGCTTACGTCAACACGAAGAATATTGCAAATCACGAGATTTGTCTCAATGGATTTACGGAAAGATTGGCATCCACTTCACATAGGAACAGGGTTTTAGATTGGAGATAATCTTTAAAAAAAATGACCTAAAATGGCCTCTTCTTTTACTACTAGAAACACTGTGTTGTTTTATCGCACGTTTTTAGCAGGGGAAATTGAAAAAGGTCAATTGTATACAAGGTGTTTATGACACTTTCACGGGGTTTAAGACTGTCGCGATAACTCATTGATAATTACTACAGGAAAGTTTCATTCGGAAATGCTTTATTTCAACGCGTCAGGGAGTTTACGTTACCCCGGAATGTGAACAATTTTTGCGTCTTCATATGCCTTGCCAATTTTTTTATATAATATAAGTGTTCATGGTCTCAAATACCGAACACTCCGTTTTGATATGAATTGTGAATGCAACTATAATTTGGAGAGAATTGCAGGGAAATCGTATTTGAGAAAGTTGAGCTAGTTTAAGAGGTTTAGATTGGGTAATTTTTTCCGAAAATCGTGAGACGGAAGGCTGGAATATCAAGTCTTTGCAATGGTATTGAATCGAAATAATAGTCCTTCAAACATTTGCCTTGCCTCCATAAAGAGTTTATTGACACATAATGGCAGGAACAAATATAGCTGGTCCACCTTCACGTGGAATGTTAATTAGAATATTGAGCGTCTGTTGTTTTTTCAACTGAACTTATACCCCAGTTTCACATACTGGATAGTCGTATTTTGTTCTCAACCATGTCCAGTGAACGTCGTCGTAATCAGACTGAGTTTCCGAAACATTGGAAAAAACAATGCACATTCGGATTACTGAAACAATACTGTCTATGTATTCAATTTTATCATGGTCGTTACGGCCACTTCAAAAATATCATTCCTCTGAGTTCTCAAACTAAAAATAAACCGCATTCTCCGAGACCACACGTACGTGTTGCATCTATCTATCGCATACTGGGAGCTTATAACATCCAAAGAGTTCTGCCTGTTTGTGCCTGCTGTTTAAGCTGAAAATTTCACAACAAAACCTTGCTAAGCTTTCCGCTGAGATTAAAATTATCCGTAAAAACCTAGATATACAAACTCCCGGGGGAAAGGTATTTGATATCGTAAATAGAAAATCGCGTTTAGAAACGAAAAGGTCAAGAATACTCTAAGCTGTGTCACATCACTCGCAGATGTGCGTTGAAACGTCGCGTTAAGAGCCAGCCAGCATGCCTGCCCATAGACCGACTAATAGTATTTTGCTGTTTTAATTGAACGAGACAATTGGCCATTTGAAACCATAAACGATAATCCTGTTTTATGTACGAAGCTGTCAAATTCGAACCAATAAAACCGTCGCGTGAAATAGAGGGATTACAAAACACTTCCGATTTCTGTAAACAGCTCATTTTCGACTTGATAGCGTCGAGGTCACAACGACGTTCATTTACAAATCGTCAAAGTGCGTAATAAAATAGCAGGTCGAAGTTTTGGTTAACAGCGTGTGGGATTTGTTTTCAAATAAATTGAAATTCAAGATTTTAAGGTACGTTTTGAGCGGTGCTGTTATAAGACTGTTTTTCAGAAGCTTGCATGAGGGAGGAATAATCTAATATACTCTATGGGATAGTTTAACGGATGTAGACTTATTCAGGCCTACGATTTTCCGTGCATGTATGCAAGGCGTATAGTAAACATCGTAGATTGGTTGGTCGTTTTATTCTGCGGGAGTTTGCCAACAACATCAGTTTGGTATGGTGTTGTTTCTCTCCCACCGTCGACGTCTAATTTGAGCTCTTGTCCGTTTTGAAGCAGCAATAATGCAACCATTTCAGATTGCATACAGTTTAAAAATAGAAGTTGGCCTGATTTGAACCATACGATGTGTGGCTTGTGTCAGAATTCCCTATATCAACACCTCGACGTTTAATGTCGATGATACCACCAGCTCAAGGCACGTCTGAGATATCTTTAATTTTGCAGTTCAGGCCTAAACCACAACAGCTTTATCTTAGAACACAGGATACACTATAACACCACGTTTGGGAATCCGTTAATCTTTCCCGTTCAATTTAGCACAAACCACAAAATTTTATCTTTGAATTCAACTTTCACTTTACCATAACGTTTGAGGTACTTATAATGTTGTCGTTCTCACACAAACCACGACAGCTTACTCTAGGAAACGACTACCTACTCAGTTACACCACGTTCGAGATATCTTTATCAGTTAGTTCAGACACAAACCACAACAGCTTGTTGCAGCATACCACAGTAACATCACCACGTTCGAGATATTTTTTTTAAAAATAGTTGATTATTGTTTAGACACAAACCACGACAACACTACCAAAAGAGCTACCGAGTTTAAGAAGATCTCTTTTAGTGTGTTAAGAAACGAATCCGGACAAATTTACTCAAAATATTAGTTATATTACATAGAATACTACGAACACGTCTGGGACGTTTGTTGAAGTGGGATATGTCATTAATACACTTCTCTCGGCTGTGACCAAAACTGTTTTGGCATATTATAACAATTAGGATTTATTAATTACCATCCAAGAGTATTAAATTTTATCACCTGTGGGCAAAAAATGATGCCAGCATCGTTCTTAAATCATTAACTTTGTCTACCAGGCGCTATGCCAAGGCCCAAGGTATCGTTGTGAGAGTTGGACACTACAAGACAAGGACTCTTAGTTTGCAAACCAACCTGTAAAGAATTTCCCAAAGTGTTTCTTTTAAAAAAAAACTCTTAGCAACGTCTTGCGCTGAACACGCAAACCTCTATAAACCCCTAATTGATTTAAAATTTGAAGCACGCAAATTTTGACACCTCACGACTGGATATACTTAAGTTCTGTATTCTTGCGTGAGTGGCGCAATTTATTCTAGTGTCGAAATGCGTCATTAAGACAATATTTATAAATCTGCGCACGCGAACCGCTGTCAATGCTTTGAAAATGTTAAAATCCGCGCTGCGAATCTCACCGCGGCGTCTGGAATGCCTTCGATTTTGATTAATTCTCCCCGGTTTGATAGACATCTTTGCTATCGCTAGTCGAGAAATGTATCCCTCGATTATTTAACGCGAAGCAGATATTTCAGTTGGCGAGAAAATGTTTTTTCTCCACGGAAGTACAGTACACCGGCTTTTATTATCGCTGAAGAAAAAACATTGCGTCGCGGCCCGGCTTGCGATAGATTGTGTTTGGGTTTTTTTAAGGGGTTAGATTCTTTTGTAAGACCATCTTCGCGAGAAATGAACTTTGCAGGTTGTTCCGCGGGGTATCCCTATCAGACATAAAACTCCGAAAATTCTTGGCTGTCGTAGTTTCCTTTGGGTTTTTTGATGAAAATTACAATAATGTTTAACTTGGCCGTCAGCCCAGTGATGCGATTTGGAATGAGTAACTTTGAAGTAAGTGTTAAGAATCATTCGGTTTATTTAAAAATGGCCTTGAAGCAATAATATTCTCAAGGTCATCATCATGCTGTGCTATTTCAGAGTAAATCTCTTTGGATATTTGAAAATGGCTAATAGGATTTTGAAAATGGCCACTCTCTGTTTTGTTAAAACTTTATACCATTTGTGGTAGAATCACCGAAGCAGCATGCGACGGATTTGTAAATACAGATTAACTCGAGGTTCACTGCAAGAGTTCCTAATGCAGCCCTCGCGCGCTGTTCCGATATCTCTTGGTAGATCTGTAACCCAATTTGGCGAAAACGGGAATTTTTAGCGCGTGAGATCAGAAGGTTAAGACGCCCAGTATAGACTGGAAAAGATTGAATGTCATCGTTTTTGAGAGTTGCGTCTCGGTTCTGTCTCAAGATTCAGCAACCATCGCAACGTGTAAATAAGTAAATAGCAGAGCAAGTTGCCGGGCTCATTTTGTGCAAAAAAAGTGCGTTTGTGCTTTCCATTAAAAACAGGTGTGGATAAACTGACATAATTCCGTCCTAATGCAGTGTCTTCGCGCACGTAGAACGGTCTATATGACGCTGTGTGTTTCTGCATTACCAAGGAGACGATATCTAATGTTGATCTTCTCTTAGGTTTGATAAAGCATCTGTTAGCGCTCTTGAAACACGAATCAGTATGGCGAAAAAAATTTGAACGTGTGCGTCGATCTTTGATTATAGTCGATTTTAGACACCAAGGAATTTCCGAACGCGGGACCCTTCTGGATTTAAAGGGTTGGTCTAAATTTGTACCCTTGAAGTGTACGCCCGCATCCCTTTTTCGAAGAAAACAGTTACAAAATAATGTATCCTTAGCCGAGGATCTTTTATGTTTAGATATTTTCACGTCATGCAGAAGCTGAAAGGATACGTTTTACGTCTAATGGCGTTCCTGTTACCTCTGGTTTTGTTATCAACCGCAGGTGGGTCAAAAGGCAATTGTTACAGTTAATTAACAAAACACTGCGTTTATAATTATGACGAATTAACGTTAAACCGTTCGGTCACTCGTGGATTTCCTTAATCCGTGTACTCAAAGAAGCACTGTTTACAAAGGAATTAAAACACTATATACATGTGTGTCTTTTTCGTTAATATCCTCTTTAATTACTACACGCCGATCTAAATAAAGGTCTGAAACGATTAAAATTACTCGCGTTGTGTCTCTTAAGCTTTTAAAGGTGTCAGCACGAGCTTTAATTAAGACCTGTAGCCGCAAAAAGACCGAATCAACAATATTCAATACTAACTAAAGAGTTCGGCTGATGTTTTTGACAAGCTATGGACATAAATCACATGATGACGGCCAACTATTCTCGTACCGGCTTTTAACTTCATCGGTACGTAAAATATTCGCGGAATTTTAAATTTCGACTGCGCACTTAGCTCAATGATAAATTCTCAAGGATAAATCTGTGTATTTTTCGCGGCCTGCGCAAACACTAATATAGTAGATTTTTTGATCTTCCTTGCGGCGAATGCGAATATCTCTTGCCCTATCAACCCACGCAAATTGTAGGCAGAAGTCTGCATGAAGTCGTCACCCACGGATGTTGCCTGAAAGCTCGCCAATTTTGTAAACTTTCGACACGTTTTGTCATAAAATATTCCTACAAGGTTGAAAAGGTTTACTAACGTTCCATGTCTACATATTTCACTGTTTTTATAAGATACTCTTGACTTAAAAATATGTACTGTACTAAAACGATATTGACTGTTCTATATCCGCCCAATATGCAAGTGTCTGTTCATGAAAAAGTAACAGCAGTTTGGGAATATGCAAAAAGTTTCTAATATCACTGCTACTGCGATTTACATTTTCGTTTGGAACTACTGCATCTATAAAAGGTGTCTTACTCTTCGTTATTCAGTGTAAACGAAGTTTATGTTTCCTCCTGTAGTAACACAGCTGGGTCAAATTCAAGATGGAACCTCTAGGAAGAACAGTTGAGAACTGATAGAGCTATCGAATATAAATAAAGTTAGTTTAGTTTAGGTTTCCTCCTGTAGTAACACTGGATCAATAAGAGATGATTCTTACTGGACCTCTAAGAAGAACAGTTCAGGACTGATAGAGCTATCCAGTATAAATAAAGTTAATGTAGTTTAAGCCTCCCCCCTTAGAAAACCTCGAAAAACAGGAGATGATCCTTACTGAATCTCCGGGAAGAACGACTTCGCCGTGCAGTGTAAGTCTCGGTTGAAGGGTAGCTTCCTCTCATAGGAAAACTGTATCAATATGAACCTTTCAAGACTGGATTACTATATCAAACCGATTTCAAACTAGTAAACTATGCCACCCTCATTGCCCAGGAAGTTGCCTGTCCCTGTGTCTATGACAGTAAAGGAGTGTTTTTTTTATAGACATGCATGGAGTGTACGTTTTCTAGACAATGATGTGCATTTAAATACCTTGTAATGTTGATAAATTAAAAATTATTTGCCAACATGTATCTATAGAAAACATTGCCACGGGAAACCGCGACTGATTCACTGCAGATGTTTCAATTTGATTTTATCACCTCAGTTTTATGGTAATGCGTGTGAAAATCTCGTGCAATTGATACGAAACTTTATAGAATCAATATGATATAAACTTTAGGAGTGTAACCGTTCTTCAAATAGATCCAGCACAGAGGCTGTCCATTTGCACTAAACGCTAGCTTCCGTTTCATGGTTCCTGAAATTATTGGCCCAATCTTTGTTTAATTTTCATGCCCTCATTCGCTTTGTTTAAACACGGAAAAGGGCGCTGGGTAGAGTTTGACATAGCGTAGAGTTTCTGTTTTTTTTAGTGCAGGAAATCTACGAAACACCCAAAATCACCGCCTGATCTTATCGTAATGTGCGTCTTGTTCATCTCATGATCGCCCGCTTTTTAACAACCCAACTGATGTTTACTTCGGGGCCTTTTGATGTTTGTGGGAAGTTAGCGATTAGGAAACTATTAAATGAATTCACAAGAAGACTATAATGATGATAGTAATTAAGCGTTTGTCTTGATTTCTTAAGAGAATGCTTCAAGCCCTTCAACTCTCAGAAACGTAATACTTTTCAAAATCAAAATTACATCAAAATTACTTTCAGTTGATTTCACTAACATTTACTGTTTTTCATTTACCTCGATACCTTGTGTTTACTTTTTTGTATCGCAAATAGGTGTTAATATACTATTTGCATATTGCGCGCGTTAGCGCAGCGCTTCCCTTTTATCTTGTTCGCTAAATGCGCGAATTACAATCAGTCATCTGTTTTGATAATTTGCTTTCGAATTTAGTTCTTTCTTTATTTATATCAAATATCAATCGTTGGCTCATTTCACTTCAAAGGCAACGCTTCTTTCAACTCGTTCTTGTTTGCGTCATGCGGATTAAGCTATAGTTACCTCGAAAATGTGAAAATTACAAACAGAAGATTTTGAGAAGAACAACCTGGGAATATTTTACTCAAAATGATGTAGTGCTTTCTGCGAATTTTACGCTGAGCATTGTCGAGTCGCCAAACTATACTTTTGGTTCGTTTCATAGTTCTACTTTAAAGCACGGTTGAAAGCCTAGTTAACTTTGTTTGATTTGCCGATTAAATTTTGAATTTTTATCTAAAAGTATGTGTCTTTCAAAAGACCAAAAATCTGTATCACAAGTCTAGAAGACCTAGAAGGAATATCTCAATCCCCCTAATCAAAATATAAACTGGAAATCCTTTTGTTGTCTGTTAGATATTTAATCCTCTTGAAACGACATGATGTTTACAACATTGTAAAATAAACATGTATTAGGCTGCAAGTGTAGATGAGTTGGCCGAGTCTCCGACGGATTACTTTTCAATGCTCATAAATCAGTTCGTCCGGATCAACCCTAATAGTTTTCAGTCAGTTTATAATTTATGGTTCGAGTTTTAACTATCACCAGATGATCGTGCAGCGCATCATAAATGGCAAGTGATGTAATTGACGCCTAAATGACGTTCGAAAAATCTCGTATCTCCAAACCATCTCAGGCAGACAAAAAACCTTCATGCTTATTAGTTAACGAACATATGCACTGGCTCTAAGCAGAATAGTTGATGTAAAAAGGCTAGCAACCCCTCCATATTTATGCCTTGTTACCACGGAAGAAAAAATAGATCCATCAATCATATTCCCTGCCCCCAACTTTCATCCTGGGCTTAAGAAAGTGTGAATTCAGTCAAGCTGTAGGCACGATCTCTTAAATGATAAAGATTAGGTTGGTTTAAAACTTCTTGCTTTCATTTCTTCCTATTATATATTTACCTTTGATTGGGAACCGACTAATCGTATTTATTATACTGATAGCTCATATAAACATGATATTCGAGGTGCATCGTTATTGAATTTGGTACTGATATCTTTTATCAACTGGGCATCTGTCTAGGGTTAATATACTTTTAGCATATTGTACTGTCATGAGAGCTGCTTGGTCCATTTAGCTCCACAAATAGTCGACAGTTTGAAAACAAAAGAAACAATCCCAAAGTTTTGATGTACTAATGGCTTTTCATCTTCATGCCGACAGGCAAATCCTATGGTATTCAATTAAATATTTGATAAAGATTTATGTCAGGAACTTAGATGACTTTGAGCCTTCCGCCTTAAATAGAGAATAGCATTTGGTGCCGATTATACTCAAGGGTCCTGTTCCGAAAACACTTCACCCTTCGCTTTGTTTAGTTAATCAGAATTTTCTGCCCAAAATCCATTTCGACTATACTGAGTTTAAATGCACTTCGATACAATTTTCTATTCGTCAATTTTAGGAAACGTCAGGAATGAGGAACGACCGGGGAACGATACCCGTGGTGATAGTGCAGCATCGGAGTTTCGTACCCACATGCTACGAGCCATCAGCACGTTCTCAATCTCCCGGCAATGTAATATTCTTGCCGCGATACTGAAAGACTCTGGAGAAAACCCGCCCAGAGTGATGAAAGCATTTATGGAAACAGTACCGTATCAATATCTGCCTTGCATAGGAATGAAGTCGCCTTCGGAGAGCCCCTCCGTAAACACATCGGGATTGCGTTTAGCTACGGATAAGAACGTCGCAAGGTAAATCGCGGGAACAGCTGTACTGTAACCCGTCAGTCGCCATTCCGCAGTTTAAAGCTAATTCCATAATCCCCCCATAAGGATTAGTTAACTTTACCATTGTAGTTCTTCATCGATCCTAGACGACTTGTAACTAAGTATATGTGTGTTACTTGTGCTGAATTTTGCTTTGAAAGTCCAAAGAGTTTCATTGAAGACGCAAACTTTTTTGTACATTTTGCAGATTATTCAACAATTTCCCATTTGTGTTTCAATGCAAAATCTTAACTGACGTCACCATCGCGTCTCGCGGGAACGTCGCGAAACAAGAGATGCTCTCCGCTCTGACGCAGACAATGTCGGAACTAAGCACGAATCTAAACGTGGATGACTCGTTGAAGAAGTGCGTCGACGCCATTTTCCGCGGGCTTGTCACGAACACGCGTGTGCAACTCGGCGTCAGGCTGCGAAATTCAATGCCTTTGGAAGCATGGTTGGAAAGATTTCGACAAATCTTACCGAAAATATATCTTACCTATATTTCCACATCTGGAAAGATATCGGATTTTGTCAGCGGCTGGACGAAGGATGAAGACGGCACGAAAATTCCCATAATTCCAAATGACCAATTTTTGGTCAAGATTAAACAAGAAGCCCACGAACCAGTGATTCACGCGGGCGTTGCCATGGTCACATTCTCGCTCTACACTCGGGAGATATCGGGAGACTATCGGTTAATAAACGGCGACGAAATCGTAGCGGCGTTTGAAGGGATAAGTCGGTCGGTTTTGAATAGCTACATTCAGGGTGACGTAGTTGGGTGGAGAGCCCACGGTGAACGGGACAGCGTCGGATTCGAACGCATGCGTAGAGTATTCAAACCAAACAGCCTAGAGTCGTTTCGACTACAGGAGTCGTTGCCTAAATACCTCTTGAAGTTTTTCAAATCAATGACTGCCGACGGACGTTGTTACGTATTGCAACATATCAGCTCGTATGTTGAACGAGACTTGTCAGTTGTGGAGAAACGCTATCACACCCTGGGGTTACTGCCCAGAAAATACTTCTGTTCGCGGGCCATGAATATCTCCCCAAAACCAAAGCGCAAACACCGGAAGCCTTTAGCTCAAATGTGGAAACGTTTGGACAAGTTCATACGAGCTATCCCAACACCTCTACCCACTTTTAGCACAACAATATTACATGCTCACAATTCCACTGTTATACGTGAGACAAGACCCTTCAACTCTATGGAGATTGTCATGTTTGCGCTTTTGGGCTTTCTCTGCCTCTTGATTATGGTATTCGTCGCAAACTGCGTCGTTTTCACGTTCAAAACAAAACAACTGAACTCACAATACGGTAAGAGCTTTCAAGCACCACAAGTCGTGTTTGGTAATACGGACGGGGAACAATATCTTGAACATAAAAGTGCGGAACTTCCCCACGAAAAGTTATCCCTGACTGACAATCCGCAGGCCAGGGTGTCGGAGGGATCAGCAGGGGATCGCAGGTGGCGGTTGATGAGTGCGACCAGCGAGGGGGGTGTGACTGTGTGTGACGTCATCAGTGATGACGATGAACCAGAAAGAGTCAGCACAGTTTGATTGGAGGATTCTATGAACAAATGCTTGTTGCTACTGCAACCGATTGAGGTGATATGTATCTCGTACAGATTGAGAGAAGAAAGAGGGCGGATAACTCATGACACGACTCAAATTCTCTAATTCGACGTTTTTAGAAGGTGGAGCTAGAAACACAGAAACATTGCTTTCTAAATATAATATCTCAGAGTCTATGTACTTCAGAGACGGGTCTACACAGTTTATGAAAATAGAAAATCGAGAGACCATCATTCACCTCAGTCATTATCAAAAGGGTATAGAACAGTCTTAATTATTATTATATTTAATGATGTTTTTTAGCAAATTTCTTGCAAAAATATTATCACCAACTTGTAGCTATTGTCTAATTGCCAGTTTTGGGGTTACTGGTAGAGAATCCTGAGGGTATTTCGCGATTAAAATGTTTCGGGGATCGTTGGAAAGGAAGGTGTTCATGCACAAACAGATTTTCCACTGAAAAGTAAATCTTCAGTTGGCTGAAACGGTCTCTTCAGAGTCCAAATTTAAAGGTCTGTTTACATCATCCAACTTTGTCGGATTTAATTCACTGGAATGTAGTCTGTTATTAATGAAGTAGTACTGCATTGGCTCTAGTTTATTTGCTCCTAAAATACTTTGCAAGTCAACAGACTATGTCACTATAAATTATCCATCTGAAGTGGATGGATCTGACAAAATTGGATTGCATGAAAACCTTCAGTGATCTGATCTAATTTCAGTAGGCTGGTAGCCTGGTATTCGAAACCTTTATCTTCTCATCTGTATTCGTCTCTGGGCACCCCCCCCTAGGTTGCCCCTCCCCCCCGCTTTCTTTGCCTTCATTTCAACATACACAATCCAAAAGACATGTGGTTTGTCTATGATTTCATCTGGCCGTGCACAACACGTGAACGCACAGTGAAAACACGTGCTATTATTCCACGAGTTCTTTCATGAAGTATTTCATCATTTGACAACATGTCTGCCAAGGAGATGACTTTGGGAAGAAGCATGAGATCTGAATGGCGAAAATGTGTTTCAGAAAACATCAAAAAGCTCACAACTCGGTTTCAGGATATAAAAAGCGATACAGAGAGGCTAGATGTTTGCAGAGATATTTTGAGGTAGTTTTTGAAGGGATTTAATGCTCTGTCAAGTGTCAAACACTTACAACACTTACACTAGCTTCTGCCTTTCCAAGCGTTTCATTTTCAGCGATTTCATTTTGTCTTTGTCTTTCATGCTAACGAGTTCTATGTGTCTTGTTTCTTATCCTATTTAGACAACATCCAGTCTTTTGCGATATTGTCAAAAGGCTGAAATCGGACATCAAGGCAAATTTCAGCTCCAAATGTGAACAGGTGAATGAATTTAATCCATTTGAACGGCCTAAGTCACAACAAAGAAACGAAAATGACTTGCCAAGCTTGACTAATGGCAAACACGCAAAGATATCAAATGGGTCTGCACTTATCGAGCTTCATTGTAGCCCAACTCAAGGACGTTACTTGGAGGTAAGTATGATCACCCCTTTGAATTTCGTTTAGAAATAACAAGTATCATTCAAATTCAGTAAACAACTAGATTTAACTTTTGTTTTGGCAGTCAAAGGGATTGATCAAAGCTGGTGATGTGTTGATCTTGGAAAGACCTTTTGCTGTTGTCCCAGCTCTTGACAATGAGACCGGGCATTGTTCACATTGTTTTGAACCATTGCCAGATGATTTCATGTAAGAAGTGTTTATATATGATTGTGTATAGTAATTGCATATGTTTGTTGTTTTTTATTTCATTGTTTTGCAATCCATTGGTCAATTTGTATTCATGTTTATAGCTCCTGCCATGGTCTTACCTAAAATCAAATATTGTACCATCATGTGCCAGCAAGAAGCTTGGCAGTTATACCACAAATATGAGTGTTCACTAGGACCTCTTTTAGAGATGGTGAGTTGAGAATAACATTACATGCATATGTGCACCAAGCGCATTCATCAACCACTTCAAATCATTTCAAATATAGCTGGAAATATCATCTCATTTGGCACTACGATTGCTCCTGGTGACTGGACCGCAGAAATTGCTTGGTAGATATGAATTAGAATTTGTTTTTCTCTGTGAAAGCCTTATCTATTGTAAATTGCGCTGTTATTTGTGGAAAATTTTAATCCAAGCAAACAAGATGTGATTCTATAAGTTTTACCGATGTGATTTCAGATTTCATTCAGAGAGAAAAGAAAGATGGTTATGGAGGGTGTTCAGAACCTTTGTGTCCAGAGAATATACCAGGCTGTACCACAGATGGTTTTTATACAGGTTTGTGTATGATTTGATACTGTAAAAGCTGAATTGAAATAATCAAGATGGTTGAACTACATTTGCTGGTAATCCCCATAAGCTGAAGAGCTTTATGCTAGCATATTCGATTGTTTTTCTGTTTACAGACAGACAAATTACTAGCAAGTTTGTTATGAAATTTGCCGAACACCAGAATTGATAAAGTCGATGCTTTAAATGAGCTCAAGCAATATAAATATATATTCTTAACAATAGTTTATTATTTTTAGGCGACTATAGTTGTGTTCACAGCCTTGTTACCAACACAGAACGCCAGCCAACTGCAGCACTGGTCTCCTTTGCATTGGTTAGTTATACTTGAGTTGCAGCAAAGAATATGATTTGAAATGAGCACTATGTACTTCTGCTCTAAGACTGGCCCCAGTATATTTAAACACTACTACTACCATCCAGGGAACATCAACCAATCAAATGCAATGTGTTTATCACATTAACCAATTAAATGCAATGTGTTTATCACTTCAACCAATCAAATGCGATGTGTTTATCACATTAACCAATCAAATGCGATGTGTTTATTACATTAACTAATCAAATGCAATGTGTTTATCACATTAACCAATCAAATGCGATGTGTTTATCACATTAACCAATCAAATGCGATGTGTTTATTACATTAACCAATCAAATGCGATGTGTTTATCACATTAACCAATCAAATGCGATGTGTTTATCACATTAACCAATCAAATGCGATGTGTTTATCACATTAACCAATCAAATGCGATGTGTTTATCACTTCAACCAATCAAATGCGATGTGTTTATCACATTAACCAATCAAACTTCCTTCCTATAGGATGCGGCTTTGATAACCGAGGTCGCTTACGACCATTTCTATGGTGAAACACCACAATCTCCAGCAACCTCACCACCCACAGACACCAATGGTACAACGCCTGGGATCACGGAGGATATCATGGGATGCTTGTTACTGCACCATATCCAACAAATGCCATGCAATATTCACGCTGTGACTGCCATAGTGCCTGTCAATGGACGAGACGGTGTGTGGTCTAAGGAACAACGGAGGATAGCAGCTGCTTTATATCCAACGGCGTCCCTCATGAACCACGCTTGTGACCCAGATGTCATCGTGAGGTATAGCTTAATTTTGTTTGACGGTTTTATGGCGTATCACAGGACAGCAGATATGATGCTGTACTGAATCTTAAATCTTGAAGCTTGGAGTAAAGAAAATGGACAATTTTTTAGTTCGCGCGGACTCAATTTTTAACATTTTCGGACTTCGGTTAAAAAGTGGCCGAATCGTCCGGCTATATATTGAATACCGCAAACTGGTCTTGTTTGAAGTGACGGAAGTGTTGACGTCTTCTAAAAACTTTGCATCAAATGTGAAAAAAATTGCCCAAAAGAGAGGAGTGTTTTTTTAAATTTTAGGCAGTTGTTATAACCACATTTGATGCCCTCGTTTTGATCAATCTTTCATGACAATCACCACGCTTGTGTCTGTTCAGTTTTATAGGAAGCACTCTGGTCGTTCGTGCGACCCACATCATCCAACCAGGAGAGGAAATAGCGCATTGTTATGGTGGGTAAGATGCTGAGGATCAGCTAAACGGTTGCCATTGCTTTGAATTACAAGTTTTTAATATTTATGATTTCTCTTAAGGACCCAGCGCGAGTAGATTCACCCGAGAAGTCAGACAAAGTCTTCTTCAAAAGCAGTATTTCTTCACGTGCAACTGTTCCGCTTGTAAAAGGTAATCCCCGACCTTTGGGCACTCAGTCTTCCCGCTTGTAATGAGGTTAGGGTGTCCCCAGAGCCTCGTCGCACTCAGGCGGTGTCCCTGGGCTCGAGGGGACCTTAGTATCCCGTCTTTACTCCAGTTACTATTAAATTTCTTTGCGGTCTTTTTCAGTGATAAAGATTTGGAGGAACGATATGTCTATGAAGCCTCTTTCATCTGCCCGAAATGCTCCAGTGTGGTTGCGGTCAGCGGGGAAAACGAGCTGAATCCTGGGAAATGTCAAAACCCAAAATGCGGATTGATGAAAGACTTCTCCTTTGAAATAGAAGTTGTCAAAAACGCTCAAAAACTGTTTGGAACAGCAATGGCAATCCTTGAGCAAGGACAGTCGAAGAAATGTTTGGAGGTGCTAAATGAATGCTTAAAAAAACGGCAAAATGTTTTGCAGAAATATGATAAGAATGTTGCTGAAACTCACGATGCGTTGGCAAGGTGAGAGTCTGGATTACTGTCTTTGGATGAAATTGCATTTTCTGTCCAGTTTTACGCAGATCAGTTGTGCGAGTGATTCTCTTTCGTTACCAGGTGCCATGCCTCACTCGGAGACTTTCGACAAGCGGCGTTTCACTGCGACCAGAGCACGGAGTCCGTACGAAGACGCTTCGGAGCGGAAAGCGTCGAGTACGCCCACGAACTGCATAAATTTGCGCAGCTGTTATTCAACGGACGGCAAACGAACAAGGCTTTGACCGTGATTGAAACTGGAATACGATTACTGAGTATACATTACGGACCGAAGTACACGGACGTCCAGGAACTGCAGAATATGAAGAAAACTTTGAAAACTTTTATGAGAGGTAAAACTTAGCTTGTTTTTATACAAGATCTTGGCTTAAATGGATCTGAACTTTTCAATATATTATATTCATGAATAGTCCGCTATATGGATTGACTATAAAATTTCCATCCGTGTAACGGGTTAGCCACCTTACGTCAAAAGAGAAAGTGACCTCAGACAGTGACGGATTTTATTATATGACTAGAATAGTTCATCGGTCCATCAACTGAAATCAAGCATTCTGATTGGTTACTGAGCGGTCGGTAACCAACAGTACGGACCGGCCAGGTTCGGCGAGAATTTTTTAGTTGGGAATTTTAATCGTTTTTAGTCATATAATAAATAGTTTATTTACTCGCCTAAAGGCTCGGTCCATACAAGCGAAAAAATAACTCGACCAGTATCCTCCTGTACGGACCGAACAAGCTCAGTCAATAACATATATGTATAGAAAAGTAACCTTTGCTATCCATCCCTGTCTTGGGTGATTTGCGCGCCGGGAAACCAGCATAACACTGGATGAATTGCAAAACATGAAAACTATATTTAAAGAAGAATATATAGCATTTTATTTTTTTTTGCATTCTTATTACAAAATATTCTACTTAACACTGACTAGACACTTATTTGAGATAATGCATATCTGGAATTTGCTTCGGCGTGTGGGTATATATGATAATGTTTTGCGTCTTAATTCTGTATAAATATGAATCATAAATTTCATTCTGAAAATTTGGAATATTCTTTCAAGATTAACACAAACTACGACGCGTACGTGGTTTTATGGAAACCCGACGAAACAAGTCTCTAAGACTAAAAATAAACATCAAAATTTCAATTGTTGTCAACGATCTTAAAACTATCTCGAGGCTTAAACTGTATTTCCAATTGTTTCATGACTTCACAAGTCCTCCAATTCTTTCAAATTTCGATAAAGATCTAACGACTCAGGATTGCGATACGCCACTCTGTGCTCTACTTCTTCTCCTGCGAGGATCTTTTTCACAGCAACTTCGACCTTCTTGCCGTTCGTTGTGTGAGGAATGTCTTGCGTTTGTAGGATTTTGGCGGGAATATGACGTGGCGATAATTTGGTCCGGATTTCATGCGTTATCGTCTTTACTAAGGCTTCTGTGAATCTAAAATACGAAAAGAAAGGTCAGTTTTTGTCATACAAACCAGGAAACATTGTCTTGCGATATATAAAACATACCTATAGCCGTTAGCCAACTTCACAAACAACACAACTCGCTCCTCCATCGATTTGTTTCTGCAGGCAACACATAAACTGTCCTCTACTTCTTTCAACCGTTCAACTGAGAAAAATATACGACAAGGTTTTTGTTTATTTAGAATCTTGCTGTGAACAAATTCACATGTCTAAATTTCACTGAAATGACAAGGAAACGATCTGTCATACCAACACTGTATATTTCCGCGCTTCCAAAACGAACCCCGTTGGGATTTAATGTTCCGTCGCTGAAGAGAATTTGAAAAATTGGTTCACTCGAGAGTAACTCGTAACTAACAGATCTTTTCTGGTGCAAAAGCAGAGTCAGTCTAGTTTATAGGATTGGCACTGCCGTGGAAATGAATCTTGTTTACCTTCGTCCCAACATGATAACACCTTTCGTCTTAGAATTGATGGTACAAAAATCGCCATGACTCCAAACATCTAAAAATTAACACTCTGTCAGAGCAGGTAACGGTATAATAACAGCTCACCGTATAATAATAGCTCACCTCGCGTTTGCTGAAAAAAGGGGCGACAACCTACCTTTATACTTTGCAAAATACGCGTTGTGGTATTTGATTTTTCCTTCATCGTTCCAAAAGAAGACTGGCATCGAAGGGAAAGGTTTCGTACACACCAACTCCCCTCTTCTGTCGAGTTTTGGATGACCTATTGATGTAAATAAAATCATTGCAGTGCAACGCATATGATAAGAAAACATTGAGACGAATTTCTCAAGCAAATGTTCCGTTTCTTACCATTTTCATCCCAGCTTTCAATGGCCATCCCGAGATTCCTGCTTTGAATCTCACCTCTGTACACAGGAATGGTTGGATTTTGCCCCATGAAGCATGAGATAATATCTGTTCCTCCTAAAAATAATGTTTTACCATGTTAAACAAGATTACCGTCGCCTCATCTGGTATTCCAAGGTAGAAACAGTTGAAGACTTGAACCTGAAATCGAGCCAAGTAGCAGATCCTTTTTAATACTGTTGTAAACATAATCGTAGGTGGCAGGCATCAGGGGAGCACCGGTTGATAATATTGTATGCAAAGCTTCCAGATTGTGAGAGCTTCCTAAATAATTTGAAACGAGTTTTTTTTAGCGAGAATAAAAGAACAATGATACGAAATATAAGGTAACTTATTTCCTGGATTTCCAGTACAATGGAAAGGGTATTTGCGACTGGTTCTTTTATTACTGGTTCTTTTATTTCAGTAGGTAAACTCACTTGGAACAACATTTTTGTTCTCCAAAGTCTCAAGATATTTTGGACTTGCACCAAAGATGGTTATTCTGGAAAGGTAAACTTCAGTATTGGCAATCTTTTTAATTTTAGTCATGCACCAAATTCACCCAGACAAACTCACTTATGTCTCTCCACAATGTCAAACAGTATATGAGGTGTTGGTATAATTGGTGAACCGTCATACAGAACAACTGTAGCACCAACAGCAAGTGATGTTACCAGCCAGTTCCACATCATCCAGCCAGTCTGAAAGTACCGTGATTACTGGTAAGATTTTTTATTTCATATAAAATTATGAAAGAATTTTGGCATACTGTTGTATAGTAAATGATGACATCATTTCTTGACATGTTTCCATGAAGAATATGTTCCTTCAAATGTTGAATCAATGTCCCCTGAAAGAAATATAGGATACCAATACTTGTAAGGTATCAATTGTATGTCATACCATACCATGTCATACTATACCATACTATACCATACATCAAACCATGTATGTGGTATACCATACCATATAAAATATACCGTATGAAATACTAAACTACCTCATATTGTCTACCATACATCATAACGTCATACCAAGCTGTACCAATTTACTATTGTATATGTACGTCATGTTAATACAATCACCAGCACCATTTCATAAATGCACCATACCAAATCTGAGCACCTCTTACCCCAACAGAATGTACCAAACATTTTGGTTTTCCAGTAGTTCCAGATGAATACATGATGAACAATGGATGGTGAAATGGTACTTGTTCAAATGTCAACTCCTCAGAGCTGCTGGCTAACTTCAAAAAATCATCATGAAACATGCTAGTGGTCAGAAAAAAAAGGTAAAGGTAGTTGAGATTCTATATTCATTGCAACAGTCCAATGTGGCATGTGCCTTGTCCACCTGTTCGGTATTTGTTCCAGATTTATTTCATCTTGTGATCCAACAAATGGAAAGACAATCACATTCTGAAGGTTTGGAAGACCTGGTTAAAATAAATCCTCAGAAATGAATCTTTATGCATTGGTCTGGTAAGAGAACATGATAAAAATAGTTCAATAAATAAGATATGCTAATTTATAAACCTTTCACAACTTCTTTGAGTTTGGTCATGTGATCATGAACTTTTTTATTGTATACAACAGCATTGACTGAAAATATCACCCGAGGATTAATTTGAACAAAACGATCCAAGACACCCTGTGAAGGTTGAAAGACATGCGTATGGTTGTTTTCAATCTGTAAGTATTGCTCTGGTTATCACCAATTATAAAATAGTACAAATTTATATACTGCTTACCAATGATCCAAAATCAGGTGATGTTGAGCTCCAAATTGCTCCTAAACTGGCAGTTGCTAGCATGGCTTCGATTGCCAAACTACCATTTGGCAAATAACCTGCAAATTTAGCAATATGACATATTTGTAAAGTTGTCTAGTGAAGAGTAAACAAGAATCATCACACAGTTGGTAATTCAACCATTTTTATACCAGCAACTCTATCTCCCTTTTTGACGCCAATTTTTTTCAAAGCAGAAGCGAGAACAGTAACTTTTGCTCTTAATTCTCCGAATGTTATTTTCTCATCGTCTTGACCCTCTCCTGAAATATATGAATTGCATAAGATTCCTAATTTCTGATTTTCATTTGCCCTAGCTGCACGAACACAACCTATTGAGTCAGAGCTTTTGCTATGCTTGCATGGCCACCCACATGAGCAAGCATTGGTAAAGGTCAACTCTGGGTTAATTGCAATTAAGTTAGAGACTTGTTGTACCTGTTGTGATGATAGCAGTTCTGTTGTCATTGTATTTCAAAAGATTTTCAGCATAGTTCAACTTGCTGTTGCAAAACCATGTTGGGATTTCTGTGATAGCTTCTGTGTCAATAATCTTAAAGAATAATATGTATATATTAGATGACAATATTATACCATATTGAATACCTCAAACTATTTTATGCAATGTTAGAGTACCATAGCATCAATAAAATATCATACCATACAGTGCCATATACCATATATGACACCCATAGGTATTACATTGAGAGTTTACCATTACCTTGGTGTAGGCAGATGATGCAATTATACCACAAAAATGCCAAAAAGTTTCCCAGAAATCCTGATAACAATTGATTGACCATTGATACAAGTCATCATAAGATTCTAAAAAAATTGGGCAAGACAGGGTCAGCACTACCAAAATTTGGTAAGTATACCACCAAGAATAGTACACCCATTTCCACTTTGACTAAAAAGTCTAACCTGAAGCCCCTGTTGCACGGTGCAATTGTTACACAGTGCACAATTTTTCTTGCAACTTGCAATGCAATTATACTAGTAAACTAATTTCAATGTATACTTAGTAAAGTGTCTTCAAAATGCAGGTATGGGAAACGTCCATGGAATATAAATAAACATAAAAGTTTCGTAGTTATCAAATTTACATCTCTCAAAAGTAAATTTGTATTGCAAGTTGCATGAAAAATTGCACCGTGTATGAAACAGGGCATAATTTTTTTTAGAATTTTTTTAAATTTAAAACCAAACTCAGTGTGATTAAAATTGTATTTAAAAACTGCATGCAAATGAATAATTAAGAAATGTTACATAATTGAAATTTCTCAATCGATCGAACGTTAGAGAACTTCGGCCACGTACCCAAATTTAAATTGTACGATTTATTGACTTGTTCTCGAAATTCATCCATTTTAGTGGCTTCCTTTCGAGCTGGTTTCCACATGATTTCAGAAATTTCATTGCAGCGATCCATCCCTGTAGTTTACCCAGCAATTGTCAGAGAAATTATGGCAAAGCTACGGGAAAACTCCCGTCTAAACACAGCTTGGATATATGCAAATGATGATGAATAATAAATTTGTATTGTGATGTGTCATTCGAGATGTTACCGTAATATAAGTGCAATACGACCTTTGTACTTTGTCTAACTCCACGCCTGGTTGCGCCATAAGTCCATAACCAAGCAACAAGCTCGAAAATCAAAGAATTTCTTTAGTAAATATTGTTTTTTACAATTAATGCATTGATGAGACCTACAGGGATGTATTTTTGAGCAGTTTTGCAGTACAATTATGTAAAAGAACAAAAGATGTTAGCTGAAGATCGTCCTTAAAAAGGGAAAATCCCTGAATTGTGTCGCAATTCCAGAGGGAATTCGAACGTTCGTTTCACGATAAATTTGTCGCAAATTTAGTGCCTGGTGACGCTGGAGCATTGTTAATTAAACTGTGGTTTTGGTTGAAGTTTTGCTGGTTAAATACTTGAGGGAAATGGCAGGAAAGTTTGAAAGTCTTGAGAAATGTTTGGATAAGAATCTCCCGGAAGATGAGTTAAAGGAGGTGAAACGCATATTGTATGGTAAACCTTGCAGGTTGGTTGCAATAATTTGCTACTTCTTGTACCATTAGAATACCAGCACGGGCCTGTACGGCAGTACCTCGGGTGTAGCAGAGCGTAATCCTGGGTGTCAAAGCATACTAGCTAGGACTGATTTAAGCCAGGTGCACTGTGCACATGCACATGTTATAGTTTTAGTGGTTGGGATATAGTTTTAGTACCATTATCAAGCATACCATCTGGAATCATATGCCATATCACAATTATGTATTAATACTGTAATGCATCAAACCATTATTCTATTACAATAAGGTTGCAAAATAAGGTTGCAGCTAATTACTTAAGTGCAAGAGCCCTCATAGCACTTTGGTTCCCAGATATTTTGCCCTCATATCCTGAGTTTCCCTCTCACAACCATATTTAAGGTTGCAAATAATATTTTTGCTTCTTTCAAAGCAAACTGGAATTCTCAAAGGAGGTTACTGAGGAGGCAGTAAATAAGAAAGTGGAATTGGCTGGTTACAAAATTCAGGCAGGACCAGAACAATTACGCAAACCAAGAATCGTTAGGATTGGTGCCGTTCAACACAAGATCATTTTACCAACAACAGCTCCCATAGCTGAACAGGTTAGTAAGCAACTGTTCTGACCTGTGGCTGGTCACAACGGAGATCCTTGCAAAGACAAAGTGGTTACTGTTTGTGTGCTCTTCTAGTTAGAAGCAATTCATTCCCGGATGGGAGAAATCGTCAAGATCGCCAGTCAATGTGGTGTTAATGTCATTTGCTTTCAAGAAGCTTGGAGTAAGTTGATGATGAATCTAAAGAAAGATTGTCTTTGGATTGATTAGGTATGACTAACTAGGTTTAAATATTTCAGATATGCCATTTTGTTTTTGCACAAGAGAAAAGTATCCATGGGTTGAGTTTGCACAATCAGCAGAAGAAGGCCAAACAACTAAACTTTGTCAACAGGTAATTAGTTATATTTGCATGGGTAATGTAGTGGTGCATGTGTGGAAACTACCTGGAAATACGTCTACTGTGTGATGATCTAATCTAGGTAGTGTTTCTATACAGTAAACTACTGACTACAATTTAGGGTTGTAAGTTGTTGTGATGATGTTTAAGTGAGGTCATGAGTGATTTGTGTCTGAACTACCTGAAAAAGATATCTCAAACATGGTGGTCCAGCATTCAAAAGCTGTTTATTGATTTTTCAGTGGGCAAAGCAGTACAACATGGTGATTATTTCCTCAATTTTGGAGAGAGAAGAAAGCCATAGAGATGTATTATGGAATACTTCAGGTTTTAGCAGAAACATATTTCATTTAATTTTTATGATATATCAACCAGATTTTGAGGTTGGCATGATATGACCAGTCATTCTTACCGGGATTTCTCCTAACGTACTAGTTGTCATATCAAACACTGGCAATGTTATTGGAAAGACAAGAAAAAATCACATCCCAAGAGTTGGGGATTTTAATGAGGTACAGAAGCATATTCTCAAAGTGAATAAAAGTATCTCATAATATATATAATTATACTATACTTGTTTTAGTCAACCTACTACATGGAAGGCAATCTTGGGCATCCTGTTTTTGAGACACAATTTGGTAAGCATATGCCAGCAATTCTGTTGCAAGTTGAAGCAATAATCCCTTGTTATCAAGGCCTGAATTATAAAGTCAGCTACATGTGATAGCTGCAACAACTACTTTTTTAACCAAGGATGCATACAAATGTCTCTTTCTTAGGTCGAATTGCAGTAAACATCTGTTATGGTCGTCACCATCCATTGAATTGGTACATGTTGGGAGTGAATCAGGCTGAAATTGTTTTTAACCCATCTGCAACTGTTGGCGACTTGAGGTACATTGTCAATATGTTATGTTACATTGAGTTGTTGCAATTGACACACTCACATCATTTGGTATGTTTTTAGTGAACCAATGTGGGCAATTGAGGCAAGATGTGCAGCCATTGCAAACAACTATTTTGTTGTAGGCATCAACAGAGTTGGAACAGTAAGTGATATTACTGATATAACTAAGACATTTACCAATGAGAAGATGAATAATATTGTCTGGCATGAGTCTGGGGAAATTACTCAAGTAGGTAGTCAGCTAGTCATATTTGCAAGCTTAAAGGGGAAAACTTAATTCAAAGTCATATGCAATTGAGACACTATATATGCATAATGGCATAATTTTAACAAATATTTTCCTAGGAAATATTTGAGAATGAATTTACTTCTGGTGATGGAAAACCTGGTAGGCAATGGATATTTATTTCTTTGTTAAAAGTGTGTTCATTTCTATACTAACGAAGTGTATTAATCTTTCTTTTTAGCACACAATGATTTTGGACATTTTTATGGTACAAGAGTATTTGTTAATTGTGATATTGTGCAGTTACGTTGAATATAATACTGCTTATTAATACTGTTATGTACAATTTTCTGTGATTTAGGGTCAAGTTATGTTGCAGCACCAGATGCTTCAAGAACTCCAGTGAGTTTATCTTGAAAGAATAGAGAAATCATCCTGTAAAAGTGTTTGACAAAGAAAATGTGTATTTTTAGAGTCTCTCTCGAGTGTCTGATGGTTTGTTGGTCACTGAAGTTGATCTCAATTTATGTCGTCAGGTCAAAGACACATGGGGATTTCAGGTAAAATTAGAATTGAGACTTGGATGTCTTGCGTTTGTTTTATACACCATTGCTCCTTTCCGTAGGCCACATCACGCTTGGATATGTATGCTGAAGAGATATCAAATGCTGTAAAACCTGGTTATAAACCAAATATTGTTCGTGAAGGAGATGACAATCAATGAATTAAGCAACCTTTGAGGATCATCGAGACAGATCTTATGTGTCCTACAATTTTAATATAATCTAACAATATGAAACTCATGATATGAAAGTAGCTGTTGCTTGATTCATGTCTATAAATATAACATCCTCATCTGTGCCGTAACTCTTTCTTGCTTGATCGATTGATAAAATATCCATGCAACATTCATCATCATATGACGAAGGATTTTTGCAAAATATAACCTCTGTGTTTGGGTCATAACCACACAGTACTAAGAAATGTCCTTCGTATTCTGATGATGTATCATCACTTGTATTCCATGGGTAGTTGCAAACGTTGCATTTCAGCATGTTTGAATCAACCAGGATGATCGCAATGAATCCATTTTTCAATTTTGAAATAATTTCATCCAACGTTATGGATCTAGGCATAAGATGATAATATATCGAGTTAATTATTAACTTATTGATTAATGATTAACAGAACAGGTTAAATTATAATGAATTTGACAGGAAACAAACCAGAATTCACTGATTTACTTTTTTATAACCTTTATACCCATTTCCTCCGCCTTTGCAAACAATGTGTTCACCCGAACTTGTTCGGCATCAAAATCGCTCTTATAAAAAGACTCAGCCCGGTAGCCTGGATCCACCCCACAGGTTATGGTATAATACACACAATTGATATTAAAATGTCGCAAGATATTTGCCAGATCAATGGTCCATATGCTTTCACCAATACCCAGTGTAGGTAGAATACTGAATAATGCTGAGTCATCAGATATTTGTTGCAATTTGAGTAAGATCATTTGGATACAGGCAAGGCCACAATCCCATTCATGCTTTTGCAAAACATGTGGTAAATCAATTTTTTTTGTTGCCATAATTATGTTCCTCCCCCAAACGAACAAAAATACAGACCCTCTATATAACGGTATAACAGTGGTGGGAAATTTTGTAGAAATAGGGTTATATTGGTACATATAGGTATATGTTGATACATACATCTCTGAATGAGAGCATATGTGTTCATCGAGGTTATTTCAGAAAGGATAAAGTGGGACGTTTTTGAACAATGTGGGTTAGTGTCATTGTGCTCAAACTTATCCCATTGTAGCCCACATTCACACTGTACAAGCGTACGCGGGACGTTCGTTTTGGACCTTTTTGAGTAAAATATTTCCATGTGTGCATATTGTTTTCAATCCTAAATAATCTGCCGTGTATTCTCCAAAAAATAAGCATTATTTATAAAAAATTCAAGCAAGGATGTCTATTGGTATTCCTATAAAGATTTTGCACGAAGCTGAGGGACATACGGTCACGCTGGAAACATTGACAGGCGAAGTTTATAGAGGCAAACTCATCGAAGCTGAGGACAATATGAACATTCAAATGTCAGAGATTACGTTAACGTCTCGGGACGGACGTGTATCGCAGCTACAGAATGTGTTTATTCGTGGAAGTAAAGTTCGTTTTATAATTTTACCCGATATGTTAAAGAATGCTCCAATGTTCAAGAAACAGCGAGATAGAGGGTCAGCTGCCGGGCGAGGAAAATCTGCCATTTTGAGGGCACAAGGTATGAAAGTTACCCATACCCGTATAAATGTTGCTGTCTTATTGCCAAACCTTGCCTACAAAGTATATTTTTATCCAAAGTTTATTTTTGAAGTGTTTTGCTGTGCACAAAATATAATCTACCATCAGCTGTCAAAATAAATAGGATTTGTTTAGGGTAATCTTTGAGTTTCAGAAAGGACTTAGAAATAAACTGTCTTGCTTTCATAATATTGTTCTCATCAAATAGCTCTAATCGCACTAGCTATAACCTACAGCGGCATAGCGCTGATATATTCTTGTACCCAGTTTCAACGTAATTGTAACTTTTGCATTTGTCTTCACCAGCCGCAGCAAGGGGTCGAGGTGATCATTTCCGAGGTCGTGGCAGAGGCGGTCATCGGGGAGGTGGACATAGAGGAGGATTCCAGCATCGACGTTAACATGGATGTAGTATCATCGTCGATCACCAACTGTAACCATTCCATCATGACCTTATTGCTGGAATAAACCTTCAAAATGCAGTCGTCTTTACAAATATCACCTAATATGTATATAGATAAGCCTAGAAACTAAACTGGGTGGAAAATTTTTGAACAAGAGATAGTGAACTAGTCACTAGTGTTTACTGTAATGAGTTGATTTTTAAGCTTTGTATTTATGTTTGAATAAAAAGTGAAACATCATCCTTATATCCAATTCATTGGAAAGTGGTGCAATCATTGCTCAGTGATGCTTCTTTAATTTTACCGCTTGTTTTTGTTTAGAATTTTTTTATCATGGATTCCAGCTCTTTCCCGTACATGGATTCTCCTTGGACTTTCCATGGACTGAGCTCAAAATTTAGGCTTACACACTAACCTGCCATTAAAATCTCAAAAAGACTTTCTTTTTATTTACAGATTCACAAAAACTAGCAATGTGTATAGGAGATGTGGTAATGCAATAGTGTTTCTTGTGTAAAACAGCATGTTCAGGAAAAATAAATGCAGTCATTTTCTGGTGTTGAAACTGCAGTTTTTATATTGCTATTGTAGTTAGCTTACAGTTTTTGAAATAAATATTTTCCAGTAATATTTCCGAATAATTACAACAGGTTATCATCGAACCCCCCCCCCTGGTAAAAAAGTTGGTTTTCACCCTCTCCGGAAATTTAAATATCTCAACTGAATCACGTGACGTGTTTTGACCAATCACAGTATTCCGCGTCCGGCGTGTAGTTTAGTAATTTTGTATAATCGTGCCACGATGTATGGCATTTGAATCCAAAAAGTCGATTTCTTTATATTTTATCAACCCATTTTCGTGGCTCACGAAGAGGATTTTATTCATTGGACGCCAACTCTGAATTCATCTACTGTCCTTTTGGCGGTTTGGCTGCGTTCAAATGGATTTAGCTCACACGAAAAGCGTTGAACAAGTGCTAGAACATTTTAGCGTGGACGAGTCGATCGGGCTCACCTTAGACGAAGTTAAGTTGAGTCAAGAAAAATATGGCCCAAATGGTATGTAAACGTCTTTGATAAATGCCTCCTTAATCCTCCAGCAAGCCCTTGTCATATATGATGAGAATTCTTACCGAAAATGAATGAAATGATTTCATCTTTCATGCACTACCATCTGATGTGACAAAGGTTGCCACACAATTTAACTGTCGATACACACGAGTTTGTTTGCAAACAACTCTAAAGTTTTATGTATTAATCACTTAATATTTTCTTTTTTATGTTCTTTAAAATCGTGCAGAAATGCCAGCAGAAGAGGGTTCGTATTTAAACAAATTCTGAAAAATTTATGCCTAATTCATTCACGCTAGACAGATTGAAAAAAATTTTTCAAATATATGGATGTCACGTATTAAATTTTAATTTTTTACTTTTGATTTGCACAGGAAAGCCTATGTGGAAACTGGTTTTAGAGCAGTTTGATGATTTACTAGTAAAAATCCTGCTTTTAGCAGCTGTTGTTTCGTTTGTAAGTATTTTATAAGTTTTTTTTTGATAAAGTATAACATATATATTCATGCTGTTTTGATTATCTGTCAAAATCAATGGAGTTGGTTTTTGAAGCATAACTTTGTTGCAGGTGTTGGCTCTATTTGAAGACAGTGAGGATAGAACCACAGCATTTGTAGAACCGATAGTAATTCTTGTCATTCTTATATTGAATGCAATTATTGGTGTTTGGCAGGTGAGTTTTGGAGCGATATTGGACAAACAGGTTTCTTGCAACATATGCTATGTGATCAATACTGTTGCCTGTAATTAGGATTTCATAGTATTGGCAAAATGATTTATGCATTTAAATTATCGAAAGCTTCAACATTGCTTCGAATTTGGCCGTTGTCTTAATCAAAACAGGGATACGAGTCGTGATTGGTCAAAATGTACAACACAGACAAAATGCCAATTACATCTAATTGCAAAGTTTCCCAAAGCAATTATGTCTCAATTTTTCTGACAATCGGACAGCTGATTGCTGTTTTGAAAGTGATGTTTACAATGTGTTCAGTGTTCACGATGAGTTTTAAAAAGTGGAAGAGTTGGTATATACATTGTATTGTCATACAGAACTTGTAGTTTGAAGATTCAGATAAGATCTCTTCAATTATTTATTATGTAACATGCAAATTTAGTCCAAACACATGGGTCACACAGTGCTCTATGATAAATCACTTTTGTTTTTGAAATGTACCAAAAATATTCTACAAATTATATCTAGGAACCACCCCTTCCATTAAAAACCATTTGTACAATTTGCCCATCAGTGCTAGTCTAATAATCAACCTCAAAAACCATCTCAATTCTTAAGGTAGCAAGGAGTTTAGAATTGACCAAAAAATGTGTATTAACTCTTTCTGACCCTTTAAAACTTTCAGGGATTGGCAATTACAACCCATTAGCTTAACCCATTCACTCATCAGTGGAAGAGTACTGTCAATAACGAGTTAACATATGACAAACATGACCTTAAGAGTTATGTCTGTGTTAATTTTCTGTTTGACAATGCTCCTCCACTGAGTAAAATGGCCCAACAAAAGATACTAAGTTATTACATACATAAAATACTAAGTTAATTACATGTCTGGGCATACTGTTAGCTGACAAGTAACACAAATAGTTCTTAAAGAAAAAATTGAGTGAAACAGATATTTTTGCATGTGTTGAGGTTTTTAACGGCCATACATTATAAGTGAGATCGTAATCTGTGTATAGATTAAGGCCTGTTGACCACATGTGGGGACATATCACTTAGCATGTCGAAGCATGTTGTACATAAATTTGTCTGATAATTTACAAAACAATATTCTGCAGGAGCTGAACGCAGAGAGTGCCATAGAAGCCTTGAAAGAGTATGAACCAGAAATAGCCAAAGTTGTGAGGCAGAACAAAGTTGGTGTTCAGAAAATCAAAGCAAAAGATCTTGTGCCCGGGGATGTTGTACATGTTGCAGGTAAATCATCTGCCAAGTTTTCTTTGAAAATTTCCTATTTTGCTTCTGATATCTTGGTAGATGTTCCTACAGACTGAAATAATGTAAAAAAAACTCTTTCGTGGGCGTACTCCACTCGCGAACAAATATATTTTGCAAATGTTTGCCTGTAATCTTATCATCTTAAATGGGCAGTGTGAGAACATCTGAACTTCTGCCAAGTGTTCCATGTAATTAGTTTAACATTTTTTCTATTTTTAGTTGGTGATAAAGTTCCGGCCGATATACGTGTTACAAAAGTATTATCAACGACCTTAAGAATAGATCAGTCAATCTTGACAGGTTAGTTGACATGAGCATTACTTTGTGGAATAATGAATTTCTTTAGTTGATAAGCCTCTAAGTTTTTAAACAGTGTTTCAATGTCAATTCTTTTTATATCCTTCACAGGAGAGAGTGTGAGCGTTTTGAAGCATACGGATGCAATTCCTGATGAACGGGCTGTGAACCAGGATAAAACTAACATGTTGTTTTCCGTAAGTAAGATTTCACCGTCCTCCGCTGCTGTGGCGTTGATGATGATGAATCCAATGCAAAATGAATAAAATGATTAAACTACATTCATGCACTACCATCTGAAATGATCCAACTGTACCACGGAAACTATGTAGTGCTGTACAGTACTCTGACAGTTTCTTGAAAGTTTGACAGTTTGAACATTTCTTGAAAATCCCAGAAATTTTTTCATCAGTTTTATCTCAATATTTCACAGGGAACAAACATTGCATGTGGTCGAGCCATCGGCATTGTGTGTGGTATTGGATGTAATACTCAGATAGGTATTGGTCACTGATCATTGAACTATTCTAAATGATTACAATGAAGTCATTGTCAAAAGTGATACAATCAATCATGATGATTTTTCTCCATCGTACTTCAGGGAAAATCAGAGATGAGATGGTTGAAACAGAGTCTGAGAAAACTCCTCTGCAGTGTAAGCTGGATGAGTTTGGTGAACAGCTTTCAAAGGTTTGTATCCTTTGTAATCTTATATCAATATCGAGTGTTATTTGTCTGGGATGATGATCTAAGATTCCCCTTCACTTGTTTCATAAGTGATAGTCTTTATTCTGACACCAGACAAAATGTGAGCCCCACAACCTTTTCCACTCACCCTCGACCCTTCCTCAAGTCCCTTTTCCTCCTTTCCCCCTCCTCATACGACAACAACTCCCACCCCTTTCTTACTCCCCGATCAATCTTTATCACCACCTTTCAATTCCTTCACCCTCCCCATCCAACCCCTTTCAATTCCCCCCCCCCATATTTGCAACCCATCCTTTTCCCTTTCTCTCTAATCCCTTCTTCCCTACCAACCCCACTCCGTCCCCTCCCTGTGTGTCACCATCACCATTCACAACATTATCATACTTCCCACCATCATTTCAGATCATCACCGTAATATGCATAGCAGTCTGGGCGATCAATATTGGTCACTTCAACGACCCCGTTCATGGCGGTTCTTGGGTCAAGGGTGCAGTTTATTATTTCAAGATTGCTGTTGCTCTCGCGGTGGCCGCTATACCCGAGGGATTGCCCGCTGTCGTGACAATATGTCTTGCATTAGGTTAGTCCAGATTATCTTTTCAGTCATCGTCGAACATGCTTTAATTAGAGATCTTGATTTTTTCCGCTCCGGGGCAAGCTCGTCTGATTTGAGTTATTTTTCAATGATATTTTCCATAGGAACACGAAGGATGGCAAAGAAAAATGCGATCGTTCGTAGTCTTCCTTCGGTGGAAACACTCGGCTGTACGTCCGTCATTTGCTCTGATAAAACTGGAACACTGACCACGAATCAAATGTCTGTTTGCAAGGTAAGAGCCCGACAGATATTTCACTCTCTTAGCGCACAATTCTAATTGATGAATTCTGCCAATGACCATGGTTAAAACTTAGAGGATGTTTCTGTGGTTTACGTGAGCCTGGTTGTTGTGAGGTCTGTCACTCTTAGGATCATGTTATTTACTTATCCAAATACATTCCTCATATTCATTTTACATTTCGTCTAAACTCAACCAGACGGGATCATGTAACTATTAGCAGCCCTTGAACTACCTTTCCTACACAATATCCTCCTGCCCATTCCCCTCTTTTTACGATAATTTTGCTATTTTCTTTATCAAAATAAATCCTCATTTTCTCTTTATATCTCAGTTCTTTATTTTAGATGAAATGAAGGGCGAAAAACCAACATTCAACCATTTTGATGTCAGCGGAACAACATACGCCCCAGAAGGCGAACTGTAAGTCCCCTCCCTCCCCTCCCCCGGTTCATCCACCATGGATTCACCGATTTTGAAGGTTCCTTCATGTGTGTTCTCGTTCCCCTGTAGAACTTTGAATGGAAAAACCGTTCGCGTTCAGGATTACGAAGCCATTCAGGAATTGGCCATTATCTGTGCGCTGTGTAATGACTCTGGTGTCGACTACAACGAGGCTAAGAAACATTATGAAAAAGTTGGCGAAGCGACTGAGACCGCCTTGGTCGTGCTGGTTGAGAAGTTGAACGTGTTTGGACTGAATCTTGATGGAAAAAACCCACACGAGCTTGCAAATGCTTGTAACAACGAGGTTCTTAAACACTTCACCAAGGTAATCATCTTTTCATCACCTTTGTATTCCTCTGAAGAAATCCCTTACAGTAACTTCTCCCAGGCAGATCCTTACTGTGTATTAATGTCTTCTCGTTTTCCACAGGATTTCACATTTGAGTTTTCTCGTGATCGTAAATCGATGAGTGTCTACTGCATACCAAAGGATGGTCTCCGTGAAATGTTCCCTAGTTCAGGACCTAAGATGTTTGTTAAGGTATGTACACAGTTATGTTACCTTCGGTCCCTTTCCCCCCTCCCACTCGATCTCAAAGTGAAAGACCTCTTTCCACTTGTTTAACGAGACTACCTATGAGTATTATGTTATCGTGTTTCAAATCTCTAAGGTAGTAGCTACAATTGTTTCCCTTGTCTAGGGTGCTCCCGAAAGCATTTTAGAACGATGTGAATTCGTGCGCATCGGTCGTGAAACTGTGCCTCTCACTGAAGAAATTAAGAGTGAAATCTTGAGTAATGTGCACGTGTATGGCACAGGTAGGAGACTTCGATACAATGAAGTTTAAATGTGACATTGTTGCAAAAACAAGATCCTATATGCACGACCATGCAGAGAAAGAGTGATTTAGTGCAAATAACAATAAATGTACCCGTGATATTCTTGTAGGTGAAAACACATTGAGGTGTTTGGCCCTTGCCACGATCGACAAACCGATGGCCAAGGAAAAAATGAATTTAGAGACCCGTGATGTGACTCAGTATGAGGTAGGGACCGGTTTGAATCAAACTCTTACCATGCAGTGTATTTGTGATTTTCGAAGTCATCTCAAACTCCAAAAATATCAGGCTTTATTCTTGTTAAAAGCTCAATCTTCGCACCATCTCTAAAAGGTCCTGTAATTGAAAACCTCATCTTTACTAGGATGGTATGACTTTCGTCGGCGTAGTAGGAATGTTAGATCCACCGCGTTCAGAAGTCGTCGACTCCATTCAGAGATGTCAGAATTCCGGAATTCAAGTGATTGTCATCACTGGTGATAACAAGGGAACTGCGGAGGCCATATGTCGAAGAATCGGTGTGTTCGCTTCGAAAGAAGAGACGGCAGGTATTGGAGACAAAGTCATGTTTACATCCATTCGTGGTGTCGCGGTTGGTTGGTGGGTGATTCTTTTTCGTTTAAAACCATACTCTTTTTTCTAGGTTTATCATACTCAGGACGGGAATTTGATGATTTGAGTGAACAGGAACAGCGGGAGGCTTGCAGAAGAGCCAGGTACGTAACTTAGTTTCTTGCTTGTAAGCGTGCGAACAGTCGTATATTTGTCCTAACACCTACTCGCAGGCTACTCGACCAGTGTTTCCTATCGTATTCTCTTCAAACCAATAGGATTGTGTTTTCTTTTATAAGTACCCCTGCCATCAACAAGTAAATTGCCTGGTTTCAGATGGAGCGAAAATCATGCATAGCCTATTATTTCCGGCTGGTTTATTTTTGTCCAAAATTAAAGCGCGTTGTTGCAGAATTTGTCAACCGTACTACACACTGTAGTAATCATGCCTTTATCTGCCCCAATTCCGGTCCAGGTTGTTTTCACGCGTGGAGCCGTCGCATAAAAGTCGTATTGTGGAATACCTTCAAGATGACGGTCACGTGGCTGCCATGACAGGCGACGGTGTCAATGATGCTCCAGCTCTAAAGAAAGCTGAGATCGGTGTTGCCATGGGATCGGGCACGGCTGTAGCCAAAACTGCTTCCGGTATCCTTTTGATAAATTCTCCTCGAGACACGAGTTCACACGTTCACCTGTTCTATTTCATGACAGCATTGATTCCCCTGCAGTTCATCCGATTTGGGTTTGCTAAAAAATCGTCTGTTTTGAAGACGTGAGAACACGGCAGTTGTTAAAACTTGCCATAGCGTGCACCTCCGTGATGTTTGTACAAAAGTTACACAATCGCTCCTCTTTCCTTTGGTGACATGATGCAACCTGTCAATCCATTCTCTGAGTGAAGCTCTCTATTTTTACCATAAATAATTTAAAGTTCAATGCATTTGGTATCTGAGGTATTCTCAATCCATTTCATTCTCTTTAAATTACGGTGGAAATGTTAGCCTTTGCGCTGAGTGCAGACTTGATCTGATCACCACATATTCTCTTGCCCCGCATGTATGTTTCTAGAAAAGCCCCACTGTCCCTTACGGGCGACCGTAGATAATGATTCTTCTGCCCTCGGATTCCGTACGAACATGATTGAATTGTAAGTTGCGTGTTTTTCCTTAAATGGTGTCCGTTCAGAAATGGTGCTTGCCGATGATAATTTTGCTACGATCGTTGCTGCTGTGGAAGAAGGAAGAGCCATCTATAATAACACAAAGCAATTTATACGATATCTTATTTCATCCAACATTGGCGAGGTCGTCAGGTAAGTTCTATCTCTGGACCTATAGTTGGACTAAGTTTGTAGCTTGACTAAGAATTTCTGTAGGGTTAGTTTATTGTCCAGGCAATTTTTTAGAGACCAGTGATTTTCCGTAGATTTATTGATGTCTTGACTCTATGCAACTTTTTCTTCTTTAGTATATTCCTCACGGCTGCCTTAGGAATGCCAGAAGCGCTCATCCCAGTTCAATTGCTGTGGGTTAACCTAATGACGGATGGTCCCCCCGCTACAGCTCTTAGTTTTAACCCCCCTGATCTGGACATTATGGAAAAACCGCCGAGGAAGTCAAAAGAACCTTTGATCAACAGATGGCTCTTCTTCAGATACCTCATCATTGGCAGTAAGTGACAGTAGCGAGGTTACCCCAATAGCGACCAAAACCAGTATCACACGCCTAAAAATCTCCCCTCTTTTATTATTCTCTAGTATATGTTGGGGCAGCGACAGTCGCGGCATCAGCCTGGTGGTTTATGTACTATGAAGGTGGACCTCAGATAACCTACTATCAACTGGTAAGACGATCGATATTCACCTTCCTTGCCGTGCTCTGCGCTTGCTAGATGCAGAGAATTCTAAATTCTCTCTTTTTCCATCCAGACTCACCACATGCAGTGTCCTTTGGATAAGGGGGCATTCAAAGGCGTCAATTGCTCAATCTTTTCCGATCTCCATCCAATGACCATGGCTTTGTCTGTCTTAGTTACCATTGAAATGTTCAACGCTCTAAATAGGTAACGTATATACCACACATTTTCCAGAATCCAATTTATTTGATTATATGGTGACATGATGCAACCTGTCAATCCATTCTCTGAGTAAAGTTCTCTATTTTTACCCGAAAATGATTTAAAGTTTAATGCATTTGTTTCATTGAGGTATTCTCAATTCATTTCATTCTCTTTGAATTATGGTAAAAATCTTAGCTTCGCATTGAGTGCAGACTGATTCTGATCACCGTAAAGGAGGGGAGATACCCCACAACTAACCACCTCATTATCTAAACCTTTTTTCTTTTATTACAGTTTAAGCGAGAACCAAAGTTTACTAGCAATGCCTCCCTGGCAAAACCCATCGTTGGTCACTGCGATTTTGGCGTCATTTTTAATGCATTTTGTAATTCTTTATTTTAAATTCACTAATGTAAGTAGACGCGATTATGATTCATGTTTTTGTCTCGCAAGATTCTTTATCATTGGAAATCCGACGGAAAACGCAAGCGTATTTTGATCCTAGCTTTGTTTTGTTTTTCCCACAGACCATATTCCGCATAACTCCTCTTAATATGACGGAATGGATAATGGTTTTAAAAATATCCTTCCCGGTTATACTGCTGGATGAAGTACTCAAGTTTGTATCAAGAAAATTAATTGGTAAGGATTCCTTCTTATTTTTGTTATCTCCTGTAGTAACACTGAATCAATAAGAGATGATCCTTACTGAACCTCTAGGAAGAACAGTTTAGAACTATCCAATATAAATAAAGTTAGTTTAGTTTAGGTCTCCTGTAGTAACACTGGATCAATAAGAGATGATCCTTACTGGACCTCCAGGAAGAACAGTTTAGAACTGATAGAGCTATCCAGTATAAATAAAGTTAGTTTAGTTTAGGTTTCCTCCTGTAGTAACACTGAATCAATCAATAGGAGATGATTCTTACTGGACCTCTAGAAAGAACAGTTTAGAACTGATAAAGCTATCCAGTATAAATAAAGTTAGTTTAGTTTAGGTTTCCTCCTGTAGTAACACTGGATCAATAAGAGATGATACTTACTGGACCTCTAGGAAGAACAGTTTAGAACTGATAGAGCTATCCAGTATAAATAAAGTTAGTTTAGTTTAGGTTTCCCCCTGTAGTAACACTGGATCAATAAGAGATGCTCTTCACTGGACCTCAAAGAAGAGTCCAGATGTGTTATTGTACGTATTTAGTTTAATCAAATTCCGTATTTTTCAGGTGTTGAGCATCAACATAAAGTGAAGACAGATTAGATCATCAACGCATGGTATGAAATAGTGTTGAAGTGTAACTGAATATTCTAACCCCACCTTACACCTCGTAACAAAACTTCAATAATAACCATTCCTATAAAATTTATTTATATAAACTTTGGAAACGGTGTAATTTATTATAGGCATATTACAGTTGTCGTATTGTGAATATAAAGCATATAACGGGTAGTATATATTTCTATGCAATACCATAAATAATCCGTGGATAATACAAAGCTTGATTAAGGGCTTTGTACATGTAGTATTAATCCGTTAATCGAATCCGGATTCTATATAGGGCACGTAATAACTAAATAGGAACAGGTTTTAAACTAGCTTCGTATTGTTTGCAAACGAAGTGAGGAACGTTGCTTAGTTTTTTTTTTATCATATTTAAGGATTGTGTTGTTGAGCGCTTTATTTTTATACGGCAAAAATGATCAGGACGGTTGCATTGTATTAGTACAGACTTAAAGATTACTGGTTATTTCATGTATGCGCTTTAAGATCATTATATTTGCAATTCAAAATAAAACCGACGTGATCATTTTAGCTGTCGTAAAAATAGACTTTCTAAGCGAATTTTTGCGTCATCTAAGTAGGCATGCTTTTAAATAATGATTACTTGATTCCCTTTGTAAGCTGTACGTGATTGATTCTGTATGTGAAATTAGGATGCCGTTTTAGGGAAATTTTTGCCCTTTATTTACCCCGTTACGAAGTTATTAAAAGTAAGAAAAATTGTGCGGTGAAATTGTTTATTGTTTTAAAATTTTTTCTGAACACGATACGTTTGTAACATTGCATTGTTGAAATTTTCTTGATTCAATGAAATTGCATAACAGTATCTTGCCTTTATATGGTGCATTTATTTATTAAACATAATTTTTATCACCATCGAAATCAATAAATTAATTATAGAGTACACTCCATTTAAAAAATATTCTACCAGGGGCCGGTTGTATGAAAGCCGGATAGCGCTATCCACCGGATAGTGATTTTTTCAATCGTTTTGAAAAATTTCAAATCGCCCGGTATTTGCTATAACTTTGATAAAATCTTAGTATTCCAAAATCGAGGACGCTCTTTAATAATTGTTTGTTCCAAAGATGAAATTTTATCGCAGTTTTCGAGCATTTTTAGAACGATTGAAAAATCACTATCCGCTGGATAGCGTTATCCTGCCTTCGTACAACCGACCCCAGACATTTCTCGATGTCTACCAAACACCGTTCTAATGCTTTGAGGCATCTAAATCACACTACCACCATAAAAAGTTGTTATAAAAATCGGTCCTTACTGGAAACTCTGCAAAATTTTGCTATGATCAACCTCCATTAATTAGGTGTTATTTACAGTATGGATATATATTTCTCCATGTTTAAAATTAAGTTTCAGCTTGACTAGAAAGATGTTTTCCTGATTGTACAATATATTACTATGACTAATTTTAAAATTATTTTTCTCTAATCATCGCTGAGAATGATTTTTTTGAATTCTCGTTCCGTGTCGGTGTCTAACGCAGACGAACGTGTTCTTTTAATGTCCTTGTGTTTCTTTGTTAACAACGAGCCGTTGTAAAACGCGAATTCTCGTTTTAACTTCGGCCTTTCCTCGGGCGTGTCCGAAGCCGTGGACGAGTTACTTCGAGATAAACTCGGCGTAGCTTCGCCTAGTTCAGTTTCTGTATCGCTCGGAGGGGAGTAGGGAAGGTACGGAGCGACTGCTTTCTCCTGTTCGTCGAAGAAGACGACGATAGCGCTTGTGTTGTCTGCGCGAATGTTTCTCTCCCGCCATTTTGCCAACGCTCGACAAGTTAATCTGGAAATGAGAGGACATATTGGTTAGAATTATGGCAGTAGGGCAACGTGACTACCTTTTTGATGCTGGATAGCTCTATCAGTTCTAAACTGTTCTTCCTAGAGATCCAGTAAGGATCATCTCTTATTGATCCACTGTTACCCAGGTCTTCCTCCGCGGATCATGTTAGGCACGTGATTAGTTACCACGCTCCTTTGCCACGCTCTGTCTCAACAGCGCCCTCTTGTAGAACCATAATTTATATTGTAATATTTTGTATAACAGAAAAAGTTATTGTAGATGGAAGAATCCGTATGAATCCCGTTACTTTTTGCAACGAAAAGTACGAAGTGATGGCCCGGTAAGTTGCAAATAAACGTATCAAATTAGTAGTGTGAATGAAACATGTTTTAAATTTGATACAAAAATGTATCCTGCTGTTTCAACCAGGCCGAATGTGTGTTGAATAATGGAATTATATTTATTGGGCAAAAGTCGCAGGTTTGGACTTAAAAAAGCAGAAACTGATCTAGTGTATCTCATGTGAAATCAAATCTGACTTAACCTCGCGACCTAACGACTTAACTCCCTTTATTTGCGACGATTAAATAGATTGCAACAGGTTAAACAAATAAATAAGAGCGCTATAGCACGTGGCGGTTCTTTGTCATTAAAATTTGTCTTCCTGTACATCTTATAATATACGATGAAAATGTTTTCGAATGTCCCTGTTTGAGAACCAACTTTTGACTAAGAAACCTCGTGAAATCTGATTTATTATCCTAGTTGGTTGTCTGTGCATGAATGATTTTTTTTAATTCTCAAAATATTTTCCGTTCTAGGCTTTTGGGTTTGAATTGGATGGAGTGAAATATGGTTGACCTTCCTGCCTTTGTTTTCGCCACAAATCTCAACACATCATGAAATGAAATGTCGAAAAAGATAAGTCGCAGCTGTTTTTTAATGTTGATGTGGCCCTCTCTTCCTTTCTGCCATTTTTGTAAATAAATAGTTTGGATGTAGTGCAATTACATTCAAACTAACACCACAAGCCTTTTTTCCTGTGGATGTTGTCATGTACTTGACAGAAAGAAAAATTCAGCCCACCTGTGGGTGACGTCATCTCGCCAGTCCATATCGAAGACATTCTTTTCAATGTTGTCTACAAAATGCACAACTTCCTTGTTTCTCATGGCATTCCATAGTCCGTCCGATGCCAGCACAACAAACTTATCTTTCCGGGGATCAATAAGCCTGTAGTGGACATCGGGTATGGGTGAGACAAGGAAGTCTCCGACAAGGGGATTGAAGCTCCACAGATCACCTTAAAAAATAACCAAGAATATATTCTTTCTTTTCTTTATTTAACCTAATTGGTTTTAAACTTGATTTTATGAATCAGCCTGCCTTAAATTGCATGCATTTCAAAAGTTTAAAATATTGTAATTACATTAACACACGAATGTGTCTAAAATAATAAATTATGAAATATAAAAATAATGAAATCAAATAAATTAAAGTATGTAACAAAGCATAATGGATTAAATAATATAATGTCCTCAAGTAATCTTACCAAGCGAGCGTGCAATGGCTAGGAATGGGACACTCTCCATTTTTGTGCTGCGCAGAACTGGTCCTCTATGTTTTCCAATACGGCTAACCCTGTTCCACGCAACACGAAAGATACCGTTGCTCCGGCCGATCTGCCCCCCTAGCGATTTGATTCGCTGGACCTCTAGGGGGTCTTCTGGTTTGTGGTCGACTGTCAACGGCACAGCCTTAAGACCCTCTCCATCTTCATGGGCAAGAACCACCCTGGAGTCCCCCACGTTGGCGACATACATGTGGCGACCTCGCATGATCACCACAGACGCCGTAGTTCCAGCTGTACTTGGGGTGCCATACTTCGTCTTGGGCCATGAATCTGTCCAAAGAGAAACGGATCTTTTTTACTTTTTTTCCTCTGGTGAAACTAAACACTAGACAGTTTTACTTGACACTTGGTGGTGACTGGCTGTGAATGTCACAAAGACAGTGTGTGACTATGTAGGGCAGGCAGCCACTCCAGCCAGGCAAAGCCTTATGCAGTGATGTGTAAAATACAATGTAAATATTAACTAAGCTTTTTCTCATTTTTGGCGCGCGGAAGAGCGCCCTCCAAATCACTTGACTCTGCATGGAATGAAAACGATTCATCGACTTATAAATATTCTTAATATTTATGTTAATAATGACTTAATGTTAATAATATATGACTATGTCACTATGAGCATAGCAACAATATAGATGCGTGTAAAGCACATGACCTTCATAATCCAATGCTGTATAAGGACTCCCCGGCTTCAGAACTATTATACATTTTATTATTCAGAGTGTTGATTGAAATGTGTATTGTCGTTGCATGCTAATAGCATTTTTGCCGCTAATTCCGGATATTTCTGTTGATTTTGAAATTCCGCATGAACATGTATATATGGAAAACGTGCTCTTTGCTTAGAGAAGCGATTTAAGGTCATCGCAAATATCGCATCAACAAGCTCCTTTATGTGCTAAAAAATTTATTCATTTCTGTCCGATTTTACGCATGGTTGAACGTCTTAGAGTTAAGATGGTTAAGCATCTGCAAAGTGCTCCTACGCATATAGATCTTTTCAAAAATATTCAACTTATTCTCTATTATATTTAGCACAGCGCAATTTCGATATTTATTTCATATTCTCATGAATAAATGTATCGACGTCGTAAATAAATACCCGTGACTTTGTTGCGAAATCGGCAGTGAAGATATTGTTGATTGTAAATTGTTGACCACTGTCTCTGTACATTGTAAGGTAGAAATTGGAAGGTAATTGAAGTGTCTCTTTATAATGTAAACCTAAAATTGATTCAGCGAAGCATTTCCTTGCACGCTTTTGTCAATACATGTCAAATGTGAATTCACAGTGCAATACGTGTCAAAAATTTGATCAATTTAATTCTTCCTTGAAATCTCCAAATCGAAACAATCATTTCTACTTCCTAAGTTTATCGATTATCTACTAAATGATTTATAGCCCAAGCATAGCCCAAACATATATAGACTATACGATCGAAGTAGTAGAACATCTGTCTTCATAGTGCATAACCTCTATACTTTATTTGAAAATTTACAATTAGATATCAATGAACAACATTCAAAGATCGTATCACTATGATACAAGTCATACAACCTTCGTCGGTAGGACCATAGTTCATATTAACTATGGTTTTACCTCGATCTAAATCTCGTGAACCCAAGTCTAATACAATATTTATACGTCTATTTTTACGTACATTATTTTTATACGTTTTTACAGAACGTTTGCCTACCTCTCTCCTTCCACATTGCCGTGTGTACTTCTATAAATGCCCGTTTGATAGCCTTGCCAACTTCATCAGGATCACTGGAATAGAAATCCTTTTGTTTCTGGATTGTTTTCCAGAGATTTTGCCTCGCAAAAAAGGCAGCCTGATGGCCTCCATGGCCATCGAATACCGCGAAAAAGCACTCGCTGTCTTCGCGTTTATCCAACGTTACAGCTGTATAGTCCTCCATGCTTTTTCTTGATCCCTGAGCCGCCTCGACAGAAACGCGAAGGTGGACTGTAGTACCATTTGAAGCAGACATCGTGTAAAAATATCCCCGTATCACAAAGAAAATCGTTAGATTCTTGTTGTCTTGAAATGTGTTTTAACTGTTTCGCACTATGTCGCGCTATAAATTGTTTACATATGAATACTTTTCCGGTTCGAAGTAGCCAATCAGAGACAAGGTTAAAACTTGTACATTTCGCATGCAACCAATCATATTGCAGAACAGCTTGCGGACAAGTTCAGACTTGGCTGGGCAAAAGCTGGCAAAAACCTCTGAATTTGTCCCCGTGTCTGTTGCGCATAAACATGCCCTAAGCACCACGTAAGCATTTATTCCTTAATGAAAGGTTCTCATATAAACGCGAAAATCTCTCGTTTGTGTGATTTATTGTCGTCATAGAAATTACGCATGTAGGAACCAGGTGCTTTATAGTGTGTTTCTTGAAGGACGAATTAGTTTCCCCAATCACTTGCATGTTGATAGCATGATGAATGGTTCGAAATTTACCAGAGAAGTCTCATCCTGTATTTCCAAATTTACCCTTAGGCTTTAATTATGACTGTTCAAAACGCTTTTGCACTTTCAGTAGTAGCTGTTTAACCTTTCTGACCCCTTCGTACAATTTGCATAAAACAAATGCGAATATGGTAAAAAATAGCCAAGATTTTGTTTCATTTTCTTGCCCCGTCAAACTGCATTGATGTGATCGGTTTGGACACCAAACCGAGCGCGGTAAGCGTTATGGACAATCTAGACAGTAGCCAGTGTAGCTAGACCATCTCATGCAAAGACAGGCAATGATTTTCGACCTTTGTGACCCCTCGGGACAACTTTTGGGTGCAACGTTACGTAAAAAATAGACGATATTTCATTTGGTCTTCTTGCCCAACAAACTGCATTGATGTTGGACTGCCTTGGACACAGTAAGTTAGCTGGTGGTGGTCTAAACATGTGGTCGGACCATTCACCAATAATGGTTTGGCCTATGGGGAATGGGGGGTTGTAAAGAACCCTGTAATCGATATAACATGAAGTAGACGATGGCAAGGGAAGATGCCGAAATTAAATTTTGCTTTGTTGCTCGGGTTGAACTTTGAAATAATTCGTTTCGTTTGTATTGAATCGTTAAATAAACGCCTTATTTTGGTTTAAAGTTCAAGGATATGTAGCGGTTTGGACATCATTATGGCATACGGTATCATACAGACATACATTTGCGCAACGTTACAGCGTTTAATATATTGAAGACTGAACTAAAATGACAGGTATTTTAAATGCTAGTAATATTTACATTTGTATAGTATGCAGTAAGGATAGTAAACGTCGATAGTTAGCTGTAAGATTGCGTACTTTTGTTTGTAATGTGGGGATGTGTAGATTCTCGTAGTTAAACTGCGATTTTTTTGTTTTGTAAAGAGTCGATGAATGACGTGTTAGTATTGACAATCACAGATATAGGCAAATTTTTATGTTGCTAATAACATTTATATTAAACGTAAATGTAAATTGAGTATTCTTCTGAGACAAAGGCAGTCAACGAGGCTTTAATACAATAGGCTACTTGCAGATCAGTGTGAAAGAAAATATTGCTGAAATCATTCAAATTTAATGAGATAATTGAGATTCAGCTTGCTTGACCTTGATAAAAAAAGTGACATCGTGCATATACATTATTATATCCCCTTGAAAAAAATTGGAACTTGTGGAAAGGTAATCAAGTTTTCCTGATTGCTGTAATGATTGCTGAACTGGTTGAAAACCTGTTTTCCGTTGTGGGATTGATAAAGATTCCATTGCCTGTTGTACATATTATAAACTTGACTGCACAGTTCACTCTACAGACCGTCTTCCAGGGCTGTGGATATATTGCATAGTTTAGTTTGTTCCCTAAGTTTCATTATAATAAGTCCCTACATCCCTTGTAAACAATACTAATTACTGTTCACCAAGTGTAGAGATTCTATCAAAATAACACACCCTGAAATTCTGAATTTTCCAAAGCTTGCACACCTGCTTGCAGACTTTATCTCAGCAGGTGATATAATTATACTAAGTACACAAAAACTTGTGGTCCAGTGTAAAAAATTGTGTTATTGTGATCTAACTTGGATGAAAATTATGTTGTTCATAAATAAAGATTGATTTTGCTTGATTCAATAAGGACTAGAGCCTAGGCCTTGAGACGGCGAAGTAGAACGGAAGGGTTCGCTCTGGCGTTTTTTTTTCAATCATCTCGTGTGCAGGTTACGGATTAAGTTAAGCGGATGAATATACTTCTAATGACAATGATTCGCTTGTTGTTTGTGAACAAGAAATTGCTGTGGCTGTTTGTTTCAGGAGATGTATAGTTTTGTTGTATTCTTAAAATGTTTATGGAAACGCGTTATTCACTGAGACGACGGTAAGTGACAGACTTATTGTAGGCCTAAAGCTGTCATATTTGAAACGCATGACCTTAATGTGTTAAGTTACGTGCTTACCGGCAAAATTTGCTTCAAAACAGCGTTAAGCGCGTCGTGCTTTGGGGCAGAAGGTCACGGTGACTCTTTCGCTCTTTAACTTGCACAGAAATCGAAGAAACTGTAAACAAAGTGTAACGTTCGTGGTGCAAAAATCAATCTTATATAGCTGTAGGTTTTGCTACTTGGAGTCCATGGCGGGGGTCTTTATTTCAGCAGCAGACAGAGTTGCCAGTGTATGTGATGCTATGCTCAAAATGTAATGGTGGGTTAGGGTGCCGCTAGAGTTTTAGGTGGGGGGTTATTTGTGAGGGAGCTTGCCTTGTTCCCTCACAAGATACAAAAACGCAAAATGTTGTTGAATTTTATACAATTAACCTCGGGTAATGAAATCTTCAATGTTTTTTTCCGTCTTTCAGGCAATGATCTCGTGTGGAAGACAGAGGAATCGTTATAATCTCAAGAGCCACAATGAGGCGTTTATCATTAAATTCGACGTTCCAACGAACTTTTCTATATCTCGTCGTGGCTTTGATTTTGTTCAACGGAATATGTGTCATCGTTTCGCCAGAGTTCTCGCTCAACGCTCTGTTCCGATACATTGTCAGTCGCGGTCCAGATGCAGAGAAAACCGCCGCTGCACCCTGCCCAAAAATGTCCATCCAGCCCGCACTCTACCCCAGGCTCTCCGACGAGAGCCTCGCCTGTCGACCACATATCCAATCAGAGAAGGCCTGTGCATACACTGCGCGTGCGTATGCCTCACATCCGTCGCTCCGGGATTGCCCGGAGCTGCCATACGAACTATGCACCGTCTCGGAGAAAGTACCCGCTCGCGGGAACTACACTTATGCATCGCTCACAATCAGTTGCGATATGTCTTTGTGTGACCTAGAAAAACCAATGTTTATTGAAATGATGAACCCAAGCGATGGACGAATGACCAGGGCTTCTATTCCGATGGGTGCAAATGATTCTACGGTCGAGAGGTATGTCTTGGAATATGCAGAAAAAGCCCGGACAGCTGATCTCAATTTTTTGTACCTAAATTGCACTGGACTGTATACTCGTGCCAAGATTTCACAGTTACTTACATTTTTACCTGCGCTACCGCGCTCCGTGAAAGAAACGCGGAAGGAGAGGGTGAATGTGAATGTTGTATTGATAGATTCACTTTCCAGAGCGCATTTTTATCGTTCTTTACCAAAAACTGTCGAATTTTTGCGGAAAAAGAACGTAGACCCTGATTTTCCCGCGCACGTTTTTGAATACGAACTTTTCCAGGCCGTTCACGGTCATACTCATCAGAGTGAGCATGCGCTGTTCAGCGGTAGTTTATACCCGCATGCGTGGAATTCCAAGCAGAGGGCAGCAACACCCGTTGGTCTGCAAATATTGTATGGAGTGTTCAAGGATGCCGGGTTTCAAACTATGTTCTTGGATGACCTGTGTTGGAAGGCTGTTTACGGCATCGTTACTAAGGTCAAGTCTTACAGTTGGAGATCTTTGCTCAGCAAAATGAAGACAACGAATATTGATACGCGAGGTAAGGGAATAAGGGTAATCAATGTCTTTTATGCTAAAAGGGTTGGGGGTCTTAACTTTTTGGACAGGAATCAAACCTTCCTTTGCAACTGAGCAGGATTTAGCATTTATACCAAATTCTTAGGTTTAGTTGAACGAAAGTAATAAATAAGTGGCGTATACTATATTTTCAGGCATTACCGAAGCTTCCTGCAAGCTCTTGGCAGAGAAAGGCAAACACGATTTACCGTTTTTCGACAACAAACAGCATCAATTGTGTTTCAACGGCCATCACCAGCACGAATATCTCTTCGATTACCTGACACGTTACATAGACATCACCCGCTCCCCAGGGAGCAAGCCTCTCTTCTCGTACACCTCGACCCACGTCTCCCACGATGAAGTCGGCTTGCGAGTTCAGAGCGTGGATAAACACCTGAAGGATTTCATCAACACCTTGTCCAGAAAGAAGAACACCATTTCGTTCCTCTTCGCAGACCATGGGAACACCTACACCCCTTATCAAGTCAAGTTTCTCGAAGGCAGACAGGAGATGTACCATCCTATGATGGTTGTCGTGCTTCCAAAAAAATTAGCTCGAAAATTCGGAAGGAATATCGTGAGGAATTTGACGACAAACCAGCATCGACTGTTTAATATGTTTGATTTTCGAGCGAGTCTAGTTGCGCTTGCAAACTACGATGGAAAATCCGAATTAGACCCTGCAGGATTGTTTGGACATATATCAAGACACAGGACGTGTAGGGATGTAGCTATGACTGAAGCTGCCATTTGCTTGTGCAGGACACGTAAAACTGTCGAGTTAGACCCGGCAGATGAGTTCATATTATCGGAATTTGCTGTGGGTGAGTTGAATAACAAAATACAAAGAGCTCTATCAAAATCGCGTATTTCGTTGAGAAATTCCACAGCGGGGTTACCTGTGCTTTTTGGCGCATGTCAGCGTTTGCGCATTCGGAAAGTGACAAATATCGTTCAAGAGTCGCAACCCGAGGGACTCTTGGCGACGTCCATGGACCTTACGGTACAATCAGGGACAATTGTTGACCAAGTTGAACTCATTACGGTTCGGGTTCAATCGACGGCCAGACGGGATGCACAGAGCCAGAGCCACCTTAAGATGAAATTGCTTTCATTTAATCGCATATCCCAATATGGGTCACACAAAATGTGCGCTGACCAGGGTGTGCCGCTGTCCTTGTGCGTCTGCGATAAAATATCAGCGTCGGCTGAACCAAAATCTACCAAGGAAATACTTGGTGTAAATTCTTCCATAACTTCGCACCCGTCACTTTCATGCTTACTACAAATTCGCCGGGAACTATCGATCAATAGTACAACAACACCTGAAGTTGGAGTATTTGAAATGGCTAACATCTGCAGAGACCGAACAGTAAATGTTACAATTAGCGCTAAAAATAATATTCGAACGTCGGCAGATTTGCCGATGTTTTTTACTTTAAAACCTAGGACTGTATATTTTGTAAGTTCGTTGAGAGCTGGGAATGTTAATATTGGGAGTTTAGAGTTGAAAGTGGATATTGAAATTTCAAAAGATGTATCTGGCAGTGAGCATATAGATACAACATCGTAGGCGTTTTAATAAATTTTTGAATATATTTTTTCAAAATCTCGGTAATCAAAATCTGTTTCATTGTCTTGAAAAATCTTGCTGCTCTTCATGTCATCCAGTCATAATCAAGAGATCAGAATGATCCATTGTCTTTTCACTGTCTTGAAAATCTAGCTGCTCTCATGTCATCCAGTTATAATCAAGAGATCAGAATGATCCATTGTCTTTTCATTGTCTTGAAAACCTCGCTGCTCTCATGTCAACCATTAATGATCCAGTGATTAGAATATTGCCATTGTCTTGCTGTTTTACGGAACAAAACAAGCAAGGCAAGGCTCACAAACACTCCTTTGCCTCTGACCAAACGCGCTTTCATACTAAAAGCCAAGTTAGTAAACCTGAAGATACACTCAAGCCTCTTTCTACAATCCAGAAGCCTGTCGTGTCGATTGTGGACTGAACAAGCGATTAAACAGGTAAGCTCGCTTAACGAACCGATATCTTGAAACTCGTATATATGCATTGGTAATATAGTAAACCACAGTAAACTGTGGTTACATGAGGGAATTGCATGTTCGTAAACTTGCAAAGCTATGGCCTGGTTTCTTCCAGACATTCCTTATTCGTCTCCACAAATCTTGTGAAAAGAGAAAACAGCTAGACCGGCGAGGTTATTCGTTAAGGTGTACTGTCTGAAACAAAATTGATAAACCGAACTTCACCCAAATTTGTGCGGACTGAATATAATCTAGGATATAAAATAGAGCCAGTGACTGATATTCCAAGCGAGACGACTTACTTGAAACACAAACGTGCAGATCAAGGACATGGATTCAACAAGAAGGTATTTATTCTCAATTTAGTTCTGAAGTTTTTCTGGACCCATTTCACATCGTGAGGATGACAAACTACAAAGCATTTTCAACAGTGATTTTCTGTCTGGCGTTACTCGTCTTTCTTTGCACACTCGTTATGCTAGCGGTTATAAGCTCGCTCGTAAAACAAAGGAGAAAATCATTGAGCGGCGGTGATCAAGCCGATGACGGAGAAGAGGAGCAATTGCATCCTGTACAGTCAGGAAATCCATTGGATGAAAACGGACTGATCTCTAGTAGCACGTTGTAAGAAGTTCCAATCTATCATAGTGTATTTTATAGTGTAACTGGGTTTATGACAGTTGCTTGTAAGCAATGAAATTGTCTTTGACTTTCTCCAATCAGTCAGTCAGTACCAGATCATCTCTAGGCCTGTTTTCATTATCGTAGCTAAATCTATCTTGCAATGCTAAACGTAGTCTCTTGTTCAGCGTTTTTACAAAAGCAAAATATATTTTCTTGTCCCTATCATACACATTATAACAATTTGTACATCAATTCCAATGAATATATATACAGTCGTTGTAGGTTATCAATAATATAGCAGTAAATTGAGTGTCAAAAATTCTATGGAGCGCATGCTAGTCTGATATTTTTGAGCACAGACTGAGTGAAAAATAAACAAAGATACAACCAACTCACATTTTCAGATAACTTGCATCTTTCGTCAACAACGATTTCATTATGAAATGATCAAATTAGATTCCAACACAACGATCATTAAACTAGGTTGTTTAGATATAACATTATAAGTCTTATAAGTAGAAAGTAGAAAATTGAATTTTGTTTGACAAATTAGCGTTTTCATTTGCGATATTCACGTTGTATTCGTCATCACGTTTTAACGGTCGTTTCATTTTTATTTCCGTCCGTTTTAACCTCTTCTTTCGTGCCAACATTCTGTATTACCAAATGCTCTTCTTTCGTTTTCTCCTGACGAAACGCCTCATTTGCGTGTGCACCATTCGTGAATGTGGTTTCGAGACGGTAGCTTGGCGTATACCTGCTGTTGCCCAATGCATTGGACTTTATGAAACGACGGAACACACAGCAAAACCCGATTAAAAGTATTAGGGTGATACCGATAAGGGCTATGCAAATCACAAGAAGTATTTCAGTGGTGTCCATTGTTCAAGTGTCCTAAAAAGCATTGCAAGATGTAAGATATGTGCACTGATAAGTCTATTTCCGTGTATTGAGTGACTTGATATTCGAGTCGCTAAATACTCCTGTCATTTCTATTCTGAGGTTCAGAAAGGATCAACTTTTATCCAGGCGTAAACTACGTGGATAACTCTATCAGTTCTAAACTGTTCTTCCTAGAGGTCCAGTAAGGATCATCTCTTATTGATCCAGTGTTAATTTGATTTGATTTATGCTGATAGGTTCGGCATTGCGTTCTTGATCTTCCTCACCCGATGTGGAAATCTGGTGTGGGAATCTGGAACACATCAACTTTTTTTAGATAGCCTTATGAGTTCTAATTATGGTTATAGGTCATTTGAGTGAAGACAATTTTCGCGCACATCGTACAATTAGGCCTGAGCACGAATGAAATGTCGTTTAAGTCTGAAATGCGAAGAATTATAGGAAACATGAGAGAGATTGCTCAATCCTTTCACAGACAACAATTCTTTCGAGTTGAAGAAGCAGCGCATAAACCCAGTAATGATAAAAAATAATTCTCACGTCTATTTAAATAATCTTACATAACACTAATCGTTTTTGAATGTATCTGTCAGATGCCGACTACATTTTTATGCAAAATTTTGACCTCTACGAAAGTAGAATCTCCTTCCGTCGCAAAACAACTCGTAAAACAGCCCGACAGTTAATTAATCCATGGAGGTTGCGAGTAAATTGCGTACTCATGTTATTGTAACTTTAATATTTGTCACTAATTACGTGGTAATGTCACAAATTTTAAGTCGAGAGCAAGCGATAGGCATTGTTATAAAATCTATATATTATTTATGATTCCCAAGTAATTTTTATATCGTATCTTCATTCCGGAAACAATCTAATCTCAACTCTATTTCAATATTTGTATAATATAAACATTAGCACTTTCACCAGCGCTACGAAATATGATAGTCTGATGCTTACCTTTATGAAAGATCCGTATGCAATTTGTAGACAGATGTGAAATTTATATTTCACACAAGAATACACGCACCGTTGAACTTGTAGGCCAATGTTGCTCGTCTTCCCAGCGTGAGATTTGCTCTTTTTTTATCTTTTAAAAGTAATAACGTTTAAAAGTCGTTAGGAGATTCGTAGGTAACCCACACGGTAGACAAACAAAGGGAACCAGCTATGAGGAGCGAACGTTTTCGACAGCGTCTCCCGAGATCCGAACGGCGGCTGTTTTGTTTTTCCCCAGACTAAAAGCGACTTAATCCGTGTGCGAACAATTACCATTTTTAATGCTCGGTGAAAAACGAACAAAGTCATTAGCTTGTTATCGGATGGAAAGCCTCTAAACAGTTCCTGTCACTGTCAACTTTCAAAGACGAAGCCTTATTAAAAGTTGACATATCACATTTTTCAATCTCGTATTTTATTTCGCTGCGTCTATTTTAAAAGTGGCCTTTTTTTCTCTACTATGAAGTCTTTCTTTGGGAAAAATATTCCACGGTTGATCCACAACAGATGGCTACACACAAATCAATTAAAAAGCATTTGTTTTTAACCTTAAAACAGGTTTGTTCGGGGTTTTAGGAAAAGCTAAGCTAATTATACTGACCGTCAACAAAAGGCTTCCTGTTTCTTGTGTTATACACTTATACACCCCCGCTCACGAAGCGTTTGAAATAAATGAATATTTATCTAATTTGAATGGTAAATTATGAAGTTGCAAAGATCATGACCAGTGCGAGACGACAAACCTCTGGTATTTATTCTTGATCTTGATATAATAATTTTGGGCAAAACTAGATGGCAGATACTCATTGACACTCTTGTAATCCTGGTCAATGTTATCTTGACCTATTTAAACCATTAATAAAAAGAAATCATTGTTTCTGGATTGTCGGAGATTATACTTATAAACTAGAATCTTGGTTTACGCAAATTATGCATATTTGCACCTCAATATATCTGCTCCAGTTACGAATCCCCGATATATATAGTTCATTCGGCACATGACTTGCTCGCCTGCGAATTCTTCACGTGGTCAATAAAAAGTATTTTCTCCAAAAACAGTTGGCAAGCCCTTTTAAAAAACGTCTTTTTAACACGTTTCAAGCAAATCTTAGCGAAGATTAAAGATGCCAGGTCAAAGACATTGTTCCCGATGCCGAGCTCACGGTTCTTGGGTTCCTTTAAAAGGCCACAAACTTTCCTGTCCTTACCGAAATTGCGGATGCCCACTTTGCAATTTGGTTGATCAAAGAAGAGCTGTGATGCAAGAACAAGCAAGACGTTCAGAAGAGACTGCTCAAGGAATAAGAAGTTAACGTTAAGATAAAGGTATTTAAGAATACGTCTGAACTCAATTCACCTTTAATCTGGTGTATCTAAGTACTTTTAGCGACTTATTTACATGTTTTTAATGTTTTATATTATCGTTATTTTGCAGAACTTGTATGTGAATCGGACGAAAAGATGGGACAGTTGACACTGGCAAGATATTTGTTATGACTGTTGGACTGCTTTCATGCAAATGATTATTAGTAATCGTAGCATGCTTACCTCTTGTTTCATGAATTGATAGTTAAAATCATTTTGTCATATGTAGCAAACGGTGTTTAGTGTTTTGAAGCCTGTTTAGCATGTTTGAAGGCAATTCTGACCCTATCCTATAATGTTTTATTAAATCTATGTTATTCAGCTGTATTAAAGCTACTTAAAATCTATTAAAGGCGTGTTTTAAACTTATAAAAGGGGAAATGTGATGCCTACAAAAGTAAACGTTCCATCAGCCCAATATTGACGAAAAAAAACGTCGTTAGACATATAATCAGTGTTGCCAACTGTAATTTTGTAAAAATCCCAAGTAAGCGCCTGAAATATCCCGAGATTCCCCCTAAAATCCCGAGATTCTAATTTCAACCCCAGTCCTCAGCTTTGGCGCACCCTAGTACCCAGTCCGGTCAGTTTGCGTTTCAAAAGCGGTACTTCTCTGCATAACCGATTGTACAAATAGGACAAATAGTCTTTATTGAGTGACTTTGAGTAGCGTTTTTGCCGCAAGTATTAATTTACCTTAGATTTTTAACATGTTTATTTGTCAAATTAACGAAAACATCTTTTCCCAAATTCCAAACTTCCCTTTCCCAAAAATCCCTAAAAAAATCCCGAGATTACCATTTGAGAAATAAATCCCAAAAAAATCCCAACTGCTTCAAAAAATCCCGAGATCTCGGGATAAAATCCCGAACTTGGCAACACTGCATATAATATAAACATGCTTTGGGTTGGTTGAATCAGCTAAAAGCTAGCTCACCCTAGCTGCGTTTTGAACGGTCGCATGCAACGGAGATTTATATAGACTTTGAGATCAAAGCAACGTGTCTTCAGGTAAATTTTATTTGTAAATAATACATGACATCTTAGTAGTAGAGCTTTATGAGTTCATCGCTAACTGCTGATGGCGTCAAGACACCAAGGTCTGTGAATAGTAAGTTGATGTAAAACGGAGGTGTGTAGTCCACTAATGGGTGATCTTCCTGTCTCGGAGATGAGGTGTAAGAATACTAAAAAGAAAAGGAAATTGCTTCAAAAATATAATATCGATGCACAACAGTTAACAATACCACATTAGCATTATCGTGATCCCGATCAAAATTGATCCAAACTATCATCATAATATACAGCATCAATGATCATGGTCACTACATTACCACTACCATCATGATAACACTATCACGATAATATCTTGATATGACCACGGTGATATCATCACGACAATACCATCACGATAATATCCTCACGATAAAATCTCGATTATATCATCACGATAATACGATAATCATAATCACCACAACTTACCTTCCATTTATTAGGCACATCACGCTGGTTCAATGGATAAAGACGGACAAATTTATAACTTTCAGCGACGACATGAAACGGCTTGTTGGCCGCCTTAGCCACGATGGCAATTTGATATGTACCAATCTAAATCACCAGATACGAAACGGTCTTCAAGACTAGTAGAAGCAGTGGTGAAATCACGATCATTGTTCACCTCACCTTGTTAATAATTCCGCCACTTTCAACAACTCCCTCGGCACCAACCAACACAAAGTCGATATTTTCCATTACGTAACTGTGGACGTAAAACAAGAAAACTGCTGGTTTATGTGAGGTTGCAATTTACTATTTCATGTTAGAAATGTTTGGCAGTGTTTGGGATACTTGAAACATTGTTTCACAGAAGCAATAGTTCTTTGAAAGAAGCTAAATCCTTACCCGACAGCGCTATCTAGAATCACGGTGGAAGGTATCCCTGCCTCCTGAAGTTGATCGTGCATCTTATAGCTATGAATTGAAGAGCACAAATTGCGATCAGGATTTGTGTACAGCAAGTTAAGTTTGTTTAGGCGTTGATTGTCGTTCATACCCTGACTTGTCTGGTGCAGATTCTGTGACCAAAACATTGAATCTTCTCTTCTGATTTGCCGCGGCTTTTAACAGTTTCAGTACAACTCTTGATCTCGAATGCGTTAAAATTGTCTGGTCAGAAAACGAGATGGAGGCCGTAAGGTGATGATATAAAACAATTTATGCTGTGTGACAGATATTTTTCTAAAATTTAGGTTTTGGTTAAAGCTAAAGATAAATATTCACATTGCTCTTGAACGCTAAACACTGAATAAAAAGCAGAAATATTTTGTCGACAAAAAAGCATCGATCCTTACAGCTCCATCTCTGATGAAATGATTACAAAGTTCGTAGATTTTGTTTCGCGAGGAAGCAGCCTTCTCTAGAAATAGCTTTCCTATAACGTAAAAACAAACAGAAAGTAAATTTTTGGTTGAAAAAATCCGGCTTATTCGTGTTAAGGTATCAGCTGGAAATATCTTTATTCATCGTATGAGATCTACCTCTCTCCACCAGAAGCCTCTTGCACTCTTGAAAATCCTTTTGTTTGAAATAAAACGTTGAATAAAATTGAAAAAGTGGAAAATGCAAGATTATGCTAGGATTATGTACACACGAGCTTACCGGGTGATCTAAAGAGGTGAGCGTGATGAAACGAAGGAAAAGTTCACATCCTGAGGCAACAGATGCAACGGAACTTTCAATGCTCGTTAACTTTTCAATGGCACTTTTGAGTTTTTCCCGAAGCTCCGACAGCGTTTCGGCTAATTCAAGATATTGAAGATGAAATCAACTGATCGTTACAGAAATATCGGGCATTGGAGGCCTTGGAGTCTTTATTGATGTATAAAAATTTCGAACAAAAGTTAAAACTATAATCTTGGTGATTCTTGTCACGTCGACTTTGCAAGACAACGTAGATTACGTCTACAACTTTACATTTACATTTTACATTTTTACCTGAATGTAATTGATTAATATACTCAATCAAGGTGCTGATTGCTGCCACCGCCTGGGGCGTGTCAGGATTTTCGTCCATTAGTTTCTTAAAGTTCGCCAGAACATCTAGAAATGAAGTATTTCAGTATTTGTGGATGGGAATTGTCTGACCATTGCCCAAGGGCTCGTGCAGTCACTCGGGAAGTCGGGAGAAATACGAGGAGAAAGATCTTCAGGCTGAGGGAGTTATAATGGCAAAACAAGAAGAGACGGCTTTTGAAATCGTGCTGTAGTTCTCAGTTACACCGAGGAAGACGCTTGCTATTTTGAGTGTTCTATCACAACGTACGACATGTTAAACGGGAGGGACTCCACATGAAACATTTAGATGAGGTAAGGTAAGCTATTTCTATTAGGTAAACCACGTTACTCAAAGCCTGTGATCCTTGCACATTAACTAGTGCATTATTATTTACATAACAGATCTTGCCATATTGAAAGTCATCATTATCAATCGTTGTTTTTTGTCCTTATTTCAACCGAATACACTATTCCGATTGCAAAATAAATGAATGCCCAACACAATCCCACTACTAAACTATTCCTTAAAACAGGAAATATCACATAAAAACCTTCATTCAAACAAAAAATTCCCAAAACTTACGAACCTTCGTCTGCCATATTGGAAGCTTTGTATAAACTTACTTACTTCAAGTAATTGACGTGATAAGACCGCTGGTACGGCAATTTAAAAGGACTGAAATAAATTTTTATTTACTTTCAACTAAACTTTCCAAAAATATGGCAAATTTATGGAGTGAGAGTGTATAATCTATGTAAATCAATCTAAGAAGAATAAAGTATAGATATCAATGTTTCGTTATCTGTAATATTGGCGTGAATGGTCAATTAGATTTTCTGTTATGCCGATTTGAAAATGACACAATGGTGCAACGTTACATTGATGAACGTGGAGTAAAGGGAATTTGCGACCGTTGGCAAATGAAATAAAGACGAATTGTGAATGGCTAAGATCTTGTTGTTAGCAAGATTGACACCTCAGAGTGGCAACTTGACAACGGCTGAGAGAATAAAGTAATATAATGGCAATAATATGTCTTTATATCACACATGAATTTTACTATGGTATCTAATGTGGCCCCTCTAGAGTTAGGAATGGGGTCTAGTGGCCGCTCTGGACAAATGTTTCTAGAGGGGGCTGGAATGGAATTGGAGAAATCAGTGGAGTTTGGTTGACTTTCACCTCCAACATTGCAGAATCATATTATAAACTAAAGATTTGTTCACAGTGTAATTGGCCTTAGTGCCCATTATTTTAAAAGCAGCGATCAATATCATAGTATGCCTTGGAGTGCCTTCCTGATCAAAATTCTGAATCATTCTACAATCATTTCATTCATTCAGGGGCCACCTAGAAGCATCTGGACATACCTGTGAGTTGCAGAACACAGATTCATTTGATGGAGTTGATCGAGATTTTAACCAGTTCGTTGTCAAAAGTGAATTTAATTGCATCATTGGGATCCATCTTTGGCGAGCGGGGAAATTACTTCTAGGTTCGTAATTCAGTAGCAAAAATGGTTTCATTTAAATGCCTAATGAATAATCAATCATATATTTATTTAGATGGTTGTGACGTAGTGTCATGCTCTTTTGATCTGTTTGTTTTTGTAATCTGTTTGTTTCTTTGCCTAATTGTTTGTTTCCTCAATCTCGATTTTTTTTCTGATACTCTCAACAACTTTATTCAACTCAGATTGTTCAAAGCCATTTTCCATGATATTTGGTGGCACTGACATAAATCTACATGTCCAAGACTCCAAGAAACTCGATGTCATGACGAAAGTTGTGGAAAACGCAACGTATGTAAATATCAAATACACCTGAATATACGAAACATCTTATTTTGGGACAAATGAAGTAAGAAACTCGAGTTTTCCATGCAGGAATCTGGTTGTGTTTTCTCAAAGGATGGCACTTAAAGCTGAGGCATTTTGGGTGAGTGATAAATGCAGCTTTGTCCTCATGCTGCTTTATAAATATGTGTGTCTTGTGAGCAGTAAAAAATTCAACAATTAAGCCATTCAATTCTTTATTTTTGATTAGCCGAATATCAAGTCAAAACTGGTCATTCAGCCGCAAGGTAGCTGAGACAGGCCTAAATGTATATATGTGTAAAGCGTTGTCCAATTTGGACAAATGAAATTTTTCCGCCATTCGACTGGACTTTTTAATGTCATCACGTTTTGTGTTGTTGTGCTATGGTAATTGACTCTACATGCAACTGTGTTCACCAGCTTCAGACAGAATTTCATCAATAGTCTGTCATTTTATAGCCATCTTCACTTGCCCATCCAAGAACTTTACTGAAAGAGATATGATTGACAAGATGAGAGGTACGGCTCCGAAATTTTCAAGCGCTTGCTAGTTGCTAGTTTTCATGGGAGACGATGATAAAAAGGTGGTTTGATCTTTTTGTAGCATGCACTACGGTGTCAGCGTCTTGTTTGAGAAACGACTCAGGAACATTGGTAAGCAATGCGATCTTTTTGTTGTCGGTAATCCGCCTAAATTACACCGCGTTACACGTTTGTTTGCATTAGACCAAAGCCAAAGTGAAGCGAATTACGGCAAATACTGGCTACGTTCGATAAAAGATAATCCTTAGTCCGTGCAGCGGTACACTCTTGGTTTGTGGTGATAAGCACGGATTTTTAAAAAAAAATTTCCATCTTCGTGTGGAACTTGCAGTGTAATTTTCATGTCTCTTTTAGATCATTTTTCTTCTCGTTGCTGGTTTAAGGCCAGTTAAAGATCCAACGTTTCTTTTTAAAGCCATGTCTGGTAAGTGTTACGGTGAATGATCGTACAGGAAAGGAATTAACAGAGCTATCGTATAGCCAGTGAGTTTTCCGAGCTCAATTCTGTGTTTCACTTTCATAATCAGATTGGCACAAAGAAGATTCGAGAGTTTTGCTGGTGGTCGTTGGTCCTGAGGTATTGCAAGCGATTGATTTCATTTACAATTTGCTTCCTTTATTCAGTTCTCTTAAATCATTTCCTTTTAAACGTTAGATAGATGTGGCGTTTGCAAAAGATGTAAAAGAAATGGCAAAAAGGTACGTTCGGAAGAGCACCGCATAACGAAATAACGGTTCTACCATGTGGACGGACATAGAGCTAGTTTAATAGACGTTTTTTATGCTTAGATATCCAGGTGTTGTGATTTTGCAAGCTCTCTCTCAGCCAGACCTCCACGCGGCGATAAAATATTCTGCCACAGCTGTCGTGAACACATCTATTAGCGAGGGAATGGCAGCATCCATTTTGGAGGTTTGAAAACTGATTCATGTCTAAAAACTACCACACGAAAGCGACACTTTGGAAGGATATAACCTTATCCTACCAGCATCCTTTCTTTCCCCCAGGCAATGGACCTTGATACTGTCGTGCTCGCAAGAAAAGTTCCTGGTAACGAGAGCGTGATAAAACATAATGAAAATGGTCTTCTCTTTGAAACCCCTGAGGTACTCAAGTATCCTTAGTTAAGATGTGTTTATATTGTGTGTCCTCGACAAGTCCTGAATCTCCCGTTATAACTTGTACAAGTACGTTTCTAAAACGTGTTTTGATGTGTTTTAAATTTACAGGAATTTATTACCTTCGCAAAGCAAGTTGCATTCGATGGGAAATATCGCGATAGGCTGACTATGGGTGGAAAAGAATACATTTCAAATAACCATTCGTTAGCTGTCGAACGAGAAACATATAATTATTTAGTAAGGACGCTAATGGCCTAAATTCGCTGGTTTCAAATATTGGTGGTTAACTTTGGGCCGGGATGGAAATTCAAACATTTCACGAGATTATTCTCGAACCATATAGGCAGAGCGGATATTTTTAAACTAGAATAAATATATTTTTATTCGATATATAAAAGAAAATTATAAAAATAATTTTGTAAAATGAGTGAACATCAAGTTTTAACATGCTTCAAAAGAATTTTCTTGAAGCCGTAAAGTTGTTTCATTTTAGCTATTTTAGTTTTAACTGGTATGTGAAGTCTTGTATAAGGCCGTGGTTGGTTGAAATATTAGCAACCTGGCTGTCTTGTAACGGGGCGTAGTTGATCGAAATATTAACATCAGGTTGCCAAACACAAACACAGTAAAGGCTGCAAGGTTGTCAGTAGCGTAGCCAGCCTGACGATTTGTCCCGCTATGCTAATATTTTGGTGTTCATTGGCTGTGAAAACAATAATTTTCTGAAGAAATGAATAATTATATCAAAACTCGAAATTTACATAGCGGGACAAAATCGTCAGGCTGGCTGCGCCACTGATGGTTTTCACTTGGCAACAAAAACATAAGAATTCGAAAGGTAAAGCAGTGAAATGCAATAAAACGTGCAACACAACTCACTCGAGAAGCATCGACACAAGACAAGACAGAAGAAATTTTAAAAGAATATATTTACTGCTTTGCCCTTTTTGCTTATATTTTTAGTCGGAATGTTTTGATCTCTAACGGTTATGCTATGTATAATGAAAACCTGGGGTGGTGCAAAGTCCTTTGTTTCACCGCTCTCTTGATAGACAAATGAGAGACAATGGATTATCGGAAACAATAGATGATAGAACACTGAACATTCACAAGCGACCATGCATGCGAGGGAAGTTTGAAGCAGCGAGTATAAATTGCTGTGTTTCAAGGAGCGATTATATGATGCACTCAAGTCTTTGGAAAGGAAGCAAGAAGAAACTCAAGAATCTGTTGGTGTCTTCAAAAGGATCTTACTTGGTGTTCACGGACGTGTTTCATTTAAAACGTTAGTTTGCCTGATCAACCATCATCGTAGTGTCTTAAATTGAAATAATCCTGAAGAGGCATTAGTGGCGGCCGATGGCCGTTGAGTTCCATTAAAATCGTCACTGCATGATATTTCTATAGTTTTAGGTTTAACGTATCCTATGCCATGAGATTCTACTCTTAATTTAGCTTTCTGACTTTCATGCTTTTATTTTCCTTTAGACGAACACAGCGTCGGGATCAAGAGATTGGAACATTCGCCAAATGCACGCGAATACAAAATCTCCATTTCAGTTTGGCTTTGAAAACAAAACTATTCGTATCCCATGCGTAGGCATTGTACACTCTTCTGTTTACCTTCTTGATTTTCAATTTTCGGATGGCATGCAGATTCTTTACCTCCAACCCCTGGGTTACTGGTTGTTACGAGTAGCAAGTAAATACAAGTGATTCTGGGGCCCCATCACTTGTATTTTCTGAATGCTCGAACGACGATAGTCCGGCGTAGGCAAAATATGTCGCTCTCTGAGCACCTAAAACGTACATTGCATGAGAAATGATCTCTCTAGAAGGAAATAACAGTGGAGTGTTCTGGTCAACGCCGTTTCTGCATGAAATAAAATAATGCATGAAATAAAATAATGCATGTATTCCGAAAAAGCGGACGGCATTTTGTAATTGCGTGCAGAATGGGGGATGTGTTGGACGAACGACGAAATTAGATGAGGAGAAAGCTTATTCAGGTACCATTTGTGTTGTGTTTCATATCGTTTCCAGGACAGATGAAGCAGTACATGGTTAATATAGGTAGTTCTGGTAGCGAACTTTCCTAGTTATTTTGTCGTGGTCAAAGAAACTGGAATTTCTATTGGGCAATGCGATGCCATTGAAACATACTAAATTCATATGTTGAAGGATGACCGTGCAATCGGATGTCGAAGGATCGCCGAAAGGATGTCGAAGGATCGCCGAAAGGATGTCGAAGGATCGCCAGTCGGATGTCGACGCCAAAGATCGCCGATCAGATGTCGAAGCCTTGAAGGATCGCCGATAAGATGTCGAAGCCTTAAAGGAATAGGATCGCCACTCGGATGACGAAAGATCGCCGATAAAATGTCGAAAGACCTTACAGCATTCATTGAACGAAGAGGAAGCTCATGAAGGTAGCATTTTCGTAACTAATAATGTATGCATGGTAAAGTAGTTGTTTTTAACGCGATAACTCTCATGGTGGTCCAAACTGAATGTATTTACACATTAAGTAACATTTCTCCCTTTTGAAAAGTGACAACATCAAAACGTTTTCCTGAACTTGTGCATGCAGTTTCGAGTTTTGTCGGTCAGAAGACTCTGAATATCCTGTGTCCTTACTTACGTGTAAATACATGATTTAACTGCATCGTTGCATGAGGTTTTTAAAAATAAAGCGAATTGATATCGTATCGGTTGCGCGCGATTTAAAATTGAAATTTATCGAATTCATATTGATCTGATTCAGATTAATAAGAAGGGTTTGACGCAGAGCACTTGTATAATAATTATACAACTGCTCTTTCCAGTTTGCTTGCGGTAATCACGGCGAAGGACGTCGATGGTAACAAAAATTATATTTTCATTTCAGTTCATTTCTGTTTGGCTTTCAAACGAACGAAAACAATTTGATTGAAACGCAGACCATACACTCTTCTGTTTACCTCACTGATTTTCAATTTTCGGATTGCATGTACTTTCAGTCTTCCCAATCCCTGGTTTACTGGTTGATAGCTACAACAGGGATTATTCTAAGCTGGATTCGATGCCACTTTTCGAAGTTGTAGAAATATTTATGCATGGGGTTGAACATTTTGGCTTTTATTTCCGTTGTAATTAAAATGTTGTTTCTGGAGTTTAACCAACATTTTTAGGGATAATTTATTATATATATAAATGCATGTTTTCCAACTTTTCAAATTCAAGCCAGGAACGGTCAAGAAAAATAAAGCAACTATCGGTCCTCCAGCAGTAATGAGACACGAAAATATTATGCAAGAATATCCTGTCCTCTTGATAAATTTTGTTCTCAAGACCTCTCTTCTCTGCACAGATTCCTGAATTTACAATCATTTTATTTTATTATTATTTCAATTTATTTTATTATAATTATTTTATTGTATTTATCACTTTACTCTATTATATTATATCAATCACTTCGTATTATTTACTCGAAATAGAACTATGCAGCAGCACGGGGGAGTATTTCTCAAAATATGATAGAAAAGGTGACAGTAATCTATGGTAATCTATAGTAGTTCCTTATCTCGAGAGTTAGGCTTTCGGTCATTTTTTTTATTTTGTATTAAATTATGTTTGAATGGTGCATACTTGTTGATCAACTAATATAACGTAACATAACATAACATAACATAACAGAACAGAACAACACTGCAGATACTTAATTTAATAATTTACAGTATACTAAGAAACTGATTTTCTTCTAGGCCAGGGCCCCATCACTTGTATTTTCTGCATGCTCGAACGACGATAGTCCAACGTAGGCAAAATATGTCGCTCTCTGAGCACCTAAAACGTACACTGCATGAGAAATGATCTCTAGAAGGTAATAACAGTCGAGTGTTTGAATGTTTTTCGATCACGAGTTTACCACAAAATGGAAGTTTAATCAGCCGTAAACAAAGTCTGTGCATGACTACAAAGAAGTGAATTTTTGTTGCCATCGACGACCGAGGAAGCGCAGTTGCGATTTGAATAAATATTGTTTTGCGCGTTCAAATGAATCCTAACAACTAGAGCATGCAGCGGAAAATAACGAGCAGGTTTTGGACCACCAGGATAAATATATAAATGGGTGTAAAAACTTGGACTAGAATAGCGGCGAAAGCGAAACTTGGCAAAAATATGGCGAACTCTTCAATACTTCTTACAAAATCTAAAATTCGGACCAGGTAACCTGAAATTCAGGTTACCTTTGGAGGGTTTTTCACCGGGCACTCCGGTTTCCCTCCTTTTCGTTTGGCTTTAAAAACAGTGTCCATGTCTGGGGCCAAACAAAGATATCAAAATTGTCATACGAAGTCCTCCATTTCTGGGGCTGATTCTACTGAGATCTTATCTTTTGACTAAAAACCTATTGAATTTATTGTTTGGCCTCTGGGTTAAAATCCCGGAACACTGTGAACTCGGTGCCAATGAAATTAGTTGTTTCTCAAGAACTCAAGAAGTTAGATTTGTGAATTCACTTTCTCAAAGAAACGATGGACCAAGCAAATTACTGATTACATATTGAGGATTTCTCGATTATTTCATTTTTTATAGCCTTTGTGGTAATGAAGAATATCTCAAAATATGTCAGTACGAGATCCTTTTTTTTATTTTGCGGGGTAAAGGTCTGGGAACGACTCTCCAATATGGCGGACGGGAAAACGGTTTTTGTAGGAAAACTTGAAAAGAAACTACCTTGAGTGCTACTTGCTTTTGGAAAAAATGAGTAAAACTTATCCCAGTGAACGCTGCTTTCACGTCGCTCGTAACGTATGCATTTCTAAGCTGCAAGAGCTCAGCGATCATGATTTCCGAGCGCTTTTACCTTCGCTTGTGAGGATGTCACAGTGTCCTAGTTTGGACGAGAGTTCACATTGGCAAGAAGCAAAAAAAGAAATTCAAAAATTGTTATGCGGTATGGAGATAGTGAACTCCATTGTAGGCTTGCTCTCAGTGGATTTTGGATGTTTAAGGTATGTAAGTTTTAACTGCAATTGCGCGATCAAAGATTTCGTCTCAAAGATTTCGTCTCGATAAACTGACAGTGAGTAGTGACCTGTGTTATTCTCAGACAAGATTGCTTGAAAGAAAAACAGATTCAACGTAAGCTTGAAGAGAATGGTCCAAACAATCACAGTGCTTTGATAGAGGCTTCCAGGGTGGGTTTAGTGTTGGATTTTGAACAGAGTGAACCATCCAGGAGGCTAAGATTGGTCCTAAGGGAGCTTCTTCGCGTTATGAGCCAGGTATTTGGAAATTGCTGATGGATTGCATCACCTGTGTTCCAACCCTAATTTATATTCATGATAAAATTCTAGTCGTCAGAAAACAGAGAGTTCTCAGCTCTTGAAAACTGTGAATTTTTTGAATGTGAAGTTTATATGGAAGACATTTGTGATGTATTGTGCATTGCTCAAGCTGGTGAGTAAAATTGTATTGCTTTGAGATCTTTCTGTGCTATCTGTTGAGGAATAATTGCCATTCTCAAATTATTTTCTCCCTAGAGCTTTCTGAACTTTTCCCACTTGATGAAGTGTCAAAGGCCCTCTTGAGAGTTCCAAATGGTCCATGGTTTATATGCCGCTTGCTCGTAAATTTCCCGGATTATTTTGAGCAAGGTAACAGCAGAAAGATTCATACTGAGCTTTTCATACTAAGTTTCATACTAAGATTCATACTAAGTTTGTTTAGTTTAGGTTTCCTCCCGTAGTAACACTGGATCAATAAGATATGCTACTTACTGGACCTCTAGAAAGAACAGTTTAGAACTGATAGAGCTATCCAGTATAAATAAAGTTAGTTTAGTTTAGGTTTTCTCCTGTAGTAACACTGGATCAATAAGAGATGATCCTTACTGAACCTCTAGGAAGAACAGTTTAGACACTGATACTTAGTAAAACTGATATCCAGTAAAAATAATATCCAGTATATGTAATTTACAGTGTGTTCAGCTCTGTTAACCAAACAAGACTTGAAAGCAAACAATCCATTTCCATCCTATATTCAAACCAAGGCTCTGCATCACCTCTGTAAGATGAACCCTGACTACGCTATGACCATCCGTAGCGAGGCTGTCAAGAATTGTTGCCTGCCAGAACTGACTGTAAAGCTTACGCTGGACTGTCATCTTGATAGCGGCGAAAGACGAGACTTAGTTGAGTTTGTCAGTGGGCTACTGTTAGGCAGTGATATTCGTGTTAGAAAATGGTTTGCACATTTTATTAAGAATGGTCAAAAAGTATGTTTATCTATAAAGTTTTTGAATGTTTTATTGTGTGTAGAAAGGAATTAGTTGATCTTGTTGAATTCTCACTTGTAGCATGAAGGTAGTGTGTCCAACACTGCACTGACGCAGCTCCGTGAAGAACTTCTGAATGAAGTTGTGGCAATCACCCCCCCTGGACATAGGGAGAGGATCAGGAAGGAGTGGCAGAAGGGAAGAAAGGGGCAAGAGGGGATGTCTGAGGGAAAGCGGAGGATAACAGTTGATGAACAAGATAAAGAAACATTGGAAATAATTGAAGGTATAACTGGCAGTGATTGACCATTTGCCCAGGCAGAGAAATTAAGACTAAAACTAGTTGTAAATCAAAATCCATATTTTGGTCAAAGTCTTATGATATCTTGTGAAATAATTTGTTTGGCCTCAAAATTATATCTCATATCCTCCTAGCAATGGACATGTCAACAGATTTTGAAATCGTCCAAGAGGAAGCTCAAAGCTCATCCCCAGGCCAAAACGATATGCCAATGGATACGAGCGAACAACCAACAACCTTGCTGGAGAAAGATGTGATTAGTGCAACTGCTATTTTGAGGCTGTTCTGTGCGCTGAAGGGGATTGCTGGGATGAAAATAAGCAACAAGGAGTCAGATGAACTTGTGTGTCTGATAACCAGTCAAGCACCGCAGACTGCCGCTGGAGCACGGTTTGTTACAGTCGGGTTGTGCACCATGTTGGCTTGTTCTGGTATTGTCAGGTAAGGAGTGATTTAGACTAGTCTGGTTTAAAGGTCCCAATTCAATTTTACCAGATCCAATTCACTTTTGATGAATGTAAATTTCATGTGAGATCACCTTAAGTAATACCAAATGATTCATATTGAGTCAAACTGGAAGAACTCTTCTCACATGTGACTGAGGTCAGTGGCAGATTCAGGGTTGGGCAGAATAAATTACTACAGCTAAAAATCGTAATAGCATTGGTAGATTTTTATTTAAAAATATTCTGTAGAAATCCGTGACCAATAGCGTTGGTATTGAGGTATTTTGAATTTAAAATTAAGCCTTTTAATTTATTCTGCCTAACCCTAGATCCGCCACTGACTGAGGTGAAATTATTAATAGACAACTGCATATTACAGAAATCAAACCTCAGTCACAGAGATGAAAGACAATGTACTAACCACTGTGTTTGGTAGAGTCAAAGTGGAAGCATTCTTCTCACATGTGACTGAGGTGAAATTATTAATAGACAACTGGATATTACAGGAATCAAACCTCAGTCACAGAGATGAAGGACACATGTACTAACCACTGTGTTTGGTAGAGTCAAAGTGGAAGCATTCTTCTCACATGTGACTGAGGTGAAATTATTAATAGACAACTGCATATTATAGAAATCAAACCTCAGTCACAGAGATGAAGGACACATGTACTAACCACTGTGTTTGGTAGAGTCAAACTTGAAGCACTTTTCTCACATGTGACTGATGCATATGATTTATTTTTAGTACCAGCGAACAAGAACAGGAAATGATCAAATGGATAAAATGGCTTTCGAAAGAAGAATCCCACTACGAAAGCTCCACGGGTCTCCATATCTCATTTGGCGAGAGCCTTCTGCTGACAGCGATTCATTTTCATAGCAATAATTTGGAAGCGATTACCGGTCTCGTTAGCTCCACGCTTGGGATGAGGGTAAGACCGGGCACTCTGACGAGGATAAAGACGATATTCACGCAAGATTTATTCCCCGAAAAAGTAAGATTTGTGCTAGGAACTAACTACACTACTTTATACTGCGGCTTAACTATGTCTAAGTACTTTTATTTGTGCAAAACTCGTTCAACTAATCCAGGTTTATCACTGGGTAAAACCTTCACTAACTTTATACTGGATAACTCTATTAGTTCTAAACTGTTCTTCCTGGAGGTCCAGTAAGGATCACCTCTTATTGATCCAATGTTACTACAGGAGGAAACCTAAACTAAACTAACTTTATTTATACTGGATAACTCTATTAGTTCTAAACTGTTCTTCCTAGAGGTCCAGTAAGGATCACCTCTTATTGATCCAGTATTACTACAGGAGGAAACCTAAACTAACTTTATTATACTGGATAGCTCTATCAGTTCTAAACTGTTCTTCCTAGAGGTCCAGTAAGGATCATCTTTTATTGATCCAGTGTTACTACAGGAGGAAACCTAAACTAAACTAACTTTATTTATACTGGATAGTTCTATCAGTTCTAAACTGTTCTTCCTAAAGGTCCAGAAAGGATCATCTCTTATTGAGACGTAGCTATTTTTTTCCAGGCAATAACAGAACACGCAGTGAGAGTTGCCGTGACTGATCAGTTAACAGCAAATGACTCAGGCTTTCTTCCAGTTCATTGCGTCTATCACTTGCTCAAGAACAGAACTTTCACGAAACATTCTGTCCAAGTCAAGGTGCGTGTCTGGAACAAGAATAATTCCTTACATTATTCCTTACGAATGAATACTGTATCACTCCAGGTTATGATTCTCGGTCATATGAACATCTTTTGATGTTTTACCCAGGACTGGTTGTACAAGCAAATTTTATGCTCCTCCAAGCCACTTCATCCTCTCCTTGTAAATCTTATTGACGTGTTCGTGACGTCAGTAGTCATGCCGCTGCCTAGCAAGCATCGTAGACTCACGGGCAATGTCACAGTGGAAGGATTTTCCGAAACTGATATATTGAAGGTGTTTAAAAGCCAGGTAATAAATGTTCAAAAACTTGGCCTGCTAAACCAAACGCATGTTCGACGAGCAGAACCATTTAACCTTTGATTCAAATTATTGTTTTCTTTTCACAGCAAAGAAATTCGTCGTCAAAAACATCTCAAGCTAATCTGACAGCACAGTTGTTAATATTGTATTATCTGCTTTCTTATAAAGACTGTTGTTTATCCAACATGAAATCTTTAGGTACGTTGTAGAATACTACCTACACTGGACAACTACGTTTGAGATATCTTTCTCAGGTAGTTCAGACACAAACCACGACAGCTTATTGTAGAATACTACCTACACTGGACCACTACGTTTGAGATATCTTTCTCGGGTAGTTCAGACACAAACTACGTAATTCATTGCTAACCACTAAACTATATTCTCACAGTTGCAAACAACCATCATCCTCCGGACTATTCCCGTTCGCTCTACTCGCAAATTCCGATCAAATATCTCCTGCAACAAGCCAGGAAATCACAAGAACATTACCGAGATCTTTATCCGCCATTACTGCGCCTGCTCGTCACGTACTACCCACAGTTATGTCTGGTCGAAGACTGGTTATGCGAGGAAGATGGTGCAGAGAAACACACACAGGAGTCGAATATTTTATCCACGACAAATCTGACACCACTCGCTGTTAGCCAAGGTTGTTGTTATCTTATATTGCAAGTGCATGCAATTTACTTTGCTTTGACAGTTGTATGATTGCTATCAATCGCGTTTTTCGTCCCGTCACCAAAGAATTCACAAGTCACTCTCATGTCTAGTTTATGACTGTCTTGATAATATAAACTTAGATCAAAACAGAAATAGCATTCTGCAGTAGATTTTAGTTAAGAAATTGACAATAAATTTGCATTCTTCTTTCAGTTTTAGCCAACCTGCGTCAAAATCCCACTATGACTATGTTGACGTTGCTGAAGTTGAACAAACAAGATCCCAGGCTCCTGATTCCCTACGTTGATGCTGTCGTCGAGGGATTGCGCATGGCCCTGGACCCTAGTGTGTGTCGTCGTGTGCAAATATTGCTGAAGGACTTGTGGATGAAACTTAACACGATGATACCCAGAAGGTATGCGAAAATGCTGCGGTTTTTGGGAAGATTGTGTTTTAGTTGAAAAGCAGTCAGGATCGCAGAATTGTAGTTAATTTGTTTCAACTTTTTCAGGTTGTGGTTGTTGACGGTGAATAAGTTGTGCGATCAAACTACAGAGTCGACACCTTACCTTGATGATGAGCTAATTAAAGATCCTCTTACAGCACTGAGATGTGACCAAAAAATATTCAGGTACAAGATTTTTAGACTTCTAGGTCTTCAGGATGGACAGAGCTTAAAGTTAGTTTAGTTTAAGTTTCCTCCTGTAGTAACACTGGGTCAATAAGAGATGATCCTTACTGGACCTCTAGGAAGAACAGTTTAGAACTGATAGAGCTATTCAGTATAAATAAAGTTAGTTTAGTTTAGGTTTCCTCCTGTAGTAACACTGGATCAATAAGAGATGATCCTTACAGGACCTCTAGGAAGAACAGTTTAGAACTAATAGAGCTATCCAGTATAAATAAAGTTAGCTTAGTTTAGGTTCCTCCTGTAGTAACACTGGATCAATAAGAGATGATCCTTACTGGATCTCTAGGAAGAACAGTTTAGCCATCCAAGATAAAAAATGTTGAAACCAATGAAATATTTACTACATGATGGCCGTTAATGTGTTGTCTAGATGTGCACCGATATTCACAGTTATTACCCGCGTCCTCATGGGATATTTAGCGGCTTCACGTGCGATGCTGAATCAACATATTCTGGCGAACAGTAATCCTGGCCCAAGCGCCTCGGGTACTTCATGTTCCAATCCTGAACAGGAGCGAGAGGAATTGAAGTCTGCGTTATTAGCAGCACAGGAGAGCGCTGTTGTGCAAATATTGTTGGAGGTCTGCCTGAAAACACCTGAAGAAAAGCAGGTCAGAATGAAGATGATATTAACCTCTCTAATACAGACACCTCTCTAATACAGACACCTCTCTAATACAGACACCTCTCTAATACAAACACCTCTCTAATACAGACACCTATCTAATACAGACATCTATCTAATACAGACACCTCTCTAATACAGACATCTCTCTATTACAGACACCTCTCTAATACAGACACCTCTTTAATACAGACACCTCTCTAATAGGAACACATCTCTAATACTGACAACTTTCTGATTTTTTATTTCAGAAGCATGGGGGAAGCATGCAAAAGTGTGAACTTCGAGAGATTCAATGTCTCGTTTGTTCAACTTTACATCAAATGTTCATAACCGATCCAAAATTGGCAAAGCTTGTTCATTTCCAGGTGACTATGCTTGGTCTTCTAGTGTAGATTCCATCAATATTTTATGATCTTATTCCTTTGTTAAATATCTAGGGATATGATCCAGTGTTACTACCGGTCACCGTTAATGGTATTCCATCCATGCATATCTGTCTAAGTTTTATTACAGAATTATTAAATCAACCGGAGTTAGAAAAGCAGGTATGAATAAAAATCTTTATTGCATTATAAATCAACACGTTTGAGATATCTTTTTCAGGTAGTTCAGACACAAACCACGACAGATTATTGTAGAATACTACCTACACTGAACCACCACGTTTGAGATATCTTTTTCAGGTAGTTCTGACACAAATCACGACAGCTTATTGTAGAATACTGCCTACACTGGACCACCACCTTTGAGATATCTTTTCCAGGTAGTTCAGACAAATTTGACATCACATTTGAATGATATTATTCCCTGTTTCAGCTCTTTGCTGTCCAGTTATCTTCATATTTATGCGTTCAATTTCCGTTGCCAAAAGCTTTGGATGTAGCCAAGTACGTCATAAGTCGCATGACGTCTTTGTGTGAGGCGTTGCCTGGCGACAGGTTGGCGAGCTTCTTTATCCCAGCCTGTGAATGTCTGTTGCGTTTCTGCCGTGCTTTCCCGCCTTTATCGATGGATACGTCATCATTGCTGATGATGATTGGTCAACTGACTGCGTCCCGTGCGGCTGGAGGCTGCGAAGACGAACTTGGTAGGTTAGCAGTATGAAGATACCTCCAAGAGAAATAAACACCTCTCTAATACAAGCGCCATTCTAATACAGACATCTCTGCATTACAAACACCTTTCTAGTACAGACATCTCTCTAAGGGCACACCTTTTAAATACTGACACATTTCCAATACAAACACCTCCCCCAAAATGACACTGGTCTAATACAGACACCTCTCCAATACAGCTACAGTATCTCTCTGATACAACCAATTCTCTCTGAAAAAAACAGCTTCTTCCAACCATAAGATGTGTGATTATTCTTCTTATTTTACAGAATTATCTCGCTATTACAATCTACTTCAAGATTTGCACAAAAACGCAGAAGCTGGACGTGACATTTTGGAGGACCTTGGGTTCGAAGACGAAGATATTAGTGAAGAAAGTGAACAAGTGTTTTGCAAAGTCAAATCAGACATCATTCCTGGTTCAAAGCACATCGTACTTTATAATGTAGTTAGACAGACTTTCAAAGACTTAGTTCATTTGTGTGTCATAGAGAAATATGGCCTTTCTAAAAGCTGATGGGAAATCGATAGTTATTTTGGCATAATATGCGAGTAATTTCCAGTAATACATGTACGCTTTGCGAACCTATTTTTTGTATTCAGAAGACACTGATCTACGTCATATTGACACTGGATGGTTAAATTATTCTCATTATCCATCCAGTTACATTAGTACATCTCAAAACCAACTGATCTGCATATTTTGACTGGGCGGTTAATTTTTGGCAACATAAACATGGCTTATCCTCCACCTCAAGGGAACTTCTCTTACCAGCGTGCCTATCCGCCAGACTACGAGCAGAATCCTTATCCCCCACCTATAGGATTTCAAAACTACATTGCGGCTAACCCTGGCGCTCCTCCGACCCAAAATCAACCTTACCCTCCACCGACAACCGTCGCTTATCACGGCGCGCCAGAGCCACGGACTCTGAATGAACCCAGACCGACAGCAAGAAACGACGTTCCCGAAGTCGGATTTGAAGGATTTTCAAGACGATCTAACCCACCTTCGGCTCAGTCAGCATCTGGTGTTGAACTTGAAAACGTCGAAGATCTACCACACGATATTCACACGAAAGAACCGGAGGAACAGTTGTCAGATAGTTCTGCGACCAGAATTGAGGTGTGTACTGTGTAGTTCATGGTTTCTGGTTTGAAATCTGCTCCACTATCATGTTATTTGATTGGTTTTAAGTTCTAGTAGTGTTCTAGAGATATAGTTAGATCCTGTAACTTGTAGATCGGGCGATAAAATGAATGCCTAACTCGCTAACTACAATATTTGGCTATATTTCTTTGTAGTTTAATAAAGTATGTGTTTACTTTTCGTTGCGATAATAATACATAATCCTTTCGCATTAGATATTAAAACATGACAAAATCTGGCTTTTATTTGAAGCTAAAAAACAGTAAACTTTGATTACTATTCGTATTTTGCTTTACAGAGTTATTTAGACAACGTAGTATAAAAGCTAGTGGGGTGTAGTTTTAGATATGTCATTTGAAAATATTGGTTTCCAATAGTAATATTTTTTTCAAAAGTTCTAGAAGTATTTTGATTTGATATTGTCTAATATTTGATATTGCAGTAGTTGTACAATTTTCGTGCCAAAATTGTGTTTGGGCGACGGATTTTGTCATAGGAGCAGTATTAAACTTCAAAACAAAAGCGAACCTTCTGGAAATAAAACCGTAGCTCCAATAATTCAATAGTTCGGGTCATTTTGAATAAACTATGTAGCTAAATAGTAAATACGTACTTTTAGGTATATTTCATGTCGTAGGTCAAATTTTAAAGGAACTATTATATTTAAACATGAAAATACAGTATTGCATTTATGTCAATGCTCACTTTACTTGTATGTAGCATTATCATGTTATTAAGGACTGAAACACCTGTTCATTTGTTGCTAAATATATTGAGTACTAGCCTATCCAAAAACACAGGTAACATCATAGTTCAATTTTACCTGCTGTGTTGAAGTTTTGCTGAATAATTGCCCTCAATTATATTAATTTAGTTGGAGAACCAACCAAAGCCGTTATACTTTCGAGATGGCAGGAGAAAGATTGATTATATTCTTGCCTATCAAGATTACCCGGACAAACCAATGGAGTGGCAGGAAAAGAGAAAGGATAAACGGGAGCATTTTGAAGCAAACTTGAAGGAATATGGGCTGGAACTTGAGCAAGAAGACTTTGATGTAAGATTAAGCATTTAAATAAAGGCTCATTTACATTTGCAATTCTTGCTGGAATTTTATGTGCAATTTGTTCTTTTGATAGATGTGAACGAGTAGTTAGTTACGAATGCATTGATGTATAAGAGTTCTGATTTGAACATCAGTAACCAATTCACTTGTTCACATCTATCAAAAGTTGCACATAGGGTATATAAACAAGCCTTAAGAATCATCTATGATTGATCCAGAGTTACTCCAGGTCGAAGTCAACTGCAAATTGAGAATTGTATTTTATTGGAAATGTGACACCAGTTGCAACCAGAAACCATAAAATAACATTGTGTTTGATACTTATAACAGGCATCAAAGGATGGTAAGACAGTCTACATCAAAATTCATGCTCCATGGGAGGTGTTAGCTTGTGTAGCGGAGGAAATGTCCATGAGAATGCCGACCAAGGTTAGGAGGATAGTTGTAATCTTCAGCCCCCTTGCTCTTCTGCTAATCTCAATTCATTAGTTTTACATTACTTTACCCCTTAGTGACGGTCAGTTGATCAGGCAAAAGACCACCAGGCATTGAATGACTATTGTAAATCTGCCAATTTGGTGGCATCGCCCCAGATACACTTGTTTTTATTAGGTTTTAGTCTGTCTAACAAGAAGCATATAGTGATTTCACATGGCATGATGATGAACTTATCATATCATTCTTCCTTTCAGCGAAATGATTTGGAAACAAAAGGCTTGATTGACAAAATATTTAGTCGTTTTGGAGGCAGAAGTCCATTTGAAATCAGCAGCGAAGATGTGCCCAAAGAAGAAAATTATTTCACTTGTGCTTTCCAGAGAGATAGACTTGAGAAGTGAGCCTGCCTTACATCTTCTGAGACAAGAGCCTGACATTTGTATGATGGAAAAGAACTCTGCAAATTAATCCATCCTTGATTTTTTGACAGTTTTAAAGGTCATGAAAACAAAGAAACCTTCTTCAGCAGCAGTCAAAGAAGTCTGATTGTGAGTTATTGTGAAAATGTAATTCTCCCCTTTTCAGGAGAGTCTGGAAACCTAAATCTCTGAGAAAATATAATATTTCCCATGAACAATAATCTACCTTAATTTCTTCCAGGTCTATCGTATTTTAAAATCAACAGCTTATGACGAAGATAAGAGCAAAATTGGTAAGGATGGTCGTATGTATATAGATACACATATCATTTGACCACTTGAAAACCCACTCTTGGTGTCTGGAAATCTACCTGCATGCCACACTTTTGTAATGCCACACACGTTTTTACAACAAAATGTCAAAACTATATTTGTGTTTCATGTAGGTGTTGATAGATTGGTATCAAATCTTTCCTATAATGCTGCGTATCCGCTACACGAGGTATGTAATAAAATCTGAGTCATTTGCATTCATATATAATATAAGAAGTATTTGTTTTGAACTTTAGCTCACCACCTGAGGTGTAATTTATGTATTTAGGGGTACCACAAGCCCAGTTCAAACTCCTCAGAGAGAACCGAACGACAGGTATACAGGATAACAAACGAGATTCATTGAATAACGGTAAAACAGACAAGGATTCGATTCTTTTTGACTTTTTTTTTTGCAGATCTTGTACGATGTTTGGGGGAAGTTCAAAAGATTCTACAAGAAACAGCCTTTGAACTTGATAAGGTAATTTGACTGCATTTTGTAAAATATGTGAATTATCTTCTATGAATTTAACAGTTTTTGGCAAATCTTTTTTCCGTTTTCGTAGAAAATATTTTGGAGAGAAAATAGGCATTTACTTCGCGTGGCTGGGTGAGTTTAATATCAGCGTATCAGCGTGTGTTTCCGATAATAAACGTAATAAATGTTAGTTACTTACAAACAGCTGCGTTTGACTGTGCATGTTGTACGGTGCAGTTGAAATTACTTAATTTCATTGCCAAATGTTTTCACGCTGGCAGAGTCTCAGAGAGAATGAACGCTGTTGAAAGTAATGTTTTGCCTTTTAAGATCATTATTTATTTATTCCACTTCATTTCAGCCAAGCATTTAGCATTTGTGAGAGTATCTCAAGTGTATTTGGCTTCAAGGTCAATATTTATTGCGTCTTTTTTAATTATTTTAGGTTTTTACACCATCTTGCTGTTTCCAGCCGCTGTAGTTGGTGTTATCAACGTTATTTATGGCCTGGCGAGACTTGGGGATTACACCCCAACGTATGTCCAAAATATTATACATTAGATATATTAAATATGATTTTATTGTATATGTTAGATCTATTAAATATTATTTATTGTATGCGTTAGATATATTAAATATTATTTATTATGTACGTTGGATATATTTTGTTTTTAACTGTTATAAAATCTTTCTAAAACTAAGATGAAGTACAGAAAACAAGTGAAGAACTATGTAGTCCTGGATGGACCAGGTGGAAACAAGTCTGATGAACTCAGTTGATGAACTCTGTGGATAAATATCAAATTGTTCTCTTTTTAGAAATATTATCTGTAATGAAACGCTTAAGGATAGATACGTCATGTGCCCAAGATGCGACAAAAAGTGCGATTATTTTCCGTTGTATCACACGTGTGGATATTCAAGGGTAAGCGTGGGTATTGGCAAATTTAAATTCTGAACAAACTGGCGAGTTCATGCATGAGTATATCCATATTTTATCTTTCACAGGCGGCTTATGTATTTGACAACGAGTTTACGGTTATATTTGCGATTTTTATGTCTCTTTGGTGTAAGTATAAAATGTTCTACCACTTCACTTCCGTGATGGTTTGTGTTCCCAGTTTACGAGAATTCCTAAAACTTTCGTTTGCTTTTCACAGCGACCATGTTTCTTGAGTTCTGGAAACGGAGGCAGGTTGAGATCGCGTACAACTGGGATCTTCTGGGGTTTGAAGTCGAGGAGGTAATGTGGATTGGATGGGACAATTGTTTTAAGTATCCAGCATTATCCGTTATCATCCATCTCCATCCATCATAATCCCTCATCCTTTGTTACTCTACTGCATTTATCATCATCCCCCATCATCCTCTATTACCATGCTTTATCCTCAATTGCCATCCCTCATCCTCCATCATGATCCTAGTCCATCACCTGAAATATCCATCCATTATTCTAGGAAAGTATTCGTCCAGAGTACGAGGTGGTCTGCACGGAAAAGCGAAACAATCCCATCACCCAGGTAGCCTTATCACTGGTCTTAGTACTAGATTCAGTGTACTAGATTCATTGGCGATTATAAACTAAAAGAAAGCTAGTGTATATATCATATATTCATTATCTAGGTTCAAGAGCCATACTATCCATCAACTTTGAAATGTCCGCGGTTTGTTTGCAGTTCAGCTTCGGTTTTTCTTATGGTACGTAATGTTTGAAAAACTGACAATTATTGATTCCAAAGCACATTGCATTCCCGACATATTTCAACGATTTTTACCAGGTTGCAACCTCGGAATGGTTCTTGCAAATCATAGCCAAAATAAGAAGCTTTTTTGTTGTCGTTGCAGATTTGTCTTGTTGTATTAGCCGTCTTTGGTGTCATTGTCTACAGAGTTTCCGTGTTCGCTGCGCTGACAGCAGCTTACGACAGCAATATTGGTAGCATCAGTTTATCCGTGACGGCTTCTGCTGCTGTAATCAATCTTATCATCATTCTGCTGCTCAGTTTTGTAAGTTTTGGTAAATTTTGCTCTCTACTGAACAGCTCTTAGTTCTAAACTGTTTTTCCTGAGAACCAGTAAGGATCATCTCTTATTGATCCAGTGTTACTACAGGAGGAAACCTTAACTAAACCAACTTTATTTATACTGGATAGCTCTATCAGTTCTAAACTGTTCTTCCTAGAGGTCCAGTAAGGATCAACCCTTATTGATCCAGTGTTACTACAGGAGGAAACCTAAACTAAACTAACTTTATTTATACTGGATAGCTCTATCAGTTCTAAACTGTTCTTCCTAGAGGTCCAGTAAGAACTAGTAAAACGCCGATAACGTGTGAATATTTGAATTACTATATTCAATGTGTTCTTAGGTCTACGAGAAGCTAGCCTACATCTTAACAGATATGGAACTACCACGGACACAGTCGAAATATGAAGACAGCTTTACCATCAAAATGTATCTGTTCCAGTTTGTCAATTACTATTCATCTTTATTCTACATCGCATTCGCAAAACTCAAGTAAGTTGGATTAATCATGGTGGACACTGCTGTGTCACTGCGGACACTGGTGTAGTAATATTCAACCAACACATTAACTACAATATTTCCTTGCACTTTTAGCCCTGGGAGACCAGGAGACTATCACAGGATCTTTGGTTTTCGTCAAGAAGAGGTAAAATTATTTCATGAAGATATTATTCAAAGGCTTTAGTGAATTGAAAATTGACCAAATGAGTATTGTCTAGTTCTATCGACATGGTGTCATATTGCCGGCAAATGTGTTTATTTTTTTTTCTTTGTTTTTCCCAGTGCAATGCGGCCGGGTGTTTGGTTGAATTAACAATACAACTCGCCATAATTATGGTTGGAAAACAGGTTTTCAACGCTGCTATGGAGTTGTTTATACCGTAAGATGTTGCTCTGTTATGTAATCTATTTGTTGTGACCACATGCCAGGCAGGCAGGCTTACATTGCTTCGTTTACTTAGTAAAATATTGAACTGGTGGAAACGACGTGGAAACATAATAAAGAAATTTCGTGGCGAGGAAGTGGAAGATAGTTCCGGTCCAGTCTCTCGCCTTCGCTGGGAGAATGATTATTACCTCACAGAGATACCACGCAATGCTTTGTTTTATGAATATCTTGAGATGGGTAGGTGCATGTCACTGATCTCAAAATATGATAATGGCGCTGGACCAATGAAGGACAGTCTTCAAATGAATGAACATTATTCGTACATAGTCCAAGCCATACTAGTAGACAAAGTTTTAGAATACTTATAATATATCCATGCAGGGTTCACCAATTTGGCAATTTCACTCATTCTAAGTTGCTTTTTTTAGCTGTTGTTTTCTACTTTCATTTTTTTTTACCCCGATCATAATCTAGTCTTCAAATGACATCATCTCATCCATTCTTTGCATCTCCTAGTAATTCAGTTTGGTTTCATCACGATATTCGTGGCTGCCTTCCCACTCGGTCCACTCTTTGCTTTGTTAAACAACCTGGTCGAGATTCGTCTTGACGCGTATAAATTCGTCACAACCTACAGACGACCCCGGGCCGCCAGAGCTGAAGACATTGGTAAGCTTCATCCAGTATATATTTCGTTCAGCAGGCTATGTTACACGGTGCAATTTCTGTTGCGACTTGCAATGTAATTCTACTTTTGAGAGATGTAAATTTGGGAAGTACGAAACTTTTATGTTTATTACACTCCATGTACGTTTCTTACACTTAAATTATGAATCCTCTGCGCTAATTTACATCTCTTAAAAGGAGGATTGCATTGCAAGTTGCAAGAAAAATTGCACCGTGTAACATGGCCTTTACTTAAAGTAGACGAATGTTCTGAGAGAAAGCGACCTCTGACCTGCTTGTACGACGGGCCTTTAGTTAAGGACTTTGGGGGAACTGGGGGGAACTGTTGCTTCCACGTACAAACTGGTTTTTCATTTTCATTTCGTTCAGGGATCTGGTACTCAATTCTAAAAGGAGTCGTCATATGTTCCGTTCTTGTTAATGTAAGTTTGTCAGATATTCATAATGTCTTATTTGACAACTAGTCCCATTCCTTTCCCGCCATTACCGCTTATGTTTATTTTTTAACCAGGGTTTTATTATCGCTTTTGTGTCTGAGTTTATTCCTCGACTGTACTTCCAATGGAGTAAGGGAAAAGACGGGTCGTTGAGGCAATATCTTGAAACAAGTTTGTCCTGTTATGATACTAGAGATTATCCCGATAGTGAAAGACCGAATGTTACCTTACCTGCGCCTAATACCTGTGGGCTGGGTCTTCCGAGCTGTCGGTGAGTATCGTCAACCATTCGGAAAATCACGACACGAATTTTCATACATGCGCCTAAATATGTTAACTAGACCTAGTTTCTCTTTTTACCCTCAAATTTAAGATCACTTCATGGAATGATAAGAGTAAACATTTTGCTTTCTCTTTTAACCACGATAATAGTTCATATATCGTGCGAAATCCAACACATATTTTCTTCCATTTTCTCAGGTACCGAGGGTACAGAGACAAACCAATGTCTTTGGCAGAAAATCCATCAGGAAACCTAACCAACAACTACGACTTTACGAAGGACTATTGGCACATATTATCTGCCCAGCTGTTTTTTGTAATAGCATTTCTGGTGGGTGATAAATGTAGATTCACTGTTGGTTTTCATATGAATCAATAACTGACGGTGAAGTTGTTGTCGATCGGGATTTCCTTTCTGGATTGTAATGCTCATTTTCACCTACACAAGTCCTGATATTAACCATTCTCTGTATTTTTAGATTGTTGTTTTTGGCCTGACGTTCATTCTTGCCTACATCATACCAGACAAACCGAAGAAGCTGGATAATCAGATAAGGAGAGAAGCTTACCTCGCTAAAAGCATTCTCCGCACAGATCAAGTCCCTGTAGATAACTAACACCACTGCATACATACCCAGGCTTACTATATATATATATTACAGCAATATATATTTTTTAAAACGCGTCCTATCTACATATGCTGCTGTAAATCCTTTAATTCCAAAGATTGCTTGTAATCCCTCGTAAAAAATACAGCAGGCTTGACCCTTGTAATAACAGGATTGTAAATCATGTCTTGACCTTGTATATCCTAAGTCAATATTGCATTCTGGCAACGATAAGTATACCCAAGTTGTTTCTGGGTTATTCACGGCAATGATAAGGCAAGGGAATCCGAATGTACAACGATTATTTGCCGAAGAATATAATGTCCAAAAGTTGTCGAACAGTAGAAACTATTGTGTTTGTATTAGTAATTGTGCAGTAATTAAAAAACATCCTTTTGCGATTGTGGTTTTCTGTTTTGTATGAGCGCCAAAAAGTGTTGTTAATTTAGTAAATAAACAAGCGCTCACTGTGTTCGTTTATTCTTTACAAGGAAGTTGTTGTATGCGAACCGTCTCTCTCCATTTTTCGAATCCACGTTTTTATCAACATCTCTTTATGTTGGAATAAAGAATGCTACATACAACAGTAGATTTTAAATATATTTTATTTTAAATAATTCATGAGTTCATATTAAACTATGGTACTAATAACTTAGGAAAACTTTTAATAAAATTATTTGAAGGAACTCCTTCATATGCTAGCTAATTTCGTCTTGTAATACATAGTTTACAAGCTGTTCAAATCTACTGCAGAGCAAACTGTGTTTTTTGAAAACGTCGTCTACAATTGGCGACCTCTTCCTTCAACAACTTACTCATTCTGGACGATTCGGCTGATACGATATCATTCATTGCCGTGCTAACACGGGTGTTGTTTCTTTGACCATTCATCTCGTTTATGTCGTAAGGCCATGACAACACAATCATTGTTATATAATGAGCGAGGTTAAACTGTCGCAAATGACAGACAGATGGCTGGATTTTCAAATCACAACACATCTTTGATGAATATGCGTGTTGATATTGAGCGACTTCATCAATTAGCATTGACCAACACTGGCAAGGTGATTGTTCTTGTGTCTTTTCATCACCTTTTCAGCTCACCATTCTGTTTGTCTCCTTTCGCAATCTCGTCCGCCACGAATTTCCACAAAACGTTGCTTTCGATGGCTTCACGAACTTCACAGACCAAGCATCTCTTGTTCAAAGAGGAACCCGCGTCCTTGAATTCCAGACGCATATGAATTCCAGCGAGATGATCGATGCCTGAACATCGTGAGCTCGTCATAAAACGAAACAACGTCCTCACAACGAAACCCAGCATTGCGAGTGAATCAACCGTCTGGACGTCGGAACTTTTCATCCAGTTGTGCCACGGCAGTAAAGCTGTCTCAAAAAACTTCAGCCATCCTCTGTGAAAGGAAGGCGAATCCTCGGGATTTATAGTTTTAAACAACAAGAGGCTAGATTTATCGAGATGCGTTCTTTTAGTTAAAACAAAATACCCTCTAGGATTACCTAAATGTAAAAAAGAGAACTTGTTTTGGTAGGCAGACAAATGGTCAAGTAGACTCGACCAAGTCAAGTATTTTTTCTGGACATGTTTTTGTCTAGTTTATTGCCTCGTGTGTAGGGCAAACAGTTTTTATGGCCATTTTTTTCACACAAAATATATTCCTAGTTCAAAATCTGGCATGCAAGAGCCATTACTTGCTGCATATATGTCCAATAAAAGGGAATATTGTCAAAGAGAAACGTCTCGTCTTCCGAGCTCTAGTTTCAGAGGAAATTGTCTCTGCTGGGTTACTAGAGAAAACGTTTTAATTTGTACTTACCAGTGACGCTATCAAACATCGTCATGGCATTCCAGAGACGTTTAACCGGTACCCAGTGCAGTGGGTACTTGTACCTAGATATATCGAACACGAGAACTAGGTCTTTCTCCGGGTGGTAACCGCCGATTGAGGAATAATGCCCGGTGCCTTTCTGATCCAACCCTTTCCGGTGATAACACACAACCAATATCTCGTCACACGAACCTGATGTTGTTCGCTTGCAAACCTCTCTAAACTCATCAATCGTCGCCGTTGGCTTGAGGTTACGCACCAGAGCCACCTTAAGATTATTCGCCTCGGCCATGCACGCGAACTGCTGGAACACAACACCGTTGCCCTCGATTACCCTGTAAGGTACACAATGTTCCAGCATCGTCTGCGCGTACCAGCGGTAGACATCCTTCCATATCCTATGTGGGTCCTCGCGAAAAGTGTTCAGACACATGGTTAGTGTGGCCAGACTACAACTGAAACGAGGCTCGAACGAAGTCAGGAAGTTTTGGGCCAACTCGAAATAGCTGTTTAGGTAACCTGAGCTTGCTGATTCGAAGAAAATCTTTCTTCCCTCGTCAGATGAAAACAACACCAAGCCATCTGATAGTTCGTCGGAAACAAACCATGAATCCTCTGTTGTTTTCCTTTTGTTCTCTAAGAGAAGACAACAGCCGTTAGTTTTCATTCCATGTTCTGTTGTTTTAACGAAATGCCTGAAGCATTTGAAACTGGGGTTGAACATCATCTAAACTGACTGTCATCGATGTAGATTTAAGCAGTAACGTATATAGCTTTTTCACAAATATATAGTCCATGGAATAAGTTACTGTATGAACAGCTCTCGAGCGAATTTTTATTCATATATTTGGTAAGGGAAAGGAAGGGATGGGCAGTGGGAAACATACAATTTGAGATATCAATTTGAAGGTTTGACGTAAAGTTTTTTAAGTCCCATGTCAATATATAAATACCGCCAGATATTGTCTGAATTCTAAAAACATTTTTTATCTGTTTGGCTGGCGTTGCCACGTTTGCTTCAGCCAAAAAACGCGAACGACTTTCTCATGACGCCTGTTTGATTTTTATCCAGTGTCAGGTCAAGGACATGTCAAGGAGAAATTCGTCACCGAGCTTCACTGCATGTTCATTCATTAAGTTTAGCGGCAATATAGCGATGTCTTTGGACATTTTCAATACCAAAATTACCGTGTCAAAAGAATGCATTTTGCTGTTGGCGAATTTCCCAGACAACCGCAGTCGAGAGAACTGTACTCGTAAGTGGCCATGTGACGGACTGTTTGCGTCGGTCACGAGAGATCTCTCATTGCGATTGAAGTGTTTGTTCCGTGCTCATCGATTCGGTAAATTGAGTATTTACCAATATTGGAGCAAATTTACGCATGGCTATATACTGAACCACAGCTAAGACGTATAAAAATCATAAAAAAAACACGAAATGACCGGTTGTTAACGTCGATATGGAAAGTAACGTTGACCATTGCAGTGTTTTCTTTTTTTAATGTCTACGAAAGAAACAAGTGTGTTTTCCTGATATAATCCGATAGGACTTGTGTAAACGTTCTTTGAAGAAACACAACAGACAGACAAAACGTTGCAATCAATATTTCTAAAGCAATTAAGATTTAATTAAGAGTTGGGAAGAATGGCAAGAGTCATACCACAAGGATCTTCAATTAATCTTTTTGAGTGCTTACGCACGCTCAGAAAGCCTGCGCCCCATTCCATCTTACAGATATCTTGCTGTCCTTTTCCTCTGGTGAACATTCGGTGATGTCAGACCGCTTGTTTTTACATTTCATTTATACTGCAGTCTGAAACCCAACAAGGTCAATGATAACTTGTTCATTGCCTTTTAAATTTTCTGACCTCCGGCTATATTTATACATATAGTTCCTATTACAATAAATCCCACATCAACGCACGTGATTTATGCAGTGTTTATTTTTAAGTAACGGTAGTGAAGTAACAAAAAAATTCAAGTTTTATTTTCACTGCCTGTCTTGTTTAAATTCCATTCACTTGACTTGAACATTCGTTTTCAAATGAGTCATATATTATGAAAAAATTTGTGGGAGAACAGATTGCGCAAATTCAATTTGCCGAATGGTTTCTGACCATCTGATCTTCATGCACTAACCTCCTATATATCGAAACATCCTCAAGGCAAAACTGACGACTTTCAGTGCATGAGTGACAATTTAATACTGTGACAATATTCTGCTAACCTTCGCACCTTGCACAGTTCAGTAAGCATGTTTGTGCGTCAATATTATACAACACTTTTTCCGGTGTCATTAGCCACACTATCAATTGAAGAGGACAAGAGTTTTCCACGCTTCTTTCTCAGAAGTGTAGATTGATTATATCATGATCAAATTTCATTAAATTACACATGTTCTTGTTCTAGAACACTCCACAAGAAAGGGCTTGCTTCGTTTGCACGGGGTGTTTTTAGATAAAATTGTTTAACGTCTGAGCTAATCTAACTGTGACCATAATAACATTGACCTTCGCACAAATTGATAATCGCATTGTCAATAATGTTGAGTGTTATCCCTGCATATTTTGCATGACTGATCTGGATTTATCCGCCATTAAAGTAAACATATTTGAGTTGAAAAATTTAACAGCAGAGTTTTTTAACGATGCAAGAAGTAGATTGGCTCTCATTACTAGTGTCACAGGTCTTGCTGTGTTTGAACGCTGTAAGCAAGACTGACTTACCAACTCATAATTAGTTTTAATTAACTGTATTTAAAAAACTTTATTATTTCAGGTTATCAAATTACGTTCTGTAAACAGCCTACAACAGTACAAATTTCATCAAGGTTTCTCATCCCGTTACCAATTAAGACTAATTGTGTACTTTTCTGACGATTCCAATTCCCAGGAAGTTACGAATCACGAGTGTTTAAAACGATACCAGCTGGTAAACTGGCTAAAATTGTAGTGAATGAAGGCGTTTCCCAAGGGAAAAGATGATCTATATGCCTACAGTCGTTTTGGCAAAAGTCCTGCAGACTTTGTATACAATATAGGAATATCTTACCGCATTTATCCTCAGCGTCGAGTCCCCTCGATTCACGACGCGCTTTGATATTCTCTGGTGCGTCTTTGCCTTTGGGCATTGCCTCATCCTGTCGTCTCTTGAGTGACTCGGTGCCCAGCATTTTAACACTCTTGCGAACAGTGTGAGGTGGGAAAACAGCAACCAGATCGTTATCCTGCGACCTGCGTGGCAGACGTGTTCAAAGTCGTGGGAACGCGAATGAAGAGTCCTTGTTTAGGTTGAATATAACTGGTTGTCTGCAAGAGATCTTTTGCTTTCGATTAGCATTCCTTGTAAGCATACCAATATTGCTTATTGGCCTTCAGCGGGACTGCTTTACATGTGGCATTTACTTTTCACCTTTTCACCAGGCGGGGTTTTCGTTCGTATCGTGACGCACGGAATGTGGTTCAATGCCAGACATTCGTCATCGTAATTCATCGTCGGATGCTCGATAATTCGTTATCCATACCCAATAATGACGGTGAAAAATTTTTGAATGGCAAAAAAAAATGTTTGATGAAAGACGACCTGAAAACTAGCCTTGAGAAAGGACTTGAAGTCTATGGTCTACAGGGAGGGGGTCGGTGTCATTTCAATAAAGAGGTGCAATATTCTGAGCGTCTATTTTGAGGGGATCGAGCGTGATGATTACTGGTTAGTGTATACAAAAATGATGTTTGAATCCATGGATAATATTTTGATTTGCGCTCACTTTCGTCGACCTCGTGTATTTTAATCGACAGCCGTCGCTGAACAGAAGTTCAATATCAGTCAGTCTTAAGTATTCTTCCTGGTGGTCTAGTAAGAATCATCCCTTATTAATCCAGTGTTACTATGTGGTTCAGTGGTCACTACAGGAAGGAAACCTAGACTAAACTAACTAGGTATTCTGTGATCATTAATACTGGATGGCTCTTTCAGTTCTAAACTGTTCTTCCTATAAGGATAATCCGGCTCTTATTAGAATTGTATATCAATTCTAAATAGTTCTCTTTCAGAGGTCCAGTGATGTTTAATAAATCAGTGTCTCGCAGTAAGGGCCTTTTTTACAGCACGGTCTGATGAAACAGCCGTTGTAGTATTTCACAGCAGTATTTTGAACACATCCCAAAATTTGATTTTCGAATAAATTGCGTGTTAAAATACAATATCACTTATCATTATACCAGAGGTTATTAAAAAATATTCACTTTTCCTGTCATCAGTAAACAGCTGATGTCCTTCATAATGTGAAGTGTGAACATTTGGTCAGTAAATTTTTCAATGACTGCATCCCGTGTAGCGATCTCACCATATATGACTGATCATTATGAATCACTATGAAGTAGTTTTGTGCGAACTTAAACCTTCATCTTTCGATATTAGATAGTGAATGATTAAAAATAATCAAATCTGCAGTGACGCACCGTCAGTACTTCAATTTGTGCCATATATAGATCTTTCATCTTCCCTTATTTCGTCAGTGACTTGTGAACGGAACTATAGCAAACTGATTTTGATCACTTTTCAAGTATTCACACATTTTTGTGATATTCGCGGCGTGCCAAAGGGGGAGTTCTAAATCAACCAGATCCTATACGTATATCCTATATACGTAATATCAGAAATAATCCGTATTTTTGTCAACTAAATTACCCCTAAGATAAAGTAGACAAACGCTTGTTTAACCAGCATTGAGATTTGAGACTAATATTGTGTTTAGTGTTTTGTTGGCCTGTTTATGTAAATAATGTAATTATGTATTGCTGGCTTCGCTGTGGTGATAGGATTAATTAGGATATGTGCAGTGATAAAGGAAATTTCGAGCAGTGATAAATAAGATTTTCATGCAGTGATAAAATGAATTTTTGTGCAGTGTTAAAATGCGACATTTATAATTTATCATTTGACTTTGATACATAACTATACGCGCGTAATTGTAAGTATGGATAATATTAATTGTATATAGTATGCTTGTTTTCTGCATAATTTGTTCACATAGAATTAGTTAATTACTTAAATTTTAAAAGCGGCAAAATCAGTACGCGAACTCATTTTGATACTGCCTACAGGAGAGGGAGAACTTTGCTAAAACAATGTTATATTTACATAAATCTTACCATAAATGTAAATTGTTAGTATTGTGCAGTCATAAAATTTCCTTAGAATAATCTCGTGTTTTCTGACATCTGATGCTGGGACTACCGGATTAACCAGGTGATGATAGTCATTAATAGCCTTACATAAATCTTCTAACCCAATTATCAAGCGATCTATATTCCTGTCTTATACATGTCATGCAATGAGCCATAATTAACAGCGACCTTTACCGTCAAATATTTCTAAATTTGTGGCTTCGTGTAGGTATCTCTGCAGCAAAGTTTTTTTTAGCGAAGTTCAAACTATTCCCTGAAGCTCAATTGCCACTCCTGCTGACATTTAATCAAGAAGGAATAAGGAAGCATTATGGCTATAACGCGTGAACGGTAATAGCCCAGGCCACGCCTAGCACTTATTTTTGACCCATTTTTTTGGGATGGTCTTACCTGGGCCATTACACCCTCGTCCATAAGTTCATTGCCGGCTAGGTCATTGCCGGCTGTTGTTAGTTTGTTGCTTTTTCCTGATTATCGTATTCTCATCGCAGTCAATTTGACAACAGCATGTATTTTGCGCGCGTATGTGCGTCAGAGTTGTTGGAAATTAGAATTCTTTGCGTCTTAATTAATCATAATTAATCATAAATCATCATTCTAAACTTTCCGTTTCACTCAGTTCAATGGTTTTTCTTTCACCCCCTGTTCTGACGATAAAGTAGTAACTAATTGGACAGACAATAAGAACTGTGGCAGGGGGGAAAGATATTTACAGGCTGGCGTAAATAGTCGATATCGAAAATTGTTTGAATTTAACTATATTTGGTCTAAAATTTACCTTATTTTTACAATTCCTATAAATTTTGTTCGATAAATAATGTTTGGAGTATCGATACTGTATTAATATTACCACAGTAAAAGCCAGAAAATAGTAAACAAGGCTATTTCTTCTCACTATAATAGCGCACAATACGGTTCAATTCAAATTCTGACATGGCGACTTCATCAAAAGAATTTTACCGCAGATCTTTGCCTTCTTCGTGCATCGATTTCATTTCATCCGAAGGCAAAGCTATTTTCAAAGAAGCCCTAAACGAAGGTTCAATGGAGTGCTTCTTTAATTTGGCAGCTCAGTTTAGAACCCAAGAGGAACCAGCATATTGTGGTTTATCAACACTGGTGATGGTGCTGAATGCATTATCTGTGGACCCTGGTCGGGTATGGAAGGGACCATGGCGTTGGTACCATGAGAACATGCTGGATTGTTGTGTACCCCTTGATGTTGCGCAGACGAAAGGGATTACTATGTTTCATTTCATGTGCCTTGCCACATGTAACGGCCTTGACGTCGACATGGTGCAGGTGTTACCCACGGCAACCATTGCCGAGTTCCGGAATGTGGTGAAGTGTGTCACACAGTCCGATGAACAAGTGCTGGTGTGTTCCTACTCTAGGAAAGTCCTTGGTCAATCAGGTGATGGTCATTTTTCACCAATAGGTGGTTATCACTCTGGTAGGGACCTGGTGCTAATTTTTGATGTGGCAAGGTTTAAATATAACCCTCACTGGATTACTGTTGATCTATTGTGGGAAGCAATGCAAGGATTGGACAAGGAAACTGGTAAGTAATTGTTAAACTGCTGTAATTTATATAGTAAAGTTCAGTTTATGTTATCTCCTATAGTAACACTGGATCAACAGTAGTTTATCACCAAGGTCGAATATACCACATACCAGGATATTCAATCTTCACTAATTTTTAATCCCAATACCACTATAGTTTTTTAACTGTATTTTTTGCTTGCATGTCTCAAGGTCAACCAAGGGGCTACCTGACTATGCGGCGAACACAACACACAGGCAACCCGACTATTCTGTTCAAAATTTCCGACAATTTCAAGCTGACTATTTTGCCAGATATTAAGCAAGGGGTTGTTGAGATGTTGCAACAATGGCAAACATGGCTTACAACAGAAAGTCGTGATATTCACAACAAGGAGCAGTTCCTTGCCATTCTTGTTTCAGAGTTTTTGAGTTTATGTTGTTCAGAATGCTCTCCAGGTAAGATAAATAGAATTTAGCATCATCACCATCACAAACATCACCACTTCCACCATCCATACCATCACTATCACAACCAACATCATGTACCAGTATCAATATCACCATTACCATGATGACCAACATCACCAGCATCACAACTATCACCAGTACCAACATCACCATTACCATGATGACCAACATCACCAGCATCACAACTATCACCAGTATCAACATCACTGTGATGACCAACATTAGTAGCACCACCACCTTCACCATTGTTATCACAATAATCACCCGCAACACCAACATTACTATCATAATTACCCACACCACCTTGCCACACCCAACACCACCATCACCATTACCACCATAGTCACCACTCACCACCACACCCAACATGACCACCATCATTGTCACATATACTATTAATTTCAACTTTCCACTTTCAACAGGTCTTGACAAAGTCTTCACCATAAAAATCGATCCAGATTGTTGCAAAAATCTTTCGAAGGACCACAAATGTGCAATTTGCGATCTCCTTCAAGCTTTGGAAGAACAACAACTATTTCAATTGATGAAAGAATCCCTAACCTCTGGTGAACACACAATCTCCAAATGTTGGGATGTGTGCACTGATCTTGAAATTGTAAATGACAAACTGTGCTGCATGTCTAATGATACTGGTAATGCACATGAATTTCCCAGAATAAAACACAGCCATTTTGCCACAATGATGCTCCTCGCCTGGCCTTATCCAACGTCACAGACGCAAAACAAGACACATGCAGATTTTAGCCTGGAATATGTTGCCCAAGAGATGAAAGGAATTCCTAAAGTTCTTGAGCATGAAGTAAAATTGTTGAATGCTCAACTTTCAACTATATTCATGTACTATGAAAGTGTTAACAGTTCTGATGTTGTATCGAACAGAAATAGAACTGGTTGTAAAAGAAAATAAATGAAAGCGAATTTCCTGATATCAGTTAGTCTCTGAATTGTTAAAATTGCCTGGAAAGACAACACTAAATTAGTAAATACTGCAATTGAAATGAAACTAAATCCTAAGCTAAGAGCACCTCCTATCCCTCTTTGTAGAAGTTTTATTACTTTTAAATATTAGTTAGTTGTGATATATTGTATTAATTGTAGTTATTTATACCGTGTAATTCAGTTTCTACTGCCAAACGGATTATTAAACTATTATTATTATTATTATTATTATTATTATCATTAGCCTAAACGTGTGCTCCAAATTGCACCAATCCCCAGCTCTGCGAATTCTAATGGTTTCTGCATTTCTTCTTTGTCCAAGGACCTACCCCCGTACCCCATAAACGCCCACCTACATAGACCCACCACCCTATTAATCCTGTGCAGACGTGACAGTATCGTACTCGTTTGTTCGGATGTAACCACCTTTCAAGTGATGTTTTTTTGGCCACGGCCACATGCTCCATTCGAAAGTGCAATATTTTGTAAATAAATCGTCGACATCCCGCTGTTTGGATGTTTCGCTGATTAAGATCTCTTTTAAATCATTCCTTTGAACCATTGTTTTTATTACAATATATATCACACGACAGTCATTTTAAAAGCATTTGTGTTTGAGACGTCGAGATGATGTGAGGGTGGTTGCAAGATTTGTACATCTAAATTTCGCATGAAAGTCGGTCCAAAGTTCCACACTTTATAGTATTAAAACCGGAGTACGATGTCTTGTACGTTATGATTTCCAGTCGCAACGGGAACATAAGGTAGAGCATATAAAAAATAACTATCCTTATGTGTTTATAATTGTGTAGTATTTAGCTTCTAAATAACTCGTTTAAGCGTTCGCGTTTTATGAGATTTGTATATAGCGTTGGCCTAGCAACTCTCTTCATGTGAAGATGAGAAATGGTGAATAAAATATACGAAGTTTGAACTGTATTCATTTGAAACGCGAAGAGTATTGATATCAGATTTCAACGCATGTTTAATTTCTTTTGTTCACGGATTAGTTAGAAAATAAGAAAAAAAATTGCAACATATAGTTTATAATGATACTTTAACATGCGTTGAAATTGGTTTTTGATTCAAGTTGTTGATACTGTTCTCCATGAAGAGATTTTGTTTATTCAAGACTGTCCCTTCTAATAAGTTCCGTGTTTTTCCCATGAATGTTTGATTCTGATTGTCTTGAAATCTAGTAATATTTTAGTGATATTATTATGCAGAGTAAATACATCAACATCCCAAGTATTCATTCAATTCATTCAAAGATTTTAAAAAGATGGAATAAGATATGCTCAAGTATTGAAAATTTGATGAAATTTGAAAGAGCATTTTAAATTAACCTCTATTCAATTTAATTATAGTTTCCAATCACTAATTTATTATATTGCTACAAATCTTATTAATTTATGAACTAGGATATTCTTAAAATAGGTTTTTTAAAGCATCACAGTAGCCATATTTTCTGTGAGGTTTGAAGAGTTTTATTTGTGGGACAGGGTAATGCTGAGTTGGCTGTAAGAACCAACTGTGTTTGTCTAGGATGCTTTGATATCTTTGTTGTTAATTAATACCAGCTGCTGATAAAATACTTCTATGTTTTGACACTTTGACAAAAGCACACAGCAGCTCTGATTAAACGTGAAAAGCAGTAAACGAACATGTGAATGGAATGTGTGTCTTTAAATATAAAGTGTAACTACATCTTTTGCGTGTAATCGGATAAGTCAAGTAGGTTTAACTGCTGTTATATTCCCTCCAATCAGTCAACTCATACTGATAATAGCATCCAGCTGAACTCAAGTAGACATCAGTTGCTTGTTGAACTAACTTGTTATTCTCATGCATTTCAACCATCATAAACAAATTGTGAGTGACAAAGTTGATGAAATGGCAGTTTTGTGACAACTTGTCGACAAGCTTGCAAACATATGTTGTTGACAATATGTGAGGTTGTGCTGGAGTGTGGGTGGGGATTCTTCATATCTAAAATGTGATTTCAGTTTAGATTATGATATTTAGGTCATAAACCTTGCATTTGAGGAGAATGGATGGTCCAAGAAAGGGAAAATACACCGGCAAAATAATAAGAGGAAGAAACTTTAGTTGAGTTTTATTGACTTTAGGATGGGGGCAGGTCAGTTTGATCAATATTTTAGTACTTTCGCTATTTTTGTATCCTTTTTTGAATTTTAACCAAATATTCAAATATTAATTGTGTATACAATTGTGAATTTAGCAACGTCATGCTCTGGAAAAAGCCGGACACAAACAATGTAAGTATCCTAGAATAAATCTTAGTATAAATTTGAGTGTAAATGTCTTGATAAATTTGTATGTTCCGTGGTCAATATTTTTGTACAATTTTGTACAATTTGTAGCCTGTTAACAAAATAGGAGAATTAAATCTTTATTTTTTCTTTTTGATCAATATTGTCTAAACCCATTTCAATGTTTAATTAACACAAGTTAGGATGCCATTTCAACGTGCAAGACTAGAAGTGATTTCTGAGTATAAATCTCTTAATTGTGGTCTCAGCAGTTGTCCGCAGTTCAATGACACTACATAGCAATTTTATTGCAGAAGGTTTATGGTTTTATTATTGGCCAATATTGTAATAAAATTTTCATGTAATTTGTAGCAAAAATATCTTGTTTTCCCTCAAAGTCAGCGTTGCATGAATATGCAAAGCATTGGTTATCATATTGGTCAACCAATATAGAAAATCACAGATGTTAGAGAACATGTATTAAGACAGGCTTTTGTATATATTTTGTCGGCTGAAATAGAGTTATTATTACTTTCGTCTAAGCTTACTGGCATTATTCAAAGAAAGAGGAAAGCTTACTGGCCATTATTTAAAAGCAAACATGCATTAACTTGTCACATTACAAACGAATTAAGTTTTCGTTTTTCTTAGCAACATATTTTATGCACCTAACGATAAAAGCATCTCAATTACGTACGTGAGCAAGCTGTTTAGAGGTTATTGCCTTTGTAAACTTGTGGTTAAAAAAGGTTTCGTGGTTAGTACATTTAATCGAAATTGCGGGCCGTAATTCCAAAAGGAATGTGTGTCGTTATCTAAAAGAAGCTCGCTCGTCAAAGGATTAGTTTGATGTCCGAATGTCAGACGCTGTGTGAATATTCGGTGTAACGGTTAGATAGAAACTACGAGGTATTTTTATATTTTGAGATATATATATTTTGAGATATAGCTAATGTAGGTTGAGGTGTAATAAATGCTTGTATTATTAATTGCGACAGAATTTCATAACGAATAATCCTTCTCTGTGAATAAATACGGCATTACTTGATAAACTATGGTGAAAATAACAGACAAGATTTGCTCTTAAAACTACGGCCAGTTTAGAGTACATTATTCTAGTTAGTTCATCAGGAGTCAGGACAGCACTTGCTGCTAATCTTTTCAAGAGGTGTCGTAATCCCTTAGACGGCAAACGGGCGAAGAATTTTTGAGTTTTTTAAAGTAAGACACGGCATATTTTAGGCCTGTCGCAAATGGAAATGGTGGTCACATGAAGAAAAACGCTAATAGAACAAAAAGCAACAAGGTTTCTTGTCAAAATGGCGTGGCTGATCATGCTCATATGTCTGAGGTAGAAGAAGTCGAGGGGAAGAGAAGGGATTTAAGGGAACCACCTGATCGTTCGGTATCCGCCGTCAACCTTCGTCCGAGTAAAAGTGAAGGCAATACACCTCACATTATGCGCAGGTAAGGCTGGACATCGAGGATGAGAGTTCATAATGTTGCATGGGAGATGATGGAAGTTGATGAATGTTGGTTGATTGAAGTTGATGAGAGTTGATGAGAGTTGATGAAGGTGGATTGATTGATATTGGAAGTTGATGAATGTTGGTTGATTGAAGTTGATGAGAGTTGATGAAGGTGGATTGATTGATATTGGAAGTTCATATTGGAATTTGTTGAGAGTTGATTGATGGGAGTTGATGGGTAAGAGTTGACTAGAGTAAATGAGAGTTGATGAGATTGATATTTAGATAACAGCGGAGAACTCTTTCATTTATACTTCACCATTTGCCGTCGTAGGTCAACAGGAGATGACAGCAAATCATTGCTAAGGCGGTCTTGTGGCAGTCAAAACCTTCTCACCGTTGACAAAGTTTTCTCCGAGGACGATCATGCCCACCTGGCGGTGTTTCGACAGATGAGCGATCCAGTGGCTGTAAGTCGGTCAGTGCCATCATCCCCCAGGATTGCTAGACCCCCAGCGAAGGAGAGTCATCACGTCAACGTATTGAAGACCGAGGTGGGTTCTGGGAAAACGGCCAAGTTGCTTATCTGCGTATCACTGGATTGGTATATCCATTTTTCCTGATTAACTTTCACTCTTTCTTTTAATTTACTTACCTAAACAGAATGGTCTTTCCCTGAACGAGTATAAAGTGTTTGACGAGATTGGAAAGGTATGATTTCATAGTAATAAAACAACCTGAGCCCAAATTAATCCCGGAGGGGTTTCCCTCTGTGCGTTGTACGATATTCACCGACCTTTATCATTCTGGTTCCTGTTAAAGCTCATAAAAAGTTGCCCCCTTCGCTCTTCCCCCGCCTCCCTGAGAGGTCTGGGCGAATGCGATGGGCTTGGTATGCAGGCTTTTTGCCGTCATATTCCATGAATATGGTTGCTTATTTTAAAGGAGATTATGTAGAGTGATAAATAAAGTTTGGCGTCATGTAGTGAGCGAGATGGTTTACCTTTCAACGTTATCTTTAACCGTATGATTCGTATCACCCTAAATGATCATTTTTATCATTTTCAGGGGTCCTATGGTGTTGTGAGAATGTGTTATTCTGAATCAGATCATCTGAATTACGTAAGTGTCATCATTTATAGTAAAGTCTGTGAAAGAACTTCTCGTATCAATAGCCATAGTTTTGTGACCGTCCACCATTGCTTTCACCAGGCCATGAAAATTATGTCAAAGAAAAGAATAATGAGAAAAGCAGGACTGAGTGAGTGCAATAGAAACTGTGTGTGTTTTGTATTATCTAACAGGATAGTCGTCCTTCATCGTACTATATATATTAAACTAGTCTCAAGCATGCAGGCTTGTCTGTGATCATCACAGGGTGATGATAAGGGTGATGATAGGATAAAACAGGGAAAAAGCCATACTTTGCATGATTTATTTTAATAGTGAAACCGGCTGATCGCGGCAAGAAAGATGCTTTGGATGGTTTGAAGAGAGAGATCGCTATACTGAAGAAAGTTGATCATCCAAATATTGTGAGACTTTACGAGGTCCTGATCACTTTATGATGATAAATACCTGCATTTACCTATGATTCATTAATTCATTCATTTCTTCCTTAATCAAAATGATTCACCTCGTTACTCTCTTTAGGTTCTTGATGATCCGTCTGATGATAACTTGTACTTAGGTAAGCAACTGAATCTCATTTCAAGAGGAATTCATAGTCTACGTTCTTTGTGGTATATTCTAACATTCCAATGTCGAGGTTATGAGATAATGTATAGGATGAAAAAGGTTTAGGTAGGGATTGACTTTCGGTTATGATTGACAAAGAAATTCAGCTCTTAGCCTAGGTCATGGTTAGCCATCGTCAAAAGCTGCTGGCTGACTTAGACTCAACATTCTGACTAATTTCCATCTTGACTATTACCGTAAAGATTTTGGCGGTTGTGATAGTAGTTCTATATAAATTTTTAACGCAATTTAATTTCTTTTATCTTTAGTTTTTGAGCTGGTCGAAAAGGGGTAAGCAAGAGGTTTTTTTCCTATTTTATCTGGGCATATTACTAAGAAAGAGAACCAAGTATTGTACAGAGAGTTTCACAAGTTTGTAAAAGTGTTGCTTCGTTGTTTTAAGGCCTGTGATGGAGGTTCCAACAGACAATCCGTTGAGCGAGGCAGACGCGAGAAAATATTTCAGAGATGTTCATTCTGGAATTGAATATCGTAAGTTTGTCATTCAGGACTTTGGCAATTGGCACAGACAGAATTTTGACTTTCAGGGAGTGGGGGGGGGGAGGGGAGAGTCGGTTGGTTACACACCATGGTTCCGCTATAATGATACTGTTCTTTCTTTCCAGTACATTTCCATCGGATAGTCCACAGAGATATCAAACCGTCAAATCTTTTACTTGGGGACGATGGTCATGTTAAGGTGGGTTTTGATATGAACCGTGTTCGGGTTTAATGTCAAAATACCCGCTAGCCATGCAGATTTATACGTGAAAATTATTGTCTTGTTACATATTATTTCATTCTGATTTCCAGATTGCAGATTTTGGTGTCGCTGATATATTTGAGGGTGAGGATGCTTTGCTTTCGAAATCTGCTGGATCACCTGCCTTTATGGCTCCAGAGTCATTACAAGGTCAGTGTTTTAGGACTGTCCAGTGTACTTAGACTTGTAAAGGTCAGTGAAATCCCTCTCTAAAGCTGGCACACATTGGATTAACGAGGAGAACTCTACAGGAATTTCAATTTTGGGCAGAAAATTCAGTGCTTTGAAAAGTGTCCGCCTTAAGGTTCAGCCTCATTCACACGATCCAACTTTGTCCGATCCTGAAGGACTCTGAAGGATGTTTTATAGTCTGTTGACTTGTTATGTATTTACGCAGCAAATCAACTTAAACCAACGAAGTATTGCTTTTTGAATAACTGACTTCATTCCATACGTCAGAAGTGAATTGGATCCAATAAAATTGGATTGTGTGAACAGACCTTTAGATAACTGTTCAAAGATGGTTCTCCACTGAATTGTTTTACGTCAACCTTCATTACAGCAACTCGGGACACTTACAGTGGAAAGGCTACAGATGTCTGGGCAATGGGAGTGACGTTGTACTGTTTCGTATTTGGAGAGGTAAGTCGCACTCAGGTTGTCATACAAAAATCTTGTCTTGGGAACATGTGGGGTGAATTGTTGCATGTCAGAGCGTGCTGGAGAGTTGAAGAATGATATCCTTTCTTTATTAGATTCCATTTAAACACAGCAATCGATACAGCCTTTACGAATTGATTAAAACAAGCGAGTAAGTGTTGAAGAATTTTGCATCATAAAAAGTGTGTGTAACTTTGTAAAGACGTGTCGTAACTAATAAAGATGTTATTCTTGTCGTTAACTGTATATAAACGATTTTATATTTTCAGATTGAAATTCCCGGAAAAGTACGTACTCTTCTATTTTTCTCGGAAATTTTGATTAATAGTTATTGTATTACAAGCTATACACCAACCTTAAAGGTGGATTATGATCAAACTATTTTTTTAAAAGAATCGTGTGATATTGTCTATATTCTTGCAGCCGTTCTCTGAGTCCGGGTCTTGAAGACCTGTTGCTAAGAATGTTAATCAAAGATCCCAGTAATCGTATAACAATTGATGATATGAAGGTGTGTTTTAATGTTTAAACAATGCACGGGAATATTCCTGATCACTGAAATTGAATCAGTTTTTAAAAATTTTAATCACGGAATTAGCACTACCTGGTCTAAACATTATCGCGATAGGATGTCGTTTTGGGACGTCCATTCAGCCACAAGTCGCCTCAGAAATGTTTTTCTACCTTTTAGGTTCATCCTTGGCTAACTAAAGGTGGCTCTGAACCGCTTCCTTCGACCTACGATAATTGCACGGTCCTGGAACCGACTGAGGAAGAGATTTGCAATAGTATTCGAAGCGTGCCCAAAATTAGGACATTGGTAGGTCTTTTGAAAAACTCAGTTTGAAAACTCTTCTCCCTAAAGAACCGGTAAAGAAACATAATCCCTTTGATTACTTCAGTAAGAAAACCTACTCGATTCCTACAATGTTATATTCGACCATGCATTGTCGAGTATACCGTTTTTCGATTTATTCGACCATCGTTGAGTATACTGTTTTTCGATTTATTCGACCATGCATTGTCGAGTATACCGTTTTTTGATTTATTCGACCATCGTCGAGTATACCGTTCTTCGGTATATTCCAGAGTACGAATCGAGGAATATATCCTTTGCTCGATTCAGTGCTGCATGGGAGTTCGATCAGGATTACTGCAATTCTTTCATCGTTTCTGACTATCTCTGTATTCTCACTTCTTAGATTTTGGTGAAACGAATGTTAAAACATGGTCATTTTGGAAACCGCGAGAAACTAAATCGTGCACGCCTCAGTACAAGCTCAATACAATAGAAATTATCAAAAAAAATACACAGAATATATATTTATCCGAGTGGGTATACCTGGGGTAGGTCTTCAAGATATAAACTCCACACTGATGTACATGTAGAGACTAGAGACGACACAATAGTTGGTGGAAATGGTGGGGATTTTAACCGTATTTAAATCATTATGCCAATTTACTTTATGGATGGTAAATGGTAAGCAAACTTGAAGATATGTAGCCCTAGTAGGATTTTCTATATTTGTTCGTGAAAAGATGCATTATGACGCTTTATAAACAGAAAACTGGTTTATATTAGAAGAACACACTAAAAGATTCGACACATTTGTATCAAATGCAAAAAAAGTAAATTTATCATTGGTGGTAGAGAAGTTCGATAATAATGTATAATAAAATATGAAATTATATCATATGTATTATTAGAAACGTTGATTTACATTCTTATCTATCTGTTAATCTACATGGGCAATTTAGCATCAAATGTGGTATAACATCTGCCTAAAATAGACAAAACACTTCTCGACGTTTCGAACTGAAGAAGTAGCAATTTGTGCCTACCAGGCTATAGCCTATAGGTACTCTAGACTGTGTATGTTGCACGATATAAAATCATTCAAAAGGCTAACATGCACACATTGACGTAAAAAACATCAACTTGTAATAATAACTTGTTGAAAACAGGTTTCTTTAGGGGGCAAACCTGTTCTTCTCCAGGGTCACTTTACATATACCGGAAAAGTCATCATATTTAATATTTGATATTATTGATAAACGAAGCGTTGTTAAGGACATATAAAATCATGAAGGACTTATTAATGCGTCAGGTACGTTGAAAATTTTGTGCTTTTCTTGAAACAACACTTGATTTTGATGATCTTGGGGCTCATTCGACCTCCTCTGAAAGCTACGCAGTTGAAATTGGTATTGCGAAATTAAGATGGCGCAACGTGGAATTTCTCTTGCGTGTGACAATTTATATATAGGTAGAATTTGTGAAAAGGACAACAAACTGCCGATCTGTAAAGCAGTGTCTACGTTATTGTAGTTGAGCATTGTAATGTTTCAAACAAGCGATGTCTAGACCCTCAGAATATTGCGGTTTTTTTAAAGTCTCAAATTACATAGTCGGATATTGAGTAAAGAGTTTGAGCTTTTGTCAGTTCACCTTTCATTTAGCTATATGCTCGTTCGTCCCTCAATCGCTTCGAATTGCTTCACAAATATAAGAATAGGTGACATGAAAATGATTTTTTAGTTTTATACTTTTTTTCTCGTGTTTGTTTACGTCTGTAATTGCGACTTTATAGCATTATGTGACGTATTTCCGGGAGTAAAATGTCCAAATTACTATTGAATTGTTACTGTGCTTTCTGCTTCTCTGTTTGAAAGCTTTGTTCATCTTTTTTTAGGCTCTTCTTTGTGATCCTTCACAAGTCCACAGACCCGAAGCAATATACGACGAATATAACGAATTTCATCAATTGAAACCAGGCAAATCTTTGGAAAATGTCGGCAAAGACACAGAAGCGTTTCGAGATTTCAACGTGGATGAGAGCATGGCGCATGTTCGGGAGACATACAGAAACATGCATACGAAGCAAACTGTTGCTTTAGGAAAGGAAATGGTACAGGAAATAGGATAGAAATGTTGTGTACTTTGAGCTTTACAGTAGATTTCAAATTACTCTTCCCATACCAAGTTTACAATCTTGTGTCTATTCGGACTATTCCAAGTCTATGTCTATAATTTTGCAAATTGCAACTTCACAACACATTAGTTGACTTTGCAACATCTTGGCATGACTTGCTGTAGTGAGATGGCTGGATTACCTTTAGCTCAGCTTAGCAAACTTAGATCATCAGTTCTGTACCAGTATGGACACTTCCCAAAATTTTACTTGAGTGCCCACAAAACAATAGTTTGGAAACAGGGCAGGCAATGTTATCCATTGTTAGTCAGTGGGATGGTTTTCACTGTCGGGAACAAATTTGTGAAGTGTCCATTGATGGTCAATTTCATCAATTACTTCTCTGATCATCTACAGCGAGAAAAGTGGTTGTCATTCGATCATGCTGAGTTGACTATTATGGAAGCTATAACGCTATTGGACAATCTCGTTGATGAAAGTGACCCCGATGTGGATGTTCCTAACTCTGTTCACCTTTTCCAAACAGCTGAGAGGATACGAGAGGTTCATCCAGACAAAGGTGAAGCATTGAGATGTATCTATGAACATTTTGCTTGCATTGTTTAAGAGAATGAAATAAATCATTCTCTTTCTTCCAGATTGGTTTCAGCTGGTTGGATTGATTCATGATGTGGGGAAGATAATGGCATTGTATGGCGAGCCACAGTACTTTGTTGTGGGTGACACATTTCCTCTTGGCTGCAAATTCTCAGATAAGATTGTCTTCTCTGAACAATTTGTTTACAACCCTGATGCTAAAGTCCCTGAATACAGGTAGATACAGCTAAAAACGCAAGTCCAATTGCTTATCAGGTTATGATAATTATATCTTAGGATTTAATGGCTTTCTGTTTTTTTGTCTTAGTTCAAAGTATGGCATGTATGAACCCAATTGTGGTTTGAACAATGTCCAAATGTCCTGGGGTCATGATGGTAAGTAATCGTTTTCAAGTACTAATTAAACAATTTCAAACTGTTCATCTTCATAGCAAGGGACATACTGTGACATAATGTACTTCTATTACAGAATACATGTATCAAGTATTGCTTGCCAATAAATGCAAGATTCCTGAAGAAGTAATAATTCTTTTTTACTTTCAACTTGCAACAAGCATGCATGATATTGACAAATCTACTAGTATTGAAGAAGTGTTACCATGCAGCCTAACTGTTAACATTAAATTATTTTAGGGTCTATACATGATACGGTTTCATTCATTTTATCCGTGGCATGGTTCTGGCGATTATGATCATCTTTGTAACACTGAAGATCGCAAAATGATGTCGTGGATTAAAGAGTTCAAGTAAGAGTGTCACCTGGTTGTTTGAATTTTTAATAAAGAGAGAATTTATTGATAAGTTAGTAAGTTATTTTATGGTTCTCTTGGCATGTCAGTCAGATAGTAATTTACATATAGTTTATTAATCTGGTTTATTCATTAACTGAGTTGAAATTTCTAAAGAAAATGTATATCTTTTTTTCCAGCCGATTTGATTTGTACTCAAAAGCAGACTCTTTACCAGATGTTGAGAAGATAAAACCCTACTATCAATCTCTGATTGATCAGTATTGTCCAGGCAAGCTTAAGTGGTAAACCTATTGCATCCCTTTTTTTCTAACTCAAACATACCGGTATAACAAGTTCTCCTTGGTGAGATTTATTGAAGACAAAATTTAATAGCATTTATAAATAAAAAAATGTACATATATTATAAAATTTTTCAGTCCAAGCTAGTCCTTGGGTTTATTAGAGTTACATAAGTCATATAGTCATGCATATATTTGTGTTCTAAATAATTGAGTTTTTTGAAATCAATTGTTTTTACAGCAACTCGACAGATTTATATAAAACTACTTTTGTATAGTGTGTAAAACTTAATAAGAATCCAGTGCAGGCGGGACTTGTGGAATTAGAATAATGAAGGCATTAGTAATGAAATCAAGAGAGTTTACAATGTGACAATTGTAATAATGGCATTGCATTAAAATGGTAATTTTGACAATTAAGTGTCTATTATGATTTATGAAATACTTGTGGCATGACAAATCCATATAACTGTTTAAAATGTTTGGATAATCGGAATGTCATACCATATGGTCATACCAAAGAATACTTCAGATGCTCTGCATTATTAAATTACATTAGTAATAAATTAGTTTGAGGCTTTGAGCCTTGTTCATTGAGAGGTTTTTAAAATTCTCAACCAATTGTCAATCCCATAATGTCAAAATCATTCAGCATGCTGTAACATAGCAACCATAAGTTTTCTCTCTCCGGTAAAACTAAGTCGTGAGTGCTGCACAAGATGGTTGTCCAATGCAATTACATCCCCTTTCTCCAGTTGAAACCCAACAGCAACCTGCCATGTCACTTCGCGGATGTGTTGCACATACTCTTCAGGTATTTCACTCATGTCACCATAAAGGGAATGAGTTGGGAACTTATGAAAGGGTAGATCAGTGAACTGCTCCCAGAATGGGTGATTGTATTTCCATGCTGATGCATGTTTACGAGTAATATGATTGAACCAGACAAGTTCCCCTAAATAGTTAAGAAGATTATGGGTGACTGAAGTCTAAATTCTAAAACAATCTAAGCTTAGCATATTAAAAACAAATTACAATTTTACCTTTGAAATTAATCATTGCAGGTCTACCATAACCAAAGATCAATGATCCATTTTTTTCCCATTCATAATCTGCACCAATGCTATCAAGGAATTCTACCACCTTACTTCGATCTTCGGTTTGAAAAACCTTAAAACATCAGGTATGTGATTTTAGTATGCTGGCCTATATATATATCATAAAACAGAAATTGCCTTATATTACCTCTTGCCACGACTTGTACTTCTCGAGGCTCTTATCTGCCCAGTGGTAGTTGTAATAAATGCCAAGCTTTGCAAATGTTCCCACAATTTCTGCATCAAGGTTCTTCAGGATGTCTCTATTTCTGATGATTACGGTCTCTCCACCACATCCTGGACCAGCTGGTTTATCGCAGTAAAACAACAGCTAATAAAAGAATCCTAGCTATTGATTGATAATTCAAGTCCCACTCCAGGGTTTTACTGGAAATTGAAGGCAGTTTTGCTTGTTGTTGTGGTAAGAACCCTATTGTTATGATAGTAGCCCATTCAACCATGATTTAGGGCAATCTGGGGAGGGGGACAACTCTGGCTTATGTGTGAGAGTGGTCATTACTAAAATATAATACCATTTATTCATACGTACCACATCTGGCCACTTGGGCATATATGCCATTTCATTATGACCTTCAATGGTTATACCTGGGGGCTCATCGCTAGCGGTGTAAACATCTTTCCCAACTACTTGTCTAGGGGCAGCCCCCCCGATGTAATCCATGGCGTTGAACTTCCCCAACCCGTTGAAAAAATCGTTAAAATCCTGATTTCCATTGATCGGAAAATCGCGGAATAATACAGCACCATGTTCATTTAAGATTTCTCCGAAATTCGTCTTGCAAATTTTAGCACATTCACTCGCGGTCGCGTGATCAGAAATTCCAACATCTTTCGCTGAAACGACAAACGGAAAATTCTCTCTCGGTGGATTTAGATTTTTTGGGAAAGTCGAACTGGTTGAGCCAGGGAGGTATTTTCTATTTGCTATTTCGACCAAATTTCTTCTCGGTTGAGTTAGCCGTACAAACTTGAGCAGTTTCTTCGCTGGATTCATATTTAGTTTTGTACTTTTAATATATACGCAACAATGTTTTTGTCAAACCTTTTGCCCGCCCATTTCAGGAAATGCATAAAAAAACTGGATATTTTAATTCAGTTTTCTTGTTTTGGCAGTTTTGACTTTTGAGCGGTGTTTTTTTTTTCATTTCCACGATAATTAATGGTCAATGGCAGAAGTCTTTACAAACGATTTTTCCAGTAAGATGTTTGTCAAGATATTTGCAGTAAATTTGTTAGTAGAACTAAATTTGCCGAATTTTGTTTACCGTCGAAGGTCAGGACCTTTGAAAAACCTGTTTCGCATCAATTAATAGGACTATTTTCACATGTTTAAACAAAGAGAACCTTCATGGAAACTCACAGAACAATTTTGTACAAAAAAATAACAAAGCAGGAATGTGGAGTAACTAGATTTTATTATGTACATTCCTTGGTTTATTAGTAAATGCCTATGATCATGAAACTATGAATGGTAGTTTGGTTCAATTTTGAATTCAAAGTTATTTTTTGTCCAGCAAGGATTTTTAACACTCATTGGCTCTATCATTGTTCTTTCCAGAAATGTAACATTGTCCTCATGATCTACTGTTATCACTGAGTGTGTTCTAAAATTTCATAGAAAAGAAACAATAAAATGAAGATGAAGTGTAATCTATTCACTATACTATACAAGCTTCCCCTGGACCTTTCAGGCCAAAAAAATCTTAAGCTTACTATCAAGGATAAAGGCCTGGCCTGGAACCATTTACACTTAGACAGACTTGATGAAGTCACTTGTATAAACAACCCACCTGGAGCAATAGTTCATTTCAGGAATTTTCACTGATATTGCTGAGAGTCTTTCAAGGAACATGTCAGGGAGGCCCTCATCTTCAGGACCGCGAAAGGCATCATCAACACCATACCTAGGAATAAGTTACTTGTGAAAGATGTGTCAAGATGATTTGCAGCTAGATGACTGGCAGATGGTAATTAAGAATGTCTCTCCTGTTTTTACCTAGTCTCATCAAGTAACAATTCCAAAACTTTATCAACTTTCTCTTGCATTGAACTCTCTTCTTTCACAATCTTTTCAAACTGTTTTTTTCCCAAATCAACTTTCTTCCAACCATAATCCAAATATCGATTACTAAGACCATAGATTCCTGGCGTCAAGTCCTGCAAAGGTCGACTCTCTTTGTTGCAATAATAACTGAAATTCATTTCAGTTTTTCCAGGAATGACTTCACCAAGAATCAAGTTAAAACCACCATATTTGTGGCCATTTTCTTCAACATTTTCTAGAAATGTTTTGGGTTTTTCCTCAGATTTAAGAAAATCAGACACAAGTTGCCCTCGGCCAATTTCATCCTCGCGTTTAAATTTTGGACTTTGTCTGTAGTTCGTGAGGATTCCAACTTTACCACTTTTAGACATCCCAAGCCAGGTACCACCTTCTTTTCCAGGAAAAAGATCAATACCTATAAAGGTCCATAATTGGTAAATAATTATATCATCATTATTCTAACTGAATTAATAAAGTCATCATTATCTCTCTAGTTGTGACCATTTGTTACATCCCACGGCACATCACCTGATATAATATCTGGTCGTTTTTCCCACCAATGGAGCTCTTTTGTTGGTCGACTAGTGTATTCATCTCTGTTCACACCAATTATAACTTTATATCCATCATGTATTGGATTATCTGAGATGGCCAAAAACACAATACACATGTTTCATATGGAAGCATATAATCAATTATTAATGTAATCGATTATTTCGTATGTTTCGTCTATATAGACCAATAAATGGACTCTATTTCAACTGTATTTTTTTAAAATATGTAACATCGTCCTATATCCAGTTATCACTTTCGAGATCAGTGTCAAAAAATATTAGTCTCCAGACTCCATCTTCCTCGCGCGCCATTTAAAAATGTTGCGGGAGCCATCAAAGATGGCTGCCTCGAACTCGTTAAAAGAATGGGAAGGTAAGCGAGATTCGCCGAGATTCTGTTGAATTACAATCGTAAGATACCTATAAACGTATTCTTCGTGTGCCTGTGTGTGGATTCATGTTCGTAGCAGTTCTGTAATCTCAGTTTTTGGTTGTTGTTTATGCCTTAGACTTACGCAGAAAAGCTCGTCAAATTGAAAACGAACTCGATTTGAAGCTGGTTTCTTTCAGCAAGCTCGGCACTAGTTACAGTCATCGAGATGACAGGTAGGAAAGAAAGCTCCGAGTACCATTATGTAGTTATATTCGACACAAAATGGATGTTTAAGGGAATTTATTTGCCATTATTTTGCTCTAGTTCTGACAAATCTCCGCTGTTGAATAATTCGTCGAGCGAACACATGTTTCAAACAATGTCCTTAGAAATTGGAGATTTACTGTCAAAGGTATGAAAAATTGAAAAAGTTTCACAGTATTACGAAATATTGCTGATATTAAACATATATGTTGTGTATTACGTCATCTGTATTTCGTCAGCAGATGACGTCACATAAACCTTATTTAGGCACAATGACCACATTAGAAATTTTGCTGATTTTCATCAGGGGTGTGCTATTAACTATATAAATAACTTACAAAAGAAAGCAATTTACTATTAAGTACAAACTGCCCCAAAAAACTAATCAATCTATACTACTTGACCATTTGGAGGCAGGCGAAATAGTTTTTACAAAACAAATTATAAGATACTGAATTTCAAACATTCTCTGATATTCTATGAATGAAGTAATTTCTTCACCAGGACTTTTCCAAGAAAACGTTTGTAAATTCTAAGATATTTTAAATTTAAAACTCTTTTTCATCCAGCGCGGGTTTTCAATGCTCATTGGTTGAACCATAGTTCTCTCTAGAAATGTTACATTGTCTTCATGGTCCACCGCTATGACTGAATTGGTTCTATAAATTAGGCAAATGAAAGAGGAATTCGTGTTGGTTTTATATTACAGTAAGCTGAGGCCTGTTTTCAAGCTCTTCAAGAGCCAAATAAATTGTTACTATACATGCGCGAAATATGGACTGTAATTAAAGGCGTTGTTACACTATGCAATTTTTCCTGCAACTTGCAATACAATTCTTCGTTTGAGAGATGTAAATTTGGCAACTACCAAACTTTCGTCTTTATTACACTCTATGGCGTTTCTTATATTTACAATTTGAAGGCTCTTCCCTAATTTACATCTCTTAAAAGTAGAATTGCATTGCAAGTTGCAGGAAAAATTGCACCGTGTAACATGGCCTTAAAGGCGCTGTTACACTATGAAATTTTCTTTGGAACTTTCAATGTGATTATAATTTTGAGGGATGTTAATTTGTAAAAAGTATTCGAAATGCTAAGAAGACGTTAGCTGATCGTAAGAAATGTTCGTATTTGACAACTTTAAATGTCTCAGAAGTAGAATTGTATTGCAAGTTGCAAGGAAAGTTGCATAGTGTAACACCACCATAAGTCGTGTCGTATAACAGGACTCACCGTGAACAACAGTTGAACTCGGGCATTTTAATCGAGATTGCAGTAAGTCCTTCGAGGAACTCTTCGGAAAGACCATCATCCTCAGGACCTCGAAATGAGGCATCGATAGAATACCTTAAAATAAGAAGATTTTACGTCCCGAAAAATAAACCAAGACTTCTTCGCAAAACGTTTCATCAGATATAGAGCAGGTGCTACTGACTGCATATTTTTCTTCCTAATCTTCTAAAAATTGGGGATTCCTGTGTTGTAAGTCTTCAGTGGTACCTAAAAGAACCCGTCGATTACCTAAGTTATAAATGTCTCTCCTATAATAACCTTACCTAGTCTCATCTAGTAACAGTTCCAAAACTTTATCAACTTTCCCTTGCATTGAACTCTCTTCTTTCACGATCTTTTCAAACTGTTTCTTTCCCAAATCAACTTTCTTCCAACCATAATCCAGATATCGATTACTAAGACCATAGATTCCTGGTGTCAAGTCCTGCAAAGGCCGACTCTCCTTGTTGCAATAATAACTGAAATTCATTTCAGTTTTCCCAGGAATGACTTCACCAAGAATCAAGTTAAAACCACGGTATTTCTCGTGGTTTTTCTTAACATCGTCCAAAAATGCTCTGGGTCCTTTCTCGGATTTCAAATAGTCCGACACAAGGTGTCCTCTTCGTATTTCGTTTTTCCCCTTAAATTTATCACTCTGTCTGTAGTGGGTGAGGATTCCAATCTTTCCTCCTGTGGACATCCCAAGCCATGTCCCCCCCTCTCCACCAGAAACAAGATCAACGCCTGTAAAACGATTTCTGCTTTAAATCTGCTTGTGTTTTTGGGCACAAGAAAACAATAGGGGTATACTAGTAAATTGAGGATTGGATGTGCTGACGCAGACGCTTACGGAGCACTACCGTGATTGGGGTTGCGTTTCATTCTCAGAGATGGTCATATTCAGCACTCTATTTGAATTTCAAATCCTCTTATGAGGTAGTGTCATTGATGGGGTATAAAAATGTAGAAAATTTACCCCATTCTCGGCAACATCATGTTCCCCAAACATTTCCCGCGTTTTTACGGATGCAATTATTAAAGGTTATTGTTAAGAATTTTGCATGAAAATCCCGTTTTTTAACTAACCATAGACCATTTCGGCTTGCATGCAAATTCACCCATTTCAGATGTTGTGATCTTGGAATAAAACGTAACTATTTTAGACCATGTGATTTGAAATGGGTTAGTTTGCATACAAGCTGAAAAGGTCTATGAATTATTGAATGAGAATTTAGTTATTTCTGTTGATATACATGGTTTTTCTGTTTAGTTGTTATACAAATCCAATGTTCAATGCATCCTTGGCAATCCCATGTTTGGAAAACCTTGTTGATTTGAATACAACACCACATCACGCAAATATAACCGCAATTGCTTTGTAGCGTATTTCCGTATTTATTTGTTTGCGAATTGCGATTTGGTGCATTTTATTTTTATCTTAACATCTTTTCAACACGTAAAATAACATGCATACTTTCAAAGAGTATAAAAGATATATATACACCTTATAGTATAGTATTTTAAAGTAAAAAAACAGGAATATTTTAAAGTCACCTGTGAATAAGCAGGACATCGTCAAGTCATATTTCAAAGTCATCTTCAGACAGAATTTTTTTTTAAATGGTCACAGACAGAATGATTTTTTTAAATGGTCATGCTTTTTGGTGTTTATTTCAATTAATAATAACTTTCAATTAATAATATGCCAACAAGTCTGCTTTCAATTAATAATAAGCCGGTAATGAACTCGCGTTTAACACTTATACAACCATGTGTGTCAATGTATGTATGTGTGCCCCAACCACAGTACGTTGGTTTCCACGGATGAGCCTCAGGATTAAAAATTACAAAAAGCGTTACCACCAGTTGATGTTATGGTTGGAATGTGTTGCAATATGTTTCTCGAGTATTTATTACGTTTGAGCAAAGTTTTAAGTGGCTTTTGAATACGTGAATTGATTCAACCAGTTCGCTATTCCATAGCTTAGCTCCACTACATTTAAAGCTTTTTTTAGAGACCATCACAACGAGAAATTAATATTTTTCGAACCTGAGATAATATCTGGTCGATCCTTCCACCAATGAAGTTCCTTCGTTGGCCGATTGATATACTCGTCCCTGTTTACGCCGACAATAAGTTTGTATCCGTCTTGTATAGGGTTGTCTGAAATTGACAAAAATACTATGCACATTTTTTTGTGTCGAAATTCGGTAAGATCAAGGCTTTTGCTGGTTTCGCGAAAGGTTTTTGTTCCGTCTTCGAGAACGTCGTGAAATGTATCCATAAATCATGTGACTGTGCCAAATCGCTCCAGTCTACAGGGTGCATCAGATTAGATTATTTACTTTTCAATGCAAAGGTTGTCAATGCATATCACCCTCCACCAAAAAGAAACACTTAGACCGGGGGCGTAGCTAGAAGCTTAATTGGGGGAGTGCATATTCATATATTCGTCTTATACCTGAATGATTTCTTTTGTATGCTATTGTTCCTATGGTGTAAACATGAATATATGCAGTGGCGTAGCCAGCCCGACAATTTAGTCATGCTATGCTAATATTTTGGTGTTCATTGACTGTAAAAACAATGAATTTCTAAAGAAATGAATAATGATAAGTCGTCAGGCTGGCTACGCCACTGAATATATGAATATACATCCCCCAATTAAGCGGTCTAGCTACGGCCCTAAGCCCCTGACTTAGACATGACTTGGCCTACATTCCGTAAGCTTATAAAGTTTCAAAAGATGCGAAAAACATAAAAACCTTCGATGCCTTAGTCTTCTTGTCGCTTTTAGCATCATTAGACGTCATTTGACACGGGTCACAGCATCGTTTTGTTCGTTACACGTCTTTCCGTGTCTTTGGAATAATTACACCGATAACGAATTATGGGAAGAATCATGTCGTTTCCTGTCTTTTTATGTCGTTGAGATAGGATTTGTTCTGTCCGAGCGACACTGTCGTTTTCTGTTTCTCTCAGTCGTTATCGGTCTTTCACGACTATTCCAAAGACAGGGAAAGACATGTAACAACAGCTAACGACTGAATGGAAACTAGGCATAAGCAGTCATATATCGTGTGAATAAGTTTATAATACGTTGCTCGTTCTCAATTTTAATTCAACTTCTCAATTTTAGTTGACGGAAATCAACGATAAAATGGTCGAGGTGACGTCGAACCTGAGTTTCTCTCAGCCGAGTGCCTCGCAAATGCATACACTGCAAAGACATAGAGATATCTTGAAAGATTACTCGCAAGAATTTACCAAGACAAAGGTATGCAACTAAATAAACCGCATAGCTGTAGAATGATCGACCTCTCCTAGATCTCTGGGTGGGCTGGTCGGCATTATCCATGCTTTAGATGGTATTATTGCGTCTTCTTGACATTCCATGCTTAAATCATACTATTTTAAAACCTTTCTTCTTTTAGGCAAATATTGAAGCGTACATTGAAAGAGAAGAGTTACTAGGGTATGTTTGTGGAATAAGTTTCATTATGAATACATGGACGTTATGTTTACTTAAAGTTATCCACTACAAACGATTTCCTTTGCTCTAAACCGTTTGATATGCAGAGTGACCTGAACATAGATTTCGTCAAAATGAAGTTTACTTTTGATTGCAAAACAGCAAGGGTTCGCAACGCATGTTGGGTCGTTTAATATATGACATTTGAAATGTCAAATGCACTGTTTCCAAGGAATGAGCGGAGCATTCCATTTGTGCTTTAACACAGTTGCAGTGATGTTGAAAGAAATTGCTTTAAAGAAAGTGCTTGTGTTAGAAGAAAGTGCTTGTGTTAAAAGAAAGTGCTTCCCATGACTGTAGGATCGCCTTTTCGTATTGACTTTCCACATTTTAAAATACAGCAAGCATTTCGAATATGTTTACATGCAAGATGCGCTCCAAAACCGTGTGACATCGTAGGCAGCCCGGTCAATGCGGGTACCGCATACTGATATTACTTAAAAATTGTGTATTCGTTATTGTAATGCATTGTTTCCATTGGTAAAGACGACGCTGTAATTTGTGAATTATCTATCTTTAGAAGTGGTCGTTCCTCGTCTTCTGGCGTTCATCGTAAAACCGATCTCTATCTTAAAGAAAATGAACATATTCGAAAGTGAGTTGAAACTGATCTCAAAGAAGCGTTGATAGTGCTAAGATTTTTATCATTCTCTACCGTGTTTCCTAAAATTAGTTTCTACCCCACAGACTACTATTTTACAATCTTTACAATCTTAAAACACTCCTCGACCTCTTAAATCTCTTCACATCCCACAAATGTGGTATGGTTAACTACCTTGTCTTGAGCCGCACTAGCGGGCTGGCCCAACCTAAATTTTTGTTGCTCCTTCCCCCCTCTCTCCAAAATCCTTGGTACGCTTCTGATGAATTCGTTGTTTTAACGAACGTGGTATATTTGGATCGCTGGACCGCTCTATGCCTCTATCCATTGAACTTTGAATCTTATATAATGACCGACATTGCTTGATAATTTAAGAATGTGCACTAAAAGATTTAAATCTGTAGCAAAATGCGTGTAATTCTTGTTTATCTTGTTTTTTAATGTTGTTTTTTTGCAGTTCTGATCGCCTCGCCAATGAAGCTATCGGGTAAGTTGATTCAGCTTGTAGCCATGTCATTGACAACAATCCTGCGTGTTGTCATGGATGGTTGGGGCAGCGCTTTTGAAACGATGGGATTTTTGTTTCACTTAGAATTGCAATGGCGACGAAGGAGAACATGTCGAGGCAGCGAGGAGCACTTTATCAAATATCATCCAGGATGGGAGGAATAACTGGTATCCTTTTGACAAAACTAATCAACTTTTTGCGGGACAAAGTCCGTTTACACTTGCAATTTTAGCTGCGATTTTATGTCGATTTTCTTCTTTTGATAGATGTGAACGAGTGATTAGTTACGAATGTTCTGATTAATAAGAGCTCTTATTTGAGCATCAGTAACTAATTCACTCGTTCACATCTACCAGAAGGCGAAAATCGCACATGTGAACGAGCCTTGACGTGAATAGTTACTACCAACTGTTGATATCTAATTGGTACTTTACTTAATATAATGATGGTCATCTACCTGCAGACCATTTATATTTTGTCTTTTTAACCTTAACCAACACCACAGGTCGCTTTCCCGCACTGAACAATTTAATGCAGAAAATAAATTTGAGAAAACGACGGGATGCAATAATCGTGAGCGTGGTCATAGCGGTTTGTCTGATCTTGCTTATTCTCTACGCTACAAGGTAGTTGTATGTATCGAAGCATGAAAATGGTCTCCAAGCTTTCACCCTCTGGATTCATTGGGGATGCTGCAGGGTATGTTGGTATATCAGGGTAAAATGATAGCTACTTGGGTAAAGATTACCATTGTAATTGCATTACCCACTGACCACCATAGAGGCTCCTGTTCGATCCTCATATTAGGTTAGAATAATATTAGACAATAAGATTGAACATGTGATTTTGATATTCAAAAACATCCTCCAATTTGAAATGAAATATTTTACTGTTAAAAATGATAAAGCGGATAGAGGGGGATTTGGGTAGCTTACATTCAAATGAACTCTAGGAAAAAGATGTAAATTTTAGAGTGAAATAAAAGCACAGACTCTAAAGAAATAATACAATGAAAAGTTCCCCTGTGCATGCGTTTATTTTTTGTGCCATCACATGATGCCTCATCTCAGACCCTAAACTCACCTATATAATAAAAAACATTGTATTTGATGCTTAGAAACAATGACAAATTACACATGACCTGGGTTTTTTTCAACCATTTAATACAAAAATGTCAATCATATAATAATCTTACACAATTATTAGTTCCATTATTTTGTATATATACAACTGAATTACAACAAGCTGAGTTAGTGTCATAGCAATTTTTCACAACCTTAACTTAGCTACTAAATAATTATATATAATAATTATATATATAATATATATTTATATCCCATAGAATAGCTTAAGTATAGAACCATATATTTCTAGCAAATAGCAGTTTGCTTTTTTTGCTAAGTATTAACTGTGTGCTTATATTATGAGGGGAAGAAATTAGACAGATTGGGAAACTAAGCAATACTCCAGAATTAAAGTATAAATACTAAAAATAACAAGAACAATAACATGCATAGGGTAGTCTAAAAAGTAGGTGAAATATTGCAGTTGCATTATTGAATTGTCGCCTTGGTATATGCATGCTTAAACCTTGTCCTTTGTATCTTTTCTTATCTTTTTTAATGTTTTTTGAACATGAACAACAGCAACAGAACTACTAGGCATTCAATTCACCCAAAGTTTGTGAAACAGCAGAGAATTGCAAATGTAGTTAGCATCCAACATGCATTCACACCTCACAACAACGCATGTGTGCATATCTTTTAGAATTTTGTATTGTGAGCAGCTTCTTTAATGACATCCTTGTTCCTTTCATGTTTCATAACTTGATCAAATTGCATTCGAAAGTTTTCTGGACTAGCCCACGAGTTAGGACGATACTAAAACAGAAATGCACAGGTTATGAATTTGGGACTTATTATCTGGTTTACCCCTTAAAAATTTCCAATCAAAAGCTAGGATACAACGTACAAGTAATTAATTGCTATCTGCTGTTACATGTACCTGTTTATTAAGACGTGATTTTTCTCGTAGTTGAAGTTTTACTTGAGTGCTTAAAAGTTGAAATAAGAAAGTTATAATATATTGACTTTATTATGCCTATTTTACCTGATAATCATTCTTCCTGTGATGGGTCTAATGGAGATCATTATTCATCTAAAGATAACACAACTCTAAAGATAACATTTCAATTCATGGCCTTGCTTACTCGTTTCTTAAATTTCGTTTGCCTAGTTCCTGTAGGAGTTGACCAGAGAAGGGTGGACACTAAAACATTGGACATAAAAATTACCAAAATGTTTTTAATAACCAACAAAACTGTAAAGTTTAACAAACAAAACCTTCACAGGGTTCATCATCCTTTTCTACATACATTTTTGGCTTGAACATCATCAAATGAAATGGATTTATTGAATGGATGGTTTTTGTACATGTCCAGTGTACATAATCTTTGCTTTGGGTCTCTTTCTAGCAACTAAAAAAACCACAAAATATATTGAGCTTGCATATCTTTATTTAAGGATATTATTTTTAATTCAATTATTCAATGTGTTTCACCTTCTGAAGGATATCACCAGCTTCTTCAGACACTTGTTTAAGTAACTCTTGTTTTTCTTTTTGTTCAACTGGTACAGGATAGGGAAACTATAAAAAAGACTTTTATTATAACAATCTGACACACTTATTTGAACTACACCTGCTGCAGAAAGATACCTTTGATAATAGTGATGCACAGAGAACTGCACCAAGGGCATACCAATCTACTGCATGTCCATATTTCTCACTTTTTAGCATTTCTGGAGCTACAACAATTTAAATATTTCATGTACTTTTATTGTGCATTGTTGACTTGGAATATGTAACTCATTGAACTTCAACACATGCTTCTCCTTACCCATATATTTTAATGTGCCAGTAACTGTAGATGTTTTTTCGCCAGAAGACAGCCATTTTGCTAATCCGAAGTCGGTAATCACTATATGACCTGGAGTATATGAAAAAAAGAGTACAATGTTGGGTAAGATTTAGTTCATTTATTGCAAATAAAACTAAATAAAACTAATTCTTGGCATAAAGTTATTTTTAATACTTTTGTTGAGTTACCTTGCTTATTGATGAGTATATTTTCCATCTAAAGAAACATTAAGCATTTCTTTAATGTTCCGTAACTGTAAACTATATGCTAGTCATTGCTCAATTTACCTTTAAGTCTCTATATATTATGCCATTCGTATGAAAGTAATCTGGAATTGAATGGATTTGTTAGGTAATGTCAAATTGCTGATATTCCTGGCAAAATTAATTTTTTCATTACCTAAAGCAAGCGCTATTTCTGCTCCAAGTAATGTTACAGTGTTTTCATCAAATCTCTTTTTTGCTTGCCAGAATGTATGCAGGTCACCAAAATCAACAAATTCTGAGACTGGAGATAGGAGAAAAATGATTAAATCACTCTCTTTCTAATACACATATTAATCAATATATGAAAGCTGTCTAGAGTCCTGACTAAACTAGCAGAATTCACTCACCCACATAAAGATTATGTTTTGTCTGCCATGAACACTTTAGTTTAGTAACAAATGCATGTTGACTAAGTATATTCTGTTATAAAAATACATAAGATACTGCTTAAAATTTATATTGGATTAGTTCACAACAGAGAATGAGATAATTCCTTGTTACCTGAATCTTAATTTCATCCTTGCATTGTTGCACACACTCCTCCCTCACAATGTCTGATTTGTTGGACACCTGTGTATCATATCATATAATAATATTCAACAGGTTTTACACCTTATGTGAGCAGAAATTTTGAGCTCTTTCATTGCCATTAGGGGCATAGAAATTTGGTACAAGTTTGGTGGACTAATACCAGAAGGTGCCACCTGATGGCTGAATGGAAAACCTTGCAAATTTTAAAGGGAATGGCTCCACAGTTTCTATGCCCTACAATGATATTACCTTCATTGCAAATATCTCTTGTGTATCTTTCTTCTTAACTTTCAATATCTAAATCCAAAAGAATAATTATGATATATAAATTGCCACATCTTGACACTCTTCACCTGTCATACAACACATCACCTTACCAATGCAAACTGTCATGCACCATACCATAAGCATACCATACCACTGGGCTCGACTAATCTAGCATATCAAATATCACTAAAACTCAACTATCACCATGGTCACAATTGTATTGATTTTCAAAAACAAATACACATCCGGAAAAAAAATTCATGAACATTTACTTACATGACCAAAATCCCCTTTTCCAATATTCTCCAAGATCTAGTCAAGCAGAAAAAATGAATCAGAAAAAGTGTTATAAAAAAATGTAACGCCGTCTCCACAACAACCCACAAAACATGCTGTACTTTCCGCCCATTTAACACTTTTTACAAAAACAAAAACCCACGATGAACAATCTTGCTAGCATCTGGTTAGCGCGTGTTTTGTGCAGATATTTCTTAAAACACAGTCCGAGCATTCTTCTTGTGACATTCATCACGTTCTCAAAGATTTATTGACAACGGTTAATTACTATCATAACCAAATTGCTTCTCAATTTGAACAAAGCTTGATCTTTTTACAGGACGATCACGCGTTCTTCGGCCGTGAAAACCAGACAGATTTTTAGTCATAATACACAAAGATCGGATGCATTACCCTCCGCTAATCGTTAAACCAAATATTATCGCGGCTCGTATTGACTTTGCCCCAAAATATTGACAAAATGAATTTACATAATTGGCAGAAATAAAAACACATTCCACAAGAACGTTTAAACGGCAAATATAAATGCGAATATTGTAACTAAGTATTTGTAATTGCCACAATGTTTCGAAAGAATTTACAACTCCTAAAAATTGATACAATTATCATTCATCAAGTTGTTGTTTGGGTTAATCGCGTATTATGAAATATTTTTGTTTTGACAATTTCTTTTTCCCCATCGTATGTATAAAACATTTATAAGCGATCTGGCACGCGACTTTTTTTTTCATTGAAAACTCAATTTTGTTTTGTGTTATCTCAAAACCACTAGTTATCGCTTTTAGGAAACAATTTACAGGGCATTTAATCGTGATTCGAAGTTTATGCTTCACCGTGTAACATCATAAACAAAGTCCGCAACACAATTATCACGCTTGCTGCGGAAATACAAAGAAACTACACTATTATTAATTGCAAGGGCACATCTGTTAATATCTCTTACCTGATACTCGTTAAATTTAACGGCAGATTTGTACTCGTACTCTGGTAAAAAAAGCGAGTCGCTTTGTGGATGAGGCCAAGGTGTTTTGTTCGCGCTATCGTACGTGGTACTTCTTCGTTTCTCATTATTTGTTCTCTTGAAAGGCCGGGTCCGAAAGGATCTGAAAATACCTGATTCACGATCTTGTGGGATCACCTCAACTCGAAAGCGTACATGCCGCGATCCATCTTCACCGTCGTCTAAATCTTCATCATAGAATTTTGAATTGGTTTGATCTTGCGTGCCAGAATGTTTATTGCCCATTGTACACACTGTGTATTCAACACCTCTGTAAGAATATGCTCCCGTCACGAATCTTTGATCTATGTACCTTGTTTATACTACATCAAAACTCGACCGAAATCTGGTAGTTTGCGAGCGTAGAACAAATACTTTATTCCCACTTCACGTATCGTCAAACGATCGCCATGTTCTCTATATAAAAGAAAGTTAATACATATCATATGTTGACAATGCCCATGCAAATATGGCATAAATATTGGCCAAAATGCAAAATATAGGCCCTGCTTTGCGGAATGAACCATATACACAAACTGGTATAGTATATTTCAATTTACTTACCTATTTAGAATTGCTATCCATCATTTTACTGAGCGTCGACTGAGTTCTTATCAGATCAAATGGGAAAGATTTTTTAGGGCAGAGAAATTGAAATTTGATACAGTTTTCCGATCAAATGTTTCCGAATAGCATTGATCGCATCTCAATGTCATCGGCGCGCCTTCGGAGGGATCTCGTGTCGTGATAAATTCCGCGAAACATGCAAGGAAATTTTGATAGGAAAAATGAAATTTGTAAACGCTAAAATTTCAATTTCATTTCGAGGTAAAGTGGAAGGATATCATCCGGGAATCGTTCTAAAAATAAACCAAGATGGACGCTCATTTGGTTGGATATGGGAGTTCTTCTGACGAGGAAGGAACGTCGAAAAAACACAGAATGGAGTCACAAAAAGTAGGTTTGAATATTCCCAGGTTTAGTTTGATATATCTAGTGATTGCTGTGGTTTTCTGCACGAGTTTCAGTGCTTAATTAGGAAGATATGACAGGGAATTGAAGACAATGTAATGAATGTATTCAATGTGGTTCATGTTTGCTAAATTTCGAAAGGAAAAAAAGCGTGGTGGCGGGTGCTTATTACAAAGAGCATGCGTGAAGAACTGAACTGAAGGTTTTGGAATTAACTGAAACCTTCAGATTAAAAGTTGTTTTGGAAAACAACAAGTCCAAAAATTAGACTGAAAATGTTTCATTTCTTCTAGATGAGGCATTTTCCAAAAGACAGAAACTTCAGAAAACGTTCTTCGTCACCAGAAGACAAGGATGAACTTTATGAACCAGAAATTGCATTGATGAACAATGGTCCACAAATACCACAAGATATCGGAGATGAACTACATATGGACTCGGAACAGACGTCTCCTGGTAATGTACAAAATTGTTTGAGATCCACTTCTCCAAGTCCAGTAAAACATCTCCCAGGATCGGATGAACCAAACCAAAGTAAAAATTCTTAGAATGGTGTGATTTCTCAGAATAATGTGATTTCTCATAATGATGTCATTTCTCAGAATGGTGGGTGAAATTGATTAAAAACTTTTCATTTCTTTTTCTTTAGCGCATAGAAAGAGTCAAAGCAGAAGTCCTACGGTGAGTATTTCTGATAGAGTTTAGTTTGGACAACATTAACCACCAACACTTGCCCCTCGAAACTGAAAATATTGATCTATTCTGGTCTGACATCCAATTGTACTAGTGCATTACATCAGTTCCAAACCCACAAGGGGTGAGTGTTGGAAGCATTTGAAGCAGCATAACTGTTAGTCACCTTCAAACAAACTCTTTCTAAAATAATTCAGCCCATTTGTTCTAAAACAATTCAGCGCATGAAATAGTTTAGAATTTTAGAAAAATTGAAAACCCTGCTAAAAAGGAGGGTGTGTTTAGATATTAATATTCCTATGATGTTCTGACTTATTTGCAATGTAAAATACCAAACTTTGTTTGCCATTATTGCTAATATAACAGTCAGAGAAAGAGACCAGGTCGAATATTGATGAATTTGGTTGTCAAATACGACACCCTTCCAAACCAGAGGTTAGTTTTGACACATTGTTTGGAATGTTTTAATTGTAATACGTCATATTTGTTGCTCTTATACAAGCAGTACATAAAGCTAAACCGTTCAGTGCCACCCCCTTGGCCCAGCACTTGCACATGCACCAGAAAATTGCCCCTTGAAACTTCAGAGTTAGTGTGTGAAATCATCACAGAGATTTTGATAATCTATGGTGCACCCACTCCCGATGTTATCTGCACTCCCCCATGCCCCTGTAACTGAAGGGTTATCAGTCTATGATTCCCCTGATCCTCAGCTTAATCCCCCCCCCCATGATACTACACTCCTCTATAATCCCAGCCTCCCCAAGTAAGGCGCATGTTTCAGTACCTATATATAGTGAAAATGAATCAAATTCCTTGATACTAATCTTTTTTCTGAAGGATTGTATTTTACACTGACATGTAGGATGAAGACCGCGTTGGAGGACGGGATATCAAGAGATCATCGTCACGTGATCGTAGACGGTCAAGAAGTCGAAGTAAAAGTCACGATCATAAGGAGAGGCGAGGTTCGTGCTTGGAAAGAACTCAACCTTTTGTTCATGTTTGTGGTCTTAAGAGGTCGTCTCGTGAAGTTGTGGCAGCTATTTTTTCTTTTCAGGATCACTGCGAGACGATAAGGACGGAAAACGGAGGGAAAGTAGAGACAGAAGTCCCCGTTCAAAGAAAGATAGAAGTCCTAGAAAAGCTCGAGATGGGAGTCCTGGAAAAGATGCAAGTCCTAGAAAGGATAGGGGTTCGAGAAAGGATCGGAGTCCAAGAAGAGAACGAAGTCCCAAAAGGGATCGGAATCGTAGAAGGGAGCGAAGTCCTAGAAATGATCGGAGTCCGAGAAAGGATCGAAGTCCTAGAAAAGATAAAAGTCCTAGAAGAGGAAACCGGAGTCCTAGAAGAGACCGAAGTCCCCGTCGTGGAGATCGTAGTCCCAGGAGGGGTGGGGACAGGAGTCCCAGGAGGGGTGGGGACAGGAGTCCCAGGAGGGGTGGAGACAGGGGGCGTGGTTCTACGAGAAGCTGGTCTCCGGATCGTCCGCAAAATAGACGTGAAAGGAAAGCGATTTATTTAGGAGGACCAGCCAAGCCAATACCACAACGTACGTCCTTCGTTCACAGTTATTCTTCATACACATTTATGTATCCCAAATATATCTTCGTGATTAGATTATTGTGTTTATATGAATTCCAGTTCATGGAATCGAGTTCGCCGTGTGATATTCATTTCTTTGTTTATTCCAGCGAAGGAGAAGGAGACTATGTCTTCAGAAGAGGTGATGAAGAAACTCGCACAAAGACAGGAATCTTTGAAGCATGAGGCTCAGGCAAACGCCGCAACACATAACTTGCCAAGTTACCTCAATCCTTCAGTCGTGAATCCACAGCTCTACGCTAAACAACAAGAGAAGAGAAAACTGCTCTGGAGCTCTAAGAAAAAAGATGAGGTCTCTAAAATGTACTTTTGGAAGAACAGTTTAGAACTGATAGAGCTATCCAGTATAAATAAAGTTAGTTTAGTTTAGGTTTCCTCTTTTAGTAACACTGAATCAATAAGAGATGATCCTTACTGGGCCTCTCGAAAGAACAGTTTAGAACTAATAGAACTATCCAGTAAAAATAAATTTAGTTTAGTTTAGGTTTCCTCCTGTAGTAACAATGGATCAATAAGAGATGATCCTTGCGGGATACCTTTACCAAATACCACTTTTTCAAACAAAGGGTAAAAAATATTTACCAAGTCCTTCTATTTCCAGACGCCTACCAACACTGCCGTTTGGTCTGGGACGAAATTTACAGGTGATCAAGGGGGTGAAATGGGTGCTAAATTCCGGCGACTTATGGGGATAAAAGGGGAAGGAACAGCAGAGACAGAAGATGGCCCCACGAAAGGAGATCAAATCTTAACAGACCTTGAGAAGGAGTTTGAACGATCCAGAGCATTTCAGCTGTCACGTGGAGCTGGGGGGAAAAGTGGTATCGGATTAGGCTATGCTCCTGCCGGGTATAACCAGTGATAATGAGGAAGATATGGCGCTGATCTGCCTCGCGTAGAACCAAATTGCTGTAGATATTTGACAATGCTCGCATTTTACCCCATGATGTCTTAGTACCGAAACGAATCTGCTAAATATTGATATATCAGAGAAGATGTTCGTATTTGGGGCATTTGGAAGAACCAATTCACTTCGCTCTAAGTTAACGCCATCAGTTGTATTGATGTAAGAACTTTGTATCAATCTTTCGTTCGCTGTCTTTACAGGATGCATTTCACGTGTACCATAAAACATTGCGTGAAAATAATGCGAGAAAAATGAACCTTAGGACAGATTAGAAATGAATTATTTGCTCGACGGCCGTTCAGCTAAATGATTACTTAATGATTAATGTATGCACGCGGTGGTCAAAATAACTAGTTGCAGACTGTCTGACATATAACTCTCTTTTTAATCAACCGTCTGTGGTTTTTTACTTGCGATAAAGCTGTCCAATAACAGAGATGTTTACTGTTTGAAAGATTTCTTCAAAACAAAACCTATGTCGTTTAATCTTTACGAACATCATAATGTTTTCAGTTCCTTTATTCCATGAGAAAAGCTGCATTGTTCATTATCCAGAGGACATCCATCAGGATGATGATTGTAAAACCAACAATGTTTTGTCTTCCAGTATTTCTTTGTTTTTGGTTGGTTCTTAGTCTCCTTGCAGTGACTGTCTTCTCTCCAATCACGTATCTCAACCATACCACCTTGCACTGCAGAATACAAGAAAAACAACATTTTTTAAACATGGAAATCGCTCATGCCTTCGCAATGTTGGGCGACCAGGAGTTTTGTCAAAATTCAATGATCGGTCTCAAAAATAATGTCTTCCAATCTTGAGTTATGAATTACTTAAATCGTGGTGTTTTATGGAGGGTTAAAAACAGGTCAAAAGTACATCCATATCGTTTATAGTACAGTTCACCTCGGAAAACCTGATGTGCATTCCTCAGAACCGTCTTAACGCCACCAGCTTCACACCTCAACAGCGCGAGAATGTTCTGATCAAATAACTCTGACACTTCGCTTAATTTCATCTGACCTATAAGTCACAAGATGTATGATTACAGGGTCACATCGCTTCATCATTGGAGGGACCAGAGGTGAAAGTACCAATCACCTTTCCCCTTGAGAACCTCCCAATCCAAACATATTCATCACATTACCTCCTCTGTTCCAATTCTTGTTTGTTTTCCGACACTCATCCTCGCATTCCCCAAAACATTCACTCTGTGATCTTGACAACAATTCGCTCGCAACCTTATGAACGATTTCATCCAAAACCTTTTGCTCTATTTTCGTGCAATTTCTCACCGGTTCCGTGTCACCACGTGGTATGAATTGTCTCTCCTGTGATTGGTCAATTTCGGTGTTGTCATGATGACAAGATGATGACGCATGCACATTCCCAGCATGCATTTGGCAATGTTTTTCCGTGGTATGATCATGAAATTTTCTAGTTTCGTTCGGATTCCCGTGTCTTGAATTCTTCAACATACTTAAGATTTCGTTTTCAATAGATATTGCATCTTCTACTGAATATGCGCGATTCTTGCCAATTTGACACACCTGTGTTTCGCAATGAATGGTGTCAAAAGAAAATTGAACGATTTTGAACAGATTTGAGAAATATAACTCACCCTTTTTGTTGATGGTATCCTCAGAACATCTTCTTCCACTTCGAATCCACAACTCCTTCCAATATTCTCAACATAATCCAGATACGAACGATACTGTCTTTCATTTGAGCTCACTCTTTGGAACTAGAAATGCGTATTGTTAATCCTATGTTAAGTAATATATTGCTATATATACCCTGATTACCCTCCCTATCACAACTCTCAATTTAACTCCGAACGAATGCTAAAGTCAACACGTAAAGTCTTCACTTACTTTGCAATAAAAGTCGTGAAAGCAACACGGCAAAACAAAATATTTACAATTGAATGAAGATCTAAAATGGAAACATGTTTAGTCCGTATTTTTATGCATCGCTTTTTCATATTGTGTGTCGAAACATTTTTTTTTCACCTGGCAGCGATAACTGGTATCCAAGGGGTTAGTTCATCCGAATGGTTTCCGATCAACCAATCAGCTTCGGGATAGGTTTCTGATGATGGATCTAATGTGCTTACCTTAATGAAAGCAGCAGCCTTGAAAAACGTCATCGCCAACACCATTTAAAGTTGGGGATTTATTTGAGAAGGGGTCATTTGGGTGTTTTGTTTACAAGTGTAAACACAGATACTGTTTACCTCTAGAACGGTTTTCTCGTCGTAAAACTTCCAAACTTTTCTTGGACGTAAATCGACACCTTTTCCTGAGTGCTAAAGTAAAGAATTTATACCAATATATTAGATATCCTATTCTCGGATTACCGGATAAAAGATACTATCGCATATTATGAAGAAGTCTCTTACACCCTCGTTGTTTAGAATGTGGACCAACAGACCGTTTCCACAACCAAGATCAACAAACCTCTGTGGTTTGAAATCATCGTCTGCTTCAGTGGCGTCACTCTCCCACAGTAGCTGCAGAGTATGATTAAAAACAGTGTGATTGGTTGTGATGATTCGTTTTTTTTTAGTTTTGTGTGTGTTTTTTGTAATGCAAAATATTTATAATACAATGATCAACATGTACCATCAGATAGGTTGCAATCGCGACATCTTCGTAAACAAACTTGTGTGGATCAGTTCTTTCCGGCCACATCTGTTGAAAGATCTCAAAAAGTCTTCATTTGAAGTAAAAAAACGTACGTATAACTTATACAACTGTAAATGAACAATCACCTTAACAAAGTGTTTATATTTTTGCTTGAGTTCTTCGTATTTCCGGCTATATTTTTCCACCGAAACAAGTCTCAATGATTCTCCTAATGAGGACTTTGTATTGTCCTCCGTCATCCATTTGTGAAGTTTTGGAATGAGACACGACTTAAGCCATTCTACCGTTGGACATGTGATACCATTTCCTTTGCTTCTTTTGTCAGCAACGGAAAGACTTAAACTATAAAATGACAATAAGTCAGGCCACATCGTTGTCATCCAATTTGGATTGAAAAAAGGTCACCTCTTGGGTGCCTCTTTCGCAGAACTTGATCCATACATGCATACGGTTTTCCGGAAAAAGGATATGAAGGAAGATTTGAATTATCTCTACCTTTGATTATTTTGTGCTTGGAGAAGGTTCACTCTATAAGCATGCTCAACATCACAACGCAGGCTATTTGTAGCTTGATCCTCTTCAAACGGAAGAAATGTCACGGACTTGTCGTGTTTATCTAAGAAACGGAATATGGATTTTAACAAGGGATATTAGCCGTTAACGATACAGAATTGAAGTGAAGATCTTTGAGCGAGCGATTAGACAAAACAAAAACAGAAAGCTCAAAGTTTACGCGAGCAAATTTCCCTGCAAACAGACCAAACCATACCTTGAATAATCATCTCCAAAATATTACAGTGTCTACTTGATTCGCGCGGTATCAATGATCTTATTTTTACTTCAACTGCACCCTCTTCCTCGTTAATTTTCCCTCCCTTCGGAAGACCCAACAAATCATCTCTCGAAATATTTCCATTTCCCGTCATATTCTTTAAAACCAGCGCTAAAAAATCGCTTCCTTTTTCTGTGAAAAACGACTCTATTATGAACGATCCTACAAGTCGGCGGTTCAAAACCTGCGGTCTTTCTATCCAGATCTTTAAAGCGCCGAAAAATGCCTCTTCTGTAGATATTGTGCTCAAAATCTCCTCGCAAACAAAACTCCATGATAAACTCAACTCCTCGTCGGCCGCCATATTGGATTTCGTGTTATCGTGGTGTACTTCATGTAAGCTGTCATGTAATAATCAAAATCAGTCACCAGTTCCTTCATTCTCGAACAAGAAATGTGGAGCGAAAATTTAAAAAACAGAAATTCAAGAGTAGTTTCCCGTTGCTTTTAAAGCTATAAAATTTGCCAAATCTTTCCAAGATGTTGTGGCTTCTTCCAGTATTTATCAAGACATTGTTGTACCTATTTGGATGCCCAGTCGGCGGAGTTTTGTCGCTTTTCAGCAATGTTATTTATTCGGTATTTCTATTATGCATTATACCTGCTTACTTTTTGTATGCTGGCCCAGAAGCAGCCGTTCGACTTTCTTTGCTGCTTTGTGTTCATTCATTGCTGTTGGGGATGATTCCAAGAATCGTGGTATGTATGAAGACTGTCAGTAATGCCAGCTGATTGGTTAAAAAGAGACAGTGTCTACTGGTTTCAATATTAACAGCACTATAGTGACAGGCCTACCATCTGATAGGTTACCATTTTTTTGCAGAAACTTATTGTTCCTATGGTAGAGCTGGTGTTATTTATTTCTCTGCTGTTCCTACCAATCAATGTCACACCACCAATAGCAGTCTGGTTCTATGAAAAGTTGCTGTATCTATCATCACCAATACTCTCTGTGTTTGAAGCAATAAACATTGTGCTCATCATTATGAAAGGAAGCCAGATGGTTGTTGATCAAATTGAGGAGCATCCTAATGTGGTAAAGGTAGGGCGTGTAATCAATCACTATAGCTACTGTAAACAGGGGGTTAACCACCATGGCACCAGCGACAAGGTGCCTGCATAGTTACAACAGAATTTGACTGGGTATGACCCCACACCCCAATAATGCGATCTTAGATAACCTTTCTTGAATCATCATTTTGTGCTTGCATTTGTGTCCTAGTCTTTTCATAACTTAGGCATGCATTTCATGGATACAATTATCAAGTTTTATTTTCTAGTCGGTAATCCTTGGTGTGGCTACTGTGGCTACGGTACTTGGTTCTCTTTTATCTCACTACATTTACACTGTGTACTCAAGCCACTCTATCAACAGGTCTGTGCATTCGAAAATATACCCAGTAAACTTCCGCTACTGTTTCGCCCAGAGGTGTGGTAAAGATTACATCTCTTTTCAGGATCATTGAGGTTCTTGTGGTCATAAGTTTAATATTACTTGTTCTCTCCTTGGTCAAAGATGAAGGTTGATGTGACTAAAAGTGTTTCCTATTTCTTAATCCTTTTTTCATTTCTCGAATTTCAAGCAGTTTTCTTCTTAAATTCTTCAACCTTTCTTCTTATCCTCTCCACAGGCATAATTAGTGAAGTTCCTTGCATATTTTTTGTGATGATGTGTGTTGTTTGGGCTCTGGCCAAAGAAAGTGTGTCATGAGCAAGAATCGTATTGAACCACCATCACTATGGCTCAAGTATGTGTCCAACTTTCTCGTCTTTTTGTTACATAATCCAATTATGTTTATGGATTGTGTTTAGTCACTCTTCCTCTCATCTTTCCTCTGTATTAAACAGGCAGATTCCGAAACAATTGTCATTTCTTGATGTAATAGCAAACATGGCTTCAAATGGATTTGGTAAGATTCACTTCATTGTCATTAGCTAGTTGTTGTCCGAAATTCTAGGAACTCCGAATGATTTAGAAACTCTCAAATTCAAACTCAAATTTAAATAGGCACTTTTTTTTGCTCAAAAAATACAGAAGTAAAGTTAGTTTGAAGTCTACTTAGGTCAATATTATAGATACAAGATACGACCTTCAAGAATTACATAGTTATTTTTTGGTTTTTTCAGCCTCGTTTCTTCAGATCAAAACGGTGTTTTTTCATCTGATCTCTCCATCGCTTCTGTTGATGTCTGCTGTCAGAGTATTGAGCTTGGCTTACATTTTGGGGCAGGTCAGAAGGAAGGTATGCCCAGTCCATTATATTATAGCTCAGTGGATCAATTAGTATGATTTGGCTGCCCCAGTGCGAAAGGACTGGAACTGATTGCATTTTCATGGAATTTAATAGTTCCGAGAAAGAACGAGCGATAGCGACAATGAAGAAGACGATGTCGATGATGAGGATAATTCTGAGAATTTTGACACCAACAGCGTGTTCTTTTCGCGTGTTGCGGTGATCTTCGTTTGCACGGAACTTCTTTTGCGTGCTATGCACACTGTCACGTCATCGAGCATCACGTCATCGATCTCGTATCCTAGCAACGAGGCATTTGATTCTCTGAAGCAGTTGGAGTCTTGGTGGGAGGAAACGGACATTGCGAAAAGTTTCTTGGATTTCAGAATATGGAGAATTGTGCAACTTTGTTTAATGGTAGTTGTTTATGTTTACAAACTTGTCTTTCGAGGCGAAGATGAAGATGACGACTGGTAAACAAACAGCAAAAACTCGCTTGGAATTTTGTCTAAAATTTCCACCGGAAAGCCAGATTCTGCTCTCGGATCAGTTCAGCAGTTCAGAGTTGCGAAATGGGAACGTCTTCAAGACTTCAACCACCCCCATTTTCCACGATGAATTTTTCATACGTGGGTTCTATATACCTGCCTTGCTGAATTACTTGGAAATCCTCTGATATCCGCTAAATTGCTAATTCTTTAATACTTTACGCAAAGCGCAGACCCGTAATTATGGCTTGCCGCCTAATTAATTAATTGCAACAGAATGAAATATTTATAGCGGACTTCTCTTGACAAGTTCCAAGTCTTGGTTGTCTTTGCAGACATAGCATAGTTTCTGCTTACAACGATTCACTTTAAAGTATTCCTAAAGGTAATATTTGATAGCTTATATCGGCTAGTTAAATTTCCATTTCCATTTCATAGTATGATTTTTAATTTCATCTTATTGTTTAATTATATATGCATTATTAAACAAAGTAATTTCAAAATGTGTCTCCACAGCGCATAAAAAACATATTTTTGGCTACGTTCATTGATTTATTGGCCAAGTCTTGTGTTGAAAGCGAGAAGTTTCGCGTTATTTTGAAGAGCAAGGTTTCTACATTTGCATTTTGACGCAAGATTTCAAAGGCATCGATAAAGAATCCAATTTATATTTGAATGCTTTTGTTTGTATTCATTTGAAAAATCTTCGTTGGTCCTTAATTTTTATTTACTCAGATGTTTCCTTTCTAAACGCATTCAGTGATATTAGCAGTTGAATTGAAAGAACTGGTCATCGCGTATTTGTTGTGTTAAATGGAACTTTAAAGAATCTTTTAAGAAAATATTTCCGCTGTTTGGCCGTGCATTGTCAACTATGAAAAGGGCTGCTTTCATTTGAATGACTATAGAACAGAAGTGAGGCCATTCGGAATTGCAAAAGGTTGGTGATTGCAATTGACTCTGATAACGTACGTGTCTCCTACTTTTAAATCTACGCCGACGGGTTTGGAACGGATGCGGAATTGCGGAGTGAAAGCAGTCGCTGTAAAACGCTAAAAAACCCCGGCAAGGAGAAATCTCATTTAGCGTGGACAAGCTATTAGCTGTACAATTTGTGCAACAAATTTACACGAATCATCGTCGCTTAATATGTTTAACAGTACGACAGCCCCTTTCGTAGACCCGTACGCCCCTAATTGGTTGAAATGGCGTGTTATTACCAACCCTTTCTTCATAATCCTGCACGTTCTCTCTCTGATGACAAACCTCGTCATGCTTACAACGATGTTGAAAGATCCTTTGAAATGTTTTCGATCGATCTCATCATATTTGCTCTGCAATCTTCTCCTAAACGGTTTCATTCCAACGGTTGCCTATTGTATGTACGTGATAACCCTAGCCGCTGATACAATATACTTGGGTGTGTGGGCGCTGATAACTGGTTTTAATAATACAATCATAGCTGTTCTACTACTCTCCCTAGACAGATATATTCTCGTCAGCCGTCCTATAAAGTACACTGTCATTTTGACGAAGTCCAGGGTCGCATTCACGCTCGCCTTGTCGTGGATTTTGACTGTGGCAATGGGCTACGGTGTAGCTCTTTACCAATATAATCTTTTCTCCAAGATTTTGGTTTTTGGGATTTTACCATTGCTTATGATTCTTGCGGTCGCGATCATCGTGGTAGATATCAAAACGTGGACCAGCGTCACGCATGCGCAGCTAGATCTTCAGCGCTTGGGGAATCGAAGCAGTTTGGACAGAAGAAGTGCGAGTTATCGTAGCGAGCTGAAGCGTGTTCAAACAGAGAAACGTTTCGCAAAAGTTGTTGTGTTATTGCTGTTCAACGTGCTGTTGTTTATACTTCCGCAAGCCGTTGTTGTTGCCTTGCGTTTACTAAACATTTGGTGTGATTCCTGCTTGAAATTCTTTGGTCGAGATGAAGCGTCTTTGTTTCAAATTTATATTTTCCCGTTGTTTTACCTAACAACTCCTATTCTGTATTTGGCGTTCATACCAAAATACCGCAAATCATTTGCAGTGTTGGTGAGCTGTTGTTTCAAGACTCGCCATCGTTGGCGTGTTCCGAGTTCTACCACGGGTAGTATCGACTGAATCATGTCGCATGGGCTTCACATGTTACTCGCGTGTCCTTACAAACGAGAAAGCCCATGATTTGTTTTAAAATTTATGTTTAAAATTAGGAACGGTTGATCTTGTTGTAGACAAGATTTCAAGTACAGAGTTCGCTTCACATAAAAGATATTTTTGGATATTTTTAGCCATATTTCATGCATGCAAGTTCTCTGCAGCTCATCGTAGACACGAGACAATTATGCAAGAAAGATATTGAATATATTTATTTAATTCATTATTTTACATATATTTCACTGCGTTGTATTTAATTTAACAACAATTGATGATAGGCCCCGAGCAGACTCGTTCTCTTGCAAAGCATTTTTTGCAAACTGCTAAAAAGGACATACGATATTTTGGAATTAGGACAAGGTAAAACAAAGCCGTGTTTATATCATGAAAAATGAAGAGTACAATGCAAGCTGCGTAAAATTTATCGTCTGCAATTTGTTTGAATAAACAGAGCTTACAATTGTGATTAAACGTCTTCACAGTATGAAATACAAACAAAGGACAGACGAAGAATATAAAGTTTAATAGTAAAAGCGCTACAACTAGAGCAAATTTACTTTGCATGTCAATTCGTTTCTTCATAACCTGGCTGTTTCTTCCCGATTCGATTTCAGCAACACCTCGAATAGTAGAGTTGACTTTTCTTATTTCGATGAAGGTTTTAACATCAATTGCAACTAGAAACAGCAGGGCAACCCCGAAAGGCAGATTTATCCATAAATATCCAGTGCTAGTCGTGTAGTGAGTGAGCACCCAGTACATGAATACACCAACCCCAACTGACCATATCCAAATTGCTCCTGCGACAATTTGAACTCGCCGAAGAGTCATCATTTGCCGGTATTTTATTGGTGCCGTCACAAGAACGTATCGCTCCGAAGGAAAGAACGAATATGAACGTAAAAGAAGCGGTTGCGGCCACTGAAAAGATGGTGAAGAACACATGCAAAGTCATGCCCTTAGTTGAACGTATTGCTTTGAACACTGAAGATGAGATGCTTGTCAGCAAAGCTCCAACGTTTAGGCTTGCGACTAGATACCCACAGGGTCTTCGTAAGCTGTGCAACGGATCGATTAGGAACAGCGAAATTATTGTGATATTTATCAGGAAGCTGATCAGGCACAAGGTTATCACCAACGGTTCTGTAGTTTCGTTGAATAACACGAACTCTGGTATGGTAACGTTTCCATACAAGTTTGATGTCATGTTTCTTTCAAAGCTGTCCTAAGCGGAAGATTTCGCGTTCGTAGCCTTAGTGCATGCATCAAGTGTCACAAAACCAGCTGCAATTTCCCTTTTTTTAGACATCACCCCACAGTTAATTTAAGACTGATTTATCAATGTTCTCTTTCATTAAAGCGCAAATGCCGGGTGGTTTCTTATTGAAAAGAGGTTCCTATTGCTCGGTAATGAAAAATATGTTTTGATCGGTAAAAAATTAGCAGATTACTCCGTGTTCAATACCGTATGTGTTTCCTTTTTTGAAAACTTTGGGGTAAAAATTAAATGCATGCCGTTTTATTTTTGAAGGGTCGATTAATATTAACGTGGTTTATGAAAATTATTAAATCAGTCCTTCTTTTGCACTAAATTTGGGATTAATCTCAACGTATATTTCACGATCTCTTTTTGGCAACACTGGTCACTAGATGGATGAAAAAATGATTGATCTAAAACATATACTATTTTAATCAGAATGTCAAATTTGCTTGCCTGACTCCTTTTAAATCTTCTGATATCTTACGTAAACAATTTAAACTTCAACGTTTCAGTTTCTTTTGTGTGTTTTCCATGTCTCATAATTATTTACTAGCGGTTTTTAATTAATAGCACAAGCTCTTGCTCAATAAATCGTCCATGTTTATACGCGTGCCTGCGTAATCTAACGTTGTGCTTTATTACGAGCCGATATTTTGACATGTGTCATTGGACATTAATATTCTTCACTTAATTTCACTCGGGGAAAAATTACAATTTTTTTAATACAATGCCGTGAACACACTAGGAAACATTGTTGCAAAGAAACGATTGTATTCCAAGCTGCTTTCTCAAATGTTTCCCTCTTTTTCCACTCGTGGAAACATCGATGCGGAAACAAGTTTGCTTCAATAGAAAGTAAAATGGTTTCCTATATAGCTACTGAGAACAGCGCCAACCGACCATGAATAAGCAATATTTGCATAAGGTTTATTGTAGCTATATGGTGAAAAAGATTCAGTGTGGCATGTTCCACCTGTGTATATATAAATCAACCAGAAATAGTCCAGTTTTAAAACGCTTTTTAGGGCTGTGAAGATATTCTTTGTTATACAAGGCTAATTTTATAGATTTTCAGGTTGATTTTTTGCGGCGTATGAATTATTAAACCAGTCATGGCCAATTACCGCTTCTAAGGGACGAAACTGGGCAAATATTTGGTATTACTTTGTATCGCGGAGATGCATTATGAGGCAGCTTCATGGAGTCTGTGTCATTTCTTCAACGAGCTTCTCTATCAATATTTTGAAAAGATGAGGAAAAACAAAAATTTGACAAAAGGAATAATATGCAAATATACGACTTCATGCAGACATAGAAATATACTATATACAATTAACAATTAAAATATATTTGATTAACTGACTGCATGATGCAGGTGTTTCAACAAAGGGTCGTATCGCTTTAAGTTATCTTTAAATTTGAACTAACCTTTGTGTTGTGTCGAGAACGCTTTGGTCATTATCGCAATTGGGCGTGTGAACGATTAGATATTGAACTATAAAATCTCTCATCTTCTGGATTGAGGATTTCTGTGGTCATGTGAAGACGTTAGGGTGGAATGAAGACGTGTAGAGAGGTTATTTAGAATTCTATTCAAAAGTTGAACACGTTCCTTTTGCCTCTAAAAGATTGGAAAGTGAAAGATTGGATATCATCAGATATCGTTAATGACAGTCGGTTGAAACAGACAACTATGTAACTGTCGTAGATTTTGAAGTTTTTAAGGTTCGAAAAAGAGGTGTAGATTCGGAGATCCTATACAGACTTCCACGTGTTTTCAGGCTTGTTTTATTCTGAGTGTAGCTTTCCTATGTAACTTTTTGCACAGCCAGAATTTTTCACAGCCAGAATTGAACACCGTAATGAATGACATTATGAATGACACCGGAGGTTTGAACAACGTTCCAGAAGAAGGCTTGAATGAACCAGCATTTTTCGTCATCCGTATTATCTCTGCTATATTCTCTGCAGTTGGAATCCTCGTGAACATGGCGCTTGTGACAACATCAATTCTAGATCCCTTGAAGTGCCTTCGTTCAACCACTGGGATATTTATTTTTAACCTATCCCTCAGCAACCTCCTGTGTTCCCTGACCGTGTTCATTGCCAGTGCTTGGGGTCAAAGTATCCCGGACATTTTTACACTCGTTTCTCAATGTTTCGCTGGAACTTCCTGCACGTTTGCTGTTGTGCTGTCTGTTGATCGACTTTTTCTGGTTGCTTATCCAGTTTGGTACAATCAAACAGTCAACAACGTGAAACAGCTTCTCGTAAACATCGCTGTCTGGGTAATATCAGTTTCCTTAATCATATCCTACCATTACACGTATTTAAATCTTGGCAACGATTGGAGAGCTCATTTCATGGCCGCTTTAACCGGAGTTAAACTCCTCCTATTCGTGTCAATCGATATTGCAACACTTCGAAAATTGAAGAGACTGCAAGAAAATTTCAAACAACAGATGAAAACCTCTGGCGTGGTGCAAACATCTGCAGAATTGAAGCGACTTCAGACTGAGAGACGGTTTTTCATCGTTGTTGTCGTAATGTTTGTTAACTTTCTTTTCTTCATCTTGCCAATTACCACTTTCTATCACATACGAATCGCCTTTCAAAGAGATATGGATGTCTCAATAGTTTCTGACGATAGTTTTATAACAATTTTGTTTCTGTTGTTTTCGCTTCATTCCTTGGTGGATCCGGTCAGTTATTTTGCCGCGATCCAGAAATATCGGAAATCCTTTCTAGCTATGAAATACCCCGCACTCGTGATGAAAGGTTTAACCACTTTTTTAATGTCCTGCGCTGAAGTAAATCATCGACAATAGGTGCGTTTAAAAACACACAAAAAAAGACAAAACACTCGTGTATCATTGTATATATATCTAGCTTTAGATTGTAGCGGTTTTCAATAAATTAAAACAATCCAAACTTTCTGTCATTTGATGTTCATTTTTTGCTGAGAAAATCTCATTATAATATCTTTTATTCACAAGTCACAACCTTATTAAATTTTCCTTATTAAATTAAACTTATTAGACCACTCGTATACTCACTGCCTATATACTCCCTATTCCGGTGCTGTCCATGACAATTAATCAAATACTTCGATTTTCATAATATATATTCTCATAGCTAATTTATTGACTTTGGTTTTAACATATGGCATTGCGTGCTCTGGAAATATTAATAAAACTTATTCCTTTATCTTAAGTTACCCATTTAACATGCAGTATATATAATTCAGCGGTTTAATAAGATTTTTTCATCACGGGGATGGCAGCTGAACTAGCATGGTATAATTCTAATTTCACTGCGTCCATATATAACCGGCAAATTATAATTAGAAAGAATGTTTAATTAGTTCAGTGTATATGTCTTGAGTATTCATTTATTTTCTGGTGAAGCTTAGTGGATAAATGTTTCAATGAATAATGGTTGAAATCTTGTAACGTTGTGGAAAATAGAATGTGGAAAGAGAGTGCAAGTCTTTTATGAGCGGCAAAATTATCGGAGGTAAAGTGCCTTAACACGATATTGCATTAAAAGAAATTGTTGGATATACGTTTAAACAATTTAAATATTTATCCAACCAAAGACTGAACTGGACAGAGGAGCGCGTAACAATAGAATCTTATCATCTAGAAGTAGTGTCAAGAGAACAATTTCAACATTGCATATTTCCTGAAGTTGTCAATTGATCAAAAAAATCTTTACTCGCGAGCTGAACGATGTCGATGAATAAAACTATAAATGAATCCTTTCTTTTGACGAAATTCGACATCTTTAACAAAATAACTCTTCCTATATTTATCTTATCTGCAGTAATATGCTGGCTAGTTAATATAAGTCTGTTGATAACAATATTTATCGACCGTTTGCATTGCTTGAAGAAAGCTTCAGGACTGTTCGTCGCTTGTGCAAATTTGTCGTCAATTGTCTCCGCAATTTCGAACGTACTCTTTGCCTTGAAAAATTCAACGGGAACAAGAAACAGAGATCGCGTCTACTCAGACATCGTGGTATTTCTGATTGCCTCGTCCGTCACAAGCAACCTGGGTTTTATCGTTATATTGTCCGTCGAGCGTTTGTTGCTCACAGTCAAGCCAATGCGATACAAAATATTCATGACGCAGACCAAAGCGAAAGTCATTGCCACTTTTACATTCATCTTTTGTATTTGCTTGGGATTGCTTTGTTTCTGGATTGTAACGTACCAAAAAGATCTTTACGTCTACTACGCCATTCCTATAATTATGATGATAATTCCTATTATCGTCGTGGATGCCTTAACTTTCTGCAAATTGAAGAAACCAAACAGAATTTTGAGTACGATTGATGGTAGCGATATTCAGCGTGCAATGGTCGCACGATATCGCGTGGAGAAGCGTTTTGCCCAAGTTGTTTTGCTGCTGTTGATAAACTTTGTGTTATTCTCGTGCCCTGTACTGGTTCTAGATTGGATTGGGCGCTTCGATAGCACATGCTCTGGTTGTTTGCTAGCGAGTAAGATGAACATGAAAACAATGTATTTTTTTGTGCTTCTGTTAGGGCAATTCCACGCAACAAATAGCGCCTTATTTTATCTTGTTCTCGTTCCTAAATATCGTCAATCATTCAAAGCGACATGGAAAGCAGCCATTTCACATATTTTGTGACTAACCAGACAGTATTCCAGTAAGCCTTACTATGCCTTAAAAATTGACATCTTTTGTTGCTTAAGAAGCAGTCTATTTGTAGATGTGTACGAAAACGGAAAGATTCATGTTATTTTTGTGCTTTATTTCAAGTAAACTATGATACAAGTAAACTATGACAGAATAATACACGTTTATACTCTCGACTGTTTCTGATTGAAGGAAGGCTTCCCTCAGTCTTGCCGAGAAATTAAGAAAGAGGTTTTGCCTGTTTCAACCTGTTTCTTGCGTGCGGAATGCGACGAGAAAGCGTGACGCACGCACACGAAGCTTCGAGGTACAAACACGCGAGACATCGAAAGTCATTGAATTTTCAACCAATGGCCTTTCAACAGCTACTGGTCTTGATATATATACATATAGCCTACTGGAGTAAGGCAATGGTAATTTCGAAATTGTTGCAAGGCAATAAAATTACGTTTCACAATTGGATCATTTATCTGTGATTAGAATAAAGTATACTACAAAAATCTAGCTAATTAACCATCAGCTATTACGACATTTCTTACACAAATATCGAGCACGCCAGTGCTAGCACAAGCATTGACAATAAAGTCATCGATGAGATATTCTTTCTTACTGCCACGTTCACGATTCTTTCGATCTCAGTCTGCGCAGAGCCTTCAGTACCATAAAATGCAATCAGCGGTATCCACATTCGTTGTACGCTCTGCATAAACATATGATACTCATCGTCCCAAATATAGAACCATAGATTTGTATTCAATTCAAAATACGGCGTACTTGCAAGGATCTTCGAGGCGTTTCTAGCCGGGCTGATCATCACATATCCCTCATTGCTCCCCACATCAATATATATCTTCTGCCTCGGTCTTACTCCCCTGTGCTTCATCAGCGTGCTCCTCGTAAACTCGTATCCAGCGTCGTCGGGAAACGTCGCGTTCTCGGGAAATGGCCACCATAGCGATGGCGACATGCAAGCTGCTGATCCAAATGTTTGAGGGCGCGTCCAGATGGCGTGGCACGATATCATGCCGCCAAGAGAGAATCCCATAATGCCGTAGTTCTGAGGACCCGCGAGGCTCCGGTACTTCGACTCACATTCCGGGATCAAAGTGTCTTGGATGAAATCCAAGTATAACTGACCATTGACCTTAGGCATAGCAAGCCACCTGTAGCATCGTCTGTAGTCATCGACTAGTTGTTCATAAGAACAAAACGAGGATCTACACGATACACAACCGTTGCAGCGGTTTTGCATCGTGCCATTTATGCAATGAACATCAGTGCCATTACTAACTGCGAGTAACCGTGTCCTGTTCGCGTAGGAATTAACAACTCCAATGACCAGAACCTCTTTAATCAAAGCTCGTTCTACCATCAAAATATTCAGCTGCGGTAACAAAAGGCCCAGTCGTTGCCCGTCGTTGACAAATAATGTTTCATATTTTTTATAAGTATTCTCTTGAAAACTTGGCGGCAAAGATACGTTGATTGAACGAGCCTCGCCCAATTGCGGTGAGTATATTGTTCGCCTTTCAACCGTTCCCTTCTCGTTGAAAAACCACGGATACTCCCAGAACTCTGGAATCTTGCTAGTATTTTTAACGTTCGTTGACATTGGGAGGTTTAAAAGAAAATTTGGGCCAAGCATGTTTTTCGAGTCGTCCAAATAAACACGAAATTCAAATCGCGCTGGCGGTTTCTTCCCGTTCACCAGATCCAAATTACTTGGTATGGCGTATTCAAGTCGAAGCTCCCATGTATCTTGTTGTGTTTTATGCATTATTCTTCCTTCATCCCAGGACAATCCGAGCCCGCTTCCACGCACAAACATCTTTGAGGCATCCACGAATGCGTTCTTTGCATACTCGTTGCGTTCAGGATAACGAATTTTGATGCGGAACGGTTGAGCCGTTGGATTAAACGCTAAATAACATTTCTTTTCGAAACAGAAGCCAGGGTTTCCGTCCTTCGAACATGGCGAGGCATAGGTTTTTGCAGTCTCGCAAAACTTATCGCCGGTTGGTTTACCATAGCCTGTTGTTGTGCAGCAGACGGACAGGAACAAAAGCCAAGCTATTTTCATTTTCATGGGAGTCTGAAAAACGTATCTTTCGTTCATCAACAAAGATCTTCGTCTTCTTCTGAACGAATCTTTTGTAGTAAAATCCTTTGATGCTGGCGTCTCTGCGACTCTGAAAGATAACACAATAATCCCGTGTTTATAAAAGCGCTGTCGAGCCACTCAAAATAACATGAAGTTGTACAAACAATGCCAGATATTAGCAAACTATGATATTCAGTTGCCACTGGCAATATCCTTTGAGACAACTCTCTTATCCTCAAATAGACAAGTACATCATTTGAGTTCTACCATAAATAGCTTGTTAATATGACCATTCAACCAAATATATCAGATTATACCAAATCTTTCCTGAAAAAGGTATTTTTCACCAATTAACGTGAATCTAAGTTTCCAATGAACGAGGATGTTGACAAGTTTAATTTAAGGACATGAAATTAATTCGTGACAGGAATTAAATGACTTTTTTCATATTTTTTCAAGTCAGTGTAATTTACCAGGACGAGTTTCTAGTTTTCACGAATTTCTCTGCAGAAATTCTTCACCTTTTTCAGGTATCTTTGATGAAATTGTTGCAATTCCCATCCTAGTATGTTTTATCCAAATTAAAACGAAACAGTCTTGAATGTGACAGGTCTGAATTTAATTACTCAAATCGTTAGGAGCGTAACGTGCCTGTCAGATGCAATAATTTAACCAAACGAGGACGTAGTGTGAGGATTATTTAATAACATCCTGTGTAAACACCCTGGAAATTGCGTAAGGAATTTGGCTCGAGGATATTGCACTATTGTGCTTCAAGATGGGAGGATTATTAGCGGGGGCTGAAATAAAGCGAGGTTGAAATCTTGGATAATCATGCGATTTGCAAATACACGTTTTTTTCGGAATCGATATTGTGGGGTTTTAATCACAGGCGCACGAGACAGAACGTAGAGGGTATCCCCTCCAGATTAGGCGAATGTTCGCCCACGCTGAAAAAAGAAATCTGGGGCCGTAGACCTGTGGTTTTCATTGTTATTGTTCAGAGCGAGATAGATAAATAAATGCTAGTTTTCATTCGGTCCTTGCTCGTCTCTACAAGTGGTAGATGAGAGTGTCAATATTTCAATATTCGTCTGGTAGCATCAAAGCTGATGTGCATGAACACAATAACACAACTATCCCACATCCTTCGCTTATCAGTGTTGGTACTCACAAAAGTATAGCGACCAAATGGAAAACAAGTTAAAGTCTTTTCCGCTTGCCATGCAGTTTACCCCTGTGATTGATGGATAACTCTCGAATGTCGTGCAGGCTTTGCATCCGAATTGGACCCGAACGTAATCCGAGGATCCCATCGGATCACGAAAGCGTTTTGTCGTGATCACGAGGCTATATTCACACGAGCGTCGTTTTGAAACTGTCTCCGCGATCCAAAGGGTAAATTGCTAACTCTTCTTCTATCGTTAAATTGAAAGTGCTGGTCTGTTTGACCATGTGGAGATAGCCAATTCCAGAAAAACTAATTCTAATGATTTTTAAGAAAAAGGCGAGTTTGGACAGCAACTTGCATCCAGGGGTCGGTTGTATCAAGCCCGTTTAGCTTAAACGGTGAATGAGTCAAAATTAAATAACACTCTTACAACTCTCTTGAATAAAACAACTTGAATATCATGCACTGAATATGTAGTTGTAAACAGTTCTTTGTATTAAGGTAAAAAACATTCAGTTCGCTTGTTGAATAAAACGGCAAACTTGCTTTCTATTTTGAACTTATCCACCGTTTAAGCTAAACGGGCTTGATACAACCGGCCCCAGGGATTTAATCGTACCGCGGATGCTTGACTTCAGCGTGACGTCATAAATTCCAGTGGCTTTGGGGGGCATCTCGAGATCGATACAAAATGATTTAGTTGTTCGTTGTAACAACGCTGTTGTATGTGCTGAATTTGTGGTTTGTAGGATTTGTGGTAAATCTGTGGAGTTTCAGTATTATTTTCTCGCTTTAAACGTCCAGTGCAGTACGAGTGTCGAAACCCAAGGTATTTGAGGCTGACCTCCTCTCACAAAAGTGATTGAAATTCCGAACAATGAAATCCGGTGATATACGTTGTTGATCATAATTACTCGAGACATTTACAGTGGATATGATAACTCGAAGATAAAATACTGGATAACCAAAACTCTTAAAGAGCAATGTGGTTTCATAATGATCGAAAGAATCGTGAATTTCAGTAAAAATTTAAAGATTTCATCACCACATTCCAACTGTGCCAAAAGTTTCAACGCGTCTATATTACTCATATGCCGTATCGGGTAATTAGTCGAAAAATACATGTAGCTATGTTTGTAAATTAAAATATATCTAATTAATATTGATTACCTTGTGTGTAAGAAAGTCCTGTTTCAAAAACCGAATGCCTGAAAGTTTCTTTTAGGAAACATTTGCTCCGTGCTTCCTCTATTTTCATCGGTTTATGATTTCAAGGGTATAATAACCCTTGTGTGGGTTTTCCCTATGCATACGATATTGTCTTTACTAGCAAGCCTCATTTTAATGCAATGTATTTTTTTAACGCCGAAGTGAGGCTTGGTGGTCAAGACGTCAAGATGATGGCATAAGGGAATCGAAAAACCACATAAGTGCTATTGCCTTTATGAAACGGTTTCAGATTTCAGCTCGTGCATAAATTTCATGTACATATTTGCCAATCAAAAGCACGTTGGAAATTGTAAATGAAAGAATGCAAATTTTTTAACCGCTAATCGGAGGAGGATCTTTGCCGCCAGGGAAATATGAGCAGGATTTGTTCGGCATTCATTTGAGAGGTGTTTGTGACGTAGATATTGCTATAATCTTCAGAATCGGATGTAGGAGATCATGCCTCACGTTACAACATCGATAAAGTTCTCCAACTGTTACTTCTCGAAAAATCACAGATAGAGCACCCCACATTTCACTGAGTTCGTGTCAAAACAGTTGATATGTAATAGTATTTCAGGGTGATGTTTAATCTCACAGTTCTCGTATGGTGTTTCCTTTGTATATTTAGCGTCAGATTTTCAGCCTTTCCTCGAGATGTTTCAACTTCATTTCCACGTAAGAACATTTTATTTCACCCGGAAACACATTTTGTTCTGGATACTGCAGTTTTTGATTGGAAGGTTAACCTGGGATATAGTGGAACCTTTAATGGCATTTTTTTAAAATAATGATTTATGATTTTTTATGTGGTGTTTGGATTAATCTCGTGTACGTGCCTTCTCCTTTTTTAGGATTCCTTTTAGCAATTAATCAATCGAAAAAGGGATTGGATCTGGTGGCAGGGGACATGCACTTCAGATATCAATTAGATCCATTCCTCCACTTGATTCATATTTGGCGCATAACATGACGTATCGGAAACAGATAAAGCCGCGTTCATTCGTCGCATGGTACACGGCAAAAAACGCTCAAGTTGTTCCTTGTTACGCTTAACAATATTGCAACATGTTGTTGAGAACATTGTTCGTGGGGTGCAGCACAACATGGTTGAGGACTGTTCTCACCAACCGTGAACAACTTGAGCATTTCTTACCGTGTACAAACACTCGTGTTTCGTGTAATATGACACATGTAACATCAAAGAAACTCTTGTGACTGTACACATGGCCTGTTGTCACCTGACCGCCGTGACGTCATTAATGTCCGCATTCCACTTACAAACTAAACCACCATTTTAGGATATACTTAATTTCCCAGTATTATAAGTACGTGGGGATATTTGATCAACATCCTAAATTCATTACGCGGTTACAAGGTTCGGGACTTCGGGAATCCTTCACAAAAGCTCTTCCACAAAGAAACCCCCTAATATGAGACATAATATGTTGTGTATACATCAGCCCCAAGACACTAAACCACGCAGTGGTGATTATCAGGTTCATTCCTGCTGTTACTGGCAATTGTTTTTAAAGCATTCAATATATTTGGCTCAAATCCAAACCGTATTATAAGATTTACGAATTTGCCTGTTGATAATCCAATGCCTACAATTTGTGAATGAAAATACAACATAATTACCATTGGTCATTTGAATAATGGCATGTTAAAAATTTGCGTCCCACATTCTGCCTAAATCAGTTGCCAAATTCTGTTACAACTTACAAGCCGCAAGAAGCTCACACTCGCAAGTGGAAACATGTTAAATTAGAGGGTAAACTTATATATTGCACATGCATGCCCAATATTTTGATTAATATCTTGTTACAAGAAAATAATTCATTTCATGATGGGCGTAAATGTAAATCTATTAGCTCGTCATGTTTATCAGGTAATATGCTGTATAAGGCTACAGGGGTTTGTGTATATAAAAATAATTGTAAACATCGCAACCAAACCGAAAAGTAGGGAATCTGTAGGTGAGGAATACTTCATGTAGCCATTTAATGTCTGTCCTTCGGCTAAGTCATGTATAGAACACAATAAACTGATACAATTTTAGCATTCTTCCCGCCAAAAGTAATTCTATTAGGGTGTAATTGGGTAACATATATTATTGGCTAATATCCAGATTGCTCGCAAGCTTTTAGGCGTGCGATTATTTATATTTTCAATCTGAAGATGCAAACATTTCGTTTATGTCTGTGCTTTTTCCTAATTTGCAATGTGTATACACCGTAATTCATAACATTTCCCTTTCTTCCCGCCAAAATTAATGGCAATTCCGAGAAATAGCCTTTGGCATGCGTTGTTATTTTGGTCTATATTACTTAATTCGCTGCTGGAATGTCAACAGGCTGTTAAAATGGGCGGTTCGTCGGAAACAATAGTTAATGGGTGAAGAATATCCAATCACATATGCACTCGCACTGGTGGGTGTCTAGTTCAGCCAATCAGCTTCGAGGGCTCAGGTTAATTTGTAGGGGGGTTTAAGGAATAGAGCAAAAAAACCTGCAAAAATAAGAGCCTTTATACACGTGTCACTTTGGAGGAGTTTTCGACGCTTCATAGTTTTATAGTAGCTTATGTAGACTAGAATGGATGCAAACGAACTGTCGCCTCCAGTGGTCCCTACGCACGATACAAACGGCGATCCTGGGTAAATATTTTACTATTTATGTATGTGTAGCATGTATATGCCTTGGGTATAACTGTGTGTTGTGTAAAATAAGGAACAAAGCGAGTGAATAATAACATTAGCAGCCAAATACTTAGAGGCTTAAATTTCATCGCGAATCTTTTCGCTACTTTCTAGGAAAATTTTCGTCGGAGGCCTTTCTAAAGTCACGAACGCTGGTAAGTTTCACAGAAACAATTTGTAACATCGCCAGCGCATTGTCGATTTCAAATGATGGGGTTTGTTTACGTTACTGGCTTGCTTTGAACATGGCTCGTTCGAGTGCTGGATCACGAGTTATCTGATCAGCTTTTGTCATCGAGCATCATGCATGTATTTCCTTTTAGACCGTTTGAAAGAATACTTTAGCAAATATGGCGAAATCAAGGAGTGCTTGGTTATGCGTGATCCTGTGACCAAAAACTCCAGGTAAATTTGCAAAGCTGTTTATAGCTCCCCAGCGGATTTCAAACGCTTTTTGACTAATGGCGATTACGCGTCTCACGCTTCGATAGACACCTTGAAATTCAAGTTCTCGTTTTGTTTCACTAAAGGTGCTTCGGATTCGTAACATTTCAAGATCCAAACTCGGTCGAAGATGTGGTCAGTTCAGGGCCTCATGTGCTGGACGATCAAACAGTTAGTGTATACAGTATATTCAAAGCTATTTTCTCTTTATTTTTGTAAATTATACGACTTGTGTCAAAGTGTCTGTTATATTGGCCAGCCGCAACCGTTTGTGTTGCTCGATCTTCATATTTTACCACGCGGAATTTATTCTGTAGAAATGTAACAAAATTGTAAACTTGCGGAGTGCGGTTTCAAACAAAACCGTTGTGTTATTATTGAGTTCAATCCCTCTTCCGCTTTTTCAGACAGCCTTCTTTGCACTCCTATAGAACTCTTGATATATAGTATAAACACATTCGCTTTGTGTGCTACGAATCTAGTCGGTCTATGATTTAAACGTCGTATATTTACTCTATGTTTTACAGATAGATCCAAAGGTTGCCATTCCAAAGCGGCCTCAACCAAAGGTATTAAGTTTTTTAAACAGGAGAGTTTATAATATCGTATTTTGTAACGCTTAATTCCTGCTAGATTGACACAACAGACAACCCGTTTATATTAAATTTTCTTACGCAAACACAGTGCATATGGCTACGAAAGGTCTTGTATTTTACAGAGATAGGAAGCTAGGCATGTACTGTACATTATTGACGCTTTATTTACAACGTCTGCCAGCGAGACAGACGGCAGACCCCTACTATTCGGTTTCAAATTATGAATGTCTTTCTTTACACAATAACCCCGTGAGGTAAGACACGTTTTTATCGACTTCCGCTGCTGAAAATCCGCTAATTTCCAGCGTATAAAAGTTGCCTGTTTTATTAACCACCGCTCAATTGAGCAACGAACGTATAAACACAGCGAAATTAATCGAAAATATTTAAAGCGTTCTCTGTTATTCACAAATACAGCGTGTCAAAGACAAGATTGACAGCTACCAGAGTCAAGGTACAAAGAATATAATAATGCGTGTCATCTTTCGGTTGATATGATAAGCAGCTTGAGATATTCGTGACGAATGCGTGTTTTTTTGTCAAAGCACGATTTCGAGCCTCGTGATTCAAGCTTTACTTTTAAGCCCTACATAAGCGATCAGAGCAAACACTTTTTAATTCGTTGTTCATTTAGCGTGCCAGCGCGGAACTTTGGAGCAATTGCATACAGCGTGTGTGACTGTGCACGATAACTATAAAAGCAAATATATTTAAAATAAGTTAATTCACATCATCGGAAAACGAAGAAATAGCAGGGTTTTTTTTAAATTTAAAAAGTTTCAATTATAGTCAGGCCTGTAATTTCAAATTTTATTATCGATTAAGGTGTTTAATATATTGTAAATAATGTCCTCGGTTAGATCTGCAAAGAGGTTATAATAGCTTGGCTTGTATCTTTCTTTCGGTCGCATCCGCGTGGGTTTAACAAGACATGAAATATGAGATACTTCCAGTGACGTTGTACCGCATAACTTGTCATTTATGGAGAAAAGTTTACTTCTTTTTCCTTTTTATTTACACGAAAAAGAATAACAATATTTCTCAGCGTTATTATACCAATCAATTGTCTATTTTCAGGCGGCCAAAACCTGCTTATTACCCCCTTAAATCGTGTTTCAAAACTGCGGTAGATCTGTTTGTGAATCGCGTCATATGCTCCAAAGCTCAAAGACAAACATCTTAGGCCAAGTGGAGAATCTGGCTTATTACCATATACTGATAGCCGAAATGTAAAATATTCCGTATTTCCGTCGTGGAAAAACCTTCCTGAGTTGGAAAATCCGACTCTTTATATAATGCACTCTTATAAATTGGACTCTTTCGCCAATTCGGACTGTTTAAATCGAAAGGGACATTTGTTTATCGGTAACTCAATAGCCAGGTTTTTTTATATGGAGTTTATACGATTATAAGCCTAGCTGCTTCATCCGAGTGAGATAATCCCCGAAAGAGAAGATTTTCTACCACAAAATGTGAAGAATTTTAACCATCTTTCCACAAAGGCGCGTGAAAAGCTCAGTGCGAAGGCATGACCTGCGCTTTTTCCAGTAACGCACCGAAGGGCTGAAACTCAAGCATATTTTCACTTACTGCTGTTTAATGTTTACTAAAACAAGAAATAATTACAGAAAGCTATTAAGGACATTTCAGTATTGATGACAATGCGCCTTCACGCTGTTTTCCCGTTCCACTACATAAAAACGGAAGTTGCAATATAAAACACATAATACCGTGTACTTAATGTCCAAACGCTATTTCCGAAAGCCACCACTCTTGATTTCCTGCATGAAGTATTTTGTTTTTTCATAAGATAGTCACCAAAGCGATAGTCAGCAGTGCGCCTTTCAAGTTTTAAAAGCGTGGGATTGGAGATTTATGTTCCCCATCGGCTGAAAAGAGTCAGATGTCTTAGGCCGTGTTTTACCCACAGGCGATCTTAGTTGCGTGAGGATAAGTCAAAGTCGTCTCATGCATCTGCTGTTCTTCGACTATCCTTTGGCGTTGAACTCTAGACGTTTTAATGGTTTTAACTTCGGTTGATGCATTTCCTTGTCGCGTTTTGTATTGATTTTCTTCGGTTTCCCCTTACAGGAAATCAGTCGAAAATATGATTTATAAAGAAAGCAATTCACAGAAACATGAACGACATTAGCTGCATTTAGATTTGTATTTTGATTCAACAAATGACAGTGTTTTGCCTGAAAGGTCAGAGGCGTTCATGTCAGAGTGTATTTTAAGACGTATAAAATATTTGACTCATGTTTTTAAGTTTAAAGCCAGACAAAACCAGCCGTAATTTGATAATTTGATGCCAAATTTTGGTAGTTTTGAATTTGAACGGTTTCACAAGAGCGTTAGCTTGCCTAATTTAAGTGTGACTTTTACTTGATATTGACCTAAACAATGGCGGATATATTTATTAAAGTAGACATAGCAATGAGGTATATTTCTAGACTTGAAGACTTTGACTATATATGGAAGTTAATGCACCTGCAACGGCCGGGACAATAGCTATTGTACAGCTGTCGATAAGCAGCCAGCAAATTTCAGGGCGTCCGTATCATTGAAATTGCCCTCCTTCCTTTCTTAAATGCAATTCGTTCAGTTTCAATTAATTCAAGCAATTTGGTAGTTATATCATGTGAAGAAGATATTTTCAGAGTTAGTTTAGGTTTCCTGCTTTAGTAACACTATATATATAGATCAATACGAGATAGATCCTTATTGGACCTTTAGGAAGAACAGTTTAGAAATGATAGAGCTATCCAGTATAAATAAAGTTAGTTTAGTTTAGGTTTCCTCCTGTAGTAACACTAGATCAATAAGAGATGATCCTTACTGGACCTCTAGGAAGAACGGTTTAGAACTGACAGAGCTATCCAGTATAAATAAAGCTAGTTTAGTTTAGGTTTCCTGCTGTAGTAACACTGGATCAACAGGAGATGATCCTTATTTAGAGAGACTGTTGAAGTAGCTGATGCAGTCAATAGAAATTCTTAGTTTACCTGGTAAGATCCGTTTCTTAATCCTAACAATTCATGTATTTCGGTTGTCATACATTTAGTTTATAACAAAAACGAAAAAGATATTCGTCGGTGGCCTCTCTCCTGAAACAACAGAGGAGGATCTAAGATCATATTTTCAAAATAACTATGGCAAGGTAAGAGCTCGGAAGACGTGCAAATTACAAAGATTGATTTATTTCAAAAAGTGAGAATTGTATTCTTCACAGCTTTTACTAGGCACCATTTCTTTACATTATTCTGTCTCTTAAGGTGGCTCAGTGTCTGCTCATGTTCGATACGACAACTAAACGTCATCGAGGATTTGGGTTTGTGACTCTGGAGACGGAAGATATTGTTGATAAAATATGTGAAGAACGTTTTCATAAAATAAACGACAAACGGGTAGGTGCATAGATGTACTACTGAGCAGGACTGAGTGTGATTCTAGCAGCGCTCTGTAGTCTGTTTATAATATTATCTCAACAATACTTGACAAATTAAAGTGCCTCTTTTTCGACCATTCAAAACACAGTTGTTACCTAAAATGACATTCATATCTGTCACTGAAGTTTAATGCCCTAAATATACGCTGGCGCTTCGAGTTGCGCTCTGCACATCAAGAGAGATGTGTCATGCTGTAATTATTCAGTGTCAAAATTATATTTATGTTCATGATTCAGGTTGAAACGAAGAAAGCTCAGCCGCGTGAAGTCATGAATCCTCAAGGAAGAGGTCGCGGACGAGGGATGTTTGGGAGAGGATATGGATGTATGTGGATATAACATATGTATTTGTGATCGTGTTTGACTGAAGTTTGTTCAACTTGCCCACTCGTAATTCAAAACACAGCATGTAAATATTTCGCAAGGGAACTTCTTATCCTCAAGTGAAAATGTCCAGCCTGTCACGTATTGAATATCGTCTCACTTCATTTTCAGATTATCCACAGTTTACCCCATTTGGTTCGTTCCCTCCTGCACTCGGCTATCCTCTGCCTGGTTACCAGGCTGCAGCTGCCGCGGCCAATGCTGCCTACACGACCCAGGCCCCTCCACAACACGGTAAACCACCGAGGAATCCCGAACGATCTCGTCCGAACTTTACTTACACCTACCCTTCGCTTCCTGGAAGTATGTGAAATTCCTGTTAAAGTTTTTTACTGACCTGTCAATATTTTACACTTCTTAAATAGCCCCGGAGTCAAGCAATAGTTATTCGGGCTAGTCTGGTCGCAAAACATCAGGTCCCCCCACTCCCTAAATTCGGCCTGCGAGCAGGCTAGACTTGGGAACTCAACTAAACCCTTGCTTGTCCACTCTAATCCTCATTTGTCCAAGGCTGAAGTGAATTCCTCATACTAAATTTTTAATCATCCTCCTTTTAGACTATTACTCCTCTTTTATTAACGCCTCTGGTGATAGACGTCCTCATTACTACGCAGAATATGCCAATCTCTCATCACCAGGTCTCCCACCAAGGCCTGGCAACACGACCGCACGCACTGACGGCCAACCGTCCGTTGACTACCCCGATTATTCAGGTAAGGCAGAATGTTCATTGATCTGCTACAGGCTGGCCTTAGGCAGGAGCCTCCTTGATAAACAGGCTCGTTTAGAAGCTGATCGTATGCGGTGATCTGTACTGAGCATTGAGTGCAAATTAGTAAAGCCAGTGGCAGCTGTAGAATGGTCGGCTAGCTTCGTTTATTTTCGTTATTAAATCGTAGTTAATAGAATTCCTAATACACAATACTTATCGACCAGTCAAATCACTAGCTACACGTCATTTTATAACCAAAATGATTTTCCGTAGACGCAAACAAATTAGTTGTTTTATCGTGTTCAAGGTGTTCAAGTAAACGGATACTCGCCACAAAATTTCGGAGCTCCCCCTTCACCTCTCTCAAGATTCGCACCCACCACCAGTCCCGGCCCCATGGGCCCAGATCTCGCTAGCTACATCACGTCAGCAACAGATACCGCTCTGGGGTATTCTGCTTCAAGCCCCCAGGCGACCTCTTTTGGCCATCCAATGGCGGTAAGTGTTTCTGAAATCTGTTATTATCAACGATTATTTTAGCTCTGAAATTGTCTTGTTCTTGAGTGAACAGTTAATGTTCGCGTCCAGAAAAACGTTGGATCAATAAAAGATGATTTCTACTTGATCTCTAGAAAGAACAGTTGAGAACTGATACAGACATCTAGCATAAAATAAAGTTAGTTTAGTTTAGGTTTCCTCCTGTAGTAACACTGGATCAATAAGAGATGATCCTTACTGGACCTCTAGGAAGAACAGTTTAGAACTGATAAAGCTTTCCAGTATAAATAAAGTTAGTTTAGTTTAGATTTCCACTTGCAGTAACACTGGATCAATAAGAGACAATCCTTACTGGACCTCTAGGAAGAACGTTAACAATTTATATTATCGTTCTCCTAATTTTTAATGTAAATAAGATTACAGAGTTCTCCATTTCATCTAACAAGGAATGTTTTTATAGATTTCACTCAGACAATAAAAAATGCAGAATTGAATGGTAAGTTAACAGATTTTTCGCAACAAATACCAATTCTTATGTACGACATGAAACATAGACTAACACTGCCTTCAACCTTTTTGCAGAATTGATAAATTGATGGGATTAAGACACTGAAAGTGATCTTTGGGAAATATTATGGATCGAGTGGGTAAATATGGTAAAACCTGAATAAAAGTACATTTTTGGGATTCAGCTACTCGTACTGAACATCTTGATGGTTACTCCAATTTGGAGCTTTGCCGAATGGGTCTAACTTATATTATTGTGCAAATGCATTAGGTATATCTATGTGTCTTCTGACTAAGTGCTCTAGAAACACAGGTATTTCCGAAGCGATCTACCAGATCTTAACGGTTGTAACGTTTTCGAGTTCCAAAATCATCTTTTTTTATAAATTTCTTGTCCTAATTTTTCGAGAACTTAACATCCAATATTTAATTTCTATGACGAACACAATCAAGCTTGGAATAACTAAAATTTCACGTGAATTGTGCAAAACGTCTTGAATAATTGGTTCAAATTCGGCTGCGTATCTCACTAACCATTGGTAGTCGAACAAGGCATTTTCATGTGACAAGTTTTTACCTTCTAACGAAGAGCATCAATGTCACATAAGTAATTGTTTCTAAGTTAAACGGCTTAATTCGTAAAACTAATATATGATTAACCAAAGTTATTTGTTGCAAAATATTTTTTCACACGAAAGTTAATCGTTGGTTTAAGAGGCGCATTATGGTAGTAGGGGACAAGGATGTAATGTCGACTCTAATTTAATATGTTTACCATCAAATTGAAACTATAACTTCATCACTGAGTCACTGAGTAACTTTTTATGTTGAGCAGATCCATTTATTTTCTCATACTGTTAAATAACAGTCAGTAATTTCTACCTTTAAACGTAACCACACTATACAATAACTGATTTTTGGATGTAATTTAATCGTGTTAATATTACGACACGCAGCCGTTGAGAACCAAACGTAGCATATTGTAAAGTCTTCTGTACATGTGTTTTGTTTTAAGAGATTGTACATTTTGAAAAATATTGCACCTTTAAGCGATTAGAAAGGGCTTGTACATGACCAGTTCCCGGTTGTCGTTACCGGAGCATGCATTCTGCCATGGTTTTCGTTTGGTTAGGATGTACTATAATGTACAATTGCCCTGAGTTGTAAAAGACGTCAAAAAATGAAGCTTACAAAGTTACATGCACAATTTTGGCATAAAATGCCACCGTAGTTGATTTTATTGTACAATTTTATTGTTTTTTATGTGTTGTCAATATGATATGATTGTATGTAAAGGTCTTAAGAACTAGGCGTTAGGCAAATCTGGCAGTTAAATTCAGAAAGACGATGTTTATTTGAGTATTTTTGCTTCAATGCTTCGCTTTGGCATTTGAAATGTCTGCATGTACACAACTCTCAGGGTCATCTTAGTTCCACTTATTAGAACCACTTATCTTAATTGAAAACGTTTAATTTAATTTGAAAACGTTTAACATGAATGATATTGCCTATCTTTCAAAAAAAATTTATTAATAAATTTTTAATAAAGTCTTTCTGGATTTTTTCAGCCTAGAAAATAGTTTTAAAGCTTTTATTTGAATATGATGCTAGAGATTGTATACTTGATAACTAACAGTCAGTCGATGGATATGGACAGCAGCTGAAACTCTTCAAAGCGTCTATAACACTAACCGTATAACACCGGCATTTCAGACCTTGCATCGATTGACTGTGGTGTAATTGTCATGTTCTGTCACGACGTCGTACGAAGGGGTACGATGTTGTTTTGTCGAAGCACGTTGAGAATTGAATTGGTAGAGTGATAATGATATATAGTGGATGTCGTGTGTTTGTTATATAGTATTTGAAATAGAGAGAAGATGTACGCAATAGATTGGGTATGCGAGGGGTCTCACCAAGCTTTTGTAGGATATAAATGACCACCAGATAACCGGACATTTTGAGAAATGTTGAGACTTACACGGGCAGGAAAATCAGTGTGGAGATCCTCTTCATAATGCACAATTTATTGCTCATCTGTAGGATAAATGTCTCTTTTGAGGGATTGTTATATATAGCACTATGCACCACTGGTTCATTATGACCAGTATTAGCCACTATAATCTTCTTTTCAGCCTGCAATTTCTACCGAGTCAAAGGCCTTGTATAGGCAAAATATTTTCTTGAATAACATGGTTAACCAAGGCGCATTTTTAGTTCTGATAATGCAGCTTGACAGCGTAGAATGAAACGGATATTTCAAAGGTTTTATACCCATCTAAGAAATCAGTACCTAATCAAATAGGAGACACGATTTTTATCGTTTTTTTCTGCAAGAATGACTGGCCTGAGTACTCGGTTATTTTGCACCTGAAGTGGCTATCCTCCGTAAAACATCAAAGATGTAAATTCAGACGTACAATGAAAATTTAATCGCAATTTGTTAAGAAGTTTGCTTCATTTCTGACTTTTGTAGCAATATTTAAAATAAGTTATATGTTTAAATAAATAAAGTAATATCGGCAATGATTTCATGTCTATGAATCTATGAACCTATTCTTGAACAAGCCTTATTCTAATGGTATATAAAACCACGCCCAAGTCATATGGCTAGGGCCAGAATTAGAGAGTTACGGTTCCAAGGGTGGGCATCATTGGGACGTGGAATTGAGGTCGTAAAATTGTCTCGTTTACTATGTAAATTAGAGAGTGTATTGTGTAAATTTATTATGTATTTGCATTTTGCTGGATACTTGATATTTGCTACTTTTTAGACTGTCTTTTGATACGAGAACGTAACGAGATTCGGTGAAAGCATTTTCCACGACACGGTACTGGGTCGGGTATGATGATGTCATCGTCTTTTTTTGTAAAATGACGTAATGCGAGGAAAAACACGCCCCTCCCACCCCCAGCAACCGCATCTGCCTCGTATGTTGCAATTTAGCTCTTTAAATCAAAGATTTCACCTGGCGTATTTCCTCGCTGTTGTTTTGGATTTTTTGTCCTAACTCTCAAGAACAAAGATTGAACGAAAGGTTGGTACTTTTGAAGTTCTGTAACACCTTTTTGGAAACATAAACGAGCGAATTTTATGTGTTCAAAACTTTATAGCTTGCTGTGCGCAGTTAGTTGTTTACTAAAACGCAAAAAAAAATTATAATAGTTTCGTGAATAGTGGTTAGTGTTATTATTTGAAGGTTATAGAGTTATAGAAAGTTTGCAGATTGGTTCAGTCTGTTTTAAGTTAGTTGACATTGTCTGTGTTTGTCGCATAATTTCGATTTTGAACTTGAGCAAACTTTCACAAGACATGTACATAATTGTACAGGCATACTTGGTTAAACTTGCCATTTTACCCTATAACGCTTTAATGCATGGAAAGAAAGTATTTATTGCACTTTTCCAAAGTCGTGGACAATTGCTAAAGCAACTTTAGGTACTTTCAACAAAGTGAAACCGTTATTTCTTGAGGAAAATTGTCGAGAACATCTGGCAACTTCCTCTTCGGTATGAGTAAGGAAGGAGTTTGTCAACTGACTGCGTCTTTAAACAATTGACCGCCTGTTTTTCTTGTGCGACATATTTCAAGGCCAATGATTTATTTCCAATAGATTCAACCATGAGCCACAGTCGTCAAAGCACTCAGGGTACAGAAGAAGGAAGCATCTTTCGTATTCCACCATATTACTATCTTCATGTGTTTGACCAGACAACCAATGTCACCAAGGTTGAACTAGGACCCAAGACATTCATCCGACAGGACAATGAAAAGGTACAGAAACCAACCCCACACTGCTTCTGCAGGCTTCATATAAGACCATCTCAAAGAGGGTCAACTTGGAAGGTTTATCCCTTCAATCTAAAGATGGACTGCACGACAGATTATTTTGTTTATGTATGCATGATAAAATTTGAAAATTATCCCCCAAATAGTAAGTCATATTTAAAGTCATGTTTTCTGGGGAGGGTATGTACTTCAGCTGACCTCGATCTAGCAATGGCTTACCCCTAAAGAATGCATGCCCCCTTGTAACACCCATGATCGAATGCTCTGTATCTTTTGCTACCCACTCCAGGTAGTCTTTGGACCTGCAAAGATGATCACGATTCCTCCACGTCATTACTGTATCATCGAGAATCCTGCACTTAAGGATGATGAAGAGAAACCAGTGTATGATGAAAATGGTCAGATCAAATTGCTTCATGCTGATCAGGTAATAAAAAATGTTAAATTTTGCAATTCTCCACAGTGTAGAGGCATAGATATGCACCTAGACAAGAGCGTAATCATGAGCCAGCCTTGAATATCAACATATCAATTGCTTGATCAGCTGCTGACCGAACAACTAGACTAGCAACTGCATAGCCATATAGCCAAGTAAAAAATATAAACGAAGCTGGATTTAACAGAAGAATCTACTTTTAGGAAGTTCGACTGACTCAGGATCCATTTCCTTTGTATCCTGGAGAAATTGTGAAAGAAGATGTGACTGCTCTGAAGATTGTAATGGCAAATTCTGCATTGAGGTTGAGAGCAGTTTTGGACATTGAAGACAAGGATGAGAAGCGTGTTGCTGGCGATGAATGGTTGTTTGAAGGACCTGGTAAGATGTCTTGTTTTGTTGAAACTGAAACTGTGAAAGATTTATGATATATATCAATATTTTAACAGGAACCTACATTCCTCGTAAGGAGGTGAAAGTGGAAGAAATTATCCAAGCCACTGTCATCCAACCTGGACAAGCTATCAGACTGCGGGCACGGAAAGAAACCAGGGTAACTAGACTATAGTTTTTTACCATTTAAGTATTCAAATACATCAACCATATTTAGGTTTTATCTTAAGTTTCTCCCATATTGGCTGGCAAAGTGCCTCAAATGTCTCCTACGTTATAGTCTTTACTCTATCCAATGGCAAACAACTCTCCTTGTTGCTGGTTAACAGCAGGGTAGAAAGTGATAGGTAGTGCTATACAACCAGTTATATTTGGTGGTTGAATTGATTTGTGTGAATTCTTTTACTGCTAGGATCGTGATGGTACTTTGAGGGTCACTGGTGAAGAGTGGTTGGTGAAAAAGATAGGTGCCTACTTACCCGGGGCCTATGAGGAAGTTGTCGACACCGTGGGAGCTTATGTCCTTAACGATAAGGTGTGGTAAGATAGTTCCAGCAGTGCAACGAAGAGAGTTTACACTTTTGGTGTGATTCTCCTCTTTTGATAGATGTGAAAGAGGAAATAGTTATGAAAACTCTGACGTATGAGTGCCTCTAATTGAACATATGGGTAACTTATCTACTCGTTCCATCTATCAAAAGAAACGTAGTGTAAACTGGCCATAGTCTAGGCTAGCTAGGGAGTTTTTGTGAATCAAGAAGAATATCATCTGTTTTTAGAAAGCATTGCATATGCGAGCTTTAAGAACATTCACAGACGAGGCTGAAGAGACGCGTAGGAATGGCGAGGAGTGGCTGATCACATCCAAGCACACTGATGCACATATACCCAATGTTTATGAAGAGGTAAGAACAACGCTCTGCCTTTGGTTATCCCACAGTTGTTATCCTAGCCATCCAGGCAGAGCTCTCTACCCGAAGGTCAGTGGTTGAGGCGTGTTCCTCAATGAAATTTTGTTTGATATATTTTATGAAGGTAATGGGTATTATTGACATCACAACGCTCACCAACCGTCAGTATTGTGTCATTCTTGATCCCGTTGGCGAGGATGGGAAACCGCAACTTGGACAGAAAAGACTTATTAAGGTACAGTGACATTGCAGGGTGTCCAAGCTTGTGCATAGTTGAGCTGTACGGTCTATCAGGTTGGGGTGGGGGGATATCGGTTCAGGTGAGGGGATAGGTTGGGAGGCAGGGGAGGTTGGGGGCAGGGGAGGTGGGGGGAGGTTAGGTGGGGGAGGTCGGGTGAGGGAGGTTGGGGGGAGGTTAGGTGGGGGAGGTTGGGCACATTTGAACTGGTAGTATCCATTATTGTGCATAATTGTTTGTATTTCTGTGTCAGGGCGAGAAATCCTTTTTCTTGCATCCTGGAGAGAAACTAGAGAATGGAATCCAGGATATTTACATCTTGGGTGAGGACGAGGGTCTCATTTTGAAGGCAAATGAAACATTCAAAGACAACTACGATGAAGATGGCGAGGTATGGAATGTGATACTTGTGTATGATTTTCAGTTTTCGCTTTTCACTCCGTGAGGACCATTTCTGAGCATAGTAACGTCACGCATATTATATCCACTGTTATCCATAGAAAACCAGTATCCGTCGCCCTGGGGATCGATGGATGATCAGGGGACCTTGCGAGTATGTCCCTCCTGTTGAGGTCGAGGTGATCGCTCAACGTAAGGCGATTCCATTGGACGAGAACGAGGGTATATACGTGCGGGACATCAAATCAGGCAAAGTGAGGGCGGTGTGCGGGCAAACCTACATGCTGAATCAGGACGAGGAATTGTGGGAAAAAGTTTTACCCCCCGCTGTGGAGGATCTCCTCAGTCAAGGTCGGGATCCTCTTGCTGATAGGGGAACTCGTGGGTCTTCTAGTGGTAAGTATTGATAGAGGAGACTATCGCCGTTCTCGTGTAGGAAGATGCAGGGAGAGATATTGAAGATTTTGTGAAGGGTTTAACTAATATACTAATATATACAGTTCAGTGGAAGCTAGGGCCGGTTTGAGTATCTGAAGGGGTAGGTTACCATGCTCAGAACCAGACAAACAGCAACAACAACTGTATGAAGGGCCGGTTTGAGTATCTGAAGGGATAGGTTACCATGCTCAGAACCAGACAAACAGCAACAACAACTGTATGAAGGGCCGGTTTGAGTATCTGAAGGGGGTAGGTTACCATGCTCTGAACCAGAACAACAGCAACAACAACTGTATTTTTTTTCAGAGAGAGTCAAACGTGATAAGACAAGAGTTGTTTCATATCGTGTGCCTCACAATGCATCAGTTCAGATTTATGATTACAAAGAAAAACAAGCAAGGTAAATATATTGCGTCTTCAAATATATACTGTACCCCCAAATAATTGATCACAAGTTCAGATGTAACACGGATCTTTCAATCCGGCCCAAAATCAACACAACGATTTGTTTGCAGATCGACACATCGTCACTGATCCAACTGTTGCTGTTCATCAAATCCCTACAACGGGCGATTCATCAGTGATATGACACTTCCCATTGATAAAATTATTTGAGACGTCGACCATTCTTCATTTTAGAGTTGTATTTGGTCCGGAACTTGTGATGCTGGGTCCCGATGAACAATTCACGCAACTCAGTTTGTCAGGTGGCAAACCAAAGCGTCCCAATGTCATCAAAGCTTTGTGCCTTCTCCTTGGACCTGATTTTTGCACAGATATCATAACTGTAGAGACTGCTGACCACGCAAGACTTTCGTTGCAGTTAGCTTACAACTGGTAAGATCATTTGCCTGAAGGTCCTGTTATACGGTGCAATTTTTCTTGCAACTTGCAATGCAATTTTACTTTTAAGAGATGTAAAGTAGTGAAGGGTTTTCAAAATGTTAAGTGTAAGAAACGCCATGGAGTGTAACAAAGACAAAAGTTTGGTAGTGGACAAATTTACATCTCTCAAAAGAAGAATTGCATTGCAAGTTGCAGGAAAAATTGCACCGTGTGACAGGGCCTTGATTGCGTTTATTTGAAACTGATGGAGAGAGACAGTATAAATAATTTCATTGATCACAAACGATCTTGTTTAAGGCATTTTGATGTGAAAGACAAGGGTGACGAAGAATCAGCAAAATTATTTTCGGTTCCTGATTTTGTTGGCGATGCATGCAAAGCAATTGCTTCAAGAATTCGTGGAGCTGTCGCTGGGGTCCAGTTTGATGATTTCCACAAGGTAGGATTAACTGATCTGCTACGGTTAGTTGACATGTGATAGAAAACACTACTGCCAGGCTCTGTGCTCAAAAAGCTCACTCACACTCAACATCGTTGAGTGTGGCATAGAATTGTATTACAACGGATTAACGAGATAGTCGGATCCTCTCTTAAAGCCTATCACCTGAGCTAACGACCTTGCGAGGCAGTTAGCTCAGCCCGAAAACCATCCACACATGTGAGAAACTTGCCTCTTGTGGCGAATTCCTCACGAAGAACTATCCGCACACGAGAGTAACTTGCTGAGCTAACAGCCACGCGGGGTTGAAGACCAGCTCAGCTAATAGCTCTCGTGTGCGGTGGGCTTAATCAATGAAAAGATTTAAGGTAAACATGGTAAAGGAATCGCTGTGAAGTGATTGAGATTTCCCACTCAATGGGTGAGTTTTTCCACTCGCGTGTAAGTGAGCTTTTAGCCGGAATACAGGGCCATATTGCCTTCTATCGACAGTCGTCTGTTCATTACCAACCTAAGCTTATTGCCGTTTAGAATTCAGCCAAGATCATTCGAACTTCAGTGTTTGGTCTGGATGAGAATCACAAGATTCGTAACAGTTTCTCATTTCCCGCCAACAACCTGAACATCACGAGTGTCGATATCCAGTCTGTGGAGCCAGTTGACCAGAGAACACGAGACGCTCTCATGAAGTCCGTTCAACTTGCCATTGAAATCACAACCAATTCGCAAGAAGCTACAGCGAGGTGGGTGAATATGTCGGGCTAACACACACACACACTACGATAGCTAGGTACAAAGGTTTCTCAAGTTTCTCTCGTTTCCAGGCACGAGGCGGAACGCATCGAGCAAGAGGCTCGGGGAAGGCTGGAAAGACAGAAGATTAACGACGAAGCAGAAGCGGAGAAATCAAGACGAGATCTTCTTGAGCTTCAGGCGCAGAGCGCTGCTGTTGAGTCCACGGGCCAAGCCAAGGCTGAGGCCCAGTCCCGCGCGGAGGCCGCAAGGATTGCGGGCGAGGCTGAAGTCAGCCAGGCAAAATTAAAAGCAGAGGCATCAAGAATTCAGGCGGTAAGTGAGAGTTGGGTGCCGAGTTGTGTTCAAATCTATTCCCACGGACAGAAGGTAGCTTTATCGGGCTTATCATTTGCATCGAATCTACCCTGACAATCCCTGTTTTTTTGGTTAGGGGATGGCACAGATTCAGGGGGAGGATGTGTGGTGCTTTGAAAGCCGTCATCCCACCAGGTTAAACGTGTTTCTGTTTTTAGGAGTCGGATTTGGAGCGGGCAACGAACGTGGTTGAGGCAGAAATAAGAAATAATAAAGTTCGAGATGAAATGGAGATAAGCAAATCCAGGCAACTGTCGGCAATTGAGATTGAGAAGTTTGAAAATATGGTGAAAGCAATCGGACCAGATACAATCAAAGCTATTGCTAATGCTGGGCCACAAATGCAGGTAAAGTTTTAGACACCATTCCATAGCTTACCACGCTTCACTATTCCTTACCATACCTCACCATACCTTAACATACCTTTCCATACCTTATCATGCCTTAATCATATCTTATCATATCTTATCATATCTTACCATACTTTACCACACCTGACACCTTACCATACCTTATCATACCTCACCATACCTTACTATACCTCACCATACCCTACCATACCTTACCACATCTTACCATACCATACCATACCATATACCTTATCATAATCCATATCTTACCATCGTATTAACAATATTGTTCTTTAACAATCCAAGGTGAAACTCCTCCAATCTCTTGGCCTCAAATCGACCTTAATCACAGATGGATCAACACCCATCAACCTCTTCAACACAGCTCACGGTCTTATTGGTGGTCAGTTACCGTCAGTTCCTGGAGATAACGACAGTACTCTGGATTAAACATGAACCCTGATCGATCAGGTATTCAAACGCGTATGTATCAAATCATATATACTAAATAGAATTAGACCTTTTTTGTAAATTAGAAAGCTGAAATTTTCGAATAATATCTAGGTAGTATTTGATAAAACAATTAGGCAATTTGTATCCCAACGAATGATCCACTTTCACACCTTACAAACGTCTTAAAGATTTAATATAAAAGATTAAGTGAGTTGAGAAATCACTACTCAATATTTAGTCATATGTGAGTGATTTGTATTGGATTAAAATTGATGTCATCGAGTAGGATATCAACGTCAACCACATGAATCACGTCAATGACTCAATGAAAATACGTTAGTTAGCACGTCATTTTTACCAGAAATATCGCTGTTAAAGTCTGTTCACACGATCCAATTTTGTTGGATCCAATTCACTTCTGATGGATGTTTTAATAGTCTGTTGTCTTGTAATGTATATCAGCAGCAAATCCACTGAAGCCAATGTACTACTGCTTCATCAATAACCGACTATATTTCATACGTCAGAGGTGAATTGGATCCAACAAAATTGGATCGTGTGAACAGACGTTTAATCTGGCCATCTCAAGTATTTGTCACGGAATTATTGTCCGTTCGTCTGCCCCTGTTTGCAAAAACAATATTGAGAAACGTTGATAGTGAACTTTGCTTGTTTCCTGTTGACAATTTATTGACGTAACTGAGCTAAACAAGAACGCACCAAAAGTCGAACCATTGCCAACAAAAATGACCTTCAAAGTTCAACCATGACGGTTGATCAGTGATAAGTGTTTCACTGGTAGCACCAGCTGCCAATATATACACGAGTATTATGTCTGTATTAACGATATTTAACGATGTTTAACGGCAACATATTTGTGGTATTAACCGTTTAAATGGTAAAGAAAGTGAAACAGGGAGATCGTTAGTTTTTAAGTCACGTTCAGTTTTCCACGCACGAGTCACGCGCCTCAAACATCGACCTCCGTCACTAGATACGATCCTGGATGCGAGATTACTCACCAATAGCCAGAAACTCTAACCAGAAACGCAGAATTCTTCCCTTAATGTTACAAAGTTATTTCCACTCAGATTTACCATTGATAAACGTCAGGACACGTCAAGTCTAGTACTTGTCCTCTTGACAATAAACTTTTTTTGATATTTTTCCCTGGAAAGATCTTAACTAATTCGTAATGAAATGAATTTTTGTAATTGAGCAATGCAGAATGCTGAACCCAGCTACGAAATTCCGAGCCATACAATTCAACACAACAATATTTTACTACGCAACTAGGCCAAGTATGTATTTTCTATTAAATTACTACAATTCAACTAAATTAAATTATTCCCAACACTAGTACCAAACGGATATTATTATCCTGGGTGGGATACATAAATTATATATTCCAGTGATACAATTTACCTACAAAGGCGTGATATATCGTCTCATGGTGATTTCACCAAATTTTGTATTTACAAGTAGATTCACGTTTGGCTGAGATTCGAGGTTTTTGTGTTTTAAGTATTGTCGTGTTTTATAATAGCATTTGTGAGACCATAATATTAATTGGGGCGAGGAGAAGATTATTAACTCGTTGAAACGAATTATTGGGAAAGATCACAATTTTGAGTTTGGTAGTTCAAAATGATTACAGTCTTCTGTACTTCAACTTAATGATAATATTACGTATGTATGATTGAAGTCTCTCAGTTTCTAAGTGTATGAAGGCAAAGTCTGTTGAAGTCCAAGGTTTTCTAGACCTGGTTTTGGAACTAAGATCAACTCGAGGGAGACCAGTTCCAACCAATCCTGAGGCTGAGTCTAGATACAGTCATGGGATGACCGTATTGTTAACGTGATTGTTCCATCCGCCAAACGGATCTTGAATACAATTCTTTGTACAAAGGGCAATTTGATTGCATAATCGATAGTTTTGTTCAAGGATAAGTCACTGTGGCTGGCTTGTTTTTCCAGTCTCTCAACTCATCATTCAATGGAACCTTCCATCATGTCTCAATAGGAAATTCCTGCAAATGTCAGTCAACGAAGTCTGCCAATCAATCAAATTCCTTCAGTAAATGCTTCAATCTCCAACAATAATAATTGGTAGTTCAGTATTTACACTAGTGTCGGAAATAATTCAGGGAACGACTCTTCCCACCACATATTTTCATTCATGCTTGGTCCAGCTGCATAATTTTCAATTGCTTTATCGAGTTCAATTGTTGTCATGAATTCTCCGCCGGTGGGTTCCAAGCTTTTTGCGTCTTTCCCCATTCCTTCTGAAAGTTTTTCGTCTCCTCGTTCTTCTTTAAGCTCGGAGATTTCAGGCTCTCCTGCGCAGACGACGAGTACGTCTTCTGGTTCTTGTTTGATGCTGATGAAATCGTCGGGGTTGCCTGGCTTGAAATCTTCAAGAAAGCTGAAAAGCTCATCAGACTAGGAGAAAAAAAAAGGAAAGAGCATTAGGTTTTTTTTGTGGATTCACACGACAGCACAGGAAACTTTTTCACACTTTTCACTTGTGTTATGGCACGTTTCGTCAAGTCCCTTGACGTAATCTCGGGTACATTAAAGCGACCTATGACAGATGTAAAAGTATATTTGCTCGAGAGAAAGTATCGCTCCTTAACAGTTAGAAAGCCGACAAGTTCAAACGTAGGCAACGTTTTCTCCGTCTGGTTCCCCGCAAATGTTTGCTCCTACAGAATTTATAGTTTTAGCATTTCTCTGCACATCAATGACTCTACTTGGATAATACCTCATGAATACAATTACATTTTTATTAATGCAAAATTTTTTCCTCTTCGTAGAAAGGAATTCACTTTATTGACATCTTTATGTAGAAGTGGTGTTCAGGATATTGTTAGGGCGGTTTACAGATGACATCTTCATTACATTATGCGCTGTACAAAACTGACCGCCTCTTGAGTGATTCGTGACAGTTTGAAGTGGCAGCAAATGAATGGATCAAAGTGCAAAATATTTGCCAGGATGTGTACACCTGATAACTGTTAGTCAATTACATAAACCATTCCCTCTTAATGAATATCGCAATTTAAATGTAGTCTGTTGTTGGAGCTTATGACTGCTCTCAGATACAAATACGATTTAAATTACTGTCTTAAGTTTTTTTGCAATGCTTAGCTGACCATAGAGATTATAATTATAATCTCTATGTAGCTGACAATGATATTCAGTTTATTCCCTGATAATATCATTGTCATGTCCTTTATCATTTATTATTACATAACATGAAGTACTCACCTTAGGAGATGGAGTAGCACAGTAGTCGTGAGTAGAGAAAGAAAGGGAATCGGCGAGTGTTCCTTCTGCTGAGAAACGCTGAGTTCTGCATACTCAGATGATTCCTTTTCTTGCTTTACCACAACAACTGCTGGTTCATCCTGGGAGGGGGAGTGGGGTGGGGTAGGTGGGGGTGACGGTGTATTTTCCTCGCTGTTAGTAGGTGAGGACGGTGGGGACAGGCCTAGACGTGTCTTAAGTTCTGTGTTTTCGCTTTCGAGGGACGAAGCCCGCAATTTGAGATCTTTGTTTTCTTTCATGAGTTTTCGATTCTACAAAGGCAAAGTGATAGTACATCGGTTTTGTGGCAGGTTGTGTCAGGGTTGTGGGAATGTCAAGCCCAATATCAGCCTGTTTTTAAAATGAAATATTGTGAGATAGGACAGACTTACAATTCTTAATTTAAATTTCAAATACAGTCGCAATTTCTTCGCAATTATTCCTTAAATTGGTATGTAATTTGACCCTTTCGCTTCTAATTCTCATTAAAAACCCTTCAGTGAGATATAAATACAAGAACGCAAACAAAAAGCATTCCGGTTTCAAGCACTCGTGCATGACCTGATCATATTCACGGTCAAAGTCTAACGTCGTATTTCATAATTGTAGAAAAAACATTTGTTCAAGAAATTGAATTGCTCCAACAGCCTTTAACATATGTATGTTGTATGTATAAGATACACTGATTTTATCTTATTAACCAATATACATATAGTTAAGTGGCAAAATAGTCCAGCCTCATTTCCGTTGCTACTAGACAACGCACGTCAATTGGAAGGATGCAGGCCACTTGATATACCAGCCCACATCTTAAGGTTTCCAGGGCAGGCGGAAAAATTCATTTGAATGTATGTTGACTTTAACACAGCTGGACTCGTATAAATTTCATTCAAATGCGCTGTTGATCTTACGGGTTTCAATTGTTTGAAGTCAGGTTGCGAAATTGCCAATAACTGGTTCAAATATGTCACCTATGGACGTGTTTCCGTGATACGAACACTGATCAGTGGATACGAAGAACTTCCATTTTAGTTTTAAATCCCTTGCTTACAGAGGAAGTATTCAACTAACAAATACATATTTAGACTTGTTGTTATAAAGCCTTGTTGTTATGGATGTAAGAGCTCTGTTTTTCCACTCTGAAACGATTATAAAGTTGCTTTGTTCGTAGGCTATTTTCAAAGGCAAAGGCATATATATGACAAATGTTCCGCTTTTCTTTATTTCAAGCGTGGTAATGTCTTTCTTTCACCCTATCAAGGTTACCGTACAAAGGCTTTGTTTGTCTCCCCTATAATGAAATAACTAAGTAACCTCGATGACTCTCGTTATATCATAAACGATTACGCTACTTTCTATATTGTAGCAAATAAATATCAGGAAAGGTTTCGCAGTTTCATTTAGGAAGAATTCGGACAAGTTTTTAGGGAACTTGTGCCTTTGCTTGTTCTTTATAGAAACACAATGCCTTCGCCGGTTTAAACCCCACTGCCTTTGGTTTAGTATTGACCTGCACACTCATAAAGCAGCTTTGTTGTTAACTCTTCATTTAGCCAAACAGAGTATCAAATGTTCGGGTTTTTTTGGAATTTCGGAACAAACTTACAATGTTGCAATTCGCCTGCCGTAAAGCAGAAAATACCCGTATTTAAATGGCGCTAAAAGTGTCGTTTAGTTATGTGATATTAAGGTTATATTAACCTGTTCTTCAAAGATGGCCAAAGATTCCTCCAATTCAGTCATGCGAGCCTTCTTTCTATCCCTGGCCGTCTGAGCAGCAACACGATTCTTTAACTTTCTACATTTGTGAAAGGAAATTGATACATTGTATTGTTAGAAAATTCCGCGCGTTGTTAGAAAATTCCAGAGTGCAATTAGAACGCAACAAAATTGACAAAAGGAATACAATTCTATAGTGGATTGCGACACCAACCTTCGAAGCGCTCGCTCTTCGGGTGTTAAATTATCCAAGCGACGTCTTTTTCGGGGGCAGCCAGGTTCGCATGGCGGATCCATAAGAATTGCCGGATTTATAAGTGCCATTTTGATTATTTTTGTTGTTAATGGAAGAGTATTATTACAATAGCAATCTTCCACTCCTGTTGTACTATGCTATACTGGCACACAAAGTTTCCTCAATGACTATATTTACTCTTTCGCACAAAGAGCGCAGTTTGAAAAGCGGAATTACGTCATTTACCATATTTGGGAGATTTCAAAATTTGAAAGCCAATCAAAAAGCGCCACGGTTGCGCTAATAACAGGAACTCATTGTGAAGACTTCTGTGGCTATGGCTTTTGCCCCGCTTTCTGACTTCCCTTTCAGTAATAAGCTTGGGAAATTAATATTTATTTACTACAAATAGTTGAGTAAAAACAAATTATTCGTTGTTTACGTAACCTAAATGTAGCATCCAATTCAAAATTGTTATCCGGCTGTGTGCGATTGTGTAGGTTTTTGGCTTTCTGCTAAGATTGTTGCGATAAATAATCTTTCCCAAAATAATTAATTTGTGGGATTTATGTTTCCTGAGCGTCTGAAACAGCCTGTAATTGCAACTTCCCACGTCTAATTGTAATTCAAGATAGGATCGAGTTGGCGTTCCTGTCTCTGTTATTAAAATAGCGTAAACAAAAACGCATTAGGCGGTAAATATCACATCCAGTAAAATATGTACGAAAAAGCATTTTAAGCGGTGAAAATCATGGTTTTACAGTAGGTTTCTATAGATTGCGCGCGGCAACCCAAACTTTTGCGTTTCCCAAACTTTTGCGTGATAATTTTAACGCGATAAATTTTTCGGGAATTTGAGCTCCGCGGGAATCCAATATGGCGGCATTCAGCATCAGCATTAACATTACAAAGAAATTGTTTACCTTTTTTCTTCCAAGAAATGCACAAATGACAACTATTCTAGAGGGTTAAAGACATTTTGAGAATGAAGCAGTTACACAGAAATTTAGAAAAAGATAGTTCGGGGTTTGTATGTCTTTAAAAATTGGAGCATTAACTTGCATTTTATGTGAAGGTGCAAGGTCTATAAAAGAAATAAAAGAATGGGTCCGTTATCGAAGAGTATAAAGTTTAGTGTTGTCTATTTTGAGTCCATTATTTTGGTTTTAATATTTCTTAGGCCAGTGACAAATAAATGTAATTTTTTTCTGTTCAGCAGAGTCAATCCTATGAAATAATAAAATTTAAAATAAATCAAGTTTTCCTACATGTACAAAAAAAGCCCTGGAATTTCACTGTTTTCCTTGTTCAGGCCTTCCTTGAATAGATAGAGCCAGGCACTCATTTTGCAGAACCATCAAAAGCTTTTTTAGGGGGGGTAGGCATGGGGGTCAGGTTAAAAGGGGGGGTGGGGTGAGGAGGAGAACTGGTTGAGAAGGTGATGTCCTTCATCCCAAGTATTAAGAAGTGAAAAGTTGAGGCTCGGACATATTAGCATGAGGGTTGTCAGTTTTGGCATAGTTCCACCTCATGCTGACTTTACATGAAAGACGTCCAGCAAACTTTAGTTAGTTATTACTAGTTGACTTATCATCATTGATGGATTCCAGGGTGATCGGACTTATTCCAGATGAACCAGAAGATATGTGGCACGCTTACAATCTTATTGCTGTTGGGGATAGATTAAGAGCTACCACAATTAGGTAAACATGATGAAACAAATGTCTAGGATCAAACCACATTCCTGTCTTGCCTGTTAGCATCTAAGTGTATCATACACTGGCCACTTTCTACTAGTATCCATTGGCTTCAGAGTCTCCCTGTGGTATACTAAACAGACTGACAAATCCATGTTTCTTTCATAGGCGGGTTCAGAGTGAGTCTTCAACCGGCTCAGTAAGCAGTAATAAAGTTCGGACAATGTTGACCATCCAGGTGGAAGGTGTGGAATATGATACACAGGCATGTGTTCTGAGAATCAAGGGAAGAAATGTCCAGGAAAACCAATATGTTAAAGTACGGTTATGTATAAAAGTGATCTCCCACAAAGAACAAAATTTGCATAGTTAAATCCTATTTAACTCCTATTTAACTCAGAAATACACAACTCTGATTGGCCAATTCTGTCCTTAACTACAGTTAAAAGTTAACTAGCTAAGTCTTTTATATGGTACAACTGACCCTAGACCAATCCATACAGAAAAGGTTTAACATAAAAATCCATAAAATCATTGTGCTACCATGCATTTTTTTATAATTCTAGATGGGAGCTTATCACACCATAGACTTGGAACTCAATCGAAAATTTACGCTTTCAAAAGACCACTGGGATTTTGTAGCTCTGGAAAGAATAGGTACTGAATAATTTCTAGCATAGCCTTCTTTTCAGCTGGGTCTCATCCACGTTCTTCCTGATCTTATTCATGTCTTTGATTTGTGTTATTACATGATGAATTGACCTAAATTGATTCTATATAAGCTGACCCTTGAGGCCATTTCTCTTTGTGAATATTATGCTCAAGTTTATATCTGATCCTATGTTTTAGATTTAGCATGTGATCCAACACAGCATGCTGATTTGGGAGCAGTTATTATGCATGAAGGTCTTTGTCATGTGTGTCTAATCACAGCCAGTATGACATTAGTTCGTGCTAAGATCGACATGAACGTCCCCAGGAAACGAAAAGGTTATTGTGGGCAACATGATAAGGTATTAAATATTTCAGGCCTCTGTTGGACATTGCCTAGTGAAATGTGTACATAGCATTTCTGAACCAACTTCTATAGAAACATTCCTTGTATCTTTAACTGAACTAGCTGTTAGTCTGTCACGATTATATAGCAAAGATTATAAACATTTTCTTTTTTAGGGGATAATGAAGTTTTATGATGCAATTATTCAGGCAATTGTTAGACATATCAACTTTGACAGTAAGCATACCAGAAGATATTAGATATGTAGTAATAAGTATACATTTGGGTTTGCTAAGGCATTGCTTTAGTTCAAGTTATACCACAGAGGAAATATAGCTGTATTTGCCAGATAGCTCAGTCTATGAACTCCTTTGTGTCTCTCCTAGTTGTCAAATGTGTTCTCCTGGGAAGCCCTGGTTTTGTCAAGGTAACAGTACAAAGCATATTTTCTCTAAACATTGTATTACCTATTCAAAAATTCTTCTAGTATATTACAGCAAGATATATCACATATACATTGTACCTTTGTATAGGATCAGTTCTCAGAATACATGTTCAACCAAGCAACCAAAAATGATTTAAAAGTTCTCTTGGACAATAAGTCGAAATTTTTATTGGTAATTTGCCTTTAAATGAAATTGGTATCATAGAATAGAATTCAATGCTCTGGATGTAAAACAGTTTTTCACTGATATTTCAGGTGCATTCATCCTCTGGCCATAAACATGCTCTTAAAGGTAAAAAAATTTTAACTGTTTGACAGTTGTTGTAAGATATGCTGTTGAGAAACAACCAAACAAGACAACTTCATGATTCTTGAAGTTACTCTGCTAGCAGCTCCCTCTTTGTTGCTGCTCAGGGTTAATTTTTCACGAAGACCATTATTTCTTTAGAGATTCTCTCAGATCCTGCAATTGGTGGTAGAATTTCAGACACCAAGGTAATGAAAACAAGGCATTTGAGTGAATGATAAATCCTCATAAATACTGATAAACGCATGTCTGGTTTTCAGGCCAGTGAGGAAGTAAAAGCGTTGGATAATTTTTATCAAGTTCTTCAAAATGACCCTGATCGGGCGTACTATGGGTGAGCACAGTTAGAAAATCTTTCCATTCATTGCAGTACTACAACTAGTGCAACTTAGTGTTAACTGTTGCTACTGAAACTAGCCTGACTAGTCTAGTACTTACTGCTTTGCAATGTTTTATTCAGTGTTTCTCTTTCAACCTGACTCAATGTCAGTTGATCATTGCAGTACTGCTAGTCACACTGAGTGTTGACTGTTGCTACTAATACCAACCTGACTAGTCTAGTATACTGCTTTGCAATGTTTTATTCAGTGTTTCTCTTTCAACCTGACTCAATGTCAGTTGATCATTGCAGTACTGCTAGTCTGACTGAGTGTTGACTGTTGCTACTAATACTAGCCTGACTAGTCTAGTACTTACTGCTTTGCAATGTTTTATTCAGTGTTTCTCACTTATTTTTAGTGTGAAACACGTTGAGAGTGCGAATGAAGTGTTGGCCATAGAGACATTGCTTGTGTCAGATGAATTATTCAGGTGTGAATTTTGCGTTACTTTAATACTGAAACAAATATCTTTGGGTTGTGGCTCAGTGTAGGTAGTATTCTACAATAAGAACTACCTGAGAAAGATATCTAAAACGTGGTGGTCCAGTGTAGGTAGTATTCTACAATAAGCTGTCATGGTTTGTGTCTGAACTACCTGAAAAAGATATCTCAAACGTGGTGGTCCAGTGTAGGTAGTATTTTACAATAAGCTGTCGTGGTTTGCGTCTGAACTACCTGAAAAAGATATCTCAAACGTGGTGGTTCAGTGTAGGTAGTATTTTACAATAAGCTGTCGTGGTTTGTGTCTGAACTACCAGAGAAAGATATCTCAAACGTGGTGGTCCAGTGTAGGTAGTATTCTACAATAAGTTGTCGATGTTTGAACTACCAGAAAAATTAAATTAAAATTCGTATCTATTTAGAGCTAACGATGTAGCGGTGAGAAAACAATACGTGAATTTGGTTGAAAGTGTGAAAGAAAATGGCGGAGATGTAAAGTAAGTTGAAATGAATATATAAAATATGATTTGAAAGAAACACTTTCCAAGTTCTAGTTTCCTCTCGTTGTTTCACTAGAATATTCTCAAGTCTTCACGTGTCAGGAGAGCGTAAGTCCTGTGATTTATATCTTAAATGCAAAACCTTTGAAATATGGCATGCCTGAAGAATTTCCACAAATAGAAATGTGTTTGTGCTTCAATATGATATGACAGTCTTCTGCCCGAATATAGCTCTATCTTACAGTAATATCTTTCATCGTAATTATCGCTACTCTGGTTTTAATAAATAGAAAGTAATCACCACACAAAGATTAACTTTCACGACCCAACGTTTTGAAACTCCGGTCTAGTGTCTTCATCAGGGAATAAAGACACTAGACCGGAGTGCCGAAACGTTGGGTCGTGAAAGTTAATCTTTGTGTGGTGATTACTTTCATTTATTAAAACCAGAGTAGCGATAATTACGATGGATTATATACCTGGTTGCCGTAAACTCATTAAATTCAATTCGTTGCAATTGAGTAATGCCTTTTTTAGAATTGGGTCAGTTGTCGGGTGTGGCAGCCATATTAAGATTTCCTGTTCCAGACATAGTGGATGACGATGAAAGTGACTCAGACTAAACTAATAATAATGCCGGTAATGTATGTAAAAAAAATCATTATATAAATTTATGAAGTGAAAATATATATAATATACATCAGAAATGTATTTTGAGAGGAAAGCTGGTTTTAGGCTTTTTATGGTGATTCTCTGACCAGTGTCAGAGAATACTGTGTGTTTTTTCTATTTTGGCGAGTTTTAATTCCTGGATCACTGCCACTGGAGAAGATTAATCGCATATTTACTTGAAGTCCTTTACCGTTTTTTATTGTCATCTTTTCGCTCGTTTTCCGGCGTTTATAAATATGTTCCTGAAATGCTTCACAACTTTTATGCGAAGTTTTTATGACTATTGTCATTCCACGACAGTCCAGCGAATTTCGAGATCAGTGAGAGATCCACGCGCCCACGATTATTGATGATTTATCGATCCCATCATGCTTTAGCCTACAGCTTATAAGAGTAACTGATCTATAAAGATTGCACTGTACTATGCCCAACGAACGAAAGCTAGCTTAAGGGTGGGGGGGGGTAGCAACACAGGGGGCGAAAACCCGAGGTACGAGGTTGGGGGTAGGTGCTTTTGTCCACATTTTTTTGGTACCGTCAACCACCGTGCATATTATGGTAATATTTTGCCAGTGTTATGGTGGTTGTTATCACCTATTATAAAATAACATGTATATAACGCCTGTTCTGATTGGTTGAAGCCCGTGTTTGGATCAGGCCATCCAAACACGGAAATTTCGTGGGAATTTAAAAACAAATTTATAATGGTTAGTTATTTTATAAAACAATTACTTAATGGTTTCCGTGTTTGGATGATCTGATCCAAACACTTGGGAATGTTGCTCGAGTTAAGAAAAGCTCGCAAAACACTCGCCTTCGGCTCGTGTTTCGCGCGCTTTTCTTAACTCTCGCAACATTCCCGCGTGTTTGGATCAGGCCATCCAAACACGGAAACCATTAAGTAAATGTATATTACCACGCTTTATTATAGAATTATATCTGAAAAAATACAACCAAATGGATCTTTTGCCTTTTGGAGTTTTACTTTTTACACTTAAAACTTGCGAAAAAATCATATTCTATATAAGATAAATTAAAAAATATCTTGCACAAAAACTATAAAACTCACGCTATTCTGCTCCATAAAAACGTGGTGTAGCAGGTTGTGTGTTTATATGCAAGAAAATTAATGTAAACAATACCATTAATGGAAATACTGAACAAATATGTACGAGCATTAAAAATAAAATGGCCGGGCATTCCTGTTTCTTTTGTGTATTTTGGAGATTTCGCAAGGGACGATGTGTTCAAACAGACAGTTTACGGTAGTTTTTAGACGCTTGGTTAAGCTTTACAACAAAATCGGCTTAGGAGATTGAATTACTCATGAATATTTCGAGCAAACTTTTCGACACTAACGGGCATTTGTTGCCGCCGGAGAAAACCAATATCAGACCTCTCGATCCACTCACGAAAGGCCGAGCAAAGAGTCCTTCCCGTCGGTCACCGTCAAGACTTGGGAGGCAAAGCTCAGGAAGCGAGCTGAAACTCCCTAATTTTGTGCAGGAAGTAACTCAAAACTCCGAGTCCTCGGGTGATATCCGTGTGGCGAGCCCAACGGCTGTAAGAGCTGAATATTTTACTGTGGAAAAACATCGTATTTCAACGGATACCTCACCCAGTCATGGCAAACACTTGATAAATCACCATTTGGCAAAGGACTCGACAAGCAAGTTTAAACTAAGGTATTGTTCTTATCAGACTTCTGATTATTTGATATAAACACACTCAGTTCCTTGTTTTGGACCCATTCATATGCATTGAAATGAAACAATTATACACATTCCAATAAAAATTCGAATGATAGAAAAGTATTTCAGCTATGTCAAGTGCGAATATATTGAAAGAGATGCTGGCAGTTGGTCTTGTGTTGGTTGGTAAATATAACTTTGTTCTTTCATTTGACGCAGTGTGTTGTCTAAATCGAAGGGGAAATTCAAAATGGAGTCAGGCATTTCAAATGAAGGAGCTGTTGCATTAGAGGTTTGATCGATTGCTACATTTCACAAGATATATAAAGTAATAATCTTTGTTTACAAATGATCTAATCTAGCTTCAGATGTTTAACCAAAACAGCTTTATTAATAGACATTCAAAATTAGTTTAGTTGATATTCTTTGATCATATTAAGAATTCATCAAATTGTTTTGAGTTCCAATCGAATATTAAGGCCAATATTATCGCGGTATTAAAACTTATATGATATCGTTCAACCGAGTTTGAGATATGTTTGTTATACTGTAAGCTCAAGGAAGGAGTTTTATTAGTAGTTTGTTTAAGTGACTTATTCTGTAATAATCTACGTTTGTCAACTGTCATTGTGTTCATACAAAGCTTTGACATCCAATATCATTTTGAAATATAATAGTTTTATGATGGTAGCTTGATCCATCTCATATGGCCAGATCTCAAAGTGTTGATAAATATGCCATACCCAATTGCTATTGAGTTAAAAAAAACAGGGTAAAAAATAGGCATGTTATTCATAAGTTGAAACTTCTAATATATGGGAAAGAGGGGATTAATAATTTGATAAGGAAGTGAAGGAATGAAAATAATTGTAATTTGAGAAGTAATTATTAGGCATGTGACAATCCTCCTTCATTTCTTCAGCCTTATTCTTCTTCCTGTTTGAGAAATACTCGCTGGATGGCGGATATTTCTAAGAAAAATATATGTAACAACACATATTACAATACAGTCCAGTAAATTTCAAAGCACAAGGATAACAGTATTCAATTTTTCACTTGCATATTGATTAAAAAGTTGTTGGAAAAGCCAGTCTTGAGTTGGACAATAGAAGATGTTGGCATATGGCTGGATGAGATTGGTTTAAACAAGTTGAAAGAACATTTTATTGGTAAGTATCAGACCCACTTACTAGGATGTAAATCTTCATTTTACATAACAAAATCCTAACACTTGTTTTTTTAAACTAGATCGTAAAGTTTCTGGTAGAACACTTCTTAATCTGAGCTACGAAACACTTGGTAAGATGATTATTAGAATGTTTTACAAATTGATTGAATTACAGCTTATTTCTTATGATGTAAGCCTTATTAACATGTGATTTACAATTTGTCCATCATGTGATTTTGCAGAAGAACTGAATCTTTCGGAATCCAGTGAAGAACGAGAGCACTTCCTCTCAGAGGTTTATCATCTTCAGCAGGAAAGCGGCCATATTGATGACGAAGAAGAACAAATGATGGACAAAGAAATTGAAGGTCTGTGATGCTGGAATATTTGTCTTAGAAACTAGAAAGGAGACACAAACTATGTATTCACTTGTTTGAGGCTACAACTGTTCTATAGTGACTTTAGTTGTAATGCATGATCAATGATCATCATATTTTTAATAAATCAATGATCATATCACCTGAAAATGTATTTATATATGATAAAATGCCATCTTCATTAGATTGTGTATATAGAATTTGTTTATAAATTCTATCTAATATGAGTGGGACATGCTTGAGTTAAATTATTTGTTATTGTTTCTGAAGCTCTTCAAAGTGGGTTAAGAAATTGTTTTCAACCAAAACACCTTCATATCATTCAGCATCAAAATACAACGCTCTTTCCTCAATATAGAAACATTAAGAGGAGGTGTAAATGGACAAGAAAACGGCCATGACCGGACTCATATCTTGGTGAGTGGCAGCAGTGATCTCACACCTACTGATTCGTTCGCATCATCAAAAACGGCCAGCGACAATACACCCTCGCCTACGTCAGAAATGTCGAACGATGCAGTTCTAAATTCGAAAGACGAACCAGTTAGTCCTAAATCAACCGATCAAAATAAACCAGAACCGTCTCGTCATACCATTACAAGCAATCAGGTGAGCGGTTGTCTGCGATCTTTTCCATCTTTCCAACGGAGTCTTTTGTATCAGAAACTCCATAATTGCACATCTGGATCTTTCAATTCTTTCAACAAAAAAGGGAAATGATACATTATTTCATTTTAAAAGCTTTCGCCGACGAAAATAAGGGCGAAAAAGGATTCCTCAAAGCAAACATCGAAGAAAACAAAGCCTCGTGGAACAAGGTATGATCCGTGCCGAAAATTGTGGTAAAAAATTCCCAAATTCTCAGTCTGCATACCAAGGGATATAGCCTAATATTCCAGGTAAAACAAGGAGCTATCTAGAAAATACATTCCTTCATTTGTTTACCTCTGTGGTCAACAAGTTGATTTGGGACCTCTTTACCACTATGTGCGTCCAAATAATGAACGTATTCATATAAAATTTATTAATATTTTGCTGTTTGGTTCGTTTTTGTTGCAGAATTTCTCGTCTCTTCAATTCTCGCAGCAGTCACAAAGATCCGTCTCTGCTTAAAACGGCTCCTCCGATCTACAAGAATGCTTTTCACAATCTCATGAACACCGGACCACAAGGTGTCATCAAAGTTTGGACTGAAATGTTTCTCACAGACATGCAGTACGTCAGTTTGTTAGTAAAACACGAAGCAACCGCATTTGAAGTTATCAAGATGGTGTTGGAAAAATCAAACGCTAAAGAAGACCCGGAGTGTTATCGAATTTGTGAAATAAATGAACATAAAAAAGGTTGGTAATATCCGTGTATTTCTTTACGTATAAAACCAGACATGTACTAATGAAAAAAATACCAATTTCCTTGGACTTTTTCCCACTTAACACATGAGATGAACTCTGGAGATATTTCTTTATTGCAGAATATATTTTGGATCGAAATGAATGCCCGCTTCAGCGGGAAAGAAAGTGGTCTGACCCGGATAACTGTAGGTTTGAACTGAGATGGCGCAATGAAAGACTAATTGAGGTATTTTAATTTCAAGTCTTATGGTTGTAACATGCAATAATCTGTGCAGATAAATATACTAAAAGAATGGATGAAAATTCATCTTTCTATATTTTTTCTGTAGTGGGGATCCACTGCTGAAGATTTATCAAAGAGGGCGATTAATGAGGTGAGTTACAGCATGTGCGATTTTCGTCTTTTGATAGATGTGAACGAGTAATAAGTTACGAATGCTCTGATGTGTAAGAGCTCCTATTTGAACATCAGTAACTAATTCACTCGTTCACATCTATCAAAAGAGGAAAATCGCGTATTAAATCGCAGCAAAAATTGCAAGTGTAAACTGGTCTTTCTTAGCCAAAACTAAGGTGGTTTTAACGGAAGTATACATGGACCTCAGACACAGAAATGAACGATGCATAGCATACTCCCTCCTCGTTCAAATCAAATATTCTGATATGTCCAGTTATTTAAGATATATTTGTTTTTAAAGGAACCTCCTCACCAGGGAAATCAGGACGAGGTTCAACCTAACAACACGTCAAGTCCTCCCTCGAGTGTTTCCACATCAGAGGGGGATTCTCCTTTATCCAACGAGAAAAAACGCAATAATGTCATGGAAACTGAGTTTGCTTATGTCGTGCAATTGGATAACGAGAAAGAGGAGAAAGAGTCTGAAATTGATACGAGAAAGTCTGAGGTCAAAGAAGAAACTACCCCAAATGATTCCCAGAATGCTTTAGACCCCTATAAAGCTGGTGATCCAGACTCTCTACAAAATGCTCCTGTGAGACTGGTTTCCTCGTGCCCTGATCTTTCCAAGAAAGATGCGATTGATGGTGATCCGGAATACGGGAATCTTATTGTTTCTAAGAATTTTGGTTTCTTGAACGCTGAAATGGCTGACCTAACGGCTATCGACGATGAGCCTACGACAAATCTCGATAGCTCGTCGTCCTCCTCGGAAGAAATCGACACCTCACCGACCGTTAACGAGTTTGAGTACTCGCAGCAGCTTCGTAGATCTTCGAAGCGGCTATCCGACCGTTTGAGGTTTCAAGGAAAGCCGATCATTGAGGGACAGGCGGTTGAGATAGGGATAAATGCGAGCAACTTGGATGAAACGAGGACAGTAAAGGATAGCATCGATGGGAACGATGGTGAAATAGGGAAGAATGGTGGACTATCAATTGATAGAAGTGAAGGTAGTAATGGGTTACCAGGGGATCTTCTTGAAATTACCCGAGCAGATTTGAGCGCTGGAGGGGAAAATGCCTCGGATATTTCCGAGGCAAAGGTTGTTATGAATGGGCATGCGCATGTAGACGAGACCACGGTAGAGCAGCCTGGGAGTGAGGCAGCGCTACCTGGGAACGAGGTCTCCCCTCCTGTAATTTCGCCAGAAGTTCTGAAAAGGATCGAGGAACTCGAGAATGAAAATTTACTTTTAATCGAAGACAATCGTGAGCTAAAAAAGAACTGCAGAACTTTTGAGGGAAGAAGCCGACTAAAAGAGCGGGAATTAGAAGAAATGGAATTAGAAAAGAATGATTTGACCCATCAGGTGCAACACATGGCTGTCGAGCTACACTCGTTGAGAGCGACCAACACCGAACTTCGTGCGGAGGTTGACGAGGCCAACACGAAACTTGGTGATGTCGATGGCTGGGTCACGCGGGACGTGTTCGAGGATATTCGTGGACAGTTGTCCGTGAGCGCCGAGGAATGCGATAAGAAAGATGAGGAAATTAGAGAAATTGAAAAGAAATGTAAAAACCTAGAAATGGAGAATAAGAAAATGCAGGAACTTGAAATGGAAGTGGATAAACTTAACGAAAGAATAAAAGAGGACGGGAAAGCGACGGAAGAGACAAGAAAGAAGTTGAGAGATAAGGAAAAGAGTGTATTAGAGCTCGAACTGAAAGTTGAAACATTAGAAAATTCCTTACAAGAAAAGGAAGGCAAGTTAGCTGAAGTGGAGGCTGAGGCAGAGGGTTTACGGAAGACTGGTGCAGAGGTGAAAAAAGATTTGCAGAAGAGAGTTTCTGATCGGGAATACGAGATCTTGATTATGAAGGAAGAGAAAAAGGAGCTTTGTGTGAAGATGAAAAGTTTTGAAAGCAATGTAGAAACATTGCGAGAGGAAATGAAGAAAAAAGACGCAGAACATGAAGAAGCCATTGCTGAGATTGAACGACAGACCGCCATTAAAGATGAGGTGTGTTTTTGTCATGTAGAGTTTTATCATGTTCTTAAAGATAGCAGCTATATTAGCTCTTCTTTAGGGACCTTCATCTTCCTAAGTTCATGAACTTGAATTCATCACAAGCCCAGCATATTCCGCTTGACTTGACGAATGCTGAATATTGGTTATATTTTATAACAGCAATTGTATGCCATTTTTACAGAGTCTTTCGGTGATGGTGTCCAATCTCGAGGAACTTGTAAACGAAAGAGATATGAGAATCAAGCAGTTGAAAAACCAAATTGCGCTCTCGGTAAGAACATACATTTTGATGGAAGTTCTGTTGTTTTTCACTAGATACGATTTGTCAATGAACCTTACTTTACAACACGAACTACCTGTGTGGGCATCGTCAGCATAAGCGACTATACTAACCGCTTACCTTTCTGTTCAAGGGCACGCCTCAAAGTGAACTGGAAGCGAGAGAACATGAGTACGAGCAGAATAAGGCGTATCTGAAGCATTTGATTGCTTTAGTCCGTGAAAAAGACCCGACAATTTTGGACGGCTTGAATAAGAGCCTCAGTTCCAGGTAATGTCGCAATTAATCAACTGATCTCATGCTACACTGGATTTAGCAACTGTTACACTGTAGTTCTTTTCTTAGAATTATAAGACCTGCTAAATAATTCTAGAATTCCTGGATATTATAGTCAGTAGAAGACACGAGTGAATTGACTGCTTTATTTGTTTAGAGACTCTGAAGACTGGTGTTAAAATCATCAGTCATTTTGACTCTCCTGTCATTATTTCACGTGATCATCACATGCAACATGCAATACGAATCATCATTGAAAGCCTCTGTAATACGTAGTATTTAAAATTAGTTTTGTAATATGAATAATTTGCGCCTAAGATTGTTATAAAATAACTATTTGTTGAGACTATTTCACAAGTTGAGTTGTATTTAATTGAGGTTATTTACTTGAAAATGGTTGAGTTGTATTTGTAGACGTCCAGTAGCCCAGTTGTCCAGTTACGTATTGCGGTCTGCGCTGCATGCAACTTACTGTACTATAGATATATGCTACAATTGGTGTGCATGTATCACAGACTGCGATATTAAACTGGACACATACTTCTAGCTTACTTAAGGTAGAGATGTCAAAGGGCCTTGAATCAAATTGGTTGGTAATGCAACAGTAACAGCGGAGAAATTAAATTTATCTCCGACAATTCAAATATATGGTTCATGTGTCTTCTAGCTGATTATAGTTAGACAAAAATCATTACAGCACGAGTAGTTTTTCTAGAAAGGAATATAGTATTTTATATTTTATTACGCACAGAATACATCAAAATTTTATACTAGGGACATAATATCTGGAATAATATGAAACAGTAAACTGAACAACTTTGTTTGTCTTTTTCATTTAAAACATTTATTATTCATAAATACGATTATGCTTAAATCCAGTTGATAACTTAAAACGTCCTAGTTAAACTTACACCAAGAATTCTTGTAAATATTCCTCCCTATATATTACGACCAAAATTATTCCTAAAAGTTTCTACAAGCGCCCCCCCCCCCGGCGAGGAAAATAAGTATATCTCAGACTCTCAGTATGTCTATGCTTAGGAGTGGCTAAAAGTTTGATAGCCCCCCTGGCTGTCGACGTTCAGCGACGGATTTTTCCGACGGCGCCACGTGAACAGCGCGATGAGCAATACCCCGACCAATAACGTGACACCAACTGTAATTCCGGCCGTTGCACCTGCGCTCAGGCTGCCACCCTTCGATGAGCCGCCTTCTTGTTCTTCCTTTTGTGCTTCCATTCTTTCCCGGAGGTTTTCAACAGCTCCTTTTGATGGGTTGATTTTTCGTAATGACATGTTCATTGACATGCTAAAGTGAAAAATAGAAGAGTGTCAGCTTTGTCGCTCGCATTCAGTTAATATAAAGAGATCTGTGGCGAAGTAAGGTAGGGTGCCATACATTATGCACAATCTACCTTAGAGTCAGTTCCATCCATTTCTCTTTGTGGGCATCAAAACGTACGAAAACCTTGTTTGTGTCATTGTTTTCAATCATCAGCGGGAACATAACTGCCTTGTTTCGACTGGGTTTCCTGTGGAACGGAGGTCGCTTGATGGTTGGTAGTCCTTGTGACGTCAAAAAGTTTGCTTTGGTACAGTAATTGATTTCACAGTCCTCATCAATCACTGCCAGATGTTGCGAGTAGCCGCGAGGGCAATGCTTCGGAAATGCTGGAGGTCCATTACTCATGACATACTTAACCAAACCTGAAAAATGATTCCTTTGTAATGAATAGCTTTATCAATTCTAAACTGTTCTTCCTAGAGATCCAGTAAGGATCATCTCTCATTGATCCAGTGTTACTACAGGAGGAAACCTAAACTAAACTAACTTTATTTGTACTGGATAGCTCTTTCAGTTCTAAACTGTTCTTCCTAGAGACCCAGTAAGGATCATCTCTCATTGATCCAGTGTTACTACAGGAGGAAACCTAAACTAAACTAACTTTATTTATACTGGATAGCTCTATCAGTTCTAAACTGTTCGTCCTAGAGACCCAGTAAGGATCATCTCTTATTAACCCAGTGTTACTACAGGAGGAAACCTATACTAAACTAACTTTATTTATACTGGATAACTCTATCAGTTCTAAACTGTTCTTCCTAGAGGTCCAATAGGAATCCCCATTTTATCTCTTGCTTGTTCCACTGTTTTTAGTGAAGAGAAGAAATTACCTTTACGAGAGGTCATTGCCAGGGGGTTGCCAGCTGAACAGCTCATAAAACCACCGAATGGAATGCTATACTGGGCTCCCAGCTCATAATCATCACTGATACATACATACATATCTTTAGGACCGAATCTCTGGGGGTAGTACTTGACCGGACACTTCTTAGCTTTGGTAATAATGTTATTAGTTGTGTCACTGTAAAGACCACCAAATAAATAACCTGGGAAATACAAATGCAGATAAATGAAGCACGTTGTTTGGGAGAAACATTCTTCAATTCATAACCCCACCTACCAGATTCCTGTGGGACACTCCCCTCCGCCGCACACCAGAAGGTTGAGTAAACTCCTCCACCGCAGTTTGTGTCACATGATCTAAAGACCCACCAACCATGACAAGAGGTTTGACAATGCGTAGCCAGCGTTCCATCGTGTAAGCGGATAGCCGTGTAACCAGCGGGGCAGCTAAAAAAACAAAAGGCTTTGAGCGGATCTTTCCTGGTTTCTATGCACTGGCTAATTTGCCGTCACAAGACTCAAAGTTCAACGTTTATTTCCACCCCTTTATAGGTAAAATCATTCCGAGTTTCTCATGTTACCTGTATCCTTGTGTCTTGGGGTTTTTCTGCGTGTAACCCACACACGGGTCGGAAGGTGGTGAGCCAGTTGGTGAGCAGGTCTGGTAAACTCCTCCAAATGTGAAATTGGTTAACAGTGTCTTGCAGGAATGGTCGTCTAAATTCGCTTGGAAGTTGAAGTTTGGCGAGTCCGCATCAGTGCAACCTGAAGATAAAAATGATGTGAAGGTTTCTTGCTCTCCTCTTTTAGAAAACATGGCCAGGAAATTATATTTTGTACAAGAAAACAACTTCAAGATCGTACCTGTAATGGCGTTATTTTTGTAATATCTTTGAAGCGATTTCAAAACCAATGCACTCAACTTGAACGTTATCGTCTCGGGTAGTTCAGGCAGAGCTTCAGTTGTGATGAGGTAATGCAACGGGTCTCCTTCCCGATCGATAGCTACGAGATTATTTACGAGATTTTCCTCCCAGTATGAAATGGAGAAATTGTCGCGAATCGGAGGACCTCCGTAGGTGTAGACTGAGGAATCCATGACACTCTTTTTGTATGTGTCGCTGACTGTGTGCGTGTTTAAGTGAGAAACCGATCCTGATGCCCCAAATGTTCCAAAGAACGACGCGCTCGCTGAAGCTGTGAAAATATAAAAGACAAAATGAAATTGGAATTGTAAGACTTAGATATTTCTCAGGTCCAAGAGAAAACCTGGGAGTTTGATACAGAAAACATTGCCCTTAATGTTACACTATGTTTTCTAAGGTGGGAGGACTTCAGTCTTCATGGAAGAACAACAGTTCTTAAGGTAAACCAAATTTCATTTCAAGAAAAAGCGTGGTCTTGTGAAGACCTGTGGGAATCACACTTGGTCCTGGTTTTGCATCGATACCAAATGTTTTCGTTTTCAACGAAGCAAATTCGTGTTCCGCAGTAATATTTTCATGGATGACGAACATGAAAACATCTGAGGAACCAGCAACGTTTTGTGAATGTCTTGTTGTAGGAAATATTGTTTTCAATGTCTTGGCAGCAATGTTTTTTTGGTCACTCAGAACTTTGGACTTGTTCTGTTATACATACAAGTACTTTTTTTTGGGAACAGCACTTCTGGAAGACACTGACCTTTCGTTTCCTGTCGAGTTGTGTCCTTAGATGCGATGTACGTTTTCAGAATGTGATCCATCTTGGCCAGAACTCCCCCTGAGTCAACACGCGTGATGTAGTGCGTGCCGTAATCACGCACCAAGATATCCGCAAGGAAACGAGCCACGCGCATGTTCTTGTTCTGAAGATGCGCGGCAATATCCAGAAGCCTGGTCTTGAATTTCGGGTGGAGTTGTGGATCCGGTTGAAGATACGCAGCGTACATTCGATATCGCAGGGTGACCCTAGAGGTGACCGTCTTATCTTCCACCTGAAGAAAGTACGCAGTTATCATTACCTAGAACTTGCGCTAAGGTTTTTGCCCAAACTCACGCTAGTTTTGACACAGGTTTTCCTGATCTTGTATTGTAAGGATCCCGCTCAATTTGAAGCTGGTGAGATGATATCAGTTTGACAGAACCTCGTGCAAGTCCATGCCTTGCTTTTCGTTTTAAAACAGGGTTCCACTCAGGAAAATTATCCTCAGAATCGGTCTGGACAGGAAAGTTGTTATGTCTTTCAGCTCTCGATCACAACAATGAGATTTTGACACAATTAATGCATTCTGTCCGATCCGGTCCGGTCCTGAGGTTTATCTTCCTGAAAGGAAACCGGCTTGCATCCATTTTGCATGGACTCTAGAAGTTGAGCGACTGATTTCATTCACGGCAATTCTTTGTTTAGAAATTATATGAAACATGAAATAACATGATTCATACGCGAAATGTATTTTCATAACATCAATCATTTTTCTCAAATGAAGGCGAATATCATATTGTTGTTTTTGTTTTAAAAAAAACTCCTGTCACGCACGGCTTGTGCAGGGTTCCGGCAGAATCCGGGCTACTGACCTGGTGAGTCTTAATCTCACTATATTCTGAGGAAAACGATCCGCTAATGCTGCCAAAAAATGACTCGTGAGCTTCAACATTGACCGTTGTTGAAGTCGTTGAGGTGAAGTTAGTCCAGTGATCGATAATTTCGGAAAACAGCGACGCTTTGCTTTCTTTGATCGGTGTAACAAATACGTCGTCCGGTATCAAATATCGTCCGTCCTCGGTCGTACGACATTGGGAATAGTTGAACAATGCTACCATTCCCGATACACGATTTCGTAAATTATCCCAACCTAAACCGGGAAGTGTTTCAAGTCTTGGCGCGGAGTAGCCGCTCAAAATGCAGTTCCTGAAGTCGCCGATCGGAAAACTTGTCCTTAAACCAGAAGCTGGTGTCCCTGCATCTTTGCCTTGCGTTTCTTCAGCATTGCTGAAATTGACAAGGCAGAAAGCGAGCAAAATACAAGCGATACGGAAGCTGTGGAGCTCCATGTTCTACAGCTTGACAAAAATGATTAGCCTGTCAAATTTTCCAGCACTTTCCCTTTCGTGTTTATTTATGTAAATTTTTTTGCGACTCGGTCACAAGACCCAATGAAACATGATCCTTTCAAAAGGTTTTGCAATACACGGAAGTTATATTGCTTCTGTATCCAAATTTGAAAAATGAAAACACAATCATATGATTTGCAGCATGCAGAAAGTAACATGATTCCACAAATAACTTCGTGCATTGCTCAAAAACGAAAGTTCAGAGTCGCAAACAGTTTGACTCCAAATCATAAACAACGAAAATTAAATATTAAAGTTTAAATAACCAGTGTGAAAGTGAAACGAATATAAAATGAGCGTGAAACTCTTGTGGATTTAACTTTGTCGACTGAATCAAGTTGGGCGACTTTATTTTTCATCTGCGTATGTCATCAGCAGACGACAAACGTGAAATTCGTAGACATTCTGGAAGTCTCACATAAAAAAAAGCAGGCTCGGAGCACGTTGAAAGAGTTCCTAGCTTAGTGATGAATGCATTGTCGTCCGATCCTTTTTCCCAGAAGTAATTATCCCTTCCCCTCAACGCTATTGGATACAAGAATAAACTGAAAATGTTATTTTATTATTATTAATTATTTACAATTTCGATACGAAAACTCCCTAAAATATTTGTACATATATCCTTTATTTCTTTGTCCAACAACAACGCACGAGCCGATCAAACATAATGCTTTGAGAGTCCGTCTGTAAATTGACTTTACATTCCTCTTTTCTGGCAAAAATGAATTCTAGAAATCTTCATTCTTCGATTAAACGGGGTTTTATATTTCTTTCTGTCCTTTTATAGTGTCATGTTTTATGCGCGGGTAGGTCTGTGATAACACCAGACATTCACGACACGACTTCACTAATATTTCGCTTTCATACTGCACTTTTGGAGCGAGTAAGCTTTCACACTGCATCGCCAAGATCTGTATCTGTAAGAAAGATCAATAATGGTTATTATAGGCAGCTTAGTTTAGGTTTGCTCCTGTAGTAACACTGGATCAATAAGAGATGATCCTTACTGGATCTCTAGGAAGAACAGTTTAGAAATAATAGATCTATCAGTATAAAGAAAGTTTAGTTTTCTATCTATGGTAACATTCAATTTGAAAGACATGATCCTTATTGTATCCTTAGCAAGAATAGTCGTAGAACTGCTATGAACATCAAATAAAGTCTTCACTCACATTTTACTTTAGCCAGCTCTGCGATCTGAACAGCTCTTGTCCTATTTTCTTTCCATCTTTCATTTTCTTGAACATTCAAATCATTTCTATCGAGTGAATTTTGTAAAATGTCTGCATTCCTGCTGTTTAGTACCGCAGTTGAACGCCCGGAATTTGTACTCAAATGCGGGACACTCGTTCCGGCTGCTTGTCTGCAGCCTTCAGGAGCCTCGCGCACTCGTTCTGTCCATAAATTATCGCTCGTAGGAGTCGAATCATTGTAATGTGTCGTGTCTACCATATCATTTGTTGCTATAGATAAATTGTCACTATGAGAGTCCTCCAACGTGATGCTGTATACCATGCTAGAAGATGATAGAGGACTGGACGCAAAACAGCATCGAAAAACACTTCTGATTGAAGGAGAACAGCGACTTTCCGTTTTAATCCCATTTCCTTCTCGTTCTGAAAACACAACGTTGTCAAATTAGAGACCATGAAAGTCTGTGAAACTTGAGGGGGGGGGGGGGGGTGAGGGTTACACAGTGAAATATTCCGTAGGCTTTAGTTGGGAGTCGATTAGTTCAACTACTTACCGACAATATTTAGCATACACAGCGGGCACGTGTAATTCGTCAGTAACCAAGGATCGACGCATTTCAGGTGAAACTCGTGACCGCACGATACGATTCGGATTTCCTGGAGACGATAAAATTACGGTTATTTATAGAATGGTGTGATATCTAATATCTCTGCTCTGGTTGTCTGGCTCAATGTGGGGGATTCATTCAAAGCAGAGAGAGAGGGCGTTTAAGAAAAAATAGAGGGACGATGAAGCATTTTTGTAAAAGATGTCCAGGGAATATGAAGTATTATAAATGAAAGAAGCTCTCACCTGTCCTTGCCGGAATGGCTCTAAACAAATGACGCAAGAAATGCCGACCACGGAACAAGAATGACTTCCTAACGCTCGATCATGTTGTTTCTCTTTCATTTTCTTCACCGTCTCAACTTCTCGTTTCTCTTCGTATTTCTTTGACTCCATCTTAGAGACGGCATCATACGCCATCTTTGCCAACGAAGACTGCAATTTAAAATAGTAGTTGTAAATAAAATGCGGGGATAATCCGCGATGTTGGATTATTAAGAAGTTTTGCAAACATGAATGATTCTAAATTACCTCTTTCTTCGTCTGTTTCCACTTGATCTGGGTAGAAAAAAGGACGTACATTGGTAAACTGAGTGATCTCAGAATAGACGTTTAAAGATGATTTGTAAAAGCAATGGTGAGGGGAATGACTCACCTTTAGGAGAAGTATGAAACATGTGATGGTGATTAGAATAAAACACGTCATGAATATAACCATATCAACATATTCACCAGAACTATCCTGAAATGATAAATGTATGTAAATATTTGTTAATACTGCTCTCTATCTCTCTCTCTCTGCGAATATTATGCATTGCATTGTACAGCCTATGTCGGTCTAAAGGTAGCCGCCGTCACAATTTTACTTATGAGGGACGGGGAGAGCGGGGAGGGGACATCACTTCCCCCAGAGCACTGGGCGTGGCCCTTGACCAAAACTTCAACATGCGACGCAAATTCATGTACAGCGGTCTAAACAAAATGGCGGATCATTCACCTGGATTTTAAATCGTAAACATTTTGTATTATTTATGTGGAAATTATTGTTGTTTCAAGTGATGTGCAGAAGGAAATTCAAAGTAAGTATACTTTCCTATATATACTTTGTATTTCTGGTGTAATATATCATAATGGAACTATAAATTTTCCATTAATTAACGGTTGAAAACAATTTAGTTAAAAAATTATTTTTTTAGTTTTTCGGTGATCAAATAGTTTTTGTACAACTACAATGGTCTAAATTATGTCAAAGTTTACTAAAACCAACCGTTGTTTGATTCATGCGTGGCTTCCACGATATACGAGCTTTTAAAACATTTTGCCTGGAAGGAATATGAAATATAAAAATAGTTTACAGTCAATCATAATCTGACAAAACAAGTCGCATAGCCTGAGAGAAAACAAAAATGCAAGTGAAACGGCGTGTCATACCTTCTCACAATGGTCATTAATTTACGAGCATGTTTCCCACTGATTATTATGACTGGTCGTTGTATCAGTGTTTTCTGGGAATTTAACTAAATAAGAAAATATAGCAAAGATGATTTACCAGGGGTAATCTAAAGTATATCTTCAAGGTTTTAAAGTTAGAATGTAATATAGCCATATCATTCTCATATCATTCTCTATTGATTGACCTGGGTTTATTCGGTATTTGTCTCTTGGTATTTTTTTAAATGCCAGAAAATTTACTAGGGGTACATTACAGTTTGTGTTAATGGGTTATAGATCTGTTCCTTCTGTCTAACAGTCATTAAAACTTCTTAAAAAACTAAGTGATTCCTAGAGGACCTTAAATCATTTATAAGTATAATTTCCCCGACCAGCCCCAGTGTGGAAAGTTTGTATAGTGCAAACCGAGATATTGGGCATGCAATTTTGATATCTTCAATATGTTCACTAGTATATTTTTTAAATCTCGTTTGCACAGTTTGCATACTTTCCAGTCAGGAACCAGCTAGCCATTGGACATGCTTTTGAAGGAATTTGATCTGGGGGAATTATATAAAATTACAAATTTCAATTTGTGACTGATTATTAAAGCATGTGTTGGTTTGAATAGGACCTTAGTAGATTATGCTTATCAATTGGAGGAATTAAATTATCTGAGCTATATTCAATAACAATAAAAATAAAGGATATTAAACCAATGGCTGTGACTTCGTTTATGAAAATGCCTTCACAGACATTCCTTATTTCATACTAAGTATTTTGAATAAGATATTCACATTTTCTCTGAGATATTAGACATGCAAATATTGACCAACATAAGTATTGGATGAATATTTTTTGAGACAATCCTTAGCATTAATCTTATTTCAGTCTTGGTTAGCTGTTGACAAGCATATATAGTCCAGCCCATTTCATTTCTAATTAATTAAATCATGCCATGTTTTATGATCTAATTATAACTGTGAGATAACTGAAGATCAATTTATGAATTGAAATTGACATTCTGCTGGTGCACCATGATTTATGAAGCATCCAAAGACATCATGTAATGATTACATGACATTCTCAAGTCAAATGCAGATGTTGAAGTGACACCACACTGCTCTGGTCACTTCAAGATGCAAGAGCAGCGACAACATAGTTATCAAAATAATTTTATTTTTCATTCCAACTGCTGGTGCTAATTTAATGCCACCTGTGGACTAGCAGACCAAACATACCTCAGCGGCTGCACCCGGACTGTCTGTCACATCAAATATCACAGCTTTGGCACCCTTTTTCACAGCACCTAATGCCTAAAACAAACGAATCGTCACTGCATTATAATGATTTGAGAAACGTTTGTACAAATAAAACAAAGTCATTTTCAGCTCAGACAAGGCCAGCTGTAGTTAATTCTCAATGGTCTCCGTGTTTAATTCATACCTTTTGAACTGTGTCATTACATGATGGTGACTCCCTAGAGGGTACGGTCAGCTTGACCACGCCCACCCACTCGTCATCGTAGAGGGACTCGCCATTTGATATATTGCATAAGCCAAACGGACTGATCTAATTGCATGGGAAAACAGAATCAATAGTCAATTTGATTATTAGAAGTCCATTATCATTCATCTTCATTAAGGTGTTTTTTTGAGAAATCTGAATGTTCCAGATAGCCTCACGGCTATATCGTCTGTTTCTCGCGAGGGGTCACGGCTGAGAGATACATTTTTGCCCTTGCAACCTACTTTAGAATACCTAAAGGAGATTTGTCCCCTGGACTGCATTTTGCTTTAGGATTAAACCTTGGTTAGGATAAAGATTAGACCGATATACATCATATACTCTGTTTAATTTCAACACTTTCCCTAGTCTGCCACCGAATGTTATTATGACATGTCAAAGGCCTCGATCATTAGCTCAAGCGCTCTCCTGGATGAGTAAAATTTATCAGATTTATCCCTAATTTGTTCAAGTTAAATATGTTTATGATATCAGTTAAATGTCCCCTTTTTTAGAACTTCACGAATACTTCTCCTAACCCACAGTGTCTTTGCCCTTTGGTTTGGGACTTAGACAATCTCGCAGTTTCGAGAGACAATGATTTTATACATCAGTAAAAACACAATGGAAAGTGCGGTCAAAAGGGAGACACGAAAACAGACTTTAATCGCACGGGCGTCGTGGAGACTGATTACCCTTATTCGCATCTCGGAATTGAAAAGAATTCAAAATCGGTGAGTCGAATTAAGATTTCAATAAAGTGTGTTGCCCTGATGCAATTTACGATAACGCGCGTGGGATTGAGGCGTCAGCAAACTCGTGACATTTGCGCGATATACATTCCTCCAATACTCGGATGTAATTGATGAATGAAGCAAAAATTACGCACATTTCAATGGAAAGGCTTCGAACAATAGTCAATAGATGTCATCTTGCGAGTACGGAAAGTATTTTGATTTATGAATTACTCAGAATTGCTATAAAAAAAAGTGTGCGCATTATGCCGTCACGAACGTATTCTATTTCGCAAAAAAATCGATCCGACATTCCCGGTTTTGACGTTTCAATAGCCAGGGCAGCGACGGCAATTGAAATGCATGTTAAATGGAGTGTATTTCACAATAAAAATAGACACGAAACATCTTAGACCACCTGCTAATACCACATCAAGTATTCATTATCCTCTCACAGTATGCTTTTGTATTGAAAATTAAAAAAATCCTTTTCAAAATATGTTTTGAATTTGAAAATTAGACAAAATAAATGAAAACCATATGGACAAAAAACTGTGCTTTTTCTAAACCGTACAAATTGTCGCGCGCTGAGGAAATTTTATCGTGTTTTTATAACCCGTATCTTTGGATTCCACTTGACCTGATCTTAAATAATGTCAAGTGTTCTGTATCAGTTTAAGTTTATGACAGGCGTTATTTCATAATGGTATGGAAGTCGCTACGCTATTATTGACAAAGCGAATCAGTCTTTCATCTGTGAAAAATTCATACATGACTTACATCAATAATGGCACGATTGTTTTTTGGAAATTTTTAAAATTCATCGACTTGTCAGTTCTAAAGTATCTCGGACAAAATGAAAAAAAAGTTCACAGAACTTGCCGTATGTAAGCCGGTGTTTGTTCTTACAGTATAATTCCCAGTGTAGAGTTAAATAAACTAAGCGTTTAATGAAGTTCTTGGAGCGAAAAGTGCAAACAAGTAAATGCCGTAAATATGGCGAGTATGACGCGCAATGTTTGAAGAAAAAGCAAACAATTATTCGAGTGAATAATATGCCATAATTTACATATTTTATTGCCCGACTGTAATGTTTTGTCTACGTGATAACGAATTTTCGCACGAAATGCTTTAAATATTAAAAAAAAACTAGGGGTTGTGTAGAACTGAAAACAAAACCTAGCGCTCAAAATTCGAATCTAATTTGCTACATTAATTGCGTTCTAGAATGTACGGGATTCGGTAAGCGATATAATTGCAACTGTTTTGACCCGTACTGCAATCGGTAATAGTTTTCGAAATAATTTTCTGGGATTATTTGAAACACAAACAAAAGCGGAGTGTGAGATTTGAAAACTAAACATGTCACAATCCTTCATAAAACGCGTCTCAACTGCAAGCGGTGTTGTATAGTGTGCGTTCTGACTCGCGTTGAATCAATCATTTTTTTCAATAAAAAAAATGAGGTTTATATTTCATATTCCACCAGGTATCTTCAAGCGGTCCTTTTGGTGTTATCAAAATTAATTAAACTATAGTGTATAGTGGTTTTTATGAAGAAATACCGTATAGTTTTCAAACAATTCCAACGCTAGACAGGCCTGGTCAACACTGTCAGAGCTATTTTTGTAAGACAATACAGCTTGTGAATCATAAACCTTCATTCAAAGACGTGATATAGTTTCTAAGATCACAGCAAATAAGCCATTCTTTAGAAGGACAATGTTTTGCGACGTCTTAAATCGCAATAATTTCTCAGCTCCAGACTACTGCTAGCTAAATTATACTCATAATTCAAATATATTTCATTAAACCCACAGAGAAAGTATTAAAGAATATTGCTCATTACTATATTAGCACGTAATATCACTTTTTAACTGGGATGTTTTCTCAAATTAAGATTATCGGGGAAAGCAAGTCTTGCATATATATATACATAATACATTTCACCCAACTAACTCGGCACGGATGTACTTTGGTATGAAATCTAGACGTGGTTTGCCGCGAGTTAGAACAATCATAGCGATATGCATCATTATTGAGCTGGGCAAATACGAAAGTCAAACAATAAACGCGCTCAAAAGTATTGATATTTGCTAAGCGAGATTTAAAAAACAAGCAATAAATCCGGCATCCCTGAGACAAAATACCGTCTCGTGGTACAGATCACTATAGCGCCACCGGGCAGTGTTTGACGAGGTCAATTTGCACATAGACCTTACTTAGCTTGGCCACCTTTTGGGGCATAAATATTGGCTCTATACGTTGGCTCCATTGTGTCTAGTCGGGTTTATATGAATATTACAATGAGAGATAGAATCAATATCGTTGTTGTCTTGCGTTTCTGCGCTTTTACAGAACCCCGTTGTGGCGACGTTTTGAAGGAAACGCACTGTGCTTGACATCAGCTTTTTAAAAACTGTCAAACAGCTGGATTTGGTAGCAAAACTGCGTGTTTTTCTTAGCACAAAACAGCGCAACATTACCACATGTTTTCACCAGTCCACGATAATGAAGTCAGCATGTTTCGAGAACGCGAGAGAAGCGTAAAACTTATGAAGTAAATTACGAAAACGGAATCAAGCATGAATCGTATTTATGAGACCTTAACCTTTGATGTTTATACGCAACGATGTTTTGCTTTGCCTGCAGTTGTTTTTCAAACGAATTTTCGCAGTATGAAATCACATAAATATTGTGAAAATTTCTCGAGGATATGGCTGTTCTGAATTAATCTCAGCGGGAGAGACAGTGTTGTTTTTCAGTTCAGGAAACACTGACTGTCATATAGGGCCAGAGGCGAGGACAGACGGCTTAAGTAGAGCTAAAGTACTTGTCAATAAGAAGAGAAATTCAAGGCCAATATATTACCCTATATCCTGACGATCTAGCTTCCTGTAAGGGTCTGAGCTCAGACACAGCGCACTTGTTATCAGTCCGGATAAAAAAAACATTTGACCGCAATCTGCTATGGTTTTGCCGTTATAGTCAGTAATGATGCCGGCTGGAATAATATCACTAATATGCCACTGCATTTTATCCCTACCTATGGCATGTCAAAACTCTCAACTCATATTGCTCGCTGTTCTCATGACATCAAAGTATCGATTTGAACGTCTAATTGTTTTCAAAGCTGTTCCATCGGTCCGTTTAAGGGATCAAATTGACATTTAAGATGTTAGATGAGGAGAATATAGCGAGATTGAGTTTAAGGGAATAGGTTTTGTCTAGGAGTATTTTTAGTCAACAGTCAACACTCCAGCGCTACTGACCAAATATGTACAGGAAAATAGACATGAACAGCATGCATTAATGCAAAGATCAGGGAATATTACGCAAAATGCTATCATTAGTTGCATATTCTTCAGTTAAAACCACGCTAATTTTTAAACCAACATTTTGACGTGGGCTCCCACTTCTCGAGTTTTTCAATACAGCCAGTTGAAAGCGAATTATTTATATTCGTTCGTGTAGCCAATGAATCGCATCAAAAATAACAAAATATGGTAAAGCATTCAATAAACGGTCATAATTGTCATGTTTATGATGAAATATTTTCATACGATTACTGCTGTGAAACGCAGGAACTATACTCGTATATTGAAGATCTTCGTTTCCATATTCACCTAGTGCTTTCCAACATGATATATATCTCTGAAGTGGGTCAATGTGATAATATAAACATAAGAAGAAAAAAAACCCCTGACCTTATGCAAGTGCGGAAACTCGCCGAATGGTTTAAATATGGCTTTGTTTGGTTAGTATGTACCTGTGTGTTTTAAGAAAAAAAAACCCTACCACAAAGAATATGTCTACCTCTGTTGTTAGCAAAGATATGAAATGACAATTCAGGATAATTCCTCATTTTTGCGAGTCGAGTTAGGTATAATACTCGAAGAGAAGACAGTCATATTTCTTTTAAATCAAACATTGTCCTATATAACATGCAAATATGTTTGAGTTTACACACATTTGTCCCAAATCAGTTTAAGTAACGACGTGTAATAATTTTGAATATTTTAAGTTAGGAAATGCCTTCAAAGTATTCAACTAACTGTCTCGTATTGAATCGGCAGCTTTGTCGTCGCTACTCGTAAATATAATTGTTGCCAATGCATTTAAATTATTATGATTTGTGCACTTTCACATACGCAAACACGCACGCACACAGCAAAATCATAATATCGGGGTCTTGTTAGGACTCCATATTAATAAAAGCAGATAAAAAAACCTCAAAAAGTATGCAATATGTCTGAATAATATACCCGCGGCAAAGTGCTACCTTGAATTACGGTTAATTGCTACATTTGCAGAAGTTAATATGCGTTCGAATCGTGCTCGCATCTGACCCGTGACAAATAATCATGTCGGCATTCTTTTCGATGTTTTGCCGACATGAGCCACAGATCGTTAAAATTAACGATGAGACAACACACCCGCCTAGCTAAAAAACGTGCAAAATCGTTAAAAAATACTGATTGTCTTTCGGTATGCGGCGATAAACGTCCAAAAATAACGAACCGGTAACTACTTGACCGAAAGGCATTTTTCAAGTGCAGCCAACAAATCCCTTTTATATCTGTCATTTTATGAGGGTTCTCAAATTATTTGAAGTGCCAGTCCCGGTCATTGGCTCAAATCGGAGCACGGACGCACACGTTTAGCGGCTTGTAAACAAAGCAAGTTTCCTTTGAGTTAAAGTTGCGTGTTGCACTGGAGCAACGATATATATAACAACAACACAGCCAACCTACCTCAAAGCCAACATTGCCTAGTTTGTAAGCCGATTGTCACGATACGGAGAGTGTAATATTATCGAAGCTAAGTGGTTTTGAAGTATGCCAGCGTACAATCGCTTTTAAAGCCGTTAACACAAATAAATAAGCCATATAGGTGACGCGGAAGAGCTCCAGATAGAAAAAAAATAATAGTGGAAAAAATGAGAGCAATTTTGATACATTTGTGTGATCGAAAATAAAGGATGTTGACCCTCGTATGACATTAATCAAGTATAGCAACAAATTTCACGTTATCTGTTATTGCTCGTATCCAGCATAGCTTGATATATATACTGCATAAGTATTTGTCATGTCGCATTCCTAAATTTCAATTCGTCCCATCCTTTCTTATGAAAGCAATTCATCAATCGTCCCGTTCTCATGAGACAATCAATACTACGTTTTACATAACGCTGTATTTACAAGTACAACCCCCCAGAATCGAAGGTATTTGGGATTTTGCAATTGTTGATATCACACGGATATTTGTACCGCTCCTTCCTAGCATACTGGTTTGTTATCAAACTCATGTATTTCCTTATTCCACTGGGGAATATTCATGTAAACATAATACACTTCAAGCCATGATACTTTATAACATACCTGTAATACGTCTCCCTGTGCCCGACTTAACGTTCCGATATTTGCAAAAGTCCCTTGGAGCTTGTCTGTGTACATGGATCGCTCGTCCGTGTTATCACACACGACAATTTCGACAAACGCAGTTCTTGTCGCAAAGCTTAGGGATAGAAGGTCAAGGAGGATCGCAATAATAACACTTCGACACAACAACATAGCTAGCGCCGTTCCAGACATCCACAAAGTACCCAAATATAAACAGCACTTGAGTGCAAAGCCTGATTTCGATCTGCACTTGAAGTAACGGCCGCGATTTTCACGCAAGTCCGCTCAATAGAGCACAGCAACCCGGCGATCCAGCAAAGCACTTCTGAATTCAAAACCTGCGGTTCTCCTCACACGTTTCATGGCCGCTCGGTGTGATGGATACAATGCGCTCACTCGGTCGCTTTGCTTCGGCACAGTCAGTCGATCAGTCGATCAATTATGCGCACCAGCTGTCAAAAATTCGTAATTAAAAAATTATTAATTTGTTTGATTATTAACCGCGCGGCGAAACACAGCGTTGGCGCTACGACGCGCTCTTGAAACTTAAGAAAATTGTCGGCCCGCGTTGCGTCGTTTGAGAGAATACTTAAATTTTCTCGCCAAATGTAGCGTGCGTGTTCTGTTGTTCCCAATTTGTGGCAATTGAGAGGCGAATGGAATTCGCGATTAGTTAATTGCGACAATGCTGCTATCGATTCAATGGCAGAGCGGAAATCAGCAACCGATGTCAATTTTACTTCATTGAACTCCACAGGGCCACTTGCACATTTGATTCGGCTCGTTTTTGTGTTTTCTTTTTCATTGTCTTATCCACCGCCGCCTTTGTCTATGTTTGGAAGAGAAGAATAGTGTCACCATTTTATATTGTCTTTTTTGATAGCCCGCGTATTAAATGGTATATAACCTCGCCGTCGACCGTTCCGATAGCTTCCACGGCGATATCACTTTCCGCTTTGATAAATTTATAAAACAAAAATAGCATGGTGCGATGGTATTAAATGAAGCCGTAAAATGTTCACAATGACTTAAGACGTTACTGGTCAATGGACCGGATACAAAAGCTTCTCCAATGCTTTTCGCTCCAATTTTTCTCCTGTCTGGCGGAAAAGAATAAGTCCTTTTTATTTTCCGGACAAAAATCAGTTTGGAAGAGTTTTTTGAGTGTAGTATAGTAAACCTATATTTCTAGAGAAAAGTGTCATACATTATATAATATATTTGTTTATACTATAATCGATACAAATAGTGTCAAATAGTATCAAATTCCTGATTTCCCAAATTTCATTATTTCCTGATTCAAAATCTGATCCAAATGCGAGGGTACTAATTGAGTCGGACATTTTTCCCGAGGCGAATTTGAATATGAAAACTTATCGTAAACTAAAGCTATAGGCAATCAAATTTTCCGCTACAGTGTATACAAGCCAGCCAATGTGTTTATTGCTTTTGGCAAGGCTGCGGTGAATTCGCGCGTGGTTTTTTTTGGGCCTGGATGAAGTATTAATCGGCAACGAGATCACAGTTTAACAAAACTGATAACACTGATTTCACTCCATGTTCAGTTGACTAAAGTACACATAGAAACAGGCATGACGGATTGGATTAGTTTTCATTGTTCTTACCATTGAAGTCGGCTCCGTGAAAATTGGAGTCATTCAATGTTGAAGCTATGTAAATCGCAGCGCAAAATTTGCTGCGTGTGTATTTAATTGATATTTGGTGTTCCTAAGGTAAACAAAATAAAAAGACATAATTACAATAATATGTCAATAACCAATGCGGTTAATGGGTATGCCTCTAGCTTGATATATTTCTAGATTTCTAAGATTTCTCAATATTTCGTGCATGTCAAAACAATTCTTCGGCAAAACAACTGCTTTAGTGTGAAAACTGCACGCTAAACTTTAACCAACTGCTGCTTCATTGATCTTCGTAACGTTCGTTGAAACCTTAGTTGAATTGATTCAGAAACGGTTTGTTCCTCACGTAAGTTCTTTTCGAATACATGAAAAAGTTCTTTTCCCACGCGAAAGGTTCTTTTCACTTACCAAAAAGTTCTAATTGATTTTTCTCACGCTTGCTACATTTTTGATACATTTTTGGAACAACAATCTTCGCTGCATTCTAGAACGTTTTTGTTACATTTCAGAACGTTCTAAATTGCGTATAATTATTATTTCGTTCTAAATCTGAGGAATAAATCTGTTTTTCACCGTTAAAATGCACATTTTCCAACGTATCCCAAGCCGGCTTGTCGGTAATGTTCTCGTTCTCTTTGCCTGCTTGCTGTCCGAGACTTCGCCAAAGAGCAAATAGGACGAAAATGTGATACTGAGGCTGAATTTCAACTCTCTCATAATTAAACTTTTATGCATTCAGTCACTATAGTTCAAGTTGAAGCTCGAATATATTTACACAGAATTATATTTAGGTCAAGAAGTTATCTGGTGTTTTCACTATCTCCGTCTTTTTCCTCGTTTTTTGTCCTGATTTTTCATCTTCCCCCGCAAATCAGTCTTCATTCTCGGATCAACCATTTTGAAAGGACCCTTCACGCCCGCGGGCCGTTTTGCTCGTTTCCCTGTTGATTAAATACGAAAAGATACGGAATGATTAACGACTTTTACTTTGTCGAGACAATCGTTAGTGAACTTCAATGGGAGAATATGGAGCTTCTCCATTATTATTTATTAAAACATACCGATTCCTTTCTTGGCAACGACGTATTTCACTTCAGGTTTCTTTCGTTTGCCAACTCCAGCTTTTTTATACAGGCTAAGATTAGAGAGACGTACGTTAACCACACGTGGAAGAAAACTATTTCCCTAGTTCCGTCCACTATCAACAACATCATCCAACATTGCTATGATCGACACTATGACCAATATCATTCATCAATATTATAACCACTAATATCATCGTCATCACCGATATCATCATCACTATTGCTAATATTATTATCACTACCACCAATATCATCATCACAATCACCGATATCATCGTCGATATCATTATCACTACCACCAATATCATCATCACAATCACCGATATCATCGTCGATATCATCATCACTACCACCAATATCATCATCATCATCATCACTGTCACTGATTACCATCACTCACTTCCTGAGCTGTTGTGCCTTTTCCTTATCCGTGACTTCATCGTTATCACAAATAACTTCTGCCTTCTTCCTCGCTCTTTCAAGTCGTTTCATTTCCTTCTGTTTCTTCCTGGCTTTAGCCTCAGCTATTTTCTTGATTGGTCTGGCATTGATCTCTCGTAACCTGGCCTTGTATTCCATTGCCTCTTCTTTAGTGACTGGCAGGTTACGCTGATAATGTTTAGCTTCATCCTGGGTGAACCATTCTGGTAGGTTATCATCGTTGAACGTCCACCTTAAATGTCAAGAAATGAATTTCAAAATGGAGGTCCAGTGTTGCAATCTAACGTGGTGGTCTAGTGTAGGTAGTATTCTACAATAAGCTATCGTGGTTTGTGTCTGAACTACCTGAAACTACAGTACCTGTGGTATGCCTCATCTTCGATTTCTCGCTTTCGTTTCTTAGAGAAAGCCATTTGCGCTCCAAGGGCAAGTCCTTCAGGTGTCATATTTTTCATAAGATCTAAATGTATATTTATTACTGATATAGTAAAGAGTTTAGAACTGATAGAGCTGTCCAGTACAATTAGAATTAACTTTGTTCAAACGTACAATGTTGTGATACGACTTCAAATCCATTTTCAGATTTCGTGGTAACATCTGTCTCGTTCTGCACTTGTTCCATTTCATAATCGCTGTCGTCGGAGTCACTGTCGGAGTCGGACGATTTGTTGTCGGCCTGACTCGCTGCATTATCGGACCTCTTCGTCATCGTTTTGGTATCCTTATCTGAAATACAAAACGCAAGCTTTTGGTCCTTGGTATAATCAGGTAACGTTTGTTTCAATTACTAGCCATTATTGCATAACCATCCATGTCAGGTGATTCACGTACTATCTCCCAAAAGAACACCACCAGCTTTTTTGTGCCTTTTCATCATTTGCTCCACCTCAAAATCCTCATCTTCCACAGTTTCTAGACCTTGAAACATGTCCTAAACGAAGTTGCAATGATTAATGGGCGACGTCTTTATTGTATCTTCTGTTTCAAGATTTTTGGATTAACTTGTGTTTACACAATCATCTTTTGCTAAACACTTACTTTGCCAAACCAAAGTTTGGTTTTCGTTAGTTGATCAGTCTCTTCGTCTGGATCGACCAACAGTGGATTGACATCATCATCATCATCTTCTTCATCATCATTGTCCTCGATATCCCCAGCGCTACTGTCCTCACTGTCCTCGACATCACTGCTATCCCCATCATCGTCCGCATCTTCAATCATATCTCCCTCATCGACCTTCTCCAAATTCTATGATCAAATATATATATCCATGGTCATGAAGTTTTGGAGAGATTGGGTGAACTTATCTTCGGCGAGGTTACATGCAGCAATTCCTCACTCTTCAACAATTCAAATGAAATCCTATTACTTGGTATAACACACGGTGTACAAATCACACTGCCAGTCAAACAATCAAGTCCCTGATTTAGGAAACCCTTTGTGGTTTTCCAACGATACCAGCCAACCTCTCAAAATTCATCCCAAAATGATGAAAGAAAACCAAACTATTATATTGCTCAGGAGAGTGAAGACAAAGTTGATTACTAAAGTCACCGCACCTTCTTACTCTTGATGTTGTTCAGCGAGAAGAGCTCAGCGTCATCGCCGTCAGCAGTCGCTCCACCACCAATCTGCATTCTTTCACGAGCCTGTTTCTTCATTGCAAACAACTTACGACGCTTTCTACACATTTCACAAGTCAAGTCATCATTCATGAACAATGAGAAAAAAGAATAAAAAACCCCGAATTCCTGGAGGTTTTGTTTACCTTTTGCCATCAGCAGTTTCCTCGTCTTTCAAATCCTGGATCATCTCGTCAACAGTTTTCTAAATCATCCAGGTTAGAAGGAATGATTTACCATTATTTGCAATCTCTATGCTAGTGTATTCTACCTATTGGGAGTTATTGTCACTCAGAGTATCTCGGATTTACAAAAAACTCGAGGACAATGCGGCCTAGGAAAACGTGTTTTACTAGAATTATCTTTCCACACCTCTGGTGCAACGTCTTCTTTGTCTTGCTCAGCGCTGAGGAAAGAAACGACAATATGACAGAAGATATTAAAGGTGTACTGATCACGTATTTATCTGAATAAAACAAAGTTTCCCAACCTCGTGTTTTCAGCAGGACTGTTTTCCAGATCATGCAACATTGCTTGCCAGTTCAACAATAATCTAAAGTGATATCCAAAGCTTACTTAAAAACAGTAATAGCCGTCCGTATGCCGTTCAAAATGTACTTGAAGTTTCAGGCAAAACTATTCGCAATCTCTTCTGGATAATCTTAATTCAACTAACCTCACTTCCCCTTTTCCTAAAACTTTGATATCCTTGCAACATTCCTTGATTTCAGACGTGGTTAAATCATGTTGAAGATATCTTTTATCATCAAACACAATCTACAACGGGACAGTGACAGTCCGTTTTTACACTCCTTATTTTAGCATTTCTCACTCTTCAGTTCATAGGAGAGCAGTTAGACGACGCTATCCAGTCTAGATAAAGAAATATACGCACCTGATTCACTGAGCTCAAAAGATCCAAGGGTTTTGCACTCTTCACAAACTCTGTGACTGCTAAAGTCTTGAACAAGCTATAGTCTCCTTCTTCATAGCCCTGGGCACGCGATCGTTTCTACAAGGTGCATATACTAGGCATTACTATATGACAAGATCTTACAGTTTATTGTGGAATCATGACCACTTACTTTATTGCTGAGAAGACTAGCTTGTTTTGTAGGCTCTTGATTTACTTCTTCAAAGATGCACTTCCAATCAAGTAACTTTGGATCTATCTTGTCTGGAGCTTTATAACCCTAGATATCAACAACCAACATTCTCATTTACTGGTAAACCGACCACAGAGGTACCCAGATGTACCCATTCCTCACACTTCTTTACCTGACAAACAACAAATATTTCTGCTGACTCATTACGCGAGGCTTGTGGCTTTGTTGCATGAACTTTCTTGAAGAGTTGATTGAAAACCCAGATCAATGGTTGGTAGTCTTTTGAGCGAAACACCTGAAAAACATATTTGTTTGCAGCAATTACAGATGATTCAGACAGACAAAGCGTTTTCTGTTTTGACTTTTTGAGCAAGTAAGCACAAACCTTTGTGACAAACCATCCTCCCTTGTTTAAGAAGTCGCATGCAAGCTTCAAAGCAGCTAGTGTCAGATGTGCTGAAATGAACAAGACAGACTGAATCAGCTGTGATGATCATTTCTTGGACAAGGATTTTCCTAAACAAACCTTGTGTGAAAGCATCATGTGCCCAGGCTGATCCAACATTTGGAGCACCGTCGTTTAAAACACAGTCAGCTTTCCATGTCTTGAGCTCTTTCTTTATGTCCTAGTATTGTTAAACAAGACTGCTGTATTTTTTTTTATTTGAGAGATGTTGTGACAGTTTTTAAACTTTACATTAGAGAAGTGACCATGTCATAGCAGTGTATATATTAGGAAGGTATTCATATTGATGAGGTACATGGGTGCTTCCCATGTTAGAGGGGTGTACATATTAGAGAGGTACCCATATTGGAGAGACATCCGTGTAGAAATGATATTTATTAGGAAGGGGGTTTGTAATGGGAGAATTCATAACTGAAGAGACCTGTGTTGTTTACCTGCCTACATTTCTGTGTGGTGATATCATCTTGCAAAGTGATAACGTTTGCTATTGGTTTTATTGGGACTAAATCTACACCTGAAATACAATAACATATCAAACTCTGTTAATTATAAATTTACAAATATCAAACTCTGTTAATTTTTGTAGGGTGATCCATTGCAACCCTGGGAACATGAGAGAATTACCAATGATGATGCTTGATACTGGCATAAATCTTGACGCAACCTGGAGCCTGTGAATGGTATGAAATATATTAGTATACGCAGCTCTGTCCTAGGATGAAATTAGACTTCTTGTTCACGAGTTGATTGTTGAGTTCCTGGATTGACTCACCATCCTCCTGGTGCCGCGCACAGGTCAATACAAACACGAGATGACTGTAAGAATTCAAACTTTCTATTCAACTGAATAAGTTTGAATGCAGAACGTGCTCGGTAACCTAGACAACAGATATACAGACTATAATATCTGATCTCAATATGGCACTGGATGATGATGTCACATACATGACCATTACACACACATACCTGTTTCTTTTGCTAGATGATAAAATTTATCTCTTCTCTGTTTTCCAATTTTTCCCTTCTTACCCATGATGAGTTTTCAAATACTAACAATAAGTCAATAACAAAGAGAATACCTAGACTGTAAAGACGCAGTATGCTAAACACAGCAGAGGAGGACTCGAAGGACGAAGGAAAAGCTAATCCGCGGTCTTCAAGTCACTTTACTGATAGTCTAAACGCCATAATATGATAGTATTTTACTTCTAATAAAAAACAACGAGATAATTGGATCAGAAAATCGATTTTCTGAGCACCAGCCATTAGAAATCAAGATCTAACTGCAGTAAAATGTCATATATAACCCTCACCTATTCCAATCAGCAATCTTAACGGTCTTCTTGAGTCAAAATCCAAAAATTTTTGGCAGAAAAACTTTATCATTCGTGTTTGTAAACACGTACCATGTGAGTTCTATTGTGTTTGGTATTAAATAAAGTATCGTAACATATTACCGCAGAGTATACAAACGTGTTGGCTCAGCTAGGCTAAACGATGTAATTTGTCCACAAAATTCTATATGATTTAATTTTGGGAGGATTTTCACAACTTATCTTTCCCTTCCACCGCCATAAAGCTGTTATTATGTTTTTAGTTGAGAGTATTTTTGCCTTTTTCCCTGCAAATACACAATTTAAACTTCTTTTTGATAAACTGAAAACTCTGGGGGTCTGGGGCTCAATCATCTTCTTTCCTTTTGGTTTTCCCACGTTGCGTCATAAAAAAGAGAAGAAAATTTATTGAAAAAATTTCATTTCTCTTCTGTAATAATGTCTAGATTCTTCGCTGCTCGTTCATCTGGCAGCGAGGATGAATCAAGCGACGAAGCGCCAGTTGCTGTACCAAAACCAGCGCCCACAGTTGCTTCAAGGTTTGTTGAAAATCTACGTTTTATAATACTTCTGTGCATGAGTCATATAAATATGACGAGTATTATAACGTAATGGATGAATGATTAATAAGGAGCACGTTTTGTTCATATTAAGCATAGTGTTTGCCTCAAAAACAACAAATTACAGTATCAAATTTTAGTACAATTGTTGCACGTGATAGCTTGTATGAAATATAGCACTGGCAGACACGTGAAGGAGTTTATATTAGGTGAAATAAATATCCCAATGTGTTGCGAGGAAAAAATCAAATATCCTGCATGGTTTTGCGTTGTAAGCTATGAATATGGCAAGTTATTCTAGGTTTGGATGGGGTGAAGAATTATGCTGCATTGCCGCTTACCAAGATCCTCTTAACCGGAGTGTTTTTCACATTTGTCTCGGTTATCCGCAAGATGATTTGTTGTGTCCGATGCACATGTTGCCATGCCATAAAACTGATCCCCCTCATAGGGCAGCTGTTTGTCATTTATGCCTCAACCAATATTTATGCCTCATCTAAATTCTTACAATTATGGCTAGTCTGTATCCTATGAGCTTTGCTAGTATGCCAGGCAGCAATTGTTTCCTGCTCACTAAGAGAAAACCTAACTCTGTGTGAAGGTTCTTCAACATTTGCTACACTGGAGGCCTATTTAGACTACACAATAAGTTGTATGCAATTATCATTCTGATGAATGCAAAAGAGGGCCTATGCCACAATCTTCATTCAGTTTTGTTCAGGTTTGAATTTAAAGTGTCACGTTTGTATGTGTGTTCATACGTTCACATATACCAGAGTACGAATCCTATGTGACAAAACGCATAGTGTAAATTGTCCTTAAATGATCCACCAGTGTGCTTATTTAATTCTCATAATCCTCCAATCAGGGCTCAGTTTCTGTTCAGTGACGAAGAAGATGAGGACACGAAACGCGTTGTCCGAAGTCAAAAAGACAAACGGTAAAAATGAGTTCACAACATTGGGCAGTGTGGAAAGGTTGGGAAAAGATGGCTTGGACACTGTTTTTATTGAATGGTTTTTATTTTTTTTATTTGCTGTAGATTTGATGAAATATCCAGCATTGCCAAGCAACTGAAAAATCACAAGAAAATCAAAGACATGTCCAAGATCCTGACAGGTAAAGAGTAAAACCTCAATTGTAAATTTTAAAATCATATGCTGTAGAAATGTATACAAGATACATCTAAGCATGACAATATACCCATATTCAATGTTGCTTCATTCGCAGAGTTTGAAAATCTTGGTCGAGCATTCACGAAAGCAAAGAATGTAGTTGATAAGGAAGGAATTCCAACCACATTTATCAAATGTTTGGTGGAGTTGGAAGATTTCATCAAAGAGGTATAACACTCATTTAACAAAATTTTGCAGCCTAGGTTTTCCAGCCAGGGTTTCAACTGTGTAGGATTCAACCATCTTTACCTGGATCACAAGTTTGCCACCAGGAATCATCGTCATATGTTCCATGTTAATCATTTGTTCTCTTAATTTTCATTGCAGAACTGGGAGGACACTGAAGGAAGAAAAAAGCTCAGCAAATTGAATGCCAAGGTCAGTGTAAAATCGTATGAATTACCGTATGACTCACTCTTGTTGATATGAATGAAAATCTGAGAAATGGGTATTTTTTTAGGCACTCACTGCTTTGAGGCAAAAGGTTAAGAAGTACAATAAGACATTTGAAAATGATATTGAGAAATACAGAGAGGTATGAATGGAGTGGATTTGAAAAATAATGTTTCCTTTCTGGTGTTGTTAATTCATGAAATGTTGGTTGTTTTTAGAATCCACTCATCTCTGATGATGGTGAGGAAGAAGATGCTGGCAGATCAGGCAAGTGTTATAAATGGTTTGAATTGTTTTATTATTAAACAAGCCACCAGAAACCACAGATTAATAATGAAAAATCATGAATATTCATCATTTTACAATTCTGACAGATGATTCAGATGAGGATGATGACATCGTCTTGAAAAAACCTGAACCACAAGCTGCTAAACAAAAAGCAGATAAATTTGAGGTATGCTGTTTGTGATATGGGGGCATTTGGTATTATCCCCACCCCTCTCAATGGGTAGCCCCTTGCCTCTTAAGAATTACCCTCATTTCAATGAACAGTCTGTCTGCTAAGAACTGTGTTTGTTATGACAGGATTCAGACAGTGAATTTGATGATATGGACAGCGATGTTGAAACAGACAGCAGCAGTGATAGCGATCTTGATATCCCTCAAGGGGGGAAAGTTACTGCTGCCATGTTCTTGAAGAGGTATAAACATCTTCAGTAAGGATCATCTCTTATTGATCCAGTTTTACTACAGGACTTGATAACTGTATCAGTTCTAAAACTGTTCTTCCTAGAGGTCCAGTAAGGATCATCTCTTATTGATCCAGTGTTACTACACGAGGAAACCTAAACTAAACTAACTTTATTTATACTAGATAGTTCTATCAGTTCTAAAACTGTTCTTCCTAGAGGTCCAGTAAGGATCATCTCTTATTGATCCAGTGTTACTACAGGAGGAAACCTAAACTAAACTAACTTTATTTATACTGGATAACTCTATCAGTTCTAAACTGTTCTTCCTAGAGATCCAGTAAGGATCATCTCTTATTGATCCAGTGTTACTACAGGAGGAAACCTAAACTAAACTAACTTTATTTATACTGGATAGCTCTATCAGTTCTAAAACTGTTCTTTTTAGAGGTCCAGTAAGAATCATCTCTTATTGATCCAGTGTTACTACAGGAGGAAACCTGAACTAAACTAACTTTATTTATACTGGATAGTTCTATCAGTTCTAAACTGTTCTTCCTAGAGGTCCAGTTAGGATCATCTCTTTTTGATCCAGTGTTACTACAGGAGGAAAACTCATACCATATCTATTTGTAGTTTTACTGCAGTAGGAAAAATAACCTGAACTTGTTTTACTTCTGTGTTTCTCAGAGAACGGGATGAAGATGAAGAGAAAACTAAAGAGAAGAAACTTGAAAAGGAAAGACAAAAAAAACGCAGACAAAAAGTGAAAGAAGATCAAGAAGAAGAGGATGAAGGAGAGGAATGGGAGCAAGTCAAATCATCTCACACCATTGTACGTGTTTGTTTCACGTTTTTTGTTTTATTTTCCTGACATATTTCTCAACGTCATCGTCTTCTGTTTTCAGGAGAAGACCAGAGCATTGTTTGCCAAAGACACAGAGATAAATCACGCCGTTATTCTCAAGAAATTGCACGAGATTTTAGGAGCTCGTGGAAAAAAGGTTGGTTTTGTTGTGAGTTGATCTGCTGATCCTACAGGAACGATAGCGTCTCTTAAATTATTTTGCTTTGTGTTTAGGGAACTGACAGAACAGACCAAATTGAGTACCTCAAGGATTTAAGAAAGATTGCAGAGAAAAACAACCTAGGTTAGTCTTTGAAATCAAGCTTTATTCTTCAGTATTTCAGGATTAGGGATTAATTTATTCTTCAGTATTTCAGGATTAGGGATTAATTTATTCTTCATTATTTCAGGATTAGGGATTAATTTATTCTTCAGTATTTATGGATTAGGGATTAATTTATTCTTCAGTATTTCAGGATTAGGGATTAATTTATTCTTCAGTATTTATGGATTAGGGATTAATTTATTCTTCAGTATTTATGGATTAGGGATTAATTTATCCTTTAGTATTTATGGATTAGGGATTAATTATCCTTTAGTATTTATGGATTAGGGATTAAAAACCAACCAGAATCCAGGATTTATATCATTTTCTTGCCTTCCTCAGGTGTTGCAATGAGCATCAAGATCATGTTCAACATTATTGCATCCATCTTTGATTACAACCCAAATGCAGCCACTTGTATGAAACCAGAAATGTGGAAAAGGTATGAGAGAGTCGACAGAATATAATGCTTACTGTATATTTCACGCTTGAATAAAACTAATTTTGTTTTACTGCTCAGCTCAGGTAATTTGATTTAGTGTTCTTCCTGCATGGTGATTCTGTAGCATTCCCTCGCATCTTTAGGCTTTGAGTTTGAACGTTGTGGTTATTTGCAGTATTTAGTAATATCCTGGCTTCTGTCTGCTTCATTTCAGTTGTCTGGAATACGTGAATGAATTGTTGATAAAACTCGTGGATAATCCTAACGTCACTGTGGGAGAAAACATCGCAGAAGATGCTGAAAATTTGGAGGTAACTTGAATTGAACAGGGGCCGGTTGTATCAAACCCGTTTATCTAAAGGCCCTGTTACACGGTGCAATTTTTCCTGCAACTTGCAATGCAATTCTTCTTTTGAGGGATGTAAATTTGGCAACTACCAAACTTTCGTCTTTCTTACACTCCATGGCGTTTACTATGTATAGAAGTTTGCCCTGTCCTAATGCGCGTTTTTTTTCTAGGATGCGGACGCTGGGTTCAAAATTCGCGGTTGCATTTTGATCGCAATCGAGAGAACTGACGATGAATTCACAAAGATGTTACAAGGATGTGATTGTCATTCCACTGAGTATGTTGAGAGGTAAGCTGACATAATTGAAGGATGAATTGTTTTCAGAGTGAAACCTATTCTTAGACCCCATTTTTCGGCCAATTCGACCATGGTCGAATTCGTCATTTTCCGGTAAATTCATCCCTGCATTATGTGTAAATCTCTGATGATGTGTGATCAGGTATATCCATCATTTTCCTCCAGGTTGAAAGATGAGATTACTATGACCTTATTGATCAGCAGAGTTATGAAATATCTTGAAGACCACGATGCTGCTCCCAGCATGATCTGCAGAGTTTATCTCAGATTTATTGAACACATTTACTATAAGGTTAGTCAAAAGTAACTAGAATTTCCACCGTGTTTTTCCCTGATGCATTGCCAGGCACCCCGACGAGATTTCAAGGACAATTATCCTCGGGAAAGAGGGAGGTAGGATAGATTGCTAGAGAGGAGAGAGAAGGGGGTTTTGTTACTGAAATACTTACCTCCAGCCTTATCCCCCCACAGCTTGACATGGTTCGTATGAAGGAAATGAGCGAGGAAAGGAAATTGAACAAAACTTCAGACGAAGAGGAAGTGTCAGTAGATCAAGCGGCAGCATCGACAGCCTCTCAGATGGAGGGAATGTGTCAGTTCATTTACTCCAAAGACGACTCGAACCGTATCAGGACCAGAGCGATGTTATGTCACGTTTATTTCCTCGCTCTGCATGATCGCTGGTACGAGGCACGTGATCTCATGCTGATGTCACATTTGCAGGAGAATATCGGGCACTCTGATATACCCACACAGGTAGGTGGAATACTAATGACGACATTTTTGAACGGACTATCGTCACGTTGTTGGTTAAACTTAAACCTTTGTGTAGATTTTGTACAACCGTACCATGGTACAGCTTGGTCTGTGCGCGTTCCGTCATGGTATGATCAAAGACGCACACAACGCCTTACATGACGTACAGTCAAGTGGCAAGGCTAAAGAACTTTTGGCGCAGGTCAGTAGAAGATTTCAAACACATTCACTGTAAACACTGATCCCTGGTCTTACTGCATTCATCATATGATAATAGGATCATCTCCAGAATCCACGGATATAATCCCAACTTTAATCCTAAGTCTTAGCCTAAGCCTTACCCAAGTACTATCCTTAAATGATTAGATTGAGGATTAGATTAAGGATGATCATATTCCTGGATTCTTGGCTTGGAATTATTACTACTTACTGTGTTTCACCCTATCATTTGTTACCATTCCTATTATTAAAGCGATGTCTTTCCTCTTGTTTCTCCAGGGTCTAATGCAGCAGAGACAACACGAGAGGAATTTGGAACAAGAAAAAATTGAACGGCGAAGATTGGTATGTGTGCACGTGTTGGTCATGTATTGAGATGCAATATAGAGGAAAATGACGAATGTTTGAGACGGAATTTGCTAAGAGTATTTCCACGAGGAGCTCATGATCAACTGTCATCTTTTGCTTAAAGGAAAAAGAGCCTGTATGAGTGTTGACAAGCATGAGTATTCCATGAGTACCTCCTCAGCTGTCATTTCTTTTTTCCATGAAAAAAGCTTGTGATGAGAGTTGGCAAGCGGCAATATTCATGAGTGTCTTCTCCTGTAAACTGTCAGTACTGACCCTTGGAACAAAGCATGCATGAATGTCCATTGAGATTCATCCTCGTTTGACCTGAGCCTTGTTTAACCTAAGTTTTGTTTGACCTCAGCCTGTCCATTGAGACTCAGCCTTGTTTGACTTCAGCCTTGTTTGACCTCAGCCTGTCCATTGAGGTTTTTTTTCGTTTTGTGAAGGTGCCATTCCACATGCATATTAACCTGGAACTGCTGGAGTGTGTCTACCTCACCTCAGCGATGTTGCTCGAGATTCCTCATATGGCAGGTGAGTGGGAACATGTGGAACATGCTGGGATATTTTTTAAGCCAATGATGTTTCTTACGATTGTTTTTTTTGTTTTAGCACGAGAGTTTGAGCATCGTCGACGTATGATTAGCAAGAGTTTCCATCATCAACTGAAACTGAGCGATAGACAGCCTTTAGTAGGTCAGAAGAATACACAACTATTGCTTCTTATCATCCATCAATATCCATCATCAACCTCTATCATCACCATATATCATGTAGTATCCATTAACACCATCATTATGTATAAGATTCATTACCCATCGTTATCCATCATCATCTATTGCTATCCATCATCATCATTATATATCATCACCCTGTACCATTCCATCCCCATTCTTCATCTTATGAATACGTCCTAAATATTTAGGTCCACCTGAGAGCATGCGCGAACACGTTGTAGCCGCGTCGAAAGAAATGAGCAAAGGAAATTGGCGCGAGTGTGCCGACTTTATTCTGGCCGTTAAGGTAAGTTCTACGATGAGAAAAATTATCATGTTGGTGTCAAAAATATTAACAGATATTTCTTTCAATGCAAGGTGTGGAACTTATTCGACCAGGCCGAGGAAGTGAAGAAGATGTTAAAAAGGTAAGTTGCCCTCCCTAGGAACGGCTGGGATTGACCTCTCGATGCCTCGATGGATTTTCAAATGCATTCTTACACTTGTTTTCATGTGTGTTTAGAAAGATCCAAGAAGAATCACTCAGGACTTACCTTTTCAGCTACAACAGCGTGTATGATTCCATTAGGTAAAGAAACCATTTTGATCCAAACTCTCTTCATTGTTTCATCGTTCTCCCGTGCGTGAGGAGATATTGAGTTCCATATATTCTTGTACCTGAACCATCTCCTCTGTATTTAGTATGAATACTCTGGCTGCAATGTTTGAACTGGACCGTCCTGTTGTGCACAGCATAATCAGCAAAATGATCATCAACAGCGAATTACAGGTACTGGGAAATTGTGATGTCTCTAGATCTTTACGTGTGTGTATCCAGTAGTTTGTTTGAACGACGTCTTTTCGTTTTTAGGCATCTTGGGACGAGCCAACCCAAACTGTGGTCATGCACCGTGGTGCTGAACCATCTCGTCTACAGAGCTTAGCACTGCAATTGGCAGACAAGGTAACACGAGGCCTGCATATTCACGTTTCCCTGCGATTTCAACCAAGTTAAATTTCATGTGTTTTTCTTCTTTTTAGATCAGCACTCTTGTTGATAACAACGAACGAGTATTGGACACGAAACATCAATTTAACTATCGTGATCGACAAGGTAAACTACGAGAGAATACGAAAAGTTTAATGAAAGATACAAAATGAAACACTGGAATAAAACATCACAAAACAGAATGTACATTACAGGCTATATTCAGGCTGGAATTAACGACAACTGCCTTTTTCTTGTGTCTTGAAATTTCATTTTAAATTCGTTGCAGGGCAAGGACGATACAGACCTCAAAGAAGTCAGCAAGTATATTAAAGTTTTCGGATCAAGGACAATCACAAAGGCGGTATACATAGTCAGAGTAATTGTAACTCGATAACAAGAGAGAAAATATTTAATAGGGACGTTACCGGATAGGAATACGAAAACGCACAAAAGCATTCAAAATCACCAAATATAATCATCTCTATTCCGGACCTAATATAATACATTACATTCTAGATCCTGGGTATAGGAAGTTATTGAGGTTGGAGGGTCTGAGGTTTACCCCCTTCTTCCCCCGCTTCCTACGCCCTTGTTCTAGAATTTTTCTCTTTATTGGAAAATATTTAGTTTGAAAATAAAAATCCGCTTGTCATGGACACTGAAGTCTCGATATCAGTGCATATGCTAATTTTGCAGTTTTCTAATCAATGTTTACCGCAAATGCGTTTTGCCACGAGCTCCAATTTGTTCGGCGCCATTGGGTAATGTTTTCGGATGTTTTCACGAATACGTAGACAGTTTGCTATCTCACAGTAGAGATTGTGGTAAAGAGGAACTCCTTCAAACCATCGAACTGATGAGATTTGAGGAAGCAAAACGTGACATATGTTATCAAAAACACTGTTTTTAAAAAGTACAGTTTTTCAGCTGTTCTTGAACTTTTGTGCTGCCCGAAATCTCAGTATTCTTGAAACTAACCACCATCTTGGACATGAATGTTATAATCTGTTCTGTACAGAAAGAAAAATGAGAATTATGCCGACCATCTGGCGAAATACCACATCTTCACTGCATGTCTGTGAAATTTGATCTAACTCTGATTAACTTCTGCCCATAACGTTCGGTATTAAGTAACCGCTAGATAAAAACGCGCCCAAAGCTAACGCATAAATCGAAACTTGGCGCACTCGCCGCGATCTTTGAACAACGTGAAAAGTTGCACAAACGTGCGCGTCATGTCTATTTCTGCGTTTTAAAATGAAATGCGTGCGTCACCATGCGCTTAGCGTAGCGAAGTACCAACACCCTGTTGTATATGCCTAATATGGTCATGGAATGCATAATTTATTGAAATTGATCCATTGCAATAAAACGGGATTTATATTCTGGCACTATTTTCCGGTGATTACAGCGAAATTATCTCGTGAAGTGATCTAAATTTTGAAAGGATAGTTGCATCGTGTGTTTGTCTTTTTGAGAGTTTGTTTTGGAAGGAAATCTGAGCGGCGAAAGCGGGATTATTTACATTTTTAGCGAAGCATCAAGAAGAACATTTCAGCGATGGACGATTTAGGTGAGGTACTCGTTTGTAGTATTTTAATTCTGTGGACAATTTCGCCTCGATTTGGCCTCGTCTGTTTTTTAGATACAGGTGTTTCGCTTTCCATTTGGGTTCCCATAGTGTCTACGTCTACATTATGCTCTCAACAAAACAAATATCTGCTTAACAATCCACCAAAATGTATACTTTACCAAATTCGGGCATCACGACCGCCATTGCATCCTTGAAGCTATACCATGTACTTCGCCTGTAGTATTTATTTGTATTTTGCGAACTTGATATGGTCTGATAATGGCCTGCTTTGTTAGTTTGTCCTCAAAGATGTTCAATTGTGTGAATATGTAGTAGTTGACTGCTATTTTCCTGAGCAATCGAGCTGCTAAAATATTTGTATATTTATCAAACATCTTTCATTAAGTTTGCATTCCGTTTGCTGTTGTTGTTAAAATAAAAACCTCTCTGCCGAAAAAAACGCCCAAAATCCCCGTTTTAATGGTATTTCAAACAGATTTAGAGCAATTTTGAATTCTTCTGCGGCAATATTCACAAAACGTTAGACGATATATGTTATAGAATCGACCGCGATAAATAATTCATGATGGCAATTTATGTCAAATAGACTTTTCCCCTTGTCATTCTTAATCTATAAAAACATCAAAGTGTGTATTTATACACGTGAGGCAATGATATCTGTCGTTCAGACACGAAACATTCACTGGTTTATATCTGAAACCAAAAAACTGTCTTGTACATCAAATCAATTTTGGTATTGTACTTGAAATTGTTGGCCCAATACGGACTTGTTTTCCGTGTATAAAACACATCAAAATGGCCGACGCAAGGCAGAGAGATTACTCCATGAAATTTAAAGAAAACATTGATTTTTTAGACGCACTTTTGGCCGACTTACAAGCAATTCCAGTTAGTGGAGCGCAAAAGACAACGAGGGACCCAACAGATCCACCACCACCTTTGCCAAAGGAGAACGGAACGTCCAGACATACTGGCACAAGTTTAGGTTCAAATTTATCCGAATTAGATAGTCTCTTGGAAGATTTGAATACCACTACCACTCCGAAAGGTATCATCACCTATTTTAGATTAGAGTAAACTAGAAACCTTCACTTGTACCCAACAGCCGTTTGTATAATTTTTGGTCGATTGGGGCATTGATGAATTTGATGCCTATGTGAATATTTACAATTCCTGGTGTGTGAATCGATGCTTGTGTATTTTAAAAGCAGTTGGAACCCAAATATATGCCTTTTCTGGTTTGTTTCATAGCCACAACACTCCAGCGTAGTTGTAAAATATTTTGCATAGCACCTGCATGCAAAACATATTTTCCTGAAGGGTTTAAATTTCAGTTCACGCCCTCTGCAAATAGTCTGTTTCCCATATGCGAGTTGTTTTCATGAACTTGGGCGACGTTTTTAGAAATTCTGGCTGTTTGAAATAGCAGGAGAAATTTGCAAAGGTCATTTATAATTTGTTTATGTAACAGCAACACTGTATAAAGCCTTGCAGGCTGATAGGATTCCTCAACTGCAAAATAGGAAGTTGGATTATGATTATTGATAGTTGAGAGTCAATTAAGCAATCTTGAAAACTTGAATCTATTGCAAATAATTGCTTTGAGACATGTTGCAATTGGACCAAATTGGAAAATAATTTGCACTCATTTCATAATTGTGTTTAATTATTATCTATGATCAGATTTAATTGCAGCTATTTTCTGTTTATAAGCAGTAATTATGATTGTAATTTTTAATCCAAATCTTTGCTGTAGCAACACTCTGTGTTATTCTGCCTGTCATTGTAGACTGTTTCATATAAATCATTAGTTAGCAATGCACCTAGACATGTCCTAATTTAGAATTTCTCACTAGCTCAAAAGTGTCTAATTGGAATTGCTTGTGATTCTATTTTAACAACCTTTTGGTACAGCCCAAAAATGGACACAATCCACCAGTGTTGTCCTGTGAAGATCAGCATGTGATGTATGTGTAAATATTTAGGAGGAAGTAACAGAAGCAGTGAAAATCGTTTGTCGGAGAACATCAACAATCCTCCTCAGCAGAATCGACCACCAGGTGGGTAATATGTATTTATACTAGAAATGACACAGACAGCAAGTGTTACTGACAATTGATAACTCAATAATACCTTACAGTATGTACCAAACAGGTGGGTTAAGTTTTTGATGAATGTTTTATGATGTTACATAATTGTATTTGGACAATAATAGATCTTAGTCATGACTTGCAATGTGTTGATAAACCACAGGTTTTGAATGATAGGAAACTCATTCTTTATTTCCTTCCTTGTGGTTTCTTTGGGAGGAATAGAGTAATTTGTTAAGTATTCAAAGATAAGGACCTTGAATCATCACCTTTTTTACCATAGGATATCACTAAAATTGGTTTTTGATAAACTTATCTTTTACTTTGCAAATTAGAAAATCTCTATCAGTGGTTAGCTAGATTTACCAGATATGTTACAGCTGTATTTCTAAGCATTAGTATTTTTTGTATAGTTGAATCACTGCTCAGTGAGCTTGACAATGCTGTCAGTAGCTCTCGACAACAGCCAAATGAACCTGAGGCATCAGTTCAAGATGTACCACCACCAAACAAGGCCTCATCCGCAACAAAGGAGCTCGACGACTTGATGGCATCTCTGTCTGACTTCAAGGTGAATGTTCAGACAGTTGGACCTGCTCAGCCTGTCAAGCACAGTGATGATTATGCAAAACCTCAGAGAGCTACCAGCTCAAATAAACCTGCCCAACAAGGTTAGTGTCTGATCTATCTTGTGTGTACGTCACATAGAGTTTGGTGTTTATCAACTGCTGTAAATTAAAATAAGTCATATGTTTTTTATTTAACTTCAAATTGTATACTGCTTAAAACATACTTCTGGAGTATCTGTTTGTTGCATTAAAGTCATGGCTCCCCATTTTAGGAGGCCAGCCTATGAGAACAAGTCAACTAGACTCCATGCTTGGCAGTCTTCAATCTGATATGACCCGCCAAGGAGTGAGTACGGTCAAGAAAGGCACATGTGCGGCATGTAATAAGCCAATCATTGGCCAAGTTTGTACGGCTCTCGGCAAGACGTGGCATCCGGAGCATTTCACATGTGTTGCATGTGAGTTGCCCCTGGGCTCAAGAAATTTTTTCGAAAGAGAAGGCAAGCCATTCTGTGAGAAAGATTACCATGAATTGTATGCTCCAAGGTGTGCTTACTGTAATGGCCCCATTCTTGATGTAAGTAGACAAGCCTTTGTTCATTTTTTTAACCAAATTGTGTTGCCTTTACTGTGTTTGAAGTATAGAAAAAACGTCTCAATCCAAGGACATTTATTGAGAGAGACAACTGTAATTAACACCTTTATGAACTTGTACATTTTTTAAAGTTCTGCTATTTTATACTCATATTGTTATTATCGCATACTATATCACTACATAGAAATGTTTGTGAACTTTGACTCATAATTAATAATTATAAATTAATAGATGATGTACATATTGGTTAACCTATCAGTTGATGAAAAAAAACTTGAACATTTTATTTTTAGTCATGTGTAACTGCTCTGGACAAAACCTGGCATCAAGAGCATTTCTTCTGCCATCAATGTGGCAAACCCTTCGGAGATTCTGGCTTCCACGAGCGAGATGGCAAGCCTTTCTGCAGAGATGATTACTTTGCTGCATTTGCTCCCAAATGTGGTGGCTGTGAGCAGCCCATCATGGATAATTATATTGCTGCTCTTGGCCAGCATTGGCACCCAGAGTGTTTCGTCTGCTATGTGAGTATATTCTTGTTTATAAAACTCTGTATGATTTAATGTGTACATTGAATTGTTCCAGTAAGGGCCAGTAAGGATCATCTCTTATTGATCCAGTGTTACTACAGGAGCAAACCTAAACTAAACTAACTTTATTTATACTGGATAACTCTATCAGTTCCAAAATGTTCTTCCTCGAGGTCCTTGATCCAGTGTTACTACAGGAGGAAACCTAAACTAAACTAACTTTATTTATACTGGATAACTCTATCAGTTCCAAAATGTTCTTCCTTGAGGTCCAGTAAGGATCATCTCTTATTCATTATTAATACTAGCTATTTTTATCAGATCTAAACTATAATACTAATAATATTATAATAAATGTCTTCTTCCTAATCTTATTGATGCGTTTAGTGGGTGGCATAATATGAATTACAAAAACATTTTGTTATTTCTAGGAATGCCATCAGCCGTTCCCAGGTGGCAGTTTCTTTGAGCACGAAGGAAAGCCTTACTGCGAGATGCATTACCACTCAAAGCGTGGTACATTATGTTACAATTGCCAGAAACCTATCACGGGTCGCTGCATCACCGCAATGCATCGTAAGTTCCATCCAGAACATTTCATCTGCGCCTTCTGTCTGAAGCAGTTGAACAAGGGCACGTTTAAGGAACAAAATGATAAACCTTATTGTCATACTTGCTTCGTGAAACTCTTTGGTTGAAGAAAAGAATCAAAGAATATTGGAAAATGTAGAAAAAAAACAGATGACTTGGGCGGGCTCTTATTAAGAAGATGAATTTAGAAAACTTGATCCTTGGAGGCAGCCGTTTTGGATTGAAAGAATTTGAATATAATTTTCACACAAGGAACGATACGCGATGCGCGCATGTGGCCTTTTTTCTGTTTCGCAACAGAGGAAAACCAGCAAAACAGAACATTCATTTTATTTTGGTATTAACTATAGTGAAGATATTCATAGTTTATTTCGAATTCTTTAATTTTTCTCAAAAAAAAAATAGGGTTATAATGTAGTAAATATAGATCTGGGCATGTGGGATGGTCTTGAAGAAGTTCTGAGTTCGTAAAATACGAGCTAAAATCACGTCGACGAGTTAGAAAACGAGGGGTTTAATTTCATTAAACTCTCTTAAACTGGAGTTCCAGCACGTTGCTGAGTATAAATCAGGGGAATTTTCGATAAGCTCTCGTCAAAATTTTAACTATGCTCTTTTTGAACGAAATACCTGGCTAGTTCGCTGTGGTCTTCTCCTAAAATGTACCATAGAATTTCAGTGACTCAATAATGACCAACGCCCAATATTTGTGTATATTCAAATAGGATTTTTATGTCAACGAATAAAAGGTTTTTGTAATTTTAAAAGTTTTTTAGTTTATTTTGAAACTCTACGTTAAAAAACACGAAAATTCAATTACCAATGAAGTTTATTTATCATATATAATTACAACAGCGCTATAGTAAAAGCTTTTAACTATTAAGAATTTCAGTTTTTGCTTGTATCCTGATGCCAAAGCCCTTTACTTTTTGGCATATTTATGTTTAAAAACATTTGTTTTGGTAAAAATAATCGTGTGGAAAGACGTCTTGGTTGTAAGCGAATGCTTTTCGCCCGAGTTCTTCAATGCTCCTACTGACCACACAAAGTTTTCAACTGCCGTTCACCACAAACCAATATCGCTGCGGTCACAGGAAGTAATCGATAACTGGTCTCTTTGTGGGAATTCCTCTTACATCCTGCGAGGAAAAAACGTAAGAAAATTCTAGTTATAGCCGACTTGGCATGATAGCCTAAATTTTATTTAAAAATCTCGCTCTTCTGTATGTTATCCTGTCCAGAGATCCAAATGTTCCAACGTCTTTCCTTTGTTTTTGAAAGTCGAAACTGAGAAAAAACCCCAACTTTACCTGAGGCGCCGCTTCAAATATCGTGAATTCACGTTGAAGGTTTTCATCCAGTTGCAAAATAGCAGCAACATTTCCACACCTGACAGAAAAAAAATCCAGTGTTACTACAGCGGAGAAACTTCAATTAAACTAACCCAACTTTTACTCACCTATAACAATAGTTAGGCGCAGACCAGACCGTGAGCACAGTTTCGTTGAAATGCCATTTATAACCCTCCATGACCAGCTGATGAGCCCGGCAAATAATGTCAATGTTATTCGTTGAGTTGAACTGAAAATACAAAGATCTTTCTTCGGTGAGTAAATAATTATATTGAGAATAAGATGTTATTCCTTGGAGTTGCATTAAACTACATTTCTTGTATTTATTTTTGCTGTATAAATAATAGAAATTTGTATTGTGAAATCTTTAGCAGTGAATAGAAAATTCTATGAATCAAACCTGGGATACAACGTCACTGCCAAAGAGATAACCAGCACCTCGAGGACTGACCCCCCAGCCTTGGGTATCTGAGAAAATCAAAACAAATTAACCAGGTTATAATTTCTTTGTAGTAAAGTATTTTGACAAGTTTCTTGCAATTTCAACAAATATGTTTGACATGGTTTTTTTTCTGTCTAATGCCAGGCTATTAATAGTTTTGTTGCCTAATGAACAGGTTTTGTTATGGGGAAATACTAGAAGATGATGGATTGACAGTTTTCTGAAAGAGATTTCTTTGTAAATGAAAAGCAGATGTCGCCCAACCTTCAGGATCTGACCACAAAAGATCACACATTGGACCATCATGAGGTACTTCTTGTTTGCGATCAATTGAACGGATCTATTTTGAACAAAATACATGTTTGGTTTGAGCTCTCTGGTCAATGATAGACCATGCAAGATGGTCCTTGTCCGTAGGTAAATTCCACTGAAATTTCAGGTTAAGATCACCAATTTAGGTATCCACAATAGTTGAGGGTATTTCATGACTATACCTACCTGATCTAGTGTTGTTATTGAAGGTGATAAGCCCCCGTGAACACAAAAGATCTAAGGAAACCAAATGACGGTGAAAAACAGATTCATTTACTTCATATGATGCATTGTACATCCTCAAAACAGCGAGCTTACTTTGTTGTCGATAATTGCAGACAAACTAAGATAGTCGAATATCTCTGTGCAATATCTCCAGACAGAAACGGAACCATATTTCTTCAAACACTCATCATAAAAGCCGTAAACCTGGTGTGAAACATGTAAATCTTCATTAACAAACAGGAAATCAAGGATTGATGATGAACTGGGAGACGGTTGTTTTCCACCAAAAGGTACGGGTTAATTCACAGTTAAATACCTGAGTAATTTGTCTGCTTTCGTGATTTCCTCTAATGAGAGTAATTCTATCAGGATAACGCACCTGAAAGAGAATAAAAATTTGTTATTTTGATGCGATTTATTTATAGCTTCTTTGCAAACGTTTTATCACCAAGTACCTTCAGTGCTAAAAGAAGTAGAAATGTCTCAACGCTGTAGAAACCTCGGTCTACAAAATCTCCCATGAATAAATAGTTTGTTTCAGGCACATCTCCTCCAACCTAAATTGGAATTATGGTAAGTCGTCAAATTCTATATATTTCAGGCGTATGTGAATAAACACAGATAAAACTGCTACAGAGTAGTAATATTTGTACCTTGAACAGTTCCTTCAGGTCATAAAACTGTCCATGAATGTCACCGCAAACCTGGAAACAGAGGATTGGTGTGAATTGTACATGTGGAGAAACATCAAATTGAAAAAGCAGAAGAATTTCTTACAGTCACTGGAGAGTCTACTCTCTGAACATTACTTTCCTCCACAAGAATTTCCCTGGTAAAGACAAATACATTGTTTAACCATTTCTCTTAAGATTGATGTGAACAGACATGTAATCACATGTCAAAAGATATCTGAATACCTTGCTTTTCCACATAATTGCTTCACCTCATTTTCAGTGATGAGTTCACATTTTCGAAGCTTTTCTATTTGTCTGGAAAAAACCAAGCACATATATCACAATTTTACTACTGATTATCAATGCCTTCAAATGCACAAACCAATTTTAGTATCTTTAATACTAGTTGATACTAAAAGTCTCTACTTCCTAAATATTAAAAAGTATCTTTTCTGAAACATTTTAGATCTTTCAATAATTTTATAGATAGTTCAAAAACAACAGTTTATGTGCAATTTGAAAAAACCGGGAGATATATAGAGACTAGAGTAAGCATACGATTATAAGGTAAGCTTACAATATTTTCTAGTATTAAGATAGAATGATAGATATCTCGTTTTCAACTCACAATAGATTTTAAATTTTTCCTCAAACTCACCGGTCTAAATCGCTGCAACAGGAATCCACCATGACTTGAGTGTATATTTATTATATCTTTCAATAATATAATAGTAAATATTGTCTAATAAATCTTAGTTACCGAATGTTTACAATTCAAAATATCAATTCAAATACAGTTGGCACTCTTGATCATGAAAAACCTTCCCAAACGGCCGAATCTCGATTCAAAGACGAAATCGGGTAGTATAGAATGAATATCTAGGTCAATGGCTGCACAACCGTTACGTTTTTGAAGATTTAAGCCAAGAGAAAGTCATAATAAAAACATTTTCGATCAATGATCATTAAAAACTATCAACCTCATTCATGATATTTTTCTCAGATTATTTCCCGCATTATTTTTTATCCCCCAGTCTTCGCTCGGTTGTCGAAAAAAATAACGAAATTTAGTCGGAGCTCTTGGATTAAAGATTAGGATTTAGAAGAGGGATAAAATTTGTGTTAGCATGGGGATTAGATTTAATTCCAGGTTCAGTATATCCGAAATCCTAAGAGGATTAGGTCAGGATTTAATACATTTCCGGTTCTAAAAACTGTTCCTGTTTTTCGTGGAAAACCAATTACTGGTATATATTATCGCTCAAGCCACATGTGGTTCGAAGACCACATAAGACAACCGCGTTGCTTATTTTGTGCATATTTTTTTATCAATAGGAACCTGCCACGTTGTTAGGAACGCTACTGTTTAAAGACTCGCCCAGGCAAAACGGGTCATTTTTATTTTAACCAGCTTTTTTAACACGATTATCGGCAGATACATGTCTACCTGGTGTACTTTCGCTTTGCAGTGATTTTCCCGTGGTCTGTATGGCATGGCGGAAGCTGTAGGTATGTTTCGTAAACTTTGTTTGCTAAACTGTGTCAAAAAAAGGTGCGACTTTAAATAACACTAATGTGGCTTCTAGCCAATATTAAACACTGTGTTTATGAGAAATGCAACGAATATAAGTGTTCTGCATTTTGATAAGTTTTAGTAAACGGTTTCCATATATAATTCGCATACTTGTTATGCTTGGATACCCCAGTCGCAATTAGTTTTGCATATTCATGAATCATGGCAACTCTTTGTGTCAATATAAAGAGGACTTGTGACCGCCAAAGTCTTCTCGTTTTATGCATGCATAATTCATAGTTATCTTAAAATAGTATCTTCTTCAAAAACACGGGTTAGTTGCTGCTCAGTCAAATGTAAAGAAATTGCATGGATTAAAGGGGTAAGGTTGGTGTTAGGATTAGTAGAGGGATTAGACTTACGTTTGAATCAAAGAATTAAGATTTCAAGGATTTATTTTTCAGTTAAATCCAAGTTTGGTCAGAGAGAACCCCCACTTACAAATCAGATTGTGAGCATATTGAATCGTTATCCTGATGGAGGGCAAATATTGAAGGTAATCAGCATTACCATTATTCAAGCAATCATTTAGCAGATTGAACATTCTTGTTTTCGAGAACCAGTTTACAATATTGACATGCACAAACAATTATTTTACCATGCTCTTAGGAATTGATTCAAAATGCTGATGACGCTGAAGCAAAGGAGGTTAAATTTCTATACGATGGCAGACAATTTGGTGTAAATAATCTTACTAGTAAACATCTGAAGGACTTCCAGGGACCTGCGCTTTATGCATTTAATGATGCAAAATTCAAAGAGAGCGATTGGGATGGGATACAAAATCTCATGAAGAGTAATAAAAAGGAAGATATTCTCAAAGTAGGAAGATTTGGTATTGGGTTCAACTCAGTGTATCACATCACAGGTTTGTGCAGATCATGAATTTAATTTGGTTGTTTGTTTGCACGTATTTTTTGCCTGCAATAAAGATATTAAGATAGTTCTAGTTTTGGAAGGACTGAAGTTGAGCAAAGATTCTAGCATGCATCTTTAGTCCTGATATTCATTTTTGCTATCAATAACAAGCAGCTTATTGAGCTAGCTCCTGCATGTATAAAGAATATCAACATCTGCATTTGTCTTAAAATGATGCAAACAAACAAATGTGTTATTACTACATTTAGTATTTCTTTTAAACTTTGATGGTAGTAATAGAATTGAATCACCTTGAATGCAACTTGTTAGATCTGCCAGGAATCGCAAGTGGGAAAAAAATTGGATTTTTGGATCCACATAAACGATGTTTTGAAAAGGGGGAACCTGGAGTACAATATGAGGTTGATTCAAAATTACTGCGACAGGAACATCTTCTTCGAGATCAATTTGAGCCGTTCAAAGGAGTGTTTGGTTTTGATTTTTGCGAAGAATATCCCCATACTCTCTTTCGCTTTCCATTGCGAAAATGTCCGTCTGAACTCTCACAGACAGAGTACACAAAGGAAAAAGTCGAGAAGCTTTTCAATTCGTTGCGCGAAGAAGCTCCAATCATTTTGTTGTTCATGAAACACATCCAACACATCAGCGTTTATGAACGTTTGGATGAAAATGACACGGTCAAATGTCTCTTCGAAGTTGAGATTGCTCGTGAAACACGCGAAGTTGTTCAACAGGAAAGGCAGAAGATGTTTGAAAAAGCTAAACAAGCTCTTAGTCTTACAGTTACGGAGTCAAGCTGTGTCGTTGACATTTCTTTATCTTCTATGAATGGCTCGGGCCACACGGATGAGTGTTTTAGATGGCTTGTAATCAACCAGATTGGCTTAGCTGAAAAAGATGAAAAGGTTGAAGAGCTTTCGAAGACTTTAAGTTTGCTTCCGTGGATTGGCTGTGCTGTTCCGCTTAACGAGAATGCCCAAAAGGAAGACAGCGGTCGGATTTTTTGTTCTTTACCACTTCCTCATGATGTCGACTGCAAGACAGGCCTGCCAGTTTTGGTGCATGGTGCATTCGGAGTCACAGACAACAGACGGGGACTTCTGTGGCCCGGAAATGAATGTCAAAATAACGAAACTGCCGAGTGGAACGTGCTGTTGGTGAAGAAAATCCTGTCCTCCGTTTTCCGCAAAGTTTTAAAAGCAATAATTACAGATCATCCTGCCACTGGTCTGCACGACGTGGAGAGACGTGATCTTGTCTATAACACTTTGCCGAAATTAAGCAATGTTATTGGTCACTGGAAGGATGTACTGGATCCTCTATTTCATGAACTTAAGCATCTCAACCTCTTTTTTACTCAATCATGCGGTCCTTCATCTTGGGTGACTCTGCAGGAAGGACTTCTTGATCAAATGAAAAAGGATGGCGTGTCTGATGAGACGAGGGGAATTGTCCTCAAAACACTGTTACAGAATCATTCTATTATAACAGAACTTCCTGAGCATGTGAGCGAGATTGTTGAAAAATATTTCGGTGCTGAGAAACAAGATATTACTCCGGAAATTCTGAGAAATTTACTCCTGAGAACAAACTCGCTACAGACGGCATCCCGTAATGATAAACTCCGGTTACTGGAATACGTGTTACATGATAACCCACAACCCCAAATGCTCACAGGAATCCCTCTTCTTCCTCTGTCATCTGGAGAATTCAAAAACTTCACTCACCATTCAAATCCTTCACAGTTGGTATTTGTGCCCAGCGACAACTGTAGCGAAGATTTACTTCCAAATATGCAAAACCATTTCCTAGACATGAATATTCCTGCAGAAACCCGTAAAAAGCTTGTTGAAATGGCGGCCTTGGATGAACCCACTGCAACACAAATGGTTTTACTCAGCCCAGATCTTGTCGTGTCATACTTACGACGCTGTCTTCCCGAAGAATGGTTCAATCCCAACCAAAATTTTGTTTCCTGGAAACATGATCATCCTAAACATCCACCAAAGAAATGGATCACAGATATTTGGCATTGGATCAATGAAATCTTTGAAGAATCTCTTGAGAAGTTCGAAGGAATCCCGCTGATACCGTTTGAAATCGAATCGGAGGCTAAACTTGGCGTGCTTTCAAAAACCTCCAAGTTCATATTCAGTTCAGATGCTTCTCAGAATGTGCAATTGCCTCAGCAGATTGTGAAAGTTCTCCAAGCGTCAGGCTGCGTTGTCCTACCCTGTCAACCGACATCCCCCCACGTGCGTCACCCCGATATCTGCTCTTACATTGCGTCTCCCGTCCCGACGGAAGTGATCCAGAAGCTCCTCAGCTCTTCGTGGAATTCTGCCAAAGAGTACATCGTGAATTGCCCAAGAAACGAATGGAAAACGATCCAAAATTTTTTTGCATCGGTGCAGATGTCGGAGGATCTTCGTGAATCGTATGTTAACGCATTACGTGATCTGCCGTTGCTGGAGACACTTGGTGGAAAATACACAACCGCTGTTGTCGACGGTAGGAACCTTTGGGTTGCTTCGCCAGACTTCAAACTTCCAGATGGTTTCGACTTTCGCAAAGCGGACCACATCATCTCATCTGCTGAATCTGAATCCGCTCAACTGGTTGGTTTGTTAAAATTAGTTCCTTGCAAGCCTGTAGATATTTTTTGCCATTTTCTGTTCCCGGACATTGAGACCCAGTCGATTTACAACCGCGAAGAAACAACTAAGGTCATGTTATGGCTTCTGGAAAGAATCTGCGATTTTAAGGATGATTATTTCCACGACAAAATGAAGAACTTATCGTTTGTAAGCACGCGAAATGGGGAACTTAGAAAGCCAAGTCAAATCTATAACCCAAATGATCCTCTTCTAAGGGATTTGTTCATTGGTGATGACTCGAAGTTTCCGTCGAAGGAATTTAGTGAACCGCGTGTGATAGGAACGCTGACTGATTATGGGCTTCGAACACCAGACATGATAACTCCATCGGATCTCCCTGGAGCAGTTGAGACGGTCGCATCTTTAAAATACGAAGATTCCTTGAGCAAGGTGAAAGCGTTGATAGAAGTTTTACAACAGAATCCAAAGTTCTTACAAAAATCGATGTGACAACAAAGCTTGCTGGAATAGCGTGGCTTCCTCGCGCCAAGAAACACAAGAAAGGCTTCCCTTCGTTCATGCACAAGGAATGGTACAACACTGACATTATGTTTTATAAATCAGATGAAATATTTCGCGAGTCCCGCATGCTTCTCGTTGGAACTTCTGCTCCGATTCTTGGCGTTGACATTGAGAAAAGTCTTCAAGATGCATTGTGTATTAACAAAGAGGTAAATCTCGATCAAGTGATCAAACATCTCAAAACATGTGTTCGCGTCTGGGATGAGAAAAAGAAATCAACTTCGCAATATATTGAAATGCTCAAAGAAATCTACGTGTATCTTTCGAAAAGGCCTTCACAAGAAGACGTCTCCCGTATTATTCTGCAACATTTTGCAGAATATGGAGAAAAATGGATATGGCACGGTGCGGGTTTCTGCGCACCCGAACAACTCGCCCTGGAGAAAGATTTACCCTTTGAATTTCGACCTCCGCTTTTTCTGCTGCCCGAGGCTCTAAATGATGGGAAATCGCTGACGATTTTTTTTCGAAACCACGGGGTTCGTGAACAGTTTTCCAAAGAAGACATTATTTCCGTCTTGGTCGCCATTAAGAAGACATACGAGGAGACTGTACGTCCTATTTCGCTGAAGGAGCAGGAAAAAGATTTAAAGTTTTGTCGTTCCGTTCTCGAGTGGTTGGTAAGTGATGGACAGAAGTTGGACGAAGATCTCAGAAGGAAGATATTTGTTCCAGTGCAAAAAGACAAGAAGTTAGTCTTAGAGGAATGTGAAAAAGGCACGTATTGCGATCAAGAATGGTTGAAACATGGAAAAAGTGAACTTGATATTCCTGATGATATTCAACTGATCCACGATTCCATTACGACTAAAACAGCAATTCTGCTTGGAGTACCTTCACTAAGCTCCTGTCTGCTGTCGGCTGAGTGCGTTGAGTTTGAACAAACCGGACCCTACGAGCCGATCACAACAAGAATCAAGAATATTCTGAAAGAGTATAAAGAAGGTGTTGGTATTTTCAAAGAGCTTATTCAGAATGCGGATGACGCAGGCGCGGATACGGTCAAATTTTTGGTGGACTGGAGAACAGGGAAGATTGGCAGCTTATTCTCGCCTGATATGGCCCCAAGCCAAGGGCCTGCACTCTGGGCGTACAACAATGCTGTGTTCACTGATAAAGATTTTGAGAATATCAACAAGCTAGCTGGAGGAACGAAAGTGGAAGATCTTTCGAAGATTGGTCGTTTTGGGCTGGGTTTCAACGCTGTTTACCATCTTACTGACGTACCGAGTTTTATCAGTCGAAGCATCTTGTGTATTTTTGACCCAAATGTCAACCACATCTCAAACCACATTCGCGACAAGTCCCGTCCAGGAATCCGAATAGATCTTGCCAAGAACCCAAGGCCGTTGACAGCGTTCGCCGACCAGTTTTCCCTCTATAACGAAATCTTTGAATGCAAGACAACTCTGGATGATAAAGAGAAGTTCTCGTACCAAGGCACCTTATTCCGCTTTCCTTTTCGCACTGCGACTGAGGCAGAGAAGAGCGAGATGTGTCAGACTGTTTACAATCAAGTCGAAGTGAAAAGAATTGTAGATACTTTGCAGCGCAATGCATCCCTCATTCTTCTTTTTACACAAAATGTTAAGCGCGTTGAACTGTACGAACTTGCTGCTGAAGACTGCCCGCAAAACATGAAACTTATACTTTCTATCAATAAAGAAGTACTTTCTACTAATAAAGAAATTTCCACCATTCCGGAGGTTGTGCAGGTATCTCCATACATTAAACGATGCTCCAACTGGTGGAATGAAAAGCAATCGTTGAGTGAAGCACCGTGGTGTTTGGAGCAGGTTGAAATCCGGATTGATAAGGAAGACCCAACCACAAATGAAACTGGAGCGTGCGACGTAAAGACTTCTTCCTGGTTTGTGTCTTATTGTGTTGGAAAGGATCTTTCGATCAAACTTGCCAGGGAAGAAGGTGAAAAAGATGGTCTCTTGCCTCTCGCCGGTGCTGCTGCTCTCCTTCAAAGCAATTCAAATGATGATGCGATGATCGCTAAACAAGTTAATGGTGAAGCATTTTGCTTCTTGCCACTGTCCATTTCCACCGGACTACCCGTCCATGTAAACAGTTCCTTTGCTGTTCGTTCGAATCGCGATGGAATCTGGGAAAAGACCACGGCTGAGGAAAACTTGGAATCTCGCTGGAACGAAACTCTTTTACAAGATGCGATACCCGAGGCATATTTCCAACTACTCCACGGAATGGTGAATTTATCGAAGAATAATTCCTTAACACAATTCGATCAGCGTTTCCATGATTTCTGGCCGCGTCTTGCCACGTCAAAAACGTCGTGGACCGCTCTCGTATCGAGTTTTTATACAAAGTTATTAGCACAAAATTTGAAGCTGTTTTGCAGCACTGGAAAGTGGATGGACATTAACGATGGTTTTATCTTAGACGATGAGTTGCGAAGTCATGATCACGACAGAGTCGTGAGAACGCTGAAATTTATCGAAATACACGTTTTTGATCTTCCATCAGATGTCGTTACCGCAATGAAAGACTCCGCTAGTGATTCTGTCCAAAATGTTCTTCAGAAGCAGACGTTGAACTTTGTATCATTCTTTGAGCTCCACTTGTTCCCTAAGTTAGAAGTAATCCCGGCTGATTTACGCAATCCCATTGTCCATGATGGGCTACGCTATCTCCTGGACGAGACAAAGCAAGGCTATCAGAAACTGAATAGTTTATACAAGAAAACCAAATGTATTCCGTGTTCTCCCGATGGTGAAAAGTTAGCTCGACCGTGCGATTTGATCAACCCGAATGACGAAAGTATTTCTAGGTTATACTCGCCCGAAGAAGGCAGGTTTCCTCATGGAAATCTCGATAATACACAAATGTTTGTATTGGCCGAAAAACTTGGGATGGTTAAAGATCTTTTAAGTTGGGAAGAAATTCGTGGACGTGCGATGTCTATTGAGAAGCTAGCAGAGACGAACAAGGAAGCAGCTCTGCTACGCTCAAGGTATCTTGTCTATTATCTACGATGTAATATGGAGAGACTTAAACAGATGACAGATATTTCGCTTTGTCCTTCTCTTCAGAAAATAAATTTTTTACCGGTGCGTCTCACTGCCACAGAATCGTACACTTTGCCATGGAAAGGGGAGTCTTGTTCCACGCAGTTTCTGAGTCCTGGTGAACTGTTTTTGCCAGAAGATGATACCCTCATCGGCTCAGCCAGCTTGATCGTCGACGACACCGAAGAAAGCGGGTGTGGTTCACTGGAAGTTTTAAAGAGCGTTCTTGGTTTTTCTCGTCGCCCGAGCTGTCAACAAGTGTTTGAACAGTTGGATATTACCAGGAAATCACATGCGACCGACGAAATGAAAAATAGAGTGTGCAAACGTGTTTACAAACATCTAAATGATGAGCTGGACGAGAATTCAGACGTAACTGAAAAACTTCAGAATTCTCCGTGGCTTTACCTTGAAGGAACTTTCGTAGAAAACAAGAAGATTGCAATGAGCTGGAATGGGTACGCCGTGCCTTTTCTGTACAGTGTTCCAGACAGAGACAAACAAGAGTATAAAAAACTCCTCAAACTGGCAGGAATTAAGGAGTGCTTCACAGCCACCGATTTCATCGAAGCTCTAGATTTGCTCAGGGAATCCATGCAGGATACCCCTTTGTCACCAGAACATATACAACTTGTTGTGACGTTGATCAGGGAGCTAAGAGATCCAAGCGAGGCGGTTAGAAGACGTTTTGGTACAATACCATTACCTGACACAAGCGGTGTGTTATACGACAGCAAAGATCTAACCATCCCAGAAAGTTTTGCAGTGAAATACAACAACAAAGGCGAGCTTTTCATTCATCAAGAGATAGTCCAAAACACTGCTCGCAAGCTTGGAGCAAAAGCCTTGCGTGCAAGACGAAGGGAGAAGTATGGTAACACAATGTCTATATCTTTTGGGCAATTTGAGAAACTAACGGATCGTATAAAGAACATCTTAGAATCATACCCTTGTGATGCTGGAATCTTAAAGGAACTCGTTCAAAATGCAGACGATGCGAAGGCCACCGAAATTCAGTTCATCTACGACAAACGAAAACTTCCTCACGAGCGAGTTCTTCAAAATCAAGCGAGCGAAATCCAAGGACCTGCGTTATGTGTTTACAATAACAAACAATTCAGCGAAGATGATTTTAATGGAATCTGCAAACTTGGAATCGGGAGCAAACACGATGACCCTGCTAAAACTGGACAGTATGGAATTGGATTCAATGCCGTGTATCACTTAACGGACTGTCCTAGCTTTTTGTCCAACGATAGCACTCTTTGTATCCTTGATCCTCACTGTGAATACGCTCCTGAAGCTACTTTGGATGCACCTGGAGGACGTTATGACAACATTGATAACGATTTTAGAGATATCTTCTCTGACACTGTAAGTGGTTATCTTAAGAATCTCGATCGTTTTCCTCTGAAAAATTCCACCATGTTTCGACTTCCACTGCGAACAAGCGAACAAGCAGCTAAGTCTGAAGTATCGAGGATTGTTGCTACCGAAGAAATCATGACTTTACTAAAGAAATTTGAAGAAGAAGCGAAGAAATTGTTGCTTTTTCTCAATCATGTTAAGGAGATTGGTTTGTGGGAAATCGATGAGAATTCTGAGTTAAAACTCACATACTCGGTGAGTTCTAAACTTAAACCAAAAAGTGAGAAGAAATTACATGAGCTGCATGGTCACTTGCAAGACCACAAGAATTTAAAAACTCATGAGATTCTTATAAAGGACACTACGTATAGCATCCATATTCAGGACACAGAGAGACTCCAGGAAAAATGGCTCATTCATCAAATTTTTGGCATCAGAGAAGAAGCAATGAGCGATGAACAAACTCCAAACGTCTGTGATCTTGGCCTGTTCCCTCGTGGTGGAATTGCAGCGCTATTGTCGACGACGAATCGTCCAGATTTGGAAAAATATGTCGCGTACTGTTTTTTGCCTTTGCCTGTAACAACTTCGCTGCCCGTTCACGTCAATGGTCATTTTGCACTCGATGGATCACGACGAGATTTGTGGTGGGACCAGAGCAAGACTTGTCGGAAAACGAACTGGAATGGGTTCATGAAGGAACAAGTGCTTGGCCCTGCTTATGCATCATTGATCACGAAAATCAGAAAACATATTCCCTATTGTGAAAGAGAGTCAGAGAAGATCTTCTTCTCAAACGAAGACGAAGCAATAAAAGCCTTGGTTTGGTATCACAAATTATTTCCAGATCCTGAAAAAGATCCCGACTGGAATACTCTTGCCGTGGCTGTTTATAAGAGCTTAAAAGAGGCGCAAATTTTTCCAGTGGTCTCTCAATCACGTGGTGTTAACACAGCGAAGAAGCATCAATCTGATGAATGTGGGTCAGAGAAATCTTCTGGCACCAGAGAGGGTAGACGTGAAAATTCAGTTTTAATTGGTGGCCGTTATCGCAACGTGTCTAGCAAGCACGCTCCTCGCTTGTCACGGCATCGCGAAAAGGGAAGAAGATACAATTCGAAGAATGTGAAGATGGCAAGGTACGCTTTTGTTGCACAAAAACGATGTGAAATAGTGACAAAGTTTTCTATCGAGTGGCTGCCTCCAAACCTTGTCTACTTCACTGAAGAAAAAAAGCGAATCGAACAACAGGCTCTGTTGTTAACCGCACTCTTAGAGATCCGTATGCCAGTGTTATTATATACTCCAATGAGAATCTACAAAGCATTGAAGAAGTCTGAGGTTACAACCAATCTCCTTTCTCCGGAAAATGTCATCGATTTCATGTTGAAGTCGCAAGATGAAAGCTCCAGGTGTGTCATTGGAAAACTTCCTATCCAACTGGGGCAATCAAACATTCAAAACGAGTCTAATTTACGAAGTATTTTTCAATATTGCAAGTCGAAACTTGAGGAATTACCTTCAAATCTCGAAGGGCTGCCACTTCTGTTGACGGCTGATAATATGTTGAGAGCGTTTACTGCGAACAGTCCCGTGTATTGTACAGAATTTATCGATTTGTTTCCTGACAAAGCTTCTAGGTTCGTTCATCTTCAATTTGTTCCGCTATTGTTATCATTTTGTGAAGTTGATGAAGCCGAACTTGGTATTATCCGTCATCTCACCATCACGTCGTTAGCTGAAGAATTTATGCCGGACGTCTTCCGTGACAAATTACCGTTGGGTGAGACAAAACATGTCCCATGGAGCTACCCAGAAAATGGCGTCCTCTCAAAGGAATGGTTCAGAATTTTATGGAAGTTCTTGAAAACTGTCGAACGATCGGAAAGAGAAGATACTATTCCACTCCTTGGTAAATATCCGATTATACCAACCAAAGATGGCAAGCTAGCAACGGTTGATAACTCCAAATCTGTGTTGGCAATGACTATATTCAAGACGAAGTCTTTGAATTCACTCCAGAGGCCGGTTGCAAAAATTCTGGAAGACCTATCATGTCCGTTTTTAGATGAATCCATTACAGAATATGGTTTGCCTGTTGTCCTTCCATTAGTCGCTCACCCAGACAGCGAATCAGATGTACTTCATGTTCTCGACTATATGAATTCGACTGGAATACTCGACTTGAGCAAATTTGACGACGAAAAAATTTTCACTCTTTTGAAATTTTTTCAGGCTGATTGCGGAAACGAGACGTCTATGGGAAAAGCTAAAACATTACCGTTCTACAAAGGCGTTGATGGCAATTATTATTCGCTGTTGTTGCATTCCTCATACATTAAAATTCCAGCTCGCTTACCAGAAGATGGCATAAGAGAACTACAAAGTATTTATGGAACGAGAGTGTTGCTGTTTCCCTCATCACTACCGTCAGAGTTGAATCAATTGTTCGCGGCTCTTGGGATTGAGGTGAACTGCCGTGTTTCTGAGTTTTACATCAAATACGTGTTGCCAAATTTTTCATTATTATCTCGTGAATGCCAAATAAAATTTTTAACTTGCATCAGAGGAACGCTGCGCTTCGATTTGATCGAAGAATTGAAATGGACAAGATGTATTCCTGACCAAACTGGAAACCTTTGCTTTGCTTCCAGATATCTCAATCCACACAACGAATTATTTCAAGCGATGTTTAAGACTGATGCAGACGTTTTTCCAGCATCACCGTTCAATGAAATGAAGTGGCTCGAATTCCTTCTCCAAATAGGAATGAAGGAAAAATGTGACCAGGAACAGTTCATTGAATTTGCAAATAACGTGGAGCAGTCTGCACAGAAATTGACCGAATACGATGAAAACATTATAGCTCAGTCCAAAGCACTCGTCAAGTACCTACTAGGAAATGAACGCGATGGGACCTGGTCATTCTACGGTATTCCTGAAATAAAGTTTATCGTCCCTAAGGAAATCGAAGAAGAGCTCTCTTCTATTCATCCCCAGCATCGTGCAGATGGAATTCTGGAATTTGTTTCATATCGTGATTCAGTGCCGTGGGACCTTAGACACCTAATTTGGACAAGTTATAAACTTCTACCAGATTGGGCTTTTCCTCGTCATAATGAGAGTCTTATTTCAGCGTTAGGAATAACTTCAGAGCCACCTCTTAATGCTGTGTTTCAGCACATAGAAACCATGTCCAATTGTGCTTCGAAGATAATCGTGTCGGGTAGTACTTTGTCGGAAAAGCTTAAGGAAGTGTTTAAAACAACCTACGAATTCCTGGTGAACCTGATGAAACACTGCGCCAAAGAACCTTCCTCAGACTGTAACGAGAAGTGTCAGAAGATTGGAGAGTGTTTAAAATCTGTTGCTTGTATTCTGCTCAACGAAGAACGATGTTTGGTGAGAGGTGAAAAACTTTCAATTGAAGACACAAAAGACAAATTGAAACCGCATTTTTATAAAATACCACGCGACTATGCTCCGTTTGATCATCTCCTGAAAAGACTTGGCGCTACGGAGAAGATCTCCGCTTCACAAATGGCCAGTGTTCTCAAGTCTATCAAAGATTCTTCCACAGATGAAAAGATGAATTCTGAAGAAGAGGAAAAGGCGTGCTTTGCTACTTCTGTTTTGTTCAAATCACTCCTTGACGATAAAGAGACCGAAGCTGATTCAAGACTGGCAAATTGCGAGGAGCTTCTTTTGCCAAGCATGGCTAAACGACTCATAAGCTCCGACAAGTTGGTTTGTAAAATGCAGCCCCGACTCCGCGAGTCAGTAGCGAAGCAAGGCTACGAGATTTTGATGCCTTTTGAAAAATGCGGAATGAAACGTGAGTTGGAAAACGACTATCTTCAAGCTCTTCCTAATCGTCTCCGGCCAACGCCGTTAAGCGAACTGGTACGCGAAGAGTTACATCCGCTGTGTAAGAAGGACATGAGTTGTACTTTATGCCTGGCGATGGATTACCATTCGTTTATCCAGAAGGTTCATTTTACTTTTGCGATCCTCGCAATTTGAGCGCGGTATCATACGGCTCTTGAAGCACCAGAAGGAATTGACAGAGCTTGATGAAAAAGACAGAGAAAGAGCCGCACGATTTACTTCAGCTAAGGTTAGTCGTCATGTTTTTCGAATTTTCTAATTCAAAAGTTCAGACACAAACCACGACAGCTTATTGTAGAATACTACCTACACTGGACCACCACGTTTGAGATCTCTTTCTCAGGTAGTTCAGACACAAACCACGACAGCTTATTGTAGAATACTACCTACACTAGACCACCACGTTTGAGATACCTTTTTCATGTAGTTCAGACACAAACCACGACAGCTTATTGTAGAATACTACCTACACTGGGCCACCACGTTTGAGATATCTTTCTCAGGTAGTTCAGACACAAACCACGACAGCTTATTGTAGAATACTACCTACACTGGGCCACCACGTTTGAGATATCTTTCTCAGGTAGTTCAGACACAAACCACGACAGCTTATTGTAGAATACTACCTACACTCGACCACCACGTTTGAGATATCTTTTTCAGGTAGTTAAGACACAAACCACGACAGCTTATTGTAGAATACTACCTACACTGGACCACCACGTTTGAGATATCTTTTTCAGGTAGTTCAGAAACAAACCACGACAGCTTTTGTGGAATAAATAACACTTCTTTTCTTTGCATAAGTCTCTCTATTTCTATATTAAAGCTGACTACGATCAAATGTATGCAACAAGTTCAAATCCACCTTGTTAACGTATTGAAGGAAGAACCATTGCCAGGAAGCTCAGTCGACAGATCGTGTCATGTAGAAAAGGAAGAGAATTCCTGGACACTGTATATTCAACACGAATTTGGAGGCAGAAAGAACCACGCCATCTTCGCGAAAGCTGTAAATGAAATCATGGACAGATGTTTAGAACAAACTGCCGAGTTAAGCGATATGCTCTCTTGCGACTCGCCTTCCCAGATACCAGGAGTACTTAACGACCATGACGTTGCGATTGATTATAACGAAGAAAATGAACAGTTTGGTCTTCCTGTGCCGGATGTTTACCACTATCTCATTATTCAAAAACCACTCTGTAATTACGAGGAAGGAGCTCGGGTTGCCTATGACGAGGACGAAGGTAATAAAATATGAAATATCCAGTTAATAGTTTGAAAATCACTTATGTAAACACTGCATCTATTGTAATTTTTAAGATGTTTGTTAGTTTGTATCGCTTGAAGAAAGTGTGTAAGGTGGTGTTCCTCAGTTCTGAAGCCTTTCCCAATCTTTTAATGGTGGGTGAATATTATTTACAACCGAAATATTTACTAAGCACTTTTCTCTTTTGGTTTTTCCACCAGGTTGCGCTGGAAATTGGAAAGAAAGCGAGCTAAAGGAGACATCGATTAGATACAAGTTCGTAAAGATCAACAGTCGTGCCAATGCTATTGACAAAGATGCCAATGAATTCGACTTCAAAGCTCGGTACAAAATTGATCTCGGCAGCAAAACTGACTATAAAATAGTGAGTGTCCTTGATCTTTATAGTTACAAACAGAACGAGATGGGAAGTCTCGTTCCAGACGATGAAGATGACGAAAAAGTAAAAGTGGATGTTTTGGTAGAAAAATCTAAAATCACTCGGGCACTTAAACTTGCCAAGAACAACTTGGACTCATTAACACAGCGAGAAAAGGTGATAAGGCGTCTTTTCCTACATTGGCTTCGTTGTAAGGACTCTGAAACTGCAGATGAGATAACCAAATTCATAGAAAATGAAGTCACAAGGCTGAAGATTCTGTGTCTGGAAGAAACGCGAGCCTTTTCAAGTTACTGGAGAAGTTATGGCAAACGTGAGAGGACGACATATAGAAGCTACAATCGTTGGACGTCGGTATGCGACAGTCCTGGCGGTTACCATGACAGCGGCAGTAATCGCGGTTACCATGACAGCGGCAGTCATGGTGGTCATTATGATCCTTGGGATTACGTAAGCCCCGATGCAAAGGAAGCAGAACGATGGATCAAGCAATCGCAAGCAGATTTGAATGTCGCCACGTGGTTGCTCGACAAATCCTTTTCACAAGTATGTTATATGAGCCAGCAATGTGTGGAGAAAGTTTTGAAAGGTGTTCTGTACGCCAAGTGTGGAATACCACGAGTGGAATTACGTACCCACCATATATACCGGCTTGTAAATGTATGCCGTGGCCTCGACGAAGCCCCAAGCGAAGCCCTGGATCGAGCTAGTAGCGTTGGAGGTTACTACCTTCCAACACGTTATCCTGACAATCAACCGCAGTATCGAGTTCCCGCTGAAGAATACACCGAGGAACAAGCCAAGCAAGCGTTAGATGTTGCTGTAACAATTTTTGCAGTTCTTGAAAAATTTGCCTTCAACTAAGCGAAGATTGGACAGATTTAATCCGCTGTCGTTTAGGAATAGTTCATATTATTTGTTAGGTTAAAAGACAATGCAAACACTCTTTGCAATGCAGTTAAAGGTGGCCTCTAGTGGTCATGCTAATAATGATCATAATATGACCATCTTTTCTGTTCTGGTGTTATGCAAAGTTTTGCATTTCAATATTATTCTTCCATCTTTTTTTACTGTATTGTTATTATGATGAACATATACATCAATATTATAGAGATGTTACTCGATAAGCATTTTGATTGTTAGTCAAATATTTAACTATGAATAATGTAATCGGTCGAGTATAGCTATTATCAGTTTTTTAATTAGCACTAGTCAATAATCATGCATGCCTTTTTGAAGATTTTTTAATTTGGGAAGTAACCACCGCGAAACTAGATTTGTAATTTATGATAGAATATTTTACTTTTCTATTTTTTTAATATGACTTTGCTCGTTATCATCACGCATGTCATTTACTGGTTTGCTAAATGAAAGCATTTGTTTCATACCTGCCCAAATAGCTCAGCTAGTCACTTGTGGTATTGCGAAGAATTTATTTGTCGTGATTATATAGTGATACAATTATAGGAACTGCACGAGGTGATTGTGATGTATGAAACCATTTTAATAAAATGATTCAAATTCTAGGATGTAATACTGATGCTGTGTCTTCTGTGTCTAATACTTGCGGTAAAAATCTCACAACAAAGCACATTTTTAACGTTCATTATTTATTAAAAACAACCTGTTGTAATATGTCATTCCCAAATGCGTGTGATATTGTTTATGACAAATTGTCTTACTGAACGTTTCAAATAAACCTTGAAATTTATCACTGTTGGCATTTCATTCTTTTTCATAGAAGTCTCTACAGGAAATCAGCCTAACTAGGCTGAAAAGGATCTCGTCTGGGAGAACTGTTCTTCAAAAGATGTCGATTCGTCTTTACGATTCAAAACTCGAAGAAGATGGATTGCGCACTTATGTATTTATCGTCGAGAAATTTTCTTCAATTGGTTCCGAAATCTACTCAAAACCTTTTCACTTCGCTGGTCATCGTTGGAAAATCCAGGCTGGGATTAAAGAAAAGCACTTTGGAGCGTTTTTACGCTGGTTGAGCGGTGGGGAACACAGTAAGGGTGTGAAATGCAAGGTGAACTTCACGTTGGGCGTTTTAAACAAGGGGGAGATTTCAAAGTCAATTCGTCGCGGGAATATGACAGATAAGCCCGACGAATTTACAAAATCAGGATGTGGTATTGGCTGGGGAAAGTTGGCCTCTCTTGAAGATCTCGAGAGTGATCGTAATTTCATAACAGACGATACGATCTTGGTTGAACTGCATTGTCGTTTAGACGAGACGACATTTGAGAACAGGTTACCGTGCGCGGCGAAAGCTGGGGATAAGTTCATAAAGAGCTCAATGTTTTCATTCTGCAATAGTCGTTGGTCCATTATCATGTTTCCTAATGGACCGCCAAGTAAGAATGACGTCCCGCCTCAAAACGACAACGTCGCTGTTTATCTGCATTGCGAAGACGTCGGATTGCTTCGTTACAAGGTCGGCTTCTCGTTTCACGCTCGTAGCAGGCTCGCAAAGCAACGGCAAATCACGTATAACTTTTTCGATACTTCTCACGATACGTCTTGCAACGCTTTTGGTATCGAGCAATTTATGCCTTCAAAGGAACTCAAAAGAATCGCAAAGAATGGAAAGGTTAAGATCAAAGTCAAAATCAAATTCATGGAACCATACTTCTATCTTGCGCTTGATCCAGCGAACTTGAAGAACACAGAGGGAAAGATGTGTACACGTGAGGACTTGGTGGATCAATGTAATAACCCTCTTGCCTTGACCCTCGAAACGTCCCGAGACGAGAAGCTCGTTTTCAAATTGAAATATGATCCGCAATTTGAGAACGAGGCTCTGGATGAGATGCCGTATTTTAAGAAGATTTTTTGGCGAGCTGTTCTCAACTCGTTCGAGGATGATTCCGAAACGGTCGTCGTGTCGTCGTCGTCGGAAGCCGGGAAGAGTTCGTTTTGTTACAGCGAAGCCGAGTGCTCGATTGCATCCAGTTTAGATATCAGAAAGGTGGGAACCATTATTATCTAGTGACATTGATTGAGTGAGTGTTGACGAGAATCTGAAAGCAAGAGTTTCCATTTTTGATAAATTCTTCAGCTCTCGTGACCTAGTCAAAGGAAGACAAGAATTGCCAGAGAGTTGAATTAATAGCACGTAAAAAATGCTATTAGCTATCAACTTTTATCAAAATTTCACTATTTCGAAAGTCAAAAAGCTTGAGAAGCACTATCATTGACTCATATAAACTTTCTTTCTTTGTCTGCTGGCTTGCCTTTTCTTTTCTAATGATCAGCGTTTCTTGAATAAACTTTTATTACATTTCCTCCACAGATTGAAGAACGAGGTAGTGTGTTCCTGGACGAAGAAGATATGCTGAGTGTTCATGTTTTTATCGACGATGCAAATCTTGTTTATGATCCATTGCTTGATCCTCTCACGAAACAGAGCGTCTCAAAGTTGAGGGAAGAGAAAGACCAAAGATTGAGGAATTTGGAACGAGAATGGTAAGGTATCACTTGGTCTATAAACCTGTTTTTATACAAGAACTTCAGTATTGATGAAATCTGAACTAAACAAACGCTTATACGTTCTATACCTCTAACAATTCTTTCTAATGCATGTAGGAAGCTTCTCTTACAAATTTAATGAATACTCTCATGAATCAAACTAAGTTGACCGAGCATTCTTTTGTGTGTTCCGGTTAGATTTGAAAGGATTTATATAATTTTAAAACAGTGAAAGTTTCATCGAAAACACAATGGCGGAGAAAGATGTGATCATATCAGAACAGGAGGAGCTTTTGGAAGAACGCGATTGTATTATCAGTAAACAAGAGGGACATATCGCTGGCTTGAAAACAGAAATGGAAGACAACGATAAATATTTGAGTGAACTTGTTGACGGTAAAGATGAGGTAAGAGTTTGGACTTGAGAGGCAAGTTCTTTCGACCTTCTTCAATAAGTATAGTAGATAACAGAACTTGGTTCAATTCTAGTCGTTAAAAAAGGCTTAAACTACAACGAAGTAATATCTTCTGATTATAGACTGACCACTTTTTTGTTTTATCATTGTGAAGGGTGAAGCGAGCAAACTCCTCAAACGTAGTCTTCGACAATTGATCAAAAATGCGAAACCGTCAAAAGACGAAATAAAAGCACAGAAAACGGTCGAGAAGAAACTCAGCAAATTCCTGAAGGTTTGTCAACAAATAGATCAATAGTTCCGTTAATAGAGTAGTTTTGAATACAAGCTGGTCTGATGACAAATATGTTTTAGAAAAAGCTACCATTTAACATCAGTCGTGTGTCAGCTGTGGGTTCTTATGGACAGAAAACCACGTTAAAAGGATTGAGAGAGTGTGGTCTTGCCATTGCTATTCAAGGTAAGATTTGTCAGGAAGAAACGAGTCATTTTGAAGTGTAAAACCTCCATTTTTGGTTCCCTACGGGAATAGTTTAGTACAAATGTTATTGAGGATTCAAAGTTAGTTCAGTCTTCTCTTTTACCCAGATCTTCCTCGCACAGAACATGATAGCTGGCTACCAACGATCGTGGGCACCATTAAGACATTACTCAATCAACGTGATAAAAGCGACAGCACGATACCACCATGTTCTGAGTTCAACACCACATCATCGACCGTCAATTTCAGATGTGCTGACGTCGATGTTGAACTCACACCAATCAATGACTGGGAAAATAATGGTGGCTTCCAGGCCCTTTATCAAATGAGCCTGAAACAGAGCGCTGACGTGCAAGTTCAGTGAGTATTGGGAACGATATTAAGTATCTCAATATAAACCTGAAGTGATACCGTTTTATACTTTTGCGTGTAAGTGTTAGTGTGAAAAGAATTATTTTTTTTATCATCTTTTACAGTTACAACAACAACGTATGTGAACTTCAAGCAGCATTTATCGCCAATCAACCTGAGAAGGTAAATCAGTTGTTCTCCAATGATGTCTGTGGACAAAGCGTTAAATTAAACACTTTATTTTCCTCGTTCATTCCAGTGTAAAGATTTGATACGAGTTGTGAAGAAGTGGAGCCGTGATATTGAATGGGATCCTGGGACCAAACCAAGCGACTATCTTCTGTCATTACTCGTTGTTCAAGCCTACGAGATCGTGCAACCGTAAGTAGGAAAGAATAAAATTCCAAAGGCAATGGGGCTCGGAACCGCGCGCCTGCTAATAGAGTCCGGGAAAATTTTGAAATATAGGTCTCTGAAATCGCCGCAAATGCCTCTCAATTTAAGGATTAATAGAAAATAATAGAAGTATGTAAAGTTTTCAGCATGTTTGGCGCTCATATACAAATATTAAACAATATAACCTTGCTTTGGTTATAATGTCAAATATTTTGACATCGATAACCACGCTGTTTTAATGGTCAGAACCATTGGAAGACACTTGAACCATTCTTTCTTGTACTGATAGAGACATGGTCGAGCAGTCGTCGGCAGATCTCGACGTGTTGTTGGAGATGGCTGATATAGTAAATGACAGTAACCTCGAGTGAGTATGTAGCGGACGGAACGAATACGAACTGTCAATTAAACTTGTCAATCCATTATCTTCCTAATTTTGGTTTACATTTAGATTATCCTGGGACACGGACAACTACATCTCTGCGCAGTATCCGCGGCAGTTCTTCCCCAAACCCTTCACACAACCTATCGTCCAGGACCCCGCTATCCCCACCCACAACGTGGCCGAGTCAGGCATGGAGGATTGGAAAGAATTTCGAAAAAGGTTCAAGGAATGGGTTATCTCATTGACTCCTTGATAAAGTTTCAAATACCATTGTATCCAATCTTGTTTCATCGGTATTCAGACAAGATTTCCTGGGGTTTTCTCCGAATCAGATTTTAGTTGGAAAATCAGGGGGGTTAATTTAGTAGATTGAGAAATCAGGGGGAGGTAGAATTTAGCCAAAATTGACAAGGTAGTCTTTTCTCTCAACAAAATATCTTTATTTATAACTCTTCTGTTTTGGTAGTTTTGTTTATTGATAAATAGAGATTAAAAGACGTGAAATATTTCTCTATGTTGCTTCTAGATACTTTTAAATTACAAGACTGAAAGGATTTCATTTACTGTATTTAAAAAATTTATGATTTCATAAATGTCTAGTTCAGCCGGCCGGAGTAGAGTAAAATGGCGCACTTCGTAGACCTGGAAACTACTATGTCTTCATTGTCTCGCAGCCAATCAGAATCGAGCATTTTGTTCACAGAATTCAAAAAGAGAAACAAAAATTGTTACGAGTGGAGAAATATTTGCAGATATTTGACAACTTTTGTGTGTGTTTTTTTGAAGAATTTTCTCTTCAGTGTTGCTGTGAAGTTGACAAGATGTTTTCCAGTCCTTCGGTGGATAAAGAGAATGTTTTAGAAGAGGTAAATTTGTATTTTGCTGCCTTAGAAAGTTGAATTGAAAGATCGCTATTTTAATGTGTGCATTGTTGATTGTTTTCATTATTTCTGTACTCTTTGATATATGCCTCTGATACTGGATGGTTTTGATAATTTTACCACGGTTAAACACTAGCAATACAGTGAATAGAAGAAATGAGTAAAATCATCTGGCATTAAAATACGAAATATATAAAATGGAGCAGTGTTAGAGTTATAAAGATATGGAGCATTGTTTGGCTGATGGCACAGCCATTGCACTAAGATGCATCTGCTTACTACCATGTTTTTTGCTTTTGTATAGATTTTTGCTACAACACCTGGCAGAGCACCTCTGAAGACTGTCCAAAAGGGAAGCATTGCAGCCGTGGGGACACCCTTGGGGATAGCGAAGAGAACACCAAGGCCAGGGTCTGCACATGCCACAACACCTAGTTTCCGTAGGCTGGCAAGAAGATTGAAACGACAGAGTGTACCGTTTGCTTTATCAAAGCCAGTGTCAATATTTGACAACAATGGAAAAGGTATCTTCACAGGAAATCCTGTCTTTGAGGAAGGCGGACAACAATTGAAAAGAAATGGACCAGGGTTGAATGAAATGATACAAGACAAAGTCTCTGAAACTGTTATCAAGATTAGGGAGGTATATCAATTAATATAATTATATAATTATCATTAGCAAACCATCATTATTATCACCAGTGATCATTACCATATGCCGCCCATCATCATAAACAAAATCATATATTCTATAGAGGTATGAGGCAACCTTAGCTCAGAAACAACATGATCTTGATGAAAAGAATATCATGATCTCACAGCTACAATCAGAAATCAGCCTTCTAAAACACTCTCACAATGACAGCCAGACACAGTCAGAAAAAGTAAACCAGGATTTGAGCATTTCAAACTTTGTGAATGAAGTAATCTCAAAGGCTGCTCAAGAGATCCAGAATGAAGATTCCACAGCAGAAACCTGCGACCTGCAACCTTCCTCTGTTGATTTAATACAAAATACCTCACCAGTAAAGCTTAGAGGTTGCTCAACTGCAATCACACCAACAAAATTGGTTTCTGCAGGAACATCTCCAATAAAACTTAAACTAACAGAAAACGAGACATCCATGACGCCCGTCTTGAAGATCCATGAAGCAACTTCGGTAACCCCGGTTGGAACAGCAGACGCAATGCTGGCAACCTCTCCTGCTTGTCTGAAAGATGCAGGAATTTCCACATCACCTTTCTGCCTGCTGGACTCAACAACAAACACATCTCATAACTGTTCACTCAACTCAGTGCAAGAGACCTCATCCACGAGCACCAAATCTGATGGAGAACACAAACCATATCCTGGATCTAAAGGCGGTAGCTCCATTCCAGATGGGAATGATACCGATCCATCCTTCAATTGTGCAGAAGAAACAGCAGTAGCTGCACCTATAAAACCGGAGCAAGATTTTGGAAGCCTGAATGTATCCTCACAGAGAGAATCCTGTGGGACCCCACTCTCTTCAATACATATAACAGATGCAGATAATGGTCACGCCTTTTCCGACAATACCCTAAAGGAAATTGGAACATCAATGACACCCGTCACCCTAATACACAAACACACACTGGTGTCTCCAGTGCAAACATCAAATGTATCAATATCCACCTCGCCCCTTGTTGCTGCTCTCCATCCAGAAATCATTACAAGCCTGCCACTCAGTCAACTCCGATCCGAACTAGAATCAGCCGCAATCAGCAATGAGCTTCTGAGAAGCGAATGCGACGAGCTTAGCGCAAAGATTGAACTACTGCAGTCATCTGTCGACAAGGCAAGATCTGAGGCTGAGAGGAAATGTAGCTCAATGCAAAATGTGGTAGATTCTCTTACAAAAAAACTTGAAGAAGCTTTGGAGCTCAATGAGGATATGGAAAGGAAGAAGGTGAAATCGTTTATAAAATCACAATACAATACAGTTTTATTACTTTTCAAGTACTTTTATAATGGTACATGATTGAGAAAATCATAATCCCTTGGGTCAGCTCTATAACCTAGCCTATTGTACAACTGGCTAGAGTTTAGCAATTAAACTGCTGAACCGAGCTCGCCAGCCTGCCCCACTGCTAAACTCCAACTGTTCTCATTATCATTACAGCCTTTGAACGCTGAGGAATATGACAAAACCATCAGCAGTCTGCAGAAAGATATCTTGTTGAAGGAGAAACAGATGACATTTTACATCAAGGTACTCGTGAGCTAAACTAGGTGTTGCTTGAAAAACATATGAAAACAAAAACCATGCATGTTATGATAGTTTCATAGGCCAGCACTGGAAATCGTGAACACTTGAGCAAGCTGATTATGCAGTAATTTTTTGCATTGTATGTGTTAATTAAACAGAAAGCATCTGAAGCAGATAACTTACAAAAAGACTTGCGAAGAATGTATGCAAAATACAATGCACAGGTATGAATCATTGATACTGTTTAGTTAATATAATATACTATGCAACTCTATCTGTTTGTAGAGGTCCAGTAAGGATCATCTCTTATTGATCCAGTGTTACTACAGGAGCAAACCTAAACTAAACCAACTTTATTTATACTGGATAGCTCTATCAGTTCTAAACTGTTCTTCCTAGAGGTCCAGTAAGGATCATCTCTTATTGATCCAGTGTTACTACAGAAGGAAACCTAAACTAAACTAACTTTATTTATACTGGATAGCTCTATCAGTTCTAAACTGTTCTTCCTAGAGGTCCAGTAAGGATCATCTCTTATTGATCCAGTGTTACTACAGGAGGAAACCTAAACTAAACTAACTTTATTTATACTGGATAGCTCTATCAGTTCTAAACTGTTCTTCCTAGAGGTCCAGTAAGGATCATCTCTTATTGATCCAGTGTTACTACAGGAGGAAACCTAAACTAAACTAACTTTATTTATACTGGATAGCTCTATCAGTTCTAAACTGTTCTTCCTAGAGGTCCAGTGAGGATAATCTCTTATTGATCCAGTGTTACTACAGGAGGAAACCTAAACTAAACTAACTTTATTTATACTGGATAGCTCTATCAGTTCTAAACTGTTCTTCCTAGAGGTCCAGTAAAGATCATCTCTTATTGATCCAGTGTTACTACAGGAGGAAACCTAAACTAAACTAACTTTATTTATACTGGATAGCTCTATCAGTTCTAAACTGTTCTTCCTAGAGGTCCAGTGAGGATAATCTCTTATTGATCCAGTGTTACTACAGGAGGAAACCTAAACTAAACTAACTTTATTTATACTGGATAGCTCTATCAGTTCTAAACTGTTCTTCCTAGAGGTCCAGTAAAGATCATCTCTTAATGTTACTATTATTTTCAGCACCAGTCATACATGACAATGGAAGAAGAAACGAAGAAACTCAGTGAGAACTACAGCGCAAAGTGTGTCAACTACGACGCATTACAAAGTGAACTTTGTGACGTGAAAGTTGAACTACAGCAAGCTCTTCAGGAGATTGAGGCTCATGGTAAAGTCAGGGAGGAGGCTAAAGAGCATCAAGTGAGATGCAGCATTCTTGAAGAACAGATTCAGGTTTGTCTCAAATAAGTAGATTTGTATTTTAAACCCCCAACTAGGGCGATTCGGAAGGTTAATAAGAGAAGCACTTGTTGGAGGTGATACAGGGTCAAGGGCCAGGGCAGACGTATCCATCCATGAAATTTTTCTTGTGTGCATTTAACCGGCATTTTCTTCCTCTTCAAATTCTTCAACATTCAGAGCTCTAGCTGAGGTGCCGGGAACCGACTTATAAATAGTAGAACCACATTTCTCGATCAACGTATTTTTTCAGCAAGTATAACAGCATGGTATTTTTATCGTTTATTACATTCTCCTGAAAGCGACACTTTCTTTGCAAAGTCTTGATGTAAACTGAGTTATCGCGGATTTCTGGTGCAAAGTTCTCGAGCGTCTCCGTCGGGATTCTCCTAGCAATGACATCAAGTATTTTCTCAAGTGGTAACTCGTGACGTGCAGCGTAAGGAAGAAGACGCAAAGTATTTTCGGGCTCAAGATTCCCAGCTTCATTCATACATCGCTTTATGACATCTATCGCTGTGTATTTGTCAGCGATCTCGAGAATATCGAAAATATTGTCATCGTCAATTTCTACAATTTCATCGCCCAGCATTATCGTTGGATATAATAACTTGAGGAATTCATTCATAGCAAAATAGTCATCGTCTTTTAACTCGATTCTCTCCTGTGTTGCATCCTTGAAGTTGCCGTTGAACATCGCTTCAAACACAGGTGACTGCAACGACAGAATGTAGCGATGGACATGAAGCTCTTTGCTTTCGACCACCAACACAGCATCGCTCCTTCGCCATGGTTTTGAAAAAAAATCATAATTTTTTTCCCCCATATTTACGTTCATGTATACTGTAATGTACTCGCTTTCATGAAATGTTTTCAAGAAGTCAGAATGTAATATGACTCTTTGTGAGCCATTTTCGTTCGGGTAGGCACTTAGGGTAGGCTAATCGGGACACACATCAATGACACACGTTATTTCAACTTAGTAACGGCCACTGGTAACGGCACGTCTTTTATGAGTTTTATCGTAATTGAGTTATAATGTAAGATATTATCATGGACTTTGACTTATCTGTTTCATATTTTTACAGACCTTCCAATGCCAGCAGAGAGAGAATCTGGAGTTCTTGGAGCAAGAGAGAAAAGGACTGGAAGAGACAAGCCTTGAGTTGGAACAACAAGTAAGCGTCACTTTGTGAATCGAGAAGAGTTCATTGCCCAAAACAAAAAATTTGATGGTGAGAACTCGTGCATCATGTAACACCAAACGTCAAATTCAAGAATTTCCGTCTAGTTCCAGTCGGAGTAACTCCATACAAAATTCGTATTTTCAATGTTTTCCTAACATCATTCACTTCCTGCCATTGTCATCTTATAAATGAAAGCCGGCAACTGCTAGGTTTACTACGAGTACGGTCCTTAATTCAAACCATTTTACGCTTCTTTTAAAGGTTAAAAGGCTTTCGGAAGAACTAAGTTTGGCGCGTCAGGCTTTTGAGGAAAAGTCACGACTACACGAGGATACGAGTGACACTGTGCGTCAATTACGGTACGTTCAACGGTTCACGTTTTGTTCGTTTCCACAGCAACACGGGAGTGAAACGCTAACTTCAGCACTATACTTGGTTGAACCAAAAATAAGTGATTTGAGTTTTTGACTCTGTTTCTCGTTAAGAATTTAGCAAATGATTGTATTTTACATAGTTCTAGACATTCCTAGATAATTCCTCTCTACGTCTGTCTTAAACGTTCAAAAACCCAGAAAAACTACGCCAAGTTAGCGTTCCATGTTCTAGCTATTACACTGACTCGAAATCATCAGTTTTCCTCCAGTAATGGCAGTGTATACTTACAATCCACAGGAGTCAACTATCTGACGTCCAGGATGAACTGAACGCTGTACAATCTCAGGCGTATCTGCTCATGTTGGAACAAGAGAAAGAATTGACAGCTGCATCGAGAGTTCTGGAAGACACCTGGGAACGACTTGTGCCTGTCGTCGAGACGTATAAAGAACGTGCCAAACAACAGGAGGAGGTAAGCGTAGGAGGGACCCCCCGACCCTCTCTCCACCTGGGACGTCACTCCTTCCCCGCACACACCCACTAAGGAGCCGTAAGACTTTCATTGCAATTTTTTTTATCATTTTTTTAGCCGACAGTGGAGAAAAATAGCGAAGAAATATTAGGGAACGAATACAGACCATCGTTTGTGTATTCTGTCCTGGCAGCTGTTTCAGGATCCGTGCCAACGGTAAGAACACATCGCGCACACCAAGTTTACCCAATTGCCATGCACTAGCTGTCTTCCCCTCGAGATTCAGAAATTGAGCAGTTTTAAACATGATAGAAATAGAAGACATATATATAGGATCTCTATTAAATTTTCCAAACAATCCAACTGGCGACGTGAAGCTTTTTGAAGGAGTCATCGTATTTTTATTTACAGTCTGAGAATGTCAAGAACTCTTCATCGCCAGAAGACACGACGGAGGATGATAATAACACTGGAGTGGTCCCTTGTGAGGAACCAGCAGTTGACGTGCAGAGTCACGAGGGGGAAGACTTCACCCTAGTGAGCCGAGCCAAGGCTTTTCAAACACTTCTCTCAGATCTCGAAGGATACGTGCAAGACGGTAATGAACACGCGCAGATGACGATACAACGGCAAGTTGATGAGATGTAAGTATTATGAGGGAGGGGGGTGAAATGATGATGTTCTGGGGGCTATGAATGGCTAACTGGGGGTTAAATGATGGTGGTGTGGGGGGTATGAATGGTTTTGATTCTGATCTTGTTGATATTTTGTCCAGCGCTAATCTTGAGGAATCCTTGCTTGAGGCAAAGCAACAACAAAATGAACAGTTGACAATCTTGAAACAAGAACTGGAAAACGAAGCCTGCGGTGATGAAGAAATTGCAACGAGAGAACGACAACAAACAATACGAGATTGAAAGACTCAAGCTGGAACTGAAAACCGCTGAAGAAAATTTTGAGACGTCGCAGGAACGAATGAGGGAGATTGGAAACAGATGCTGCGCTTTGATCGAACAGGAGGCTGAGAATCAGGTAACGAAATTGCTCACCTGACGTAGCAGTTGTGCCCATCTCTATTCGCTTTTGAAAACTGATGAAACTCTTGTAGAAACTCCCGTTTGTTAGTCAGACAGCATTAACTCTCGTTTGGCTGGTACTTTTCAGATAATCCTGCCAGAAAAACCTTGTTCTTTTGTTTAGATATTAGTCGAATACACTATCGAATACATACATGCGCATGACGATTTTGGTTGCAAATTGAGCTAATTTATCATGTTACACAATGTTTTCTTTACAAGATGTTAAATGAGAAACTTCGCCTTCTTAACGATGAGCTCGAGAAAGTGAAGCAGGAAAAAACGTGTTTGGAGAAAGAACTGGAGGAGAACATTAAAAGACTACAGAGATTGGTCGACGCCAGCGAGAGTACTGACCAAGAGAAGCAGGCGACTCTTGTGCGGGAGAGCTTTACCGATCTTCTGAACAAGAAACTGCATTTGGAAAGAGAGGTATCACAGTGCCTTGTGATGTTTTATACTTACATGATATGTGCAGTTTAAGGTTTGTATTTCCACACGACGATACGAAGCTGTTATCGTGTTTTTGTTTAGGTCGAGAAGTTGCGAAGTTCTTTTGCGAAAACGCTGAAAGAGAACGAGAGTTTTGCACAGTATAACGCGCGCTTGGAAAACAAGGTATTTTAGTAGCTGTTTTGGTCTTCTAATGCAGCAATTTCCATGGTCTCAGAGACTGGTATTGGACTAAATCAATTGGTCGACTACATTCGCACCCTGTGCCAAATATAATTGCTTTTTTGTATACCAATTTATAGGCGAGCATTCTTGGCAGTAATCTCTTGAGAGCTGAAGAAGAAATATATAGACTGGATGGTATTGTTGATCGATTTTGCATTGTGAGTACTCTTTTGTAAATCGTTAGAACGTCGTTTCAACTTTGTTTTCGAACGAGTTCAGCATTATAATTCTTTAAAACGACTTTCTCCCAGGCGACGCAGGCCAGTTGGCAAACAATGACGGCTTCCCAGGATCTGCGGGATTTACTGAAGGAACTTGATATTGTTGTGGAATAGGAGCCAGTGGACTTGTGGACGTGCGTACGAAAGGGGGGTTTTAAACTTGTAAATAGTGTCTTATCTTACCATATGATCGAATAGATTCGGTTAATAGAGTTTTATATCGTATACGCCCCTCGTGAATGAAAACCGCAGCAATTGAGATGATTTTTAGCATGGCATGTCTTTGGTACAAATAATGGTAACAACCAAAACAACTTCGATGCAAGTGAAGCGCTCGTCCCCCCCCCCTCTTTCGCTGTACCTGGTCTCTAAGGGGGAGGGGTTGGCATTGTGCACAGCTGAGTATAGCCTGAGTTGACGTTTTTAACCTCGTTTCCAAGCTTTTGCTTTTAATGTAGGGAATTCTCAAGGAGGGAATATTTTCGCTCTTCCTAAGGAATTCTCGAATTTCCAAAACCGCAAAGCATTGTGGTTGGTTACATTTCCAAAGTGCAAAGCAATATTAAACGCTGGTTTGGATACAAAACTTACACAGGAAAGCAAGCTTTTTTTTTCATTAAACTGCGCCAAGACATCAAATTATAGACCTTTATCGCCATTACAAGGTAATGTGTATTAATTTAGTTCTTTTTGGGCAAGTAAACGCTCTAAAAATGCTATTTTTTCGAGCAAGTCTTGTCTGTCTATCGGAGCAAACATACAGACCGCAGATGTTTTGAGCTATATATAAAGTAATTTACGTTTTATGAAACGTTTCGAGTGCTAGTGTTAGAAAATATTATGATTGAGATATTTGGCCATTATATATCAGGCCGATATGGGTGGACTATTTTAACGTTTATGACTTTATGTTTAACACAATCTTTGAGAATTTATTGCATGATATTTTTGAGGAAGATAATTAACGAGCTATTTACATTTCTTTTTCCGTTTTGACCTCGATTTCGAAAAGGGATCGATGTGTGCCATGCTTTTTCGTTTAAAACAATTTTATTGAGCCCTGAAATTCTGGTTGTGATGTTTTTGCATTCTGCTTGTGTGAAATATATGCTCTGTTCTTAAACAGAATAACATCTTTGTGTTATTTAGGATGTCAAGAAGTGATGTTCGAACCACAAAAGTTTATGTTGGGAATCTTCCTCATGATGCTCGTAAGGAAGAGCTAGAACATGAATTCTCGCGCTATGGTAAACTCCAAGATGTTTGGGTGGCCCGTAACCCCCCTGGATTTGCTTTTGTTGAATTCTACGATGAACGTGATGCCAAAGATGCGTGCGATGACTTGGATGGTCGAACTCTGTGTGGGGCACGGGTCAGAGTGGAAATATCACATGGTAAAAGTCGGGGGAGAGGTCGTGGCCGAGGAGGTGGTGGAAGAGATCGCCGTGATGATCGTAGAGACGATCGCCGTCGTTATGACGATGGTGGTAGCCGGGGACAGAGGTAAAATTTGCTGCGGGTTAAAAAATTTTTGCTTTTGTTTATATCAATTTACATGAGTAATATTTTTTGTCTTTTTAACAATGCCTAGGTATCCTCCCCCATTTCTAAGTTCCATCCATGCGACAAATTGTTACACATCCTCGCCATAGAGGAACTGAAACACAACCACAGTTTGCCGCGATCTCTCTATAATATCTCTTCAATTTCGACCATCGTTGTCAACACTACAATGTTCACTGTATCGCCGATTACTCTACTGCTTCGTCAGCAAATTCTGCAAAAGTTCTGTGGAAAGTAAACAACCGAGAATAGCTTTTCTCACCATCCGCTCGGAGTTGCTGAACCTGTTCTACATAAATGCCTTTTTTCAACCAACAACACAACAGCTGCAATATTTCCTAGGCATCCACTGAGATTTATCACCGATAATCCTTTTGAATCGCTTTCTGCCAACTAAATTTCAACGTTTGTGAGGGTAATTCATCTTCACAAAGATTCATCATCTTCGGAAGCATCAACTTCAGTGAAATCTGCACGAAAAATTTCATATTCGACTTCGTCTGTATGCTCAGCTCACCACAAAGGTCAAAATCTCATAGTTTTTTTGTTCCTCAAAAAAAGGAAAGGTATAAAACTAGGAGGGTTGTGTAATACTTTTTGTTCAAGTTCTTAATCACTAAGTTATTGTTCAAGGCCATAAAAATGGCTGTTGTCAGACATTCCACCCATTTTCCAAAACTTTCTTCCAATTTTTAGGAGCTGGCGAAGTCGTTCAAGATCACCAGATCGACGCTATTAAAATATCCACATTTGGTAAGCTTTTGTTTTCCTTTAAAGAGGGTTAAGGTCTGTTCACACGATTTCAATTTTGTTGGTTCCAATTCACCTGTGACGTATGAAATATAGTCGGCTATTGGTGAAGCCGTAGTACATTGGCTTCAGTGGATTTTCTGCTGATATACATTACAAGACAACAGACTATAAAACATCCATCAGAAGTGAATTGGATCCAACAAAATTGGATTGTGTGAACAAACTTTTACAGTGCCTTTTGTGAATTGCTTAATATCTTCTTCTCATAACAATGGGTGTATGCTGCTCAATTGAAGATCACTAAAATTTAACATGTTTCTGATTTTTCTAAACAAACTTCAGCTCATAGTTATTTAGAACCATAGTGATCTAAAATAGGGTTAAATATTCTGACCGTAGTTGATATTATAGGAAATATAGTAATTCAAAATGTACATTTTATTGACTGTTTGTTTTCTCATACTAAACCTAAAATATTTTGTTTTCAGGAAGGTGTTTTAAAGTTGTAGAATATGATGGCTGAAGTGTCTTCAAACTTAACCTAGGATTCCTAAGAGTCCTGTTCCTTTTTCTTGTGCTTGTAACCTGCTCAATTGGACATACTTTGCATTTGTTTTTATCTTTGTATATGATTTATTAAAGTTAACATCTTAAAATTGTATTTGTCTTCAGAAATAAAATTCCTTAAAGCTTCTTTTATTAGTTTTTATTTTGAATACCAAGAGGTTCAATGCACTTTGGCTACAACATGAAATTTTCCCAGTGTGACGTGTGCTTGGCTGTGCTCAATCTGTGTTTATGTGCTTTTTTCCTTGGGCTTTTTTCCAAAACTACATAATTTTCCACACTGTTTGGAGCCTTGGCCAAAGCAGCACAAAATTAATTAGTAAGTTTCTGTTTTTAATGAAAAACTAGTCCAAATTTTTTAGGATTTTCGCATTTGAAAAAACTTCTTTTGATTATTCAAAATTTGTTTCCAGTAATATATTGTATGTATTTTTCTTTATCTCTAAATACTTGTGGACATCTGAGGCACAAAGCAGCTTGGCACATTTGATGCAGACATATTCAAAAGAAGAGCTGGAGAGTAGAAAGCAGATCCACAAACCAAGTATACAGATGAGGAGAAATGAAAGGTAGTTATCTTCTATTACTTCAGATGTGTTGTTTATCGTTCATAGCAGTGATAGGTAAATTATATTAGAATCTACTTTTTCTTTATGTGGAAATATCGAATTTTTTTATGTAGCCGGTGTTGGCCCAGAGCTGATTGATGCATTTGATACATATTCAAAAGAAAAGCTGGAGAGATGAAGTAAATCATCATCACATTAAGTATACAGATGAAGAAAAATGAAAGGTAGTTAACTACGTTGCTCTACATGTGTGTTTCTCATTCATAGCAATGATAGGTAAATGGTATTAGAATCTATCCTTTTCGTGTGTGGAAATGTCTATTTTTGATTTGTTTACAGGCCTTGGTTATACATATTCAAAAGAAGAGCTGGAGAGAAGTGAATCGACACTCTAAGTATACAGATGATTCGAAATGAAAGGTAATTGCTTTAAGCTATACATATTTCTATCATTCATAGCAACGATAGGTAAATAAATGATATTACAGTTTATTTTTTGTTTATGTGGAAATATATCTTTTTTCTTTATGTGGAGGCCTTGGTCCAGTGTGTATCAGTACATTTCACACATTTTCAAAAGAAGAGCCAGAGAGAAGCCATTGGGATGTACATCAATGTACAACTAAAGAAAAATGAAAGGTTGCCTACCTTATCCTATCCATATGTTTATCATTCATAGCATGAAAAGCTCTTGTTTGATATATTTTTCCAGTACTAATATCTGGGGAGTGTATATTATGTTTACATATAATAGAAACAATAGGTACAAAAGAAATCAGACAGGTATATAGTACAAATGTATGAATATGGATCATACAACCCAGTACAATTCAGCTTCTCTAGGTATGGCTCTGGGCAGGATATTGCAATCCACCAGATAGTGATTCTTTCAATTAATTGTTTTAAAATCGTCTGTAGTTGGCTATAACTTTGATTAAATATTAGTATTCCTATATAGAGGACCTCTTTAATAATGTTGCTTTGATGAGCAATCCAGTATAAATAAAGTTAGTTTACTTTAGGTTCCTTTAGTAGTATAAGCATGGATCAATAAGAGATTGTCCCAACTGGACCTCTGGGAAGATCAGTTTAAAACTAATAGAATGCATGTAGGCATTTGAGTTATCTTAATGTGTTTGGTGGTGATAGCATCTTTCTTAAGAATATTGATTGATGTTGATTTGTTTCATTGACAGATTATATATGCTGAGGAAGCGGACACTCTAGTTTCAAAATTTGTAAAAAAGTAAGTGCTCTATTTTATCTTAAGATGACTAAGACAGTGGTCTTTTAATTCTGAGTGAAGATTGTGTTCTGAATTTTTAGACCTTGCTTCTGTAGTTTTATCTCTGGTGTATTTCCTACAGACCTTAAGATGCAGGAATCTCTTCTTCATCATTTTCAAAGGTAATTAATGTAATTCCTAACATTATTGCTAATTCTGAGATACCCAGAAAATTTGCTTTGATGAGCAATCCAATTTAAAAAAGTAGTAAGCATGGATCAATAAGAGATTAAGAGGGGTAAGCCATACCATTTTGGCCAAATTTGACCACTTTTTGATTCTTGTAAAAACCAACCAAATATGCTCTAAAAAGAAAGATATAAGTCTTAGGAAGCCATTTTTCGCATTTTCAGACAGTTTTTGAACACTTCAAAAAGTCGTCAAAATTGACCAAAATGGTAAGGGGTAAGCGTTACCATTTTGGCCAATTTTGACCACTTTTTCATTGTTCCAAAAACCAACCGAATCTGCTCTAAAATGAAAGATATTACTCTTAGGAAGCCATTTTTAGCATTTTAAGACACTTTTTTAACATTGAAAAAGTCGTCAATTTTGACCAAAATGGTAAGGCTTACCCCTTACCATTTTGGTCAATTTTGACGACTTTTTCAACTTTTCAAAAACTGTCTTAAAATGCTAAATATAGCTTCCTAAGACTAATTTCTTTCATTTTAGAGCACATTTAGTTGGTTTTTATAACAATGAAAAAGTCGTCAATTTTGACCAAAATGGTAAGGCTTACCCCTTAAAATACTAGAAATAGCTTCTTAAGACTAATATCTTGAGATGACTGCTTGAGATGACTGCCTGAGATAACTGCCTGAGATGACTGCCTGAGATGATTGCCCGAGATGACTGTCAATTTACATCCTGTGGACAAGTGCTGCAAGGCCAACGCCATCTAGAATATGGAGTCCTAATCATTTTGTTCTATTATTGCTAGCCAAGGAACTGCCAACGATGACCTTCTCGGAGCAGAACAAAAGCTATTCGGAGGCATGTCATTTAGTGTTATCAGTTAACTGGACTTTGGGAGAGTTTTCTTGCAAAATGTTTGCCAAGGTAATTATTATAAGAGATCATAAAGGCTTTTTAATGTTTCTCATGGTATACTGATCTGTGTTGTTTTCTGTGATTAAGTGATGTTTTCTTCATGTTGTTTATCACTGAAGCTAAAGAATTGAGATACAACAATCTGACTGACTTTAGGTGTAAGACGTTCGCCCAGCTATTGTAGACCGCATGGAATCGATTCAAGTCTTTTAAAAATTTGTGAATCAAGATGAGAATGAACTTAGTGAATCTGTAATTGCTGCTATATGTTTTGGCTAAAATATAAAAAAGACTGTTGTATGTCTCCAAAACAAAGGAGCTTATATTTATGATACCAAAAAGTACAGGATTGTTTGACATCAGAAATACAAAGAATTCGGCACACAGCGACAATTCACCTTTTAAAACGAAACGAAAAAACTAGAAGCAAAAAAAAAATTGTGCTTCGAAACAAAACTAGAATGCACCGCTTTTAAAATGTTGAAATTGAAATATAGGAAAGGACAACTTTTTTCTAGGCGTTTAGCGATTCGTTTATAGTAACATCGCTCACGATGATGTTCGGAGTTGATCGGCATGTTGTCGTACATTATCATACCACGTGATCTGCTATGATCACATGGTAATTATCGCCTATAAAAATAATCTCAACGTTAAAAAAAAATTTCTTTAATTAGGTGGCGATCGAAGGTGGACAGCAAGATCGAAGCTCAGCAAGATTGAAGCTGCAAGATTTGTTCGAGGAAGAAGGAGTTCGCCGTTGACTAAAAGGTGGGTTCCGGCGATTATATGCGTAATCTGCGGTTGCTTTGTCCGACCCCAGTAGGGGGACCGTTTGCCTAGAGCGTTTTGGTCCCCCGCACGCTGCTAGTTGACTAGTTCCCACTGTAGGCCTTTACACTAATCTACGGGAAGGCCGTAGGCCTTCCTTAAGGAGTACAGTGTAGCTGAGCCGAACCCTTTTTTTTCGTTGTATATAGGTTTATCTGAACAGCTAGTTGTCAAGATGAAGGTGACTCGCCCGGCCAAATTCAAAATGGCGATGCCAAAGAAAACCATCCACGTGGACCGTTCGCGGACCTTTCTGAGCAAGATTGTTGTGCTGTCTGGTCAAAGTTAAGTATTTTACTTTGATGTTTGTGTGCCTTCTGCTAATTGTTGGCCAGAAATAACAAAAAGCCATATACAATATGAAATATTCTGCGTACAAGGTTATCTAAAGTTTCGAGCTTAATTCTGCCTGCAATGATGATAATTTTTTACTGAAAATTTATGTCATGAGCAATTTCCGCACCCATAGACTGAAGCAGAACTGAACATTATGTCATTAACGTTTATCTCAACAGCCAGTTATCAAGACGAACCTCAAGAGAACAGTTGAAATAGAAAATAGAAATCAGTTCAAGACTCGCCCGGCCGCCGAATTCAAAATGGCGATCCCATCCACGTGGACCGTTCGCGGACCTTTCTGAGCAAGATTGTTGTGCTGTCTGGTCAAAGTTAAGTATTTTACTTTACTGTTTATGTGCCTTTTGCTAAAACTAGACAATAATTAAGATAGTTGAAAATGCAATTTTATATTAATAATGTCTTCTTATATTCAAGATTTTTCTTGGTCAAGAGTGCAACATGAACTGTGGATATGAACTTTACTGTCAGATGAACATTGGAAGTGACAAGATTTCTGCACAGAGGTAATTCGATTGTTCCTTCAAAAGTTATATCAGCCTTGCAGCTGAAATTCTTGTAGTGACCTTGTAATACATATCAACTGCCCAGGTATATATTTTGTTATTTAGTATAAGGGGGAATTTGCTGCAACTAGGATTTTTTTTGGAAAATCGTCAGGCAGTCACAAATTTTGCTAAGATTAATAAGTTAACATTGCTTCTATGCTCACTATGTGTCACCAGTAATAAATTCCTGTGGTGGTCTTTAAATAAATATATAGAATACCTGACCAAAAACTAGACAATAATTAAGATAGTTGAAAATGGAATTTTATATTAATCATGTCTTATTTATATATCTATATTCAAGATTTTTCTTGGTCAAGAGTGCAACATGAGGTGTGGATATGAACTTTACTGTCAGATGAACATTGGAAGTGACAAGATTTCTGCACAGAGGTAATTCGATTGTTCCTTCAAAAGTTATATTAGCCTTGCAGCTGAAATTCTTGTAGTGACCTTGTAATACATATCAACTGCCCGGGTATATATTTTGTCATTTAGTATAAGGGGGAATTTGCTGCGACTAGGATCTTTTTTTGGAAAATCGTCAGGCAGTCACAAATTTTGTTAAGATTAATAAGTTAACATTGCTTCTATGCTCACTATGTGTCACCAGTAATAAATTCCTGTGGTGGTCTTTAAATAAATATAGCAACCATAGTTATATGTAGAGGGATGAAGTATAACCATAGAATACCTGACCAAAAACTAGACGATAATTAAGATAGTTGAAAATGGAATTTTATATTAATCATGTCTTATTTATGTATCTATATTCAAGATTTTTCTTGGTCAAGAGTGCAACATGAGCTGTTGATATGAACTTTACTGTCAGATGAACTTTGGAAGTGACAAGATTTCTTCACAGAGGTAATTTGATTTTGTCATGGATGGTCAGCATTTGATTTTAAAAAGCCACTACATTGTTGAGATGACAACTATGAAATTGAAATTTGCTTCTATGGTCACCATGTGTGAAACCAATGATGAAACTTGATGCTATAACAGCTGAACTAGTCTGGCTGATTACTAAAATTCCTGTGGTGGTCTTACAATAAATATCCACAAAAAAGTGGGAGAACTTGGGAGAAATTTTTTCTGAGATCCCTGTGATTTATATTCTGTAGTACTCAGAAGGGTGATACCCAGTTTTTCTGTGTTCAAATTAAATAGTGACATATGTCTGGGTTGAATATATGCATGTGACACATTCTTTTTATTGAAAATGGCAAAAATATAATTGGCATAAAACAGATGACTAAAGTAAGATAATGAGTAATATCTTTTAATAATGATGTCAGGTTGAAAATACAAACTTTGCTGCCACTTTTTGCCTAAAAGGATTGATGAAATGCTTTTTCTCTTTAGAATGAATGAAGTTGAAGAAGTTGAAAGGCACCCCTGAAGAACTTGAATTATTTTAGCCCTATCCTAGATTCATTAATTAATATATTTTAGTGTGTGATATATTTTAGTGTTTTCAGTTTTCAAAACTTGGATTTATAAAGAGAAATTATTCTTTGTAAAGTTTAAGAAGTAAACCTTCTTGTCTGGTGGTGTTAGTGTTTTGATTTTGCATGTTTTTCCGTGTGCTTTCACAATTGAAAAGATTTTGGCAGTTGCTTCTAAATGTTTTTTGAAAAGTTGAAGAAGAAACTTGATTTTTGTCTTGTGGTGTTTGTTGTTTCGATTTTGCATGTTTTTCCGTGTGCTTTCACAATTGAAAAGATTTTGGCAGTTGCTTCTAAATGTTTTTTGAAAAGTTTAAGAAGAAACTTGATTTTTGTCTTGTGGTGTTTGTTGTTTCGATTTTGCATGTTTCCGTGTGCTTTCACAATTGAAAAGATTTTGCAGTTGCTTCTAAATGTTTTTTGAAAAGTTTAAGAAGAAACTTGATTTTTGTCTTGTGGTGTTTGTTGTTTCGATTTTGCATGTTTGCCGTGTGCTTTCACAATTGAAAAGATTTTGACAGTTGCTTCTAAATGTTTTTTGAAAAGTTTAAGAAGAAACTTGATTTTTGTCTTGTGGTGTTTGTTGTTTCGATTTTGCATGTTTTTCCTTGTGCTTTCACAATTGAAAAGATTTTGGCAGTTGCTTTGGCTTTTTCTTATACTTCTTTTCTCTTTAATTTCTTCTTAGTATTAGTTTTTTTTCTAAATATATTTTCTCTGATTATTTTTTTGATGAAATTCTTTTTTTACTTTAGTGTTGAAGAAAGTTGAAAGGCACCCAGATTCTCATTAATTCATATATTTTAGTGTGAAATGAGATGAGTTTTGTGACAATTTTCAAAACTTGGATTTATAAAGATAACTTTTTTCTTTGTGAAGTTTAAGAAGTAAACCTTTTTCATCTGGTGGTGTTAGTGTTTTTATTTTTTTTTGCAAGTTCTTCTGTGTGACTTGACAATTCTAAATTAAACCTCTTAGTATTTTTTAGTATTTTTTCTAAGTTAAAAAAAAACCTGTTAGTATTATCTTCTATTTATCTAGTTTTTTCTTTTTTTTTCTCTATAATAGTTTCTTTTTTCTAGTTTTTACTTCTATTTCTCTAGTTTTTTTTTTTTTCTATTTTTTTTCTCTAGTTTTTTTTCTCTCTATTTTTTTTTCTCTCTAGTTTTTACTTCTATTTCTCTAGTTTTTTTTCTATTTTCTACTAGTTTTTTTCTCTAGTTTTCCCTCTTAGTTTTTTTCTCTAGTTTTTTTTTCTCTAGTTTTTTTTTCTCTAGTTTTTACTTCTATTTCTCTAGCTTTTTTTCTATTTTTCTACTTAGTTTTTTTTCTCTAGTTTTTTTTCTCTCTAGTTTTTTACTCTAGTTTTTACTTCTATTTCTCTAGTTTTTTTTCTACATAGTTTTCTTTAGTTTTTTTCCCTTAGTTTTTTTCTCTAGTTTTTTTTTCTCTCTAGTTTTTTTACTCTAGTTTTTACTTCTATTTCTCTAGTTTTTTTTTCTATTTTTCTAGTTAGTTTTTTTGTCTAGTCTTTTTCTGTCTAGTTTTTTTTTTCTAGTTTTTACTTCTATTTTTTCTTCTATTTCTCTAGTTTTTTTTTCTAGTTTTCTAGTTAGTTTTTTTGTCTAGTTTTTTCTTTTCTCTAGTTTTCTATTTTTCTAGTTGTTTTTTCTTGTTTTTTTCTATTTTCTAGTTATTTTTTGTCTATTTTTTTGTCTAGTTTTTCTTCTCTATTTTTCCTAGTTTTTTTTTCTATTTTTCTAGTTAGTTTTTATGTCTATTTTTTCTAGTTTTTTTTTCTAGTTTTTTCTATCTATTTCTCTAGTTTTTTTTCTATTTTTCTAGTTTTTCTTCTATTTCTCTAGTTTTTTTTCTAGTTTTCTAGTTAGTTTTTTTGTCTAGTTTTCTAGTTAGTTTATTTGTGTAGTTTTTTTTTGTCTAGTTTTTTTCTATCTATTTCTCTAGTTTTTTTTCTATTTTTCTTAAATTTTACAAAGAAAAAAGTAAAGCCACACACAGGTAGCCCAAGACAGACACAGGTAGCCCAAGACAGACACAGGTAGCCCAAGACATTTGACCAAAATGGTAAGGGGTAAGACTTACCGTTTTGGCGAATTTTGACCACTTTTTGATTCTTCTAAAAACCAACCAAATATGCTCTAAAATGAAAGATATTAGTCTTAGGAAGCCATTTTTAGCATTTCAAGACAGTTTTTGAACAGTTCAAAAGTGGTCAAAATGACCAAATGGTAAGGGGTAAGACTTACCGTTTTGGCCAATTTTGACCACTTTGTGATCGTTCCTAAAACCAACCAAATACGCTCTAAAATGAAAGATATTAGTCTTAGGAAGCCATTTTTAGCATTTCAAGACAGTTTTTAAACAGTTCAAAAAGTGGTCAAAATTGACCAAAATGGTAAGGGGTAAGACTTACCGTTTTGGCCAATTTTGACCACTTTTTGAGCATTCCAGAAACCGACCAATGTGCTCTAAAATGAAAGATAATAGTCTTAGGAAGCCATTTTTAGCATTTAAGACAGTTTTTGAACAGTTCAAAAAGTGGTCAAAATTGACCAAAATGGTAAGGGGTAAGACTTACCGTTTTGGCCAATTTTGACCACTTTTTGAGCATTCCAGAAACCGACCAAATGTGCTCTAAAATGAAAGATAGTAGTCTTAGGGAAGCCATTTTTAGCATTTTAAGACAGTTTTTGAAAAGTTCAAAAAGTGGTCAAAATTGACCAAAATGGTAAGGGGTAAGACTTACCGTTTTGGCCAATTTTGACCACTTTTTGAGTGTTCCAAAAACCGACCAAATGTGCTCTAAAATGAAAGATAGTAGTCTTAGGAAGCCATTTTTAGCATTTTAAGACAGTTTTTGAACAGTTCAAAAAGTGGTCAAAATTGACCAAAATGGTAAGGGGTAAGACTTACCGTTTTGGCCAATTTTGACCATTTTTTGAGCATTCCAGAAACCGACCAAATACGCTCTAAAATGAAAGATATTAGTCTTAGGAAGCCATTTTTAGCAGTTCAAAAAGCGGTCAAAATTGACCAAAATGGTAAGGGGTAAGACTTACCGTTTGGCCAATTTTGATCACTTTTTAAGTGTTTCCAAAAACCGAACAAATGTGCTCTAAAATGAAAGATATTAGTCTTAGGAAGCCATTTTTAGCATTTTAAGACAGTTTTTGAACAGTTCAAAAAGTGGTCAAAATTGACCAAAATGTAAAGGGGTAAGACTTACCGTTTTGGCCAATTTTGACCACTTTTTGATCGTTTCAAAAACCAACCAAATACGCTCTAAAATGAAAGATATTAGTCTTAGGAAGCCATTTTTAGCATTTCAAGACAGTTTTTGAACAGTTCAAAAAGTGGTCAAAATTGACCAAAATGGTAAGGGGTAAGACTTACCGTTTTGGCCAATTTTGACCACTTTTTGATCGTTCCTAAAACCAACCAAATACGCTCTAAAATGAAAGATATTAGTCTTAGGAAGCCATTTTAGCATTTCAAGACAGTTTTTAAACAGTTCAAAAAGTGGTCAAAATTGACCAAAATGGTAAGGGGTAAGACTTACCGTTTTGGCCAATTTTGACCACTTTTGAGCATTCCAGAAACCGAACCAAATGTGCTCTAAAATGAAAGATAATAGTCTTAGGAAGCCATTTTAGCATTTTAAGACAGTTTTGAACAGTTCAAAAAGTGGTCAAAATTGACCAAAATGGTAAGGGGTAAGACTTACCGTTTTGGCCAATTTTGACCACTTTTTGAGCATTCCAGAAACCGACCAAATGTGCTCTAAAATGAAAGATAGTAGTCTTAGGAAGCCATTTTTAGCATTTTAAGACAGTTTTTGAACAGTTCAAAAAGTGGTCAAAATTGACCAAAATGGTAAGGGGTAAGACTTACCGTTTTGGCCAATTTTGACCATTTTTTGAGCATTCCAAAACCGACCAAATACGCTCTAAAATGAAAGATATTAGTCTTAGGAAGCCATTTTTAGCAGTTCAAAAAGCGGTCAAAATTGACCAAAATGGTAAGGGGTAAGACTTACCGTTTTGGCCAATTTTGATCACTTTTTAAGTGTTCCAAAAACCGAACAAATGTGCTCTAAAATGAAAGATATTAGTCTTAGGAAGCCATTTTTAGCATTTTAAGACAGTTTTTGAACAGTTCAAAAAGTGGTCAAAATTGACCAAAATGTAAAGGGGTAAGACTTACCGTTTTGGCCAATTTTGACCACTTTTTGATCGTTTCAAAAACCAACCAAACGCTCTAAAATGAAAGATATTAGTCTTAGGAAGCCATTTTTAGCATTTCAAGACAGTTTTTGAACAGTTCAAAAAGTGGTCAAAATTGACCAAAATGGTAAGGGGTAAGACTTACCGTTTTGGCCAATTTTGACCACTTTTTGATCGTTCCTAAAACCAACCAAATACGCTCTAAAATGAAAGATATTAGTCTTAGGAAGCCATTTTTAGCATTTCAAGACAGTTTTTGAACAGTTCAAAAAGTGGTCAAAATTGACCAAAATGGTAAGGGGTAAGACTTACCGTTTTGGCCAATTTTGACCACTTTTTGAGCATTCCAGAAAACCGACCAAATGTGCTCTAAAATGAAAGATAGTAGTCTTAGGGAAGCCATTTTTAGCATTTTAAGACAGTTTTTGAAAAGTTCAAAAAGTGGTCAAAATTGACCAAAATGGTAAGGGGTAAGACTTACCGTTTTGGCCAATTTTGACCACTTTTTGAGTGTTCCAAAAACCGACCAAATGTGCTCTAAAATGAAAGATAGTAGTCTTAGGAAGCCATTTTTAGCATTTTAAGACAGTTTTTGAACAGTTCAAAAAGTGGTCAAAATTGACCAAAATGGTAAGGGGTAAGACTTACCGTTTTGGCCAATTTTGACCATTTTTGAGCATTCCAGAAACCGACCAAATACGCTCTAAAATGAAAGATATTAGTCTTAGGAAGCCATTTTTAGCAGTTCAAAAAGCGGTCAAAATTGACCAAAATGGTAAGGGGTAAGACTTACCGTTTTGGCCAATTTTGATCACTTTTTAAGTGTTCCAAAAACCGAACAAATGTGCTCTAAAATGAAAGATATTAGTCTTAGGAAGCCATTTTTAGCATTTTAAGACAGTTTTTGAACAGTTCAAAAAGTGGTCAAAATTGACCAAAATGTAAAGGGGTAAGACTTACCGTTTTGGCCAATTTTGACCACTTTTTGATCGTTCAAAACCAACCAAATACGCTCTAAAATGAAAGATATTAGTCTTAGGAAGCCATTTTTAGCATTTCAAGACAGTTTTTGAACAGTTCAAAAAGTGGTCAAAATTGACCAAAATGGTAAGGGGTAAGACTTACCGTTTTGGCCAATTTTGACCACTTTTTGATCGTGTTCCTAAAAACCAAATACGCTCTAAAATGAAAGATATTAGTCTTAGGAAGCCATTTTTAGCATTTCAAGACAGTTTTTGAACAGTTCAAAAAGTGGTCAAAATTGACCAAAATGGTAAGGGGTAAGACTTACCGTTTTGGCCAATTTTGACCACTTTTTGGTCGTTCCTAAAACCAACCAAATACGCTCTAAAATGAAAGATATTAGTCTTAGGAAGCCATTTTTAGCATTTCAAGACAGTTTTTGAACAGTTCAAAAAGTGGTCAAAATTGACCAAAATGGTAAGGGGTAAGACTTACCGTTTTGGCCAATTTTGACCACTTTTTGAGCATTCCAGAAACCGACCAAATGTGCTCTAAAATGAAAGATAGTAGTCTTAGGAAGCCATTTTTAGCATTTTAAGACAGTTTTTGAAAAGTTCAAAAAGTGGTCAAAATTGACCAAAATGGTAAGGGGTAAGACTTACCGTTTTGGCCAATTTTGACCATTTTTTAGCATTCCAAAAACCAACCAAATACGCTCTAAAATGAAAGATATTAGTCTTAGGAAGCCATTTTTAGCAGTTCAAAAAGCGGTCAAAATTGACCAAAATGGTAAGGGGTAAGACTTACCGTTTTGGCCAATTTTGACCACTTTTTGATCGTTCCAAAAACCGAACAAATGTGCTCTAAAATGAAAGATATTAGTCTTAGGAAGCCATTTTTAGCATTTTAAGACAGTTTTTGAACAGTTCAAAAAGTGGTCAAAATTGACCAAAATGGTAAGGGGTAAGACTTACCGTTTTGGCCAATTTTGACCACTTTTTGAGTGTTCCAAAAACCAACCAAATACGCTCTAAAATGAAAGATATTAATCTTAGGAAGCCATTTTTAGCATTTTAAGACGGTTTTTGAACAGTTCAAAAAGCGGTCAAAATTGACCAAAATGGTAAGGGGTAAGACTTACTTTTTGGCCAATTTTGACCACTTTTTGAGTGTTCCAAAAACCAACCAAATACGCTCTAAAATGAAAGATATTAATCTTAGGAAGCCATTTTTAGCATTTAAGACGGTTTTTGAACAGTTCAAAAAGCGGTCAAAATTGACCAAAATGGTAAGGGGTAAGACTTACCATTTTGGCCAGTTTTGACCACTTTTTGAGTGTTCCAAAAACCGACCAAATGCTCTAAAATGAAAGATATTTGTCTTAGAAAGCCATTTTTAGCATTTTAAGACAGTTTTTGAACAGTTCAAAAAGTGGTCAAAATTGACCAAAATGGTAAGGGGTAAGACTTACCGTTTTGGCCAATTTTGACCACTTTTTGATCGTTCCTAAAACCAACCAAATACGCTCTAAAATGAAAGATATTAGTCTTAGGAAGCCATTTTTAGCATTTCAAGACAGTTTTTGAACAGTTCAAAAAGTGGTCAAAATTGACCAAAATGGTAAGGGGTAAGACTTACCATTTTGGCCAATTTTGACCACTTTTTGGTCGTTCCTAAAACCAACCAAATACGCTCTAAAATGAAAGATATTAGTCTTAGGAAGCCATTTTTAGCATTTCAAGACAGTTTTTGAACAGTTCAAAAAGTGGTCAAAATTGACCAAAATGGTAAGGGGTAAGACTTACCGTTTTGGCCAATTTTGACCACTTTTTGAGCATTCCAGAAAACCGACCAAATGTGCTCTAAAATGAAAGATAGTAGTCTTAGGGAAGCCATTTTTAGCATTTTAAGACAGTTTTTGAAAAGTTCAAAAAGTGGTCAAAATTGACCAAAATGGTAAGGGGTAAGACTTACCGTTTTGGCCAATTTTGACCATTTTTGAGCATTCCAAAAACCAACCAAATACGCTCTAAAATGAAAGATATTAGTCTTAGGAAGCCATTTTTAGCATTCAAAAAGCGGTCAAAATTGACCAAAATGGTAAGGGGTAAGACTTACCGTTTTGGCCAATTTTGACCACTTTTTGATCGTTCCAAAAACCGAACAAATGTGCTCTAAAATGAAAGATATTAGTCTTAGGAAGCCATTTTTAGCATTTTAAGACAGTTTTTGAACAGTTCAAAAAGTGGTCAAAATTGACCAAAATGGTAAGGGGTAAGACTTACCGTTTTGGCCAATTTTGACCACTTTTTGAGTGTTCCAAAAACCAACCAAATACGCTCTAAAATGAAAGATATTAATCTTAGGAAGCCATTTTTAGCATTTTAAGACGGTTTTTGAACAGTTCAAAAAGCGGTCAAAATTGACCAAAATGGTAAGGGGTAAGACTTACCATTTTGGCCAGTTTTGACCACTTTTTGAGTGTTCCAAAAACCGACCAAATGTGCTCTAAAATGAAAGATATTTGTCTTAGAAAGCCATTTTTAGCATTTTAAGACAGTTTTTGAACAGTTCAAAAAGTGGTCAAAATTGACCAAAATGGTAAGGGGTAAGACTTACCGTTTGGCCAATTTTGACCACTTTTTGATCGTTCCTAAAACCAACCAAATACGCTCTAAAATGAAAGATATTAGTCTTAGGAAGCCATTTTTAGCATTTCAAGACAGTTTTTGAACAGTTCAAAAAGTGGTCAAAATTGACCAAAATGGTAAGGGGTAAGACTTACCATTTTGGCCAATTTGACCACTTTTTGGTCGTTCCTAAAACCAACCAAATACGCTCTAAAATGAAAGATATTAGTCTTAGGAAGCCATTTTTAGCATTTCAAGACAGTTTTTGAACAGTTCAAAAAGTGGTCAAAATTGACCAAAATGGTAAGGGGTAAGACTTACCGTTTTGGCCAATTTTGACCACTTTTTGAGCATTCCAGAAACCGACCAAATGTGCTCTAAAATGAAAGATAGTAGTCTTAGGGAAGCCATTTTTAGCATTTTAAGACAGTTTTTGAACAGTTCAAAAAGTGGTCAAAATTGACCAAAATGGTAAGGGGTAAGACTTACCGTTTTGGCCAATTTTGACCACTTTTTGAGCATTCCAGAAACCGACCAAATGCTCTAAAATGAAAGATAGTAGTCTTAGGGAAGCCATTTTTAGCATTTTAAGACAGTTTTTGAAAGTTCAAAAAGTGGTCAAAATTGACCAAAATGGTAAGGGGTAAGACTTACCGTTTTGGCCAATTTTGACCATTTTTTGAGCATTCCAAAAACCAACCAAATACGCTCTAAAATGAAAGATATTAGTCTTAGGAAGCCATTTTTAGCAGTTCAAAAAGCGGTCAAAATTGACCAAAATGGTAAGGGGTAAGACTTACCGTTTTGGCCAATTTTGACCACTTTTTGATCGTTCCAAAAACCGAACAAATGTGCTCTAAAATGAAAGATATTAGTCTTAGGAAGCCATTTTTAGCATTTTAAGACAGTTTTTGAACAGTTCAAAAAGTGGTCAAAATTGACCAAAATGGTAAGGGGTAAGACTTACCGTTTTGGCCAATTTTGACCATTTTTGAGCATTCCAGAAACCGAACCAAATACGCTCTAAAATGAAAGATATTAGTCTTAGGAAGCCATTTTTAGCAGTTTCAAAAAGCGGTCAAAATTGACCAAAATGGTAAGGGGTAAGACTTACCGTTTTGGCCAATTTTTGACCACTTTTTAGTGTTCCAAAAACCGAACAAATGTGCTCTAAAATGAAAGATATTAGTCTTAGGAAGCCATTTTTAGCATTTTAAGACAGTTTTTGAACAGTTCAAAAAGTGGTCAAAATTGACCAAAATGTAAGGGGTAAGACTTACCGTTTTTGGCCAATTTTGACCACTTTTGATCGTTCAAAAACCAACCA